CTTTAAAAGTTTGCATGTGACATGACAGATCCCCGTCCTCCCAGCCGCTGTAGAGAAAGGTTTTGCATTTATCAGCCATTCTTCTCCTCGCCTTTCAAGTTTCCTCTTCTCTAGTGACACTTTTTGTCTCTTGACTCCAGTTGGAAATCAGCCAAAACCAGCTTCTGTAGGTCTTTTACACCAGAGCAAGAGGTAGAGCAAGGCAATGGGAGAGGAGAGAAAAACAATCAAATGACAGAGAAACGAAGAGGAAGAGGTTTTTGTTGATGGTGCTAGCAGAGCCGTTTTCTCTGACCACGATTTCTTGTGTGTGAAATCGAAAACTAGCGACAGAAGGGTTGATGTGGGATGATCTCTCCTCACTCTGAGAGAACAGAGCTTTTGGACCAGTTTGCTCTCTTGAATAAATTTAGTGTTGAGGAGAGAGCGGTGTGGGGAGGGGTTCATGGGGATTTGAACCAGCGCATTCTTGTGTGCCTTGTGCAGACTCACATGGTTACCGCGCACGGCGAGGGTTATCTGAATACACCATGTGAGCTGAACACACTCCTTCGAAGTCTTTACCCTCTCTCTCCCTCTGTCCCTCTCTCTCTCTTTCTGATGGGGGAGGCGGGATTTACGCGAAGGGGGGACCTGGGTGGCTGCAGGGTGTTTTGTTTGTTCCCGGGTGTCTGGTTACCCAGCCTGCCCTGCTCCGGTGTTGCCTGGTCACGTCTCTCATCGGCTCTCTTTATTGTTTACCTTCCTAATGAGGGGGGCGGGACTCTTGAACATGTGATTGACAGCAGTGGGCTTGCCCCCCCCTCACTGCCCGGGTCGAGCAGAATTTTGGCTTCTTGGCTACGTAGAAGGAGGGTCTGATCGAGATGAAGTTTTTTCACATACCTCTCTGTGTTTGTGTGGGAAGTTTTTTTTTTCCTTCCTTTTTCGCCTGAACCCTCCTCCTGTAGGACGGGCTTGTGGACAGAGAGGATTGTGGGAGAGTTCACAGAGGGAGAGGGTGCACACATTCCTGTATTAACAATTATCCTGACATGATGACTAACGTGATGACTCATCGGCCTGACACCATTTCTGCTCTTTTCTAAGTTTCCCGACTCCCTTCTCGCCAAAAGCAGGAAACAAGCCGACTCTTCAGAAACACGTTTGAACACATGTGGGAGTTGTGGAGTGTTTGTCGACCTCCACACAAGCCCAGTGGAGAGTAAATTTGCTTCCTTAGGAGAGCAAAAATAAGAAGGAGCGAGGGAAAGAAAAGAAGAGGAGAACATAGAGAGCCAAATATTGGGACTGTGTTCATTTCGCTCTGTGGTCGACTTCAAAGAGACGAGCTGGGCCAATGCAGAGAGTGCAGACCTTTCAGGACGAACACACTGGGCCCAGCGTGACTCACACACATGCACACACTAACACACAGACACACACACAGCCTGACTGCCACAATTTGGCTGAATGAGGGAGAGGGAATATTTATTTTTAATAAAGCCACACTTATTTTGGGACTGACATTTTACAACCTGCCTTTTATTCTCAAATCAATAGCTGGTTAAATATTGATAGAGGCCTGAAATTGCCTACACACCACAGAAGTTACACTCAGCCCTGTTTGAGTTGAGATGCTGCCGATTTTTTTTCTCCATATATAAAAAGGACGGAGAGTTTTTGTGTGTTTTCACACTGAGCCGAGTGGGAGCTCCAGATTTCTTTTCTTCTGCTGCAGAGAGACGTCACATGTTTCTCTATCTGAACATCAGTGATTGAAACGGTAAAAACAAACTCATATTATACATTAAACTCTTCACATCTTTATAACCCACTGATGGTTTGTTGTTTAAATGACACAACAAGGAGCTGAAGTCTGATTATTGGCATGTCCTGAATTTTCTGAGGTGGGTTTTGGGGAACTTCCGTCGGAGGGTGAATGTGGAGCCAAGGGCGCAGGGCGGATATCTGAACCCCAGGAGGGGAGTGATTGCTCTCCTGTGAGCACCCCCTCCCCTCCAGGGAGAGGCTGAGGGGATTGGTATGGGGGACCCACCTGGACACTGTGGGGCCCTGTGGGGCCCCTTCCTGCAAAGACCCTGGAGACCAAAATGGAGGCTCACCTGTTTGTTTTTGATAATAAAAATGATAATAATACGGCAGATGTGAAGAACTTGTTTTATTCAACGCTGATTTAAAGACGGTTTTAATAGTTAAAGTTGAATCGTTCAAACAGTTCAAGCAAAAAAACATGAACTCGTTTCAAACAGAGCTTCACATTTTCACACAAAAAATACAAACCAAAGTTTGACTTTCTACAAAATCCTTCTCAACCAAATTTATTTAGTTGCATTGAAGAAGACTGTGGATTCAGTGAGGACTTTGTATGAGCAGTATTTTCCTGTGGGAGAGACCCAGGCCCGTATCAGTGTGTGCATCATGAAGCTTCAGATTAACATGACAAAATCCCTCAAGTGTGTTTGTTCAGGTCATCGTGTCAGCCCCGGGAACACACACACACACACACTCACTCACAAACAACCTGACAGAGTGTGTTTACATGTCATATCTACACACTTGTCCACCCATGAACGGGGTCTGAAGGACAGTCCAGGTGAAGGTGGAGAGATGGTGGTGTTTGAAGGTCCTTTATTGAGACTCTTGGACCCAAATGTTCAAAGTGTTTGAGAATCGTAAAAATGTTTGAAACTTTGAGTGTTTATCAGAAAAGTTCATTTCAATTCCAGCGGAAACCAAGTTATCTGTGTGAGGTGGGACAGAAGTTGGTTGGTTCAGGTCTGTTGTCACGAGTTCCTGCCAGAGGAACAAAAAAACAAAAAACAACGCCTTTGATCCAGGGCAGGAAGTGTTTTTGGGAATAAAATCCAGAGTCCTCCAGTGATTCCCGGTCTGAGGCTGTCTGTTTTTTTGCTGTGGTTGCAGACTGGCAGAAGACGGAGGCCCAAAAGAGACGTGAGCAGCTGCTGCTGGATGAACTGGTCATACTGGTCAACAAGCGAGATGCACTGGTCAGGGACCTGGATGCCCAGGAGAAAGAGTAAGTTACCCACAATCCTCCAATACTAGGCACAGAACCACTTCAATTTATGTTAGAAGAAGAAGAAAAAAAACAGCCCCTCTTGTGGGAATGCTATCTGACGAGTGTCTGCTGTATCTTTACATTTCTACTGAAAACTTGAACATGTTTAACATGAAAAAACAGTCGTTGCACACCTTCATCATGGGCGGACTCCTCTCAGATGGGCAAGACTGACTGACTGCCAGGCTGCTAAAAGAGTCCAGCCTGGCCCCTGGCACTAGGCCACTGCAACAGTTACCAAACCACCGACTGTGTTACCTCTGTGTGTTTGTGTGTGTGTGCGTGCGTGCGTGCGTGAGTGCGTGTGTGTGTGTGTGCGTACCTCTACCTACTTCTCTTCCCTGCTTCCCCTGACGCATCTGACCTCTTGACCTTTGCCCTCTGCAGAGCCGAGGAGGAGGACGAGCACCTGGAGAGGACGCTGGAGCAGAACAAAGGAAAGATGGCCAAGAAGGAGGAGAAATGTGTGCTTCAATGATTGTCATTGTCAGAGAAAACACCACCAACAAATGTAGCCGATAAAAGAAATGTATGATTGTTCTAATAATTACGACTATTCTGACCGTTCAATGACGGTGGTTTCCTAAACATTTCTGTCAGTTATCAGGATTCTGATGTGGTCGTTTCTTTGGTCAAATTCAGCGCAGAGACTCAGCCCTGCGTCACCTTTGCACCGACTTTCTACAGACTCCAAATATGTCCCTCTTCTTTCAAATGTTTTTATTTTAATTTTATTTCTCTTTGCTTAACCATGAACGGTACTTTGATGTAATATAAAGATGTACAAAAGGAGAGCAGTGCAGACCTGATCGGACAGTGTGATATGTGCATGTGACGCTGCAGCAGCCGCTCTCTGTTTGAATGTGGAGACCAGTAGATTTGAGGTACAGCACAACTGGGTTTACTGGGGGGGTGGATTCTTTTTTTTTTCTTTCCTTTTTTTCTTCATCATTTTGAGGGGATGATGAAGGGGTTGACGTTTTCAAAGGTTATAAAAAAAAGAGATGTTATAATATCTGTCTTTTCAAGCTACTTCATTACTTGACTGTATCTTTTAATTATTTCACTTTAAAGTTTTTACTTGTAAAATATCTTAAAGGGGGAACGCATTACTGTTCATAAATCTTAACTTTCCTATTGCTTTTTTTATTGTCTTGGCTTGAAAGCAGTTTACCAAAAGAAAGTTCATGTTTAAGAGAAAAATCTCATGTTGTATATTTTCATCACTGCTCTTACCAGCCGCTTCCAAAATCTTTTTTTTTTTTTTTTGGTCAGGATTCATGCAGTCAAAAACAAAAAAATATATATATTATTTATTGTCATTTTGAAGCTGCTTATAAGTGAAGCTACTATCACAGTTCATGTGCATTTTTTTTTTGCTCCACAACTTTTTTAGTTTCTATTTATTGTATTCTGAAGAAGAGAATTATGCTTCCACGTGCATCATCTATAGCTCTACATCCGGTGCAGTTTGTTTGTCCTTTAATGTGTTGAGCATTTATCTCGTTTATTTATTCCAGTGTCATAACCCAAGTCTACAATAATAAAGTCCTTATGATTTCATATTCCACAGAGAAAACGTGTGGCGTCTTTTATTAATTACGAGAAGAAATAAGTTTCAATCTGCATTTTAGAAATATTTACATCATCTAAGAATGAAGGTGGAGATGGGATATTTGATGGGGCTTCTCAGTCGTATTTTCATTTCTGCATAGCTGCTGCTGCAGCTTTTGACTCTTTTTCGAGTTTTTCTTTCTCAATACGGACCGAGCAGTCATTGAAATGCATGCACGCCTTTGGCTGCAGCGCCGCACATAAGTGGCCCCTATCACTGCATTCAGCAGCGAGCGCAGCGTTTAGCAAAGGCTTTATTATTCCGCTCTCTGTTCAATTCCCCTGCGACCTACGCGTGTTTATAAATTAAAATTGGCGTTGGGCTGTTTTTTTGTTTGAGGTCGGAGCAGAGCAGGTTCCTCTGAGGAAGATTAGAGAAATCACTTTGTTCCGAGCAGATGTTTTTTTCCCCCTCTCTCTCTCTCCTTTTCTCGGTTTCTCTTTGGGCCGCTCATGCGCGCGCTGTAGACGGGGGGCAGAGATGTGGAGACTCGGTCACATGGAGCCGTAGTTGGAAAAGGAGAATAATCAAAACTGGAAAGGCGGCTGGGAAAATAAAGGTATTAGTTATCAGATGTTGGGGAAAAATCACACCACTTTAATTTGCCCCTTTTTTTCTTGTAGTTTTTTTTTTTTAGTCAGAATGATATCCAAGTATAATAATAAATGTTGAAACATGTCCCTGTAATAAAGGTGAGGATGAACGGTGTAACCCTCCCACAGCCCCGCAGGCTGCCTCACGTCCCCGATTAAAGCAAGAAAATCGGTTGTGACAGCAGACGTCCTCCCCGGCCTTTCTAATACTTTCAAATTAATTTGCTGATTCGTTTCTTCTCTGCTTGGGACCGACTGTACGTGCATATTACGCACTCTGCGTCCCCCGAGGCGCTTTGTTTTACTTTGTGTTATAGCGCGTTTTATCGCGGGGGTCTCTAATCTGGAGAATAAAGCAAAGAGCCGGAGCGGGGAAAGGACGTTATGCTCGGTGCATGTGGCGATGTGTGTGTGAGAGAGTGTGTGTGTGAACAGTAAATTATTCACCGTAATGCAGGATTTCAACTGCTGTAAAATATTGGTCAAAGTATTTTCTGGAGGGTTTTGAAAACGTTAAGAAATTTTCGTGCGTAAAACGGAACTTTTACCGTAGAAATGATCGTATAAAATTACATTTAACATGCTGAAAACGCTCTTTATTAAATCAAACACATCCAAATCAAGGGAAAGGAACCATGAACATGTAATAAGTCGAATGTTTTGATTTTTTTTAAAGAGGCATTTTTGCCTGTTAGAGCAAAGAAAGGATAAAAAGTGAGAGTCAGTGATCTCTTACCTCTCAAGCATCACCCGGGGTTGAGGCTCCTGATGAGGCAGAAAAACATTTGGAGTCAGTCTCCTATTTTTCAGAGAACAGGAGCTCGGCGCTGCGTAAAAGGTGGTGGTTGGCTGTGCGCTGCTGTGCAGCAGAGGATCCTTCAGCTGAATGGATTATCTCCTGAGCTTTGATGTCTCTTGGCCTCACCTCACAGGTGCTGCGCGCCGCTCGGCCCTCTACATAACTTTCTGTCCCCGCCGCCGTCCAAAAAAACCTGCACCTGAGGGAGCCCGGGTCTCCGCGCACGGCGCCGGGGCTCCGACAGCAACTCTGTGTTTTATGCATCATCGTTTTAATAAGTACCGACAACATCCCCGCAGATTCCAGCTCCCAATCCTGCCGGCTGAAGGGACAAAACTTTTCCCCCTCCTCTCCTCACCGCCTAATCCCAGGCTTTACCAGCTCAGCATTAAGAAAATTCAACTGCAATTTGGGATTAGACAAAATACTCTTATTACAAAAGGTCGGTGCAACTTGATAACTTGATACTTGTTCAGGGGTTTATCTCGGGGTCTTACTCACTTCGAGAGTGTAGGAAAGGAAAAAAAAACAAGAAATGTGGGGAAATGTCAGAATCATCCTTCTCTTTTGTGTTGTGAGGGCTATATTTGTTGAATGGCCTTTTTGCATAATTTAACGGAGCCTGTGTGAGAATGCGTGTGTGTGTGTGTGTGTGTGTGTGTGTGTGTGTGTGTGTGTGTGTGTGTGTGTGTGTGTGTGTGTGTGTGTGTGTGTGTGTGTGTGTGTGTGTGTGTGTGTGTAGAGTAGAGGAGGGGTGGTGGTTTTTCAGATCATCAGGCCCTCTGACCGCTCGGACTTCAGATGTGGCGGAAATAAAAAGGTGCGTAAAAGTGTTTGACCTCCAGCCAGGAACCCACCGAAACAAATGTCAGGAGAGCGTCACTTGTGGACGGACACTCTCTCTCTCTCTCTCTCTCTCTCTCTCTCTCTCTCTGAGCCACATCTTTCATACTTCACCACAATCATCGAAATAATGTTTGGTTTCTGGGCATAAAAACAGGGAGAGCAGTTACCATGTGGTATTGTGCACTTGTTTTGGCGCGTTGAGGTGCACTGTGTAAAAAGCAGCATCCCTGCAGGCCTCACCATCCACACAGCCTCCGACATGTCTCTGTTCTCTTTTCTGTTCATGTCCAAGTTCCTCAGTGCTCTCGTGGATGACTTTTAAGTGTCATCGGCCTCCACTTTAATACCCCCCCCCCCCCCCCCCCCCCCACACACACACACACACACACACACACACACACTTACTTTGTACATATACATCCCTGCTCTCTCTCTCTCTCTCTCTCTCTCTCTCTCTCTCTCTCTCTCTCTCTCTCTCTCTCTCTCTCTCTCTCTCTCTCTCTCTGAACATTAGCTCACTCTCCACAGGCTTTATTTACAGAATTAGATGTGATCCACAAGGATGGCCACAACCTCACACTTAGCACGAGGCCAGGATGAATCAAACCCATGAAAACGCGGTTTGTGATGGTTGAGAACATAAAGTGCAGGATTGGATTCAGTGACTGTTTCTTCCACTGCTGCTTTTTCCTTCTTGCTCTCTTCTTTTTCCTCCGCAGCGAGTTTGAGGTCTATCCCTATTAAACTTTACGTCAACCATCCTCAAATGTAATTCTAAATGGGGATTAGACCTCATTAATATTCATGAGGGTTGTTGTGCGTGTGTGTATGTGAGTGTGTGTAAAGGAAGAGGAGGGGGGAGTATCACAATCAAATCAAAATGGATGAATTTAACTTCCTTTTTGATTTCTCGTGTTTATGTTTTGGGATCATTAAAAAGACTTGACCTGTACAAACGGCGGAGTTAGCTGCATTCAAAATCATGCTGAGCTTTCTCCAACCTCTGAGGAACTGCGTTTTTCTGCTGCTGCTGGGCTAACAGGCAGCTGTCTCTTAAACCAAACACTCTGACACATTTGTTTCTTTAAGTGCCTTTTTCCCTTTTTTTTTCCTCGTGATTTTTAAAAATGAAATGATGATTTGCCTTTAAAGAGGTGACACTTTTATTTGAAAGAAAATTGGTGTGATAGGAGGTCATGTGTGCAGATTGAGCATCTTGGTGAGAGAGAGGCCCATCTTAAACGCTGCCGTACTTTCTGTAATTTTAAGGAACTTACACAGAAAGGCTTCGTCATTTACGCGCAGCAGCAGCAGCAGCAGCAGCAGCGGCAGGGCCTGACTCTTCCCTCTCTAGGCCATCTTTTTAAAAAATCTCTGGCCGGCTCGTCCGGTCTCAGGACCAGGACCGAGATGAGGAGGACGTGAGGAGGTGGGAGGGGGACGGGGGCGTTCAGTAGGAGTGGGCGATTTACGGCCGCTGCTGCGCGCCAATAGGCCACTCTCGCCGTCCGTCAGGCGGATCGCGCGCGGTGATTGGCTAAGAGAGGCGGATCCGCAGGTGTCCTCCGCTCATAGAGGCGCAGGGCGGAGAGAAGGTGATCAATCTCCATTAGAGCACTCTGACAGACAACGACAAGCCCCCTGAAAGCAAATGAGTTTGATTTATTTGGCTGTAAAAACACCAGGAACCGTACCGAGGACGCGGTGACGTCCGTGTGCTGTGCACTGCGTGTTTGTCCGTGATGCTGTTCGGTTTGCACGCGGTTGTTTGTTTTTGAGCGAGTCTACTGCTGTTGCTGTTTGAGTTTTGTGCCCTGCAGACTTCCTACTGCTGGATAATTTTACTGCTGCTCGCTTCTCGTGGCCCGAGAGCTCGGGAGAAGGGAAAAGGAGGAAAAACAAGGTAAAGTTTCCACAGTTTTCTCTCTAACTTCATGTAAATGAAAGTTTGAGCGCATTTTGACTCCGGGACATGAATCATGTCATCTCCGGCTCTGGTGATGGAAAAGTTCATTCTCAAAAAATTATTTCAAGGACGGAAATCGACGTTGAAATGTGACAAGTGGTTTTTCGTCTTTTGCGATTGCAGCGCCTAACATTTATGTTTTTGTGTTTTTTTATTTTTTTGTAACTGATGTATCAGTAAATCACAAGAGGAATCCAACCCGAGACGGTGAAATTGAATCAACTTCATGTGGAGGAGATAATGTTCATATTTCTATTCCAACCCGTTCCTTTTTTTAAGAGCAGTTGGCCATTAAAACATTTGAGGCACTCGGTGGATAATTGGAGAGGCGTGTTTTGGTTTTTGTTAATTTATTTGGCAGATAAGAGCTCTTGTGAATCGCTCTCTCCCCGGAGGTCTAATCTAAATTCTAATTGAGTTCATTTGCACCGAGATCTCGGCCCCTTTCACTCCGGCCTGGCAGGGCTGCAGTGCGGCTCTTACAGCCGTTCAATACACGTTTGGTGGGTTGAGGTTTGGTTTGGTCAGTTAGGAGCTCTTTGTTGAAATAATGTCCCACTAAAGAGCTGCTAATTTAATTCACACGCTTGAAACCAGAGGTGGTTTGGGTGAGTTTCACTGGAGGGTCAAAACTAAAACTTAGGATCTGTTGGAAATTCTAGATTTCACACTAGCAAATATGCACACATGTTTGTACAGTAATTTACCCTTAAAAACGGAGGAATCTTTATCTGGATGAAACTCTTTAACTTCTGGATTTAGACAAACTTTCTCTCTGTTTAATGTTGGAGGCAGTTGGGCTTAGATGTTGGTTCATTTTATTTACAAATGTAATCTTCATTTGAGTGGTCTTTCCTGACAGCACAAATTAAAAATAGTGTAAGTGACACTTTCTTTAATTTAATAAACCTCTGTCAAAGAAATAAAATGGATGAAACCCTTTACAGTCCACTTCCACTCAAATCAGCTGTGAAAAAAAAAAGTGTTGAAAGTTAGGAAGCAAAATAATCCGGAGTGTGGTCCTTTTTTTAGGAGTCTGAAAACGAAGAAGACACTTTTATTCAGCGTTTTTTCACGTTGTTGTAGTATCAGTAAGTTTAAGCCGGGCTCTGGGGATCTACAGGAGTCCGGTTGTAAAACAAAGTCTGATGACCCGAGCCAACATAGGTACTGAGACATGGACGAGTTAAAACAGCTGGGATTTTTTCAAGATAGATTATTAAACCATATACATAAAAATTCCCGTTTGTTTTATGTGACTGTGTGTGTTTTAGGCCTTCATTTAGACACACACAAAACACACACACACACACATACTGCCGTGCTCACCATTTAAACAATTCTGATTTAAAATCAGCAAACTTTTTTTCCATTCAAATGAATCAATTACAAAAAAAAGACAAAACGAAAAAAAACGCTTTTTGTTTTTTTTAAATGAAATAAACTCGTCTGTGTGTCTTTGGTTGACACACGGCAGTGTAAAGATTTGGTCCTTTTTCAAATGGAAAACTGTCTCTGAGTCTTTGAAAGGATTAATTTGATCATATTGTCCGTCTGTGGTTCTGACTGGTTATTTTTTCATGTGAAACAGAAATAGTCAGGTGCGTTGAAAAAAATCTTAAAATGACCAAAATGTCTGTCAGTTTTGATATTCTGCAGGTTGGGCGACATTTTCTTCAAAGCAGTCGGGTGGATTATTATAGTACTGGGAATAAAGACCTTCTTCTTGGTTTGGCCTCGTTAAAACTCTTTTATTTGACCCAGAGAGAAAAGTGTGGGGCTTCAGTCCTCTGGTTATTTTTTCTTCAATGTGAGCGGGTTTTAGCAGCCGTTTGACCCCAGTTATCCTCTGACCAAAAACCCAATACTCCTGAAGGGATTTAACGTGCCGCCTCTGCCTTCAATAACTCTCTGCCTTTATGCTTTAGGATTTTAACGCGCTTCTAGTCTTAAAATACAGATTTTTTTATAGTTAATTGTGCGTATATTTCTCCAACATTTCTTGTTTTACTGCGTAAAAAGTTTGGCCAAATCAGGAATGACCAGTAATAAAATCACCACAGCCCAGAAGTTAAAAAGCAGGAGAGGCGAACAAATGTGGGACAAATTCAACACGTTTGAGGCTTATGACTTGAATTCTTGCGGACAATACCTGCTTGAAGTGTTACTTCTGTGGGCCACTGTGTGTGTGTTTTCCTCTGCGTGTTTCTCATTTTCGTCCTGTGTGTGTGTGCGCCTGTAGTGTCTTGGATCGGCCCCCTGTCCCGTCAAGCTGCAGCATCGGGGGAAATCGAACCACTGGCCTGAGCTGGGTGGAGCAGTGACCGCCTGTAGCATGATGTCCTACCTCAAACAGCCCCCCTATGGCGTCAACGGCCTGGGGCTGAGCGGCGCTGCCATGGACCTGCTGCACCCGTCAGTGGGCTACCCGGGTACGACCCTCCTCCCTGCCACACGCAAACACACACACACACACACACACACACACCGTTTTTAACATGAATGCATCCGGCGTGGACCGGTTTACTTGGATTAAAATCACAGGCCAAAATAAGTGTGAGAGCTTCAGTTACTAAAAGGAAAATTATCCCCGATTTACCATCTGATAAAAAGAAGCAGATTTATCATAATAATAATAATAATAATAATAATAATAATAATAATAGAGAGGGTTTTTTTCAGTGTTACACAATGCTACTCTTAATATCGTGGTCTGTTGAAATAGGCTTTTCATAACAGTTAAACTCACCTCTAAAGTGAAAACATGACCTGTGAGTGAAGTTACATTAAAACGAAAACATCTGGGTTTTTAGTTAAATAGATGCTTTATTTCGGTCACTCCAACCAGACCGTAATTTTTAGTGAATCACCTTTTTTTTTTTTTACTCCGTCCAGCCACTAAGTTGTGTTTTATAACTGTTTAGTGGGTCGATTTTATAGCGATACCGTAACTGATTAAAAATGTGCAGAAAGTATTATTATTTTTACTTATGTTAATTTTGAAGTTGTTGAAGGAAAGATAATCTGTTTTAAAGAGCTGTTTTTATCAAGGCGAGTGACTCTTAAGTTTTTTTTTTCCCGCCTGTTTTCCTGCTCATGATTGGAGACAAATGCCGAGCAGAAGCTTGTCAGAGAAACATTAATTCATTTTAAAAAAAGGCATCGTAATTCACACACACACACACACACACACACACACACACACACACACACACACACACACACACACACACACACACACACACAGCTTCATAATCGGCCCTCGCTCTTCTTCTCTTTCTGCAGCTACACCCAGGAAGCAGCGGCGGGAGAGAACAACCTTCACGCGCTCTCAACTTGACGTCCTCGAGGCTCTATTCGCCAAAACCCGGTACCCGGACATTTTCATGCGCGAGGAGGTGGCGCTGAAAATCAACCTACCTGAGTCGCGGGTCCAGGTGATAAATTAATCTTTTTTTTTGTGTTCAGAGAAACCGAGAAGTGATCTAAACCGAGCAGGACAGTTCACGAGGCCTGTGGTCGACTCAGTGACACCAAAGTTAGCTCAATAAGTCCCGTTTCAGTACGTAGAGTCTTTTCAATCGTTTCCCCCAAAATTAAGTCTTTAAATGATGAAACTATGGTCAACTGAACACTAATAATAAAGCGCTGAAATGGTCCAATCTCGAGCTGAAATCTTGAATATTGTCTAAAGGCCTGGCCACACTCAGGAGTTATCAATTTATTGTAAACTACAGCTCAACCAGCCTACGTGGATTTATCTAAAGATTTCCTTTCAACCACAAGTGTGTTTTAAACAGGAAAGAATCAAAATTTTATTATTATTATTATTCACCAAATGAGGCAGTGTTGGTGATTATTTGAGGTCTGCTTGGTTACAGTGTAGACCAGCCTTGTTGTGGATCAGGTGTACAGTATTTATCACAAATCAAACCACATTTATTATAGTTGTGTAATTTTGGCCAGTAAATAATCCTAATTCTCCCACATATTGCATAATCTTGCAGGAGTTTGTATCATTAATGATGGTTTAAATGATGGTATGTTTTTAGCCGGGGATATTTCAGGTTTATGGCCATATATAGGCCACAGTGGATGAATTAAAGGCATGTTATTGTTGTTGTTTTTTCCTCTTTTTTAACCCATAAAAGTGAAATAATAATATCTGTGGTTAATATGTCAGACTTCTCTGTGTACATTATGTTTGGTGTTCTACAGGGTTAGTTATGTTGAGATGATGTGATTATTTTTTATTATTTAAGTTTTATTTTTTCCCACCTCAGCTTTCCTCCTTTCAGAAGACATTTCATGCTGGGATAACACAGTTTACACACGCTGATTCAAAGTAAACTACTTTTCAGAGTCTCACCTCTCTTTTGTAGTTGACTTTATTCCCTATTATTTGATGCGAAGATGACTGCAGGCAGTGTAACTTGACCTGAATTGTAGGATCTGTAATGAAGAGGCCAGGAGTTTACCAGCAAATACTCCACAAACAACTCGGAGGTGTACTATGATGTTGAACAAATTCTACTCTTGAAAAGGCATTAGGGGAAAACCAAGGCCAGCCTCTCTCTCACACAACCGAGTTATTCTCAGAATGTGTGTGTGAAACAAAACGCTCTACATGATCCTACCCTCTCTGAGCTCTAGAGTTACCCTACTGTGTGGTGAAACACGATAGCCTGTTATCTTAGAGCCGTCTACCTGGTATGAAATTGGACCCCTGGCTGATCCAAGCCAAGGGGCCAGGGTGGAAATGAACCTCGATGGCTAATAACCCCCAATTTTCCTCCATGATGTACTGCCAGTATGGTCTGGGAGTATCTGTTTAGTATGAAAAGCTGAGGTTGCCGTATGTGTCTAACTCTTGGCTGGTGATCTTGGTTGTAGGTGTGGTTCAAGAACCGGAGGGCCAAGTGTCGCCAGCAGCAACAGAGCGGCAGCAGCTCCAAAGCCAGGCCGCCAAAGAAGAAGTCGTCTCCAGCCCGGGAAAGCACCGGCTCTGAGAGCAGCGGCCAGTTCACACCTCCTGCCGTGTCCAGCACAGGCTCATCCTCATCCTCATCCTCCTCCACTAACCACACAGGCCCAGCAGCACTCAGCAGCACCTCTACCTCCATCAGCACCGTGTCCTCCATTTGGAGCCCCGCTATCTCCCCTGGAAACGCTCCCGCCCCTGCCGTGGCCCCGCTCCCTGAGCCCGGACCCCCATCTAACGCCTCCTGTATGCAACGCTCCATGTCAGGCTCGGCCGCTGCGGCAACCTCCTACCCCATGTCCTACAACCAGACTCCAGGTTACGGCCAGGGTTACCCCACTCCGTCCAGCTCATACTTCAGCAGTGTGGACTGTGGCTCCTACTTGGCCCCCATGCACTCCCACCACCACCCTCACCAGCTCAGCCCCATGACGGCCTCCTCAATGTCAGGCCACCCACACCACCACATCAGCCAGTCATCAGGCCACCATCACCATCACCACCACCACCAGGCGTATGGAGGCTCCAGCCTGGCTTTCAACTCGTCCGACTGCCTGGATTACAAAGAGCAGACTGCAGCCTCCTCATGGAAGCTCAACTTTAACGCCACAGACTGCTTGGACTACAAAGACCAGGCCTCCTGGAGGTTCCAAGTCTTGTGATCTGGCTTTTTCCCCCTCCTCCTCCTCCTCTTCTTCTCCAGGCTTGTCTGCTCCCTCTCTTTTTTTTTTTCCACATCAGCTCATTGCTTGTTTTTAAAAGACAGAAAGAGTTTATGAACCAAAAGATTACAATGATAGCAGCAGGGATGCTCAGAAAATCGGACTTTGTTTTTCAACCCTCCCATCTTCAGGGTCTTTGAAAGATAAAGATCTTCAAGAGAAACAGTCGAGCCCAATGAAAAGAAAAACATCAGGAGCAGTTTGCTGACAATGAAGAGTGGGTTTTTAAGATGCTGCTTCCAGGATGATTAAAAAAAAAACTGTTTTCCAAAAAAATGAAGAGAGAAAAAAAAAGTCATTTCAACCAAACTCCTTAGACCACCAGCTCTCTGGCTCTCTGGATGGGAGGAATATTTTCCCTTCTGCTGCATCAACAGGAACTGCATGCAGTGTCCCTCTTTACCTCCAATCCACCCAATCAAACAAACCCTGTATAGTTTTTATTTCAGAAATTTGTTATTTTAGGATGACAGAGATTTTTTAGTCAGCTACATCGAGCAGCTGAAATCTGTAAATATGTATTTTGGTCAGTTACAGTGACCATATTTAGTTGGTGTTTTTTTTCTGAATTTGAAATTGTTTATTACCACTTTGGAAGAAGAAGAAAAAAAAAAGAAAAAAAACCTGTATGTAAATCTTTCCAAATGTTCCAAAGAGATCAAATCGGCCATAAAGTTCAGCTTTTATATGCGTTGTTTTACTCCGAAAGTGTTTTGGCAATTGAAAATGTCTTGGACAAACCTAAAACATAGATGCAGAAGTGACCTGGGCGACTGTTTCCGGATATGATGATGATTACTATTATTATTATTATTATTATTATTATTACTCTAGCCTCTTCGTTTTCAAAGCAGACCTCCTCTCTTGGGCATTGTCGTGATTTATTGGACATGTTTGAACGCAGCACTTGGCTTGATATTGGAGTCAGAGCATTTTTTTGAATTTTTGGAGAGGATTTGTGGATTTATAGCTCCAAAAATGACAGTGAAATGTTGAATGTATCTTCAAGGCGACCACCCTTACATACATGTTCATCCAATAAAGATCCGTTAAGTCATATTTATTTCCCCAAGTGTCTCAGTTGGATTCCCAACAGGGAGTCAACTTCTTATTTGTTGTATGTATTTTTAAGCATGTACACCAGTCAGTCAGTCACAAACTAAACGCGGCTGTTTTCTCTTATTTGAAATAGTAATATTCCTGTCCAAAAGCTTGTTCACTTAGTTTTCTGCTAATTATAAACGGGCTAAATGCAAATGAGTCCATAATTAAAAGAAGCCGTGAACGCAGCATTTCCATTTTAGAGAGCAGCCGGTTTAATCCCTCCACTGTCTCCGTCTTCAAATTGAAACACTAACATCTCTCCCCTCGCTGAAGGGACACTAAGTGTCTCCTTTTTTTAAACTGCAGTGTTAAAAAGCCCTAAATATCGAGCCGGGAGACATTTGATCGAGGCGTAATTGAATGCAGCGCTGTAATGGCGCGATAATTACTCCTGCGCCCTCAGTCGGTTTCTCCAAAATAACCTGCAGGAATTTCACCGCGTCTGATGCGGTAATTACGTAGGTGGGGCCAGGTTAGGGGGTCACATGTAAGTGTGTGAGTGTGTGTGTGCTCGCAGGCATTAGCGCATTATAAAAAGGGAGCCTTTAAAAAGAATTACTCCGTGAGTTTTCTGGCGAGGTTCTTTTGAAGGAGGAGGAGGAGGAATTTTTTTATGCGCCAAGGCCAAAGTGAGCGGCGCAGGGGAGGCTCACAAGAATACGAGTAACATGCTCATTTAAATTAAGAGCCGCAATAAAAACATAAACTACCCTCCTGCAAACACCCCCACCTCCACCACCACCCCCCGTTCCCGTGCGCTTCTCTGCCCGCTAAAATTCTGACTAAAGACGATGGTTTTCATGACGAGGAAAGACAAACCGGACTGTAGATTTATTTGAGAGTACAGCCCGGTTTATCGATTTTATTTTTCTGTTCCAAAGAAGAATGTCAATAATTATCTTTTTTGTCATTAACAGCGGTCAATCCCCATTATTTCCTTTTATAATATTAATTGTTGACCTTTTGTCTTTGTGTTATCGTCAAAAAAATGATGAAACAAACAAACAGACAGAGAAGTTTTATTTTTGCAGTCAAAAATTCCAGGATGAGAACTGCATCATCAGTTTGAACAGTTTGTCTTTTTCTACCTCTGACATTTCAGGGCCCACGAGTGGACTAATAAGACAGACAATGTCTTTGACATCAAGTGGAAAACTCTCTATCGGATATTTATCCTGTTTTATCTCGCCGTGTTATCTTTTTTTCTGTCAAGGGAAAGAATAACCGAAAATGCGAAAACCTAAAAAGAGAAAACGTTTGGGTGCAAAGGTGAATTTTTCTCCCAAGTGCTGTCCCCTCACAAGACGATAGAGTGGCCTTCATAAAAAGAAAAAAATTCTCCGATGTGTAGGCCTTTTTCTCCTTTGGCCTGTGAAATTTATCCAGATAAATTCAGATAAGGGATCACAAACTAAAACAAAAAAATCCTGGAAACCTCTTGATAACTTTCTCTATTATCTCCTGAAACAACAGATCATCCTGATCGATGAACATTGTTGTGTCTGAGCATAGTTACAGCTGAAGCCTTTCTCCCTTCCTCTCTCTCTCTTTATGTAAATTCAACTCGCAGCAGCTGAATAAATATCTACAGACCAGGACATTAAACATGTTTGCGCCAAGACGCGCAAACAGCGCAGCGAGTGTTCCCCAACAGCGGCGGATTTGTTGGGATTTGCATCAAACAAACATTTGCGAGCAATCTTGTGGGATTGTTTAAGGAGTGTGAGGGAGCCACAGGTTTCATGAGACAGCTGCTGCTGCTGCCGCCGCTGCTGTTCACCTTCAAACAGCCGCAGAAATGAAAACAGAGCCGAGGTCCTGACTAAAGAGGAGGAGATCCGATGTTTAATGATTCCTCTGCAGCTAACCTGGCGTTCACAAACGTTCCTCTGCAGTCATCAGGACGAAATCTCAACTAGTTCACAGCTGCAAAGGCACATGGAAACCAAGGAACGAATGCTTTGGACGATTTTTAGGAAAAATGATTTAACGTGGATAAATAGACGGACGACACGGCCGGCACACAAAGGCCAAAACAACCACCTGCCTTTGGGTGTGTGCGCAAAATTACTCAGCTATGGGAGGATATAATAACAATATGATAAATATTTTTGAACAACATGACAAAGGAAAAAAAACAAAACAAACAAAAAAACGTGCTTTTAAAAAAAATATATATATATTAAACTATTACTATTAAACATAAATAGTAAAACTGCAGAGAGGTGTCCTGTCAACAGGTGCTATGGCTTCAAATTCTGACCTTTTTGAGCAGATAAAGCTATTTCAGTTTTTTGTTGTTTGTTGCACAATGTACTCTAACGCTTTAAATAATTTCAAATACATTTTTCTGTGTTTTACATGATACAATTTGATTGATTTCTTTGCCTCACTCAAAATCAGTCAGAAAAATAAGACAACAATAATCAAAGTTCAACTAAAAATACAGAAATTTTTAAATTAAAGTGTGTAATAAAAGTTTGAACCCAGACAACAAGAAAAAAAGACATTAAAGTCACAAGAAATAACTCAACCTGGTAAATGTTAAAACAAGCACCTGGATCCAATATGTGTCTGATAGAGATTTTACAACTTACATAAAGAAACAAGCACCTTGAACAAACCACAAAGAGTAGGTAATAAATTTTCTGTCAACAATTACATTGATAAAAAAATATCAGGACAGAGGCTGAATGAAAATTTACTCATTTACCATCCCACAACTATCTTTCTGAATATCCTCTGAACATTTGAATCCGCTCAAAAATGAGAACTTGTGTCTTACTGATAACACCTGCAGTATAAACAAAGGTCTGAACTTTAAAAAGCACACCTATGAAGCGGAGAAGTTAACGAGACACCAAAGTTCTTGACCTCTCCAGAGAGGGAGGAACTAAATATCACTCTGTGATTAAGTCCATGATATCATCCCAAAGTCCTGTCTCCTTGTTTAACTCACTTTCTTGAAGTGTTTGAGAAGATGAAACCTGAATCATGTTTTGAGGACACTTCAATTGTCTACTACGTCACACAGCTCTGCAGTATGTTAAAGGGAAAAAGACCCTAAACGATGTGAGGGTCCTTAAATAAAGTCTATGTTGAGTAAAAATATAACAGGTATCCTGCCACAGGATTACCATTTAGTTTTCCACATTTCCAGGAAAGTGATGACTAAAAAGAGGTGCATTTTCAGACCGGCAGCTGTGTTCATGAGTGTTGTTTTAAGGCTCGGACTCCTCTCTGCTCTATTCAGTAGGATTATCGATTGCACCGCATCATATGTTGTCAACCGTCGACCTCCTGGCCTCTCGCCTGCTCCGCTCAGGCTTCTGAATGTGGCTGGACTGGAAACTGTTGACATTTTGTTCACACTTGTCCAGGAGATGAACTGGAACCAAGCTGGACTTTTTTATTGTTATTTTGCATGAGTGATTGAGATTTATATCTGGGAGAGAGAAACAGAGACAGACAGATAAAAAGAGAGAAACTGGACTGTAGTTCTAGGTTTGTGAGACTTTTAAGGCCTTGAGGAGTGTGTGTGAGCGACGCAGATACAGAGAGGAGATGTAGACTGATAGCAGCCTGCATGCTGGGACGGTTTTCTTCCATTTCCATGCAGGACAGGAACACAAACACAGCACTCACACTTGTCTGTCATTGGCTGTCGACTGTCGCCAGACCTTGGCATCCTGGTGTGTTCATAGGCTGGTATGAAGAGCGAGAGGTGATACAGAGGAGGATTAGGTTTACCTGGGAGGTAAATCTAGGGTCAACTGTACAGGGACACGGGAGGAGACTCCTATTTCTCTGCTTTGTCTGAAAACACCTTACTGAAAACAGGAGGATTTTAATGTGTGGTTTGTACATTTTAAGTGTTTCCTGATGTGAAATATACAGATTTGTACAAAAAAAAAAAAGCCACCAGCCACCTCTTAAATCGCTCAAACTGAAACTCAAAAGAGGTGAAGACACTTGTGGTTTCTCTGTGTGAAAGAAGCTTAGTCATCTCAACCACACAAAACATGGAGAGCATTTACACAATTCCTCAAAGCGTTTCCAAACTGTGGCTTGAAGTTGAGCAAAGCAAAGCACAGAGTCAGGACAGCGCAGTTTCCCTCTGAAGAGTCCAATATGATTTTCACATTTTCTCAGGAAGAGCTCCCCACTATCACGGCTGAAATGAACCTGTTGATGGCGCATGTTTGATTACAGCTGTACATGAGCCAAGCTGGTTTGTATTTACCTAAAGGTGAGACATAAAAAGCTTTGGTACTTTTTAAACCGGATGAGAAGATCTGAAAAAACACGAAAATTAAACGAAACATGATTACTTAACTCTAATTACTGTAACAAAAAGTCCAGAAGAAGTATGGAGGCCACATAAACTACCTTGAGAAAAGTTTGAACCTCATCATTATGCTCATGACCTTAATGTGGGGTGAAACTCCTTTGTTAATAAGCTAATAAGTCAAATAAGTTAGACTTCAGCCAGGCTATCAAGTCTACCGAAATGCTCATCAGTGCTAACATAATCTTCACCTCACAGTGATACAAACTCTAACTTCAGGTCAATCCAATCAATTTGCTGATCAATAAAAAAATCAATGAAAAGTAATTTGAATAAGTTTGTCATGTAAGTTGAATTAGGGCTAAAATTAATCTCTTGTTTAAATTTACCAGGTGTGAACAATGGATTCATCCTCTTGGGACCATAATATTGAAATCGTTGTGGAGCCGTTTGGGGGTTTCAATAAGTTTGTTTAAAACATCAACGGTGGTGCTACATAAAATTAGAGGTTTACAAAAATCATCAGGACTCAGTGTCAGGGACCCGGCATGACTGTGCTACAGTTTGTTATATTCCATTTCATAGCTGTTGAACTGCATTTTGAGACATCTACCTTTTGGCATTAACCTCTGATGAGTAAGTGCATCAAATAATCGGAGCAGTTTTAAGAGTGTTTTTATTCAGTTAAATGATCTGAAGGTTTTTCTGAAGCTACTAGGGCAGCTTTTCTGAAGCAGCTGACAGGAAATCAGAGGAGACACTTTTTCTGGACAGAACTTCATTTCAGACTTGTTCTGATTTTCTCACCCTTCTCATGGATGACTTCCTCGCTTGAGAATCAGCTGTGTCAGGCTAACCAGGGATGCAGAAGAGAGGTATTTTAAGAGGGCCTGTATTATCTCACTTGGAAAGGATGCAGCAGACCCTCATCCCGAGTCAAAACTTGTCTTTTCCTCAGAGCCCTGCAGATGTGGAAAAGCTTGTTTGAGGCCTGGTCTTGGCCTCTAGGCTTTAGTGTTTCCCATCAAGGGTGTCGTTGCATGTGTGTTTGTGTCAACACACAGCTGTCTGACATGCTCACTACATTTCCTTACTTGTTTTCCCTTTCTTTCTTTTTTTTTTTGGTGGTTCTCACTGAAGTTTTCTCTTCTGCAGAGCCACGAGCCAAAGACCCTGAGAGGACGTCGACAGTGGTCCTCCGAGCAAGTTGACTGATGCATAAAAAAATCAAAATATTTCTGGTGATCTTTGACCTGAAAATGATAAAATCATAGATAAACCAACATAAACTGGTGAATCTGCATTTGGGTACCCTCGTATGACTCTTAGCTGACGTATAAATGGTCACCATAAGATGGAGTAAACAGTTACAGAAACACACACACGCGTTTTAAAACTCTATTACCATTACAAGCATCAAGTAGCTTCAAGACAAACCACGTGAAGTGAGCTCAGACTTGACAAATAATAAGAAATACAGAATGAATTGTAAAATCCTCTCAGGCTTTATCTGAATCATTGTTTTCATTTTAGTGGTTTGCTAACCTGTAACAGAGAGAGTCGTCCTTCTCTAACTATTCACCTGAAAGCCTTTCGCCCTCGAAGAATCTGCAGCCCAGTTTTCTGGCAAAAAGCTTTACCTCCTGTTACAAGATCCTGACTTAATCTTGCCAGTATGGACACATCATTATACGAATGATGAATTAAAAAAGGATATAATACTAACAGAGGTAAGAAAAACAAAGAGACTGAGAGAAAATGAAAAGAATAAATCTGAGAAGTAAGAAAACATGAGAACAGAAACAGTTAGAAATATCAATGTTGTTGTATCAAGTGTAATCTCCAGCTGCTGAAAAAAAGAACACAGCTTCTCCTGGAGCCCAAACAGACCTTCAGTACAACAAGCAAAGGAGCAGAGAAGCGACCTCTTACGCTCCTCTCTGACCTCACTCAGAGTTCAGTTTGATCACAGATTTATCAGGTTAACACTGTTTGTCTGAAAGGCCTCTGCAGGAAACAAATTCAGATACAACTTCTTGTTAAAGCATTGTTTAGAAGAAGAAATAAGGTGTAGTATTGTCTTTTTCAAAGTACATCTAATTGACTGCCTGTAACTGATTATTACAAAGAGAAACTTAACACTAGCCTTTAAGGTTTCCTGAGGTTAAGACCGCTCAGATTAGCCCCCATCGTAGGTAATTTGACTGCCTTTGATGTCTTTAATGGTGCTGACATATTTGTCTATAATATTTTGGGTGATCAGGCTTGTGGAGATCACTGAAACAAACCTATTAAGCATACAAACTCGCCCTGAGGGGAAACAAATCAGTCCAATCAGAGCCTTCATTAGATGTGATAAGGCCCCTGCAGAAACACCGAAACACAGCTGTTGCACAGAGGAGAGAAAGAAAAAACAAAACAGATAACCTGGATAATAGCAAGTGCTGCAGGCTTGATTCATTTCCAAATGTTAACAAGGCCGTTTCACAGCTCCAGCGTGCTGCGCAGTATGTTAATACCACTAATAAGCCTATCTGTGCCAGTCATCTCGGATGGCAGAGATCTGAGCGCGAGGCTGTTTCACTAAAAAGCTCCTGGCCACATTTTAAATGAGGTAGAACTATTTATGATTCTACAAAGCTGACATAATTGCTTAAAGGGTAACTGAGGAGAGCATTACTTTGTTTTCTGTATTATGACAGAGGAGATTTCACTGTTTGCATGTCAAAAAGGCTACTGTGGAGGCTATCAGAGAGATGGGAGGATCTCCTGCTCGCCCGTTAAGCAATTTTGCAGTTTTTTATTCAAGCTGTCAAGTCAAACAATCAGGAGATAATGCAGTCTTGGTTTGTAAATTATAAACGTGTCAAGAGATGCACTAAAGGCAATGACAGATGCCACTTATCGGCAGCAGCCTCTGCAGTGTGACTGTATCATCAGAGGGGAAATATAACATTTTGATGTTCACATAAGAGAAGTATTAGTATCAGTCAGAAATGTAATTCCTTTCACCCATCCCTCTCGCAGGGGATTGACTCCCCGAAAAACATACAATGATTTTTTTAAAGCTAACAAAACAAAAAAAAAAGGAGCAGAAAAGCATCCTCGCTGATCTTCTGTCCATTTCCAACATCGCTTCTTGTATATTTTTTGGTGGAAATCCTCTTAGAATGCAAAGTAAATAGATTACGATACAGTGAGGGATTAGGGCTCGCGCGGCGCTGTCAGATTAAGCGCTGAGCGCAGCGCGTCGACAGCTCTGACATGGCCATGGCTGCTGTTCAGGAAAGGGGCTCCGCGCGTCGCTTTAAAGATGCTGCTTGGCTCCTATTCATGAATAAAACTGTGGCCTGTAATCTCGGCCAACACACACACTCACACACATCTATACAGAGCGCGCACACACAGAGGAAGAGGGGAACATTCAGCATCAGCAGTGATGGAGGTATAATACAAGTCTTCATTTTTCCTGGCTGATTAATAAAAGGGTTTGAAATCATTTCTGTCATGTTTCTGACGGCAGAACCTGCTGTAACTATTTTCTTTTGAGGTGGACTTCACTGAGACGGGATATATAAAACACTCACATCCATAAAACTGCTTTGTGTTTATTACTTTGCTGATAAAATTTCACATGTATGATCTATAAAATAAAGACTATTAGAACACAACGTGCGTATGTTACAAGAGTGATCATGCTAAACTGTTTTTTTTTTTTTTTTAGATATATAGCTCCTGTTTCATCTTGATGAAAAACCTTCATATTCACATTATAATATTCTGTACAGTCAGGGCCTGTTCAGGTGTCATCACAGGTGAGATCATAAATTGCATTTGAAAGTACAGACAAAGGACAGCCTGTTGTTGTTGCTGTGTTGTCTACTAACTACCCTGTTGGGATTTCTAAAGTGCTCTTATCATTTTTTCAAACCATCCCTAAATGGACCACATGGAGCATCCCCGGGTCCTCGTCCTCCTGCAGGAGACAAACAGAAATGTAGTGCTTAGTGTGTGACTATAAAGAACGCACATGGCGCTCTAAGAGGCTTCATATTCAGAGTATGAATCTGAAAGGAGGCAAAACATGTTCACTTCAGAGGAAAGCTGTTTTTTTTTTAAATTTAAACCTGAAACTGTATCTATATTTATTTCTCATATAAATACATCTGTTCGTCTCAATAAGCCTCAGTATTGGAAGTTTTGTATTGACACATTGAACTATAAACTAAACAGATTTGAAGTCCTTTCTTCGGGATAAAGATGAACATTCACAATAGAAATGAATATACCGCTATTAAACCAGAATTGTAGTAAAAATCTCTTTAAATTACTGTTTTTTTAAGTTGCTGTTATATTACACATTGACATAGCCCTCTGGAGTCTGTCAAAAAAAAAAAAAGAAACGAAATGAAAGAGAATATTAGTCAACTCACATTTCTGTTGCCTCTGATGCTTCCTGCAGAACAAAAAGAAACAACACAAGATGTTGGAGGATGTTAAACACGCTACCGTAAACCAGCCATGACACTTTCAACAAGTACAACAACCAAACATTAGACATGCATAATCACACACAGCAGCCCTGCAGCACACACACACACACACACACACACACACACACACACACACACACACACACACACACACACACACTGGGTGATGCCTGGGTGAGTTACATGCTCACTCAGAGGGTCGGACATGTTGGCTTTTCTGTGTTTTAGTGAATGTAAACCATTGTCACTCACGATGATCTTCCTGTTCTGAGCTGTGAGTTAATAATGTTATGATTGACATTAAAACCCGGCGTGCCTTAAACTGATATTGAAAAAGCTGATGCAAATTCCCCTCTATAGCCTACAGTCGGGATTACTAAATGACAGGGCGATTTGATAGTGAGACAATTGCTAATCACCCGAAAAATTAAATTATTAAAATGGTGAGAGCAGAGAGGAGGAGGAGGAGGAGGAGACGGGGAGATGAAGACAAGGAGGAAGAGGTTTTGTTAATGGCTGTTTTTCCTTAATGACCTGTTAGTCATCTCAGACATCTGAGACCTGCAGAGGACAGCACTCAGACTATGTTTAGAGAGTAAAACAGGCTAAATGTCACGGGAGGATTGCTGCAAGGCTTAAAAACGTGACCTGAAACCAACATGTTGAACATGAGTCGATTTAATAAGAAGGGCTGACTCTCTGTCACATGGTACGAACAACGAGGAAACAGGTTTGTGGTTCTGAGGAAATGAAAGGAAGCTCTATGGTTATGGAAGTGCTGTTTTAAGGACATATATCCAAATGTATTTTCAGTATTGGTAAGGTATAAAGCACATCAAAGAACAGAGACCAAGTTCAGAGCGTGTGAGCACAGCAGTCGATAGTATCCATGAATACGTTTCTGGATGGAGCACAGGTCCTATGTTTGACAGTTCCTGCAGAATATTTTCAAAGATGAGAATCATCAATGAAAGAATCAGTCCTTTTCAATCTGTACGGTCTACTTCCTACCTTGTTTTGAAATTTACCCACAATGCAACTCAGCAGCTAACAGTTCTGTTATAGCTTTGTGTGTTTAATGCTAGCAGTAGCTACCAAAGTCTGAAGGTGCTGTCCGAAAGCAGAAAAAAAGACCTGGTTTAAGAGGGCTGGTGGGACCACTTAGTTTAAAACCCACACACCTAGGTTTTTAAAACGATTCATATTTATAGTTTTCTCAACAAAACTCACAAAACCAAAGTAAAATCACCCAGTTTATTAGAACTTGTGAGACACTCTGTTGGGCCTTTATTGTATTTGTTTCATATGTGCAGCATTTTTACGTTTACGTTGAACACCTAGAGTTTTCTGATTTATGAGATTTCTTTAAGGGTTGCTATGATACAGCAGTCATCAATCTGCCTATCTATATTCTCGTGATACTTTAACAAAGACATGGTAAGCTTGGCTGATAATTCTTCACAGATACAACAGAGAGGCAGGCCCCTGATGAAAGGCAGACAGACAGACAGATGGACGGACGGACGGACAGACAGACAGACAGACAGACAGACAGACAGACAGACAGACAGACAGACAGACCTGCTTGTCTCAGTGTCCTGAACACATCTGGGCTCACAGTCACATGTATGCTCTGTTCGCGAGGTCTCCTCTGATCTGCTCTTTCATCAGTCCTGTGGTAAAGAGAGAAAACAGTCAGGTGTTTTTGAGTTCACACTGATTGTGAAAATACAGCACAGAATATAAGCTTTATACTGTATTTACACTTTAAATAAAGGCAGCAACCCATGTAGCAGCTTCAGCTAGATTTGAACATATAGTTAAGGGCTAATTTATTGAAGTCAGTGCTCCAACTTTCTCTTCATGTACCTTATTTGACTTCTCCTTGAGTTGTGCTTGCAAATGTGGAAGAAAAATAGGAATACAACATCAATTTTCTTTTGATTTACTGTTAGTTAAACCCAAGTTTCAATTTGATCCTGCAGTGTGTGCCGCAGAGGCGTTTGAAGGATCGATGAAAACTCCGAATAAGTACATCTCATTCAATTGTGAGTGTGCCATTCATGCAACTCTCAGTAGTACCTGGGCTTAAGTGAAGATATTAAGGTAATTTCCCACCAGTGTTTTATTATACTTTATGATGCTGTAGGATTAAATTCACTGGAGCTGTTAAATCCATACTAATGCAGCATGTTCCCCAAGATCAATATTTGTTTTAGCGTGGCTGTTCTGTAAGAACTGTGAAACTCTGATGCCAGAAATAGCTGTGTTAGTGGCTAATCCAGGTAAAATAGTTAAACAAGAGGGAGAGTTTGTCAGCTTATAAAGAACAATACTGCAGTTCATCAGAATCAAACTCAATTCTAATCAACACAGTTGGGACAACATGCTTTAATTTCAAGGGAGAAAACGGCTAGTTAAGACCTTTAGATCCATCAACTTCACCCAGTTGAACACTGCAAGGGGATTAATGGTTAGTTAGCCAGGATGTTCTGATTGCACTGTTAAGCTCTAGTCTTGGAGTATAACTACAAGTTAACACAACAATGGCAGGAAAGGGATCCTTATTTAACATACATACCTATTTCAGTGAGAGAAATCTCAATTCAAACCCACAAAACTGTGAAGCTCAGTGATCATCAGTACTAGACTGTTCAAGGTCATGTGAGGCAGATTTCTATGACAAACTTATTCTCTACATCCTGATAAGACAGTAGGCAACAGTGACAAGACAACATCTAAGTACTGTAAGTTATTTGAACTCATAACTTCGTGTTATCTCAATCTTCATTTCTGGCTATAGCAAATGCCCTTTGATAGCAAGAGCAGCAGACGCTGAACTATGTCTCGCTCACAGATATTACACATGATTAAAACTGTGAGTTAAAATAAGGAACATAAAATGCTTTGACCATTTTTGGTAACGGCATCAAACGAACTAACTTTGCCTCTGCCAAGCAACAACAAACTGGCCTCTTTTCTCCTCACTCCTCTTACAGAAGAGTCAGTGTATGATGACTGAGAGGCCAAAGAAACATCAGGATGCTTCCCAGATTACCATCTTGTTCTCTCTCTCTTACTTCAGAGTTGGATTTGGGGGATGCGGGGATTGACGAGGAGCCCCCAAACTGCCATTGTGTTAGCCTCCCTCTCTGTCTCTGCTCTTTTCTCAGTGAGCCAAACACGAGAACGCCCGCACTACAATGCCTCCTCTACTCCATCTCAGCTAAGCTGTCATTGGCTCCACATGACAAACAATGAAACTTCATCGGAGACCAGATTACAAAAAAAGAGGGGGGCGGGGGGGCGTCAATATGAAAAATATTCTAAAGGAGGGGGAAAATTGTAGAATAAAAGGCAGATGCTTTTGTCTGTTTCTCTCTGTGGCTATTATCTTTTGGGAGGTTTGGGGATCAGCTTTCTTAGCCTCTGTCAGCAGTGCAGGGGAAGACCTGGGGTAGTGCGACCGGGTGTTTGGCTGCCAAATTGCCCTAACACTCTTTAACACTTTTTTTCTTCTCTCCACTTCCTCTTTTCACTGTTTTTAAAAAGAGCTTAGGATGGAGCATCTCTCTGTTTCTTTCCCTCTCTCTCTCTCTGGACCCGGCTTGTTTAAATTGGCTGATAGGAGGGGATTTGGGATGGATGGAGGGGGCTTAGAGAAACACAGTGGAAGGGTGTAAGGCAGAGAGTCATCAGTGTTACAGTCAAACAGCCATGAAAAGCCTATGAGGATGAAAAGAACAAGAGCGCCTTTTTATCTAATGCACACAAATCCCATATAAATACTCCAATATGTTAGTCGGGGTATGACAAGGAATGCCCCTCCATCACTCCCCTCCTCCTCCTCCTACAATAATAGAGACATGGCGGGATATACTGTATATGTATGTATCTATTTGTGTGTGTATGTTTGTGTATGTATGAAACAGAGGGGGGTGGTTTCAGCGTGTCTTTAGTCACACTGTTTCAACATGTCATTCACAAAGACAAGTGTATTAAACAATCACTCGCAAACAGCGAGTTTAGTCTGCACTCCAGAGACTCAAACAGGGTGAAAATGGACCCTTGGTGGAGTTTTTAAATGTTGCTCTGGGTTCAGTGTTGGAAAGCATAAGACCCGTAACCGATGTGGCTTTGACATTTGAAATGTCACCGGGAGTGAAGGCTTTTAGGCTGCAACTGGGCCATTTGGCCAGAGATGCTCTCATGCAGTTCATACACAGACAGACAGTGTGAATCACTGAAGGAGAGGAGGAAACAAGTTTCACAGAAAATCATCTGCACACAAGATAGGTCTGAGGATTCAATTATAGCAAGTTCAACCAAATAATTTGCTTTTCTTAAAGTGGCTCTCAATGATATTTTAATGATGACAATGTAAACTGATTGGAAATGGGTGACTTGCTGCTTGACTCTGTCTAACCAAAACCTCAAAATGATGTTTAGTTTTTACTTAAGTGAGCAGCTGAAACTTTGTGGTTCATAATGGCTGCCATCAAAGAGCATCTGCCTTCAATAAAATAACTAAAATAACTCAAAGTTCACTTCCTTTTAAACAACATATCGTAGACAGATACATCCAGAGACTAGCTAGTGAGAATAGGGGAGTGTCAAGCATTTAAAGACTCACATGGTTTTTAGTTTATTTAAGTATTTCCCTCAGGAGCTGGTAATGGTGACCTGAAACAAAGAGTTCAGGATAACATCCAAGTGTGCAAACACGACCAATGTCTCCTCATGATCAGCTATGATCAGATTTACTAAGCTGAGTGCAGGATCAGGTGAGTACTTTCTTGCTACAACCTCTAACCGAGGTCTGGGGTGGTTATTTAGACCGTCTCGCAGACAGAAAAACAAACAACAAACAACAGCACCAAAATACATGACGCCTTGAAAAACACGTTACATGTAACTTACTGTGTTGTTGTGGGAGTGCCTGGGAAAGAAATTCTTGTTGCACTCTGGTTCCTCTGTGTTTGTCTGTCCCCAGGGCGGGACTCACACATCACGCTACTGCTGTGTCTTGGAGGATCTTCTAGGACATGAACATACACACAGACAAAGTTAACACAGAAGAAAATTAAGTGAAAAAACAACAGACACTTTGTCAAAATCAATGCCGGAAGATGGACTGTGTATCTCCTTCTGGACAAAAGTAATGCTGGGCGATCTACTCAATGAACATGCTGAAAACCCGGCAAAGATCCTTCAGGACTGCGCTGTCCAAAGTGTAACAACTTCTTGAGTCACTTTGAAGCAGACACTCGTGGTCGGGAAAAGTTCACTGACTCTCATGTGTGCTATTTTGGAAGTCAGATTTCTCTGATAAAGATGTCATGAATTGAAACAGGAAGTAACAGAGTAATAGAGGTTGTGTGAACAGAGCGACCAATGGAGCTGAGGGGAGACACGAACAAACGCTGCTTTCCATCAACACACACCGGAGCTAACAGGCTTTAAGCACAACGACCAAGAAAAGGAACGAGGAGGAGAAAGAGAGAGAGAGAGGAGGAGGAGGAGGAGAAGTGGATCTTCAGATAAAGCTCTTGTCTCTTTGCCCATTGAAAGGCCCTGCAGCCACATCAGCCTTTGTGAGGGGGAGACAGAACGATCAGGGAACCAACTTGGCTTCTCCTCCTGGCAAATGCTTCTCCAAAGAGAAACCAGATAGAGAGGAAGAGAAAGAGGCCTTCCCTCGCACTTGTTCGCCACTCTGCCTCTCACAATGCCGTATCTCTCTGAATCAACACACTTGTCAGCCAGACAGCTATAAGCGATTTCTAATGCTGTTATAAAAAGGAACCATACCTAAGCTGAAATGTGTGTTCTCTTTTGTGTACTTATGTGTGTGTATACAAGTGAAAGCAGTCTCTCTGTTCACAAAAAGAGGCACATGAATATGACAGGAGGAGCATAGAAATGCAGTGTCTCTGCCCAATCTGATTCTCAGTCTCGCTGCATCCAAAAAGACTTCCACCTTGAGGAAACACAAGATCTGCTATTGAGTCATTTTTTGGAAACGAGTGAAAAAAATCATCTAAACAATAGCAAAACATCTGCCCTCCTTTCAAATGTGTCTTTTCCCAATGTAAATGGACCTTTTTCTACATTTTTCTCTGAGTAAAATAAAATTATCTAAAGTTGTGAGGTCCTAGATCAGCTGATTTTACTCTTGCCCCTCTAGAAAAGCAGAGCCGGTTGATTTTTTGTTATTGTTTGTTTGTTACAGTCAGTTTCACATTAAAAAAACAAAAAACAAACAAAAAAACAAAACAAAAACAATGCATCAGATTCGGTCCCACGGATTTAGAAACCAGCAGAGAAGAGTTTGCGTACATCTATTTGCTGTCATATACTAGGTAAACAAGAAGCTGACCCGCTGCTTTCACAATGTGTTAAACACGTGATTACTACAAATGCATACAGGATTCAAAGTGACTGACCTCTCATGTCACACCCAACTGCACACATACAGTACACATATTTACACAAACACATATGTCTCCGAGGGCCACTCTGAATGGGATATGTAGTGTGTGAATATGATGGAAAACAAACATATTTGGGCCTTCTGTGTGTGTTCAAACAGAAAGTGTCTGCAGCTGCACTGTGGGAACTTGCGTCAGAAAAGCAAGTAACTGTTTATACATGTCTGTGTTTTGTCAGTTTAGAGGGACTTTGTATGCTCAGACAGAAAGTGGGCGGTAACCCTTTAAAACACAGCCGTTGTTTTTTTTATTTTTGTGTTTTTACTTATTCTCATATTTCCCTTTGAGGGGAGTCAGGGTGCAACGCAATGAGCTGGCATTCATAGCCATTTTGGAGGGAAGGCTGGTCATCGAAGACATAGAGACCTTGGTCTGAAATATCTCCATTTGCAACAAGAACATTTAAAAACAGCATCAGAGATTTATGAAAATATTAAGGACTCTTATACCTCTGCGGCTAACTTTGATGTTGTTTGATACTGACTTTTTTCTGGTTTCTTAACGATTTTAAAAACTCAATTCTGATTATCTAAAGCCCATAACAACAGCGATTCTTTCTCAATAGTAAAAGCAGCGCGAGAGAGAACCAGATCATACATGTCTGAGTGTAGGAGTTCAGCGCATTTCCACTCTGCATAGAGGCTCTGGGCACTTTCCATCCTGAAGGATCTTTTTCAAGTTACAGAAAACACAAGCTGTGCACATTATATAATACAGAGACAGAAGTCACACTGATCAAAGTAACCACAGTAGCCTCATTTACGTCTAAAGGTGTATCAAATGCAAAGCTCTACAAAGAAGGAGAACTGAATGAGGAAAGAAAAGTCAACATAAATATTCCTGCATGAGCTCTCTTCTTCTTTTCTGATGTTATTTTCACTTGAAATGTGCAGTGCGACAGACGGTTTCAGATCTTCAGTTTTCTATTTATGAACTTTTTAATGAGATTATTAAAAAATCCTAAAACTGCTGTGTCCTGTGGATCTGAGGGGCTTGTGATTGCCATACTGTGTGTGCATGTGTTTGTAAAGTGAGACAGCTGTCCACTGGAGCCCTCTGCATGTTGACAGCTATACATCATTAATGACCTGCCTTTTCTTTGCAGTTAATATGCTCTGTCTGCCTGACTAAATGTTAACATATTGTACAGAGAACGGGACACTCACATGCATACACACCACAACTGGTGGTTGCACTGTCAATATTTCTCTTAAGGATGTGTGTGTGTGAGTGTTTTCTCACACACTTTCAGTCAAGCATTTGGCATTTAGCATGTCGATGGTTTATAAATACCTACAGCTTTACTTTGATGTGCTTGTTGTCCATTTCATAAATTTGCTATTTTCCAACATTACTTCTCTCTTTCACTCATAGTCTGTATATAAAATGGACAGCGTTTGCCTCCTTGCTGGGTGAAGCCACTACGAGAAAAGCACCCTCTGGTGACGGGCTGCAGTATAGGTCATAATATCCCGCCTCCTCCAGCAATCCTTATGGAGCTGTGGACAAACTTTAGAAATTAATTTCACAGAATGTAATTTTTTCTCCCCCCTGGTTGTGATGTTGACATGTAGTTACTGTAAGACTGGTTTGTGGTCAAGTCCTCTTTTTTCTGTGCAGCTCCATTTTTAAAAGTTATTAGGGGGTTAATGTTTCCTATGATTGACATTTGATACAACCTATGGGCATATGAAGATTGCGTAGCTCACCTGGGGGAATACGCTGTTTGAGCCGAGCGTCATCACAGCGACTCTCCTGCCAAATGTGTACAACGCTGCGCCAGTGGTGGTTCCAGGAAGTGGAGAAAATCACAGAAATACAGAGAGCAATTTGGCTTCAAATTCGTGTGATGACAGGAGGCGGAGCCAAGTTGTCCATAGTGTATACAGTCTATGCTTACAAAATCAACACTTAAATACGAAGGAATGGCTCCACTCTGTTGTTAAGTCTTTTTAATAACTGAGAACAGTTGGAGGGCATCCATCGTATTCTGCCTTCATTTATGCAAATATTTAACCAGTAAAACCTGATCAATAACACATAGTTTTAAAGACAACTAGAGCTGGGAGCAGAGGTTCCCCACTCCAAAAAGCAAAAATGCCTGAATAAAAAACCACTTTAAAATAAAGACTAACAAACTAAAAGGGAACAGCTGGTTCTATTACTGTCATCTCAGTCCTGGTTGATGCTCAGGATGTGGACAGTAAAAACATCAAACTTACAGTCACTGATTGTACACTTTCCCTCACTAATTATTACTGTTATTAAAAAATTGTAAATTGATGTACTTCTTAGTGTGTATTTGTTTTCCAGATATAGCAGAACTGATCAGGATTTTCCTTGATACTCAGTTCATTATGGCATCATCACAGGCTACCAGACAAAACGTGAAATTTTGCTCAATACAAAATGAGCAGGCAACAAGCCAATATGTCTGCATCCTTCAAATGTCTTTTTGTGGCATTATTTGCTCAATAGCTTTTTCTTTGGTAATCTATTCACTTCATTAATTTCTTCCTCTTCTTTTCTTCACTGTCTTGCTCTTGCACTTTGAATATCTGTTTTCATTCTCCCCTATTCCTCCTATATTTTTTCAGCTACTTTCTTACCGCTGTCACCTTTTTCTTTCTCTCCTCTGTCCCTTCCTCCCTCCCTCTCTGCAGTGCTGTTGTCCAAGGATAGGACATGCTGCAGGTGGTGGAGGTAAATCATCGAGGACATAATTAAGAGGCTTATGAGGAGGAGTGTGCGTGTTACAAATCACATTAAGAAAAAAAGCGGAGCTGCGTGTAGACAGGCCTCACAGTTACACAAACGCTCATTTTTATTCACCCACAAACACACAGACACTCAGCCTCAGGGGTTTGACCTTATACAGTGGAGTTAAATACCTCTCCAGCCTCATTCGGTTTTGTATGAGTGCACACACACACACACACACACACACACACACACACACACACACACACACACACACACACACACACACACACACACACACACACACACACACACACACACACATACACACACACACACACACACACACACACACACACACACACACACACTACAGCGCATTGCCTTCTGGTGTGTTTTAAGCACCATTGAAGGACTCATCAGACATGTTCATCTAGTTCCCTCACAAATTTGAATGTTTTCTGCTCACCCGTTGGCCCTTGAGCCTCTTTGAGGAATTACTTGTATGTGTGTGCGTGTGAATGCATGCAAGTGTGTGTGTGTGTGTGTGTGTGTGTGTGTGTGTGTGTGTAATCAGGGAACCCGGCTTGATCCCCTCTGGTATGTGCTGTGGGGAGTGTTTGTCAAAGGGCAGCAGCACAGCCTGAAGTGATGACAAAAAAAGGGCCTTTGCTGGTTTTCCTCTCTCTGTGCTGATTACTCCACAAATTCAGATTAAATTTAATTTATTCATCCAAAATAAACACTCTGTTTGAAACAAGTTCAAACGCTACAAACTCTTATAAAGAAAGTGAATCTAAAACTGTTTACATCCAACACAGTCTTGATGCAGACTCTTTAAACTGAAAAATATGTTCATGCAGGAGGTGATGACAGAGAAGAGTTCAATTTTTTTCACCTTCAATGTGATTTTAAAAACACGCTGACTTCTAATCATTGCAAGTAATGATGTTTACCTAAATATAAATCTTTGTCTGTTAAACATGATTATGTCACATTGCCCTTTTTGCTCCTGGATGAGAGTGAGGGCCTGCGGTAATGCCTGGTGTGAGGACAAAAAGTGTGGGAGTGGGTGTGTTCATGAGGTTATCACAAGTCCACCTCACATTTCAGATGTGAAAAGAAAAAACGACTCACATTTGGTGTCTTTTTAGTTAGACATTATGATTATTTCCTTACCGTTGCTTGTGATGGCCTGGGCCTCGATTTCATTAGCTTTCCTCTTGGCCACATCCGCGAGAACCACCTCGCCCTTATCGCTGGCAACATAATGGAGGTCCTTTGAAGGTAATGCAAGAAAGAAAGAAACATGAGCGTTAATCTAAAATGAATCTAGGCTTCGATGACAATAGGACTTTTTTTGGAGGGGGGGTGTTTGGGCGGGCAGAGGAAACACATGAAATGACAGGAAAAAAATGAGCTGTTTGAAGCCTGACATCAGAAAGAGCACCGGCTGGATGAAATGCCGGTTCCTCCAAAAACTTTGAAATCAGCCCCCAGCCCCCTCCCAGCACACATGCGCACACACCTATACACACACAGACCCTCGTCTCTACAGTCTGAACTAAGGAGGATGTTATCTGTCACATTTCAAAAGTAGAAGAAGAGGCGACGGACTGTTCACCTTTCAGAGACGTTGGTATTCTCTCTATGCGGAGAAACATATCCAGCAGAGCCCATTACGATATCAGCCTGTGAAAATATTGGAAACAGCATGTATCCTCTGTATCTCCCTGTTTGAGTCTTCCCAGTCATAAAAAGAGATAATATTACTAAATGATGTCTGAGGATGGCTGGTTTTTATTTTATTAATGTTCACACTCAGACTGCTGCACTAGTTTCAAGGTGCTCTGGGCTACAATCAAAGTTGAGGTCAATGTATGGATTTCAAACCCTGAGAAAAAAAGAAATCTATGTTAGAAATAACAAGATTCAATACGATCAACATCGTATTTGTCTCGTTAGGTATATTATTTATGCTGCATCCTCAGTCTTATCAGGTTTGAGGAGCATCTATGCATGAAAAGTGAGAGCAAAAAACTGAAGTAATAATATGACATCTAGGAAAATGCATGTTTCAAATCTGTATCTTAAAACTATTAAGTTGTATTAGGATAATACACCTTTAGAAAAGACAGTGATTTAGATTCTGCTGGGCCATAGATTTCCAATTTAGAACAAAGGGTTAAATAGCAGACAGTGTAATACATCCGTGTATAATCCGAAACAGTCAACTACACAGAAACTGCATCTGTTTGTCTGAAGAACAAACTGATGCAGCAGCAGCAGCACAATGGTATATTAAGGTGGGGCAGAAAGGTCACTGAGAAAAATAAACAACACAGCCTTGACAAAAATCAACATGTTTCCTAAATCTCCCCTGTGGACCCTGTCAATAACCAGCTGTAAGGACAGATAATCTACTGGTCAGCTCCCAGTGTGAACGTCTTTCAGTAAGTGAAAACCAGGACAGCGCCAAAGAAGTCAAATCTACAAAATGTGAATCAATAAAAGTAATTCAATGTAAACTAACAATTCCGAAAAGGAGCAAATAAAGCCGAATCTCTGCTACTCTCAACCACCTCTTTAGCTGATTAGACACAGAGTGAATTCACACCCTCAACCTGGCACCCAAGGAGGGTCTCCTCAGAGTTGCAGGGGTTTCCTCAGGGTGAGTGCAAGGTCTGAGGGTCCATCAAAGGATACAGCGTGTTAAGGAAAGTCTTCCGCCTCAGCGACATCACAGGACATCAGTGCCGTGACTCAGGGCTTGCTGTGGATAACCCTCAGCTGGCTAAAGCCTCCCCCCAGCTGAGCCTGCACCCGGCTCTAATACCCCCATATTGTCACCCTGCTTTTGTACCCCAAGAGGAAAAAAAAAAAAACTGAGGAGGGGGATGCTGGCTTCCAAAAGAGGTGGGGAACAGAGAGAGATTGAGGCAGGGGAAGAGAGGGGGAATAAAAGAGTATGAGAGAGAGAGGTGCTGAAATTGAGGAGTATGAATGGGAACAGATTGGGTAATTATAGTGTGTTGCCTGCTCTCTGTGGCGATGAGTTAGGAGGAAATGTGAAAATGGCCCCAACAAAATGGCCTCAAAAGAACCTAAATCGGCTCCCAGAACTGAGGTGGCTAATTCACGGGACACGGCCGTCAATTAGATAGGAGTGAGTCTTCCCAATTGATAACAAACAGAGAAGCAGAAGATTGAAACCACCAAGCAGGAGTACAAGCATTACAGCGAAACAGTCGAGAGCTGGGTGTGTGTAAAAGAGAAAGAGCATGAGACGAAGAACAGACATAAGAGATGTTAAGAGGACCTAATTTACAAAAGGGATTCTATACGAGAGAGAGAGAGAGAGAGAGAGAGAGAGAGAGAGAGAGAGAGAGAGAGAGAGAGAGTGCATTGAGAGATATAGACAGAATAGGACAACATGAACATCTGATGGCGGGGTGCTTTATTCTACCTTAGCCCCTCATAATTCTGTCTGAATCTGGAAAGAGGGACCTAGCGAAGAATAAACAAATGTGGAATAAAGGAGAGAGAACTGATGGGGAGAGAGAGAGAGAGGGAGGGAAAGAGGAGTATCAGCCCGACTAAGAAGGGATAACAATAATACTGCATATAAAACCATCAGATATTACGATATTACACCTCTTATTTCCTGATGCTCAAACGCGACACTAATCTTATTTATATAAGAGCTTTAAGGGTTGCAGAGCCTGATAAAGAGGGCATTTTAGTGGACCATTTTAGGGGAGGAAAGGAAGGAGGGGAAGGGGGGATATTGGTGTTGACGGATGCGAAGAGCCCTGATATTGACTGATATTTGAGTTACCTCCAAATAAATGAGGGATTAGAATAAATGGCACATGGAAGCACTGAGGACACATAAACAGATAGGATCAAATAAAACACATGTCAGTGAGTCTGTAGCCTGTAAAACAGGAGTAATAGACAGTAGAGATGTGAGTGTTCATCTTGTACTTGTGCACTCTTTAGGCATTATGTGCAAATATAAAACTATTAATAACTGATGCAAAATAAAGGCTAAAGCTTCAGCATCCAGTAGTTTCTGAACATCATTTTTATGTTCCTCAAACACTGTCAGTGTTCACGCTCTTACTTCATTTGTGTTCTGAGAAGCGTCTGTATTCATTCTTGAGATTTTGGTGAATTAACTGAGATTGATGTATATTATAAACTTGTACATATACACCATTCAGTGTCCAACAACCTGTTGCAACCAGTTCTTTTTCTGACTTACAGTATATTTCTTGCCATATAAGAAAATATCTTGTGGTTTGGAGTCTAAGATTTATCTTTAGTCTTTTTTAAGATTTTATTTTTTTTTATCAATCTTTTTATTCATGATTTATTATTCATTATGGAGTAGTTGTTAGTATCATAAAAAATGAATGCATAAGAGACATAATATATAATTGCAATGACCACATTCTTTCAAATCACAGAGGATAATTGTCTCCAAATGTTCACTGCACTTTTCCTTTTACCGGCAGAGGAAAAATGCATGAAGCAAGGGCTTAAATGTCAACATCAACGTTGTCTCTCTTTCTCTAGCTGTCACTCTTCAAATGGAGGGTTGATGCTCTCTTATGCACGGAGGCAAAAAAGGTGCTTGAGAATGCTTGTTAAACAATCTAAGTTATGTTTGCAGATCGTGCTCTTGGATCAGGTCCCATGAGAGTACCTCACATGTATTCACACTTATTTGGTAACCCTAATCTGGACCATATAGAAATGTCATCAGAGGGATTTTCTTGTTTGCTCCTGTTGCACATTACTGAAGTACCTACTGGAGTCATGTGTTTGAATCTGAGGTACAGTTAGCTTTGTTTTTTATTCTATGTGGCTGAATTTAAATATGGTGGAGGGAGTTTAGATGCAGCATTACACTAAGTATTATTGAATGGGCATGGAGCAATATTACTTAACCTTAAGGAATAGTCTCAGGACAATAGAGCACTTGATATGTTTGTACACACACACAGACACAGACTAGTTTTCTAACACACCGGTGTTGCCAGATCTCATGTGAGAAACAAGCAACCAGCCCAAAATAAGAAATAAGCCCAACAGGCAACCTGCCACATTGTGTAAAACAACGGCTGCTGGTTAATGGTAAAAATACAGTACATACATTCAGTGTTTCCCACAAGGGGGGTGGGGGGTCATATGCTGATCAATTACGATCAAGAAAAGGAAGGAAAACCCTGTACTTTTATAATACCATTATGCATTAGCGAGGGCAAATTATGATAAACACAGTTAACATAAAAACTTTGAATAATTTAAACTCTTTGAATAACTTAACTTTTTAAACATTGATTAAAAGAAAATGGTTTGGGTTGAAAACTTAATTTTTTTCATATCTTCCCCACTTACTGCCACTCATTTTCACTCTCTCTCCTCCCTCATTTCTCTATCACTCTGGTGAACATTAGCATGATGCGCTGTGTGAGTGTGTTAGGGGGTGTGCCAAGAACTTGAGTGGGCATGATTCAGGAGACTGTGGTCTGGAAAGGACAAACTACTTATTGCACTTGTGTTTTGCTTTGCTTTTGTGGGGGGAGCTGTGAGATAATCAGGGGGGATTCACACAGATGGAACAGCAAGCCCAAATAAGCAGCTACTAGTTAAAAACAAGCCCCAAAAAAAACGCAACCTGGGATTTATGAGTTACAAGCAACTCCTGAGAAAAAGAGGCCCAAAGTCACTCAAAATGATACGCGGACATGGCAACTATGTAACACACCTGTTATCCAGGAGGCCCTTGGTTTGACTATCACTTCTATCAGATAGGTGTTAAGGAGTCAACAATTTAGAAACACTAATTACTCATCTAAGCAACAACAATGAGCTCATTGCTGAAGATGTGCAGTATGAAATCCTCCTCTCCCTCCATCACCTCTAAACTCTGTGTCAGATAGCAGAGGGAGATAGAAGAGGAACCCAGAAGACACAGCTCGCCTTACTGCTGGCGTATCTAACGAGAAACAGTACAAGCCTTCATCAGGGAACAAAAGAGCCCGCATCTGATTTGACTATCACACAGTTTGATTTAATTAATAAGCTACATCAAGAGCAAAAGACCCAGGAAGGAGAACAGGAGGGAAACGGGTGGAGAAAAAAAACTTGTCAGCTTGACTTGGCTAACGAATGACCTAATTGGTTACATTATCAACTCATTATCAAAGGCTAATTAGGGAGCTACAAGCTGCACCAATTAGGTTTAAAAATGCAAACGACTCAGTAACCCCCTACTACTTCTACTACCTCCTCAACCTCCACCTCCACAAAAACACCCCCCTACCATCAAGTCCTCCACCCCCTCAATTTAGGCTGACACTAAAGTGTTTCATTTTAACAAAAGCTTTCTTTTTGTGGGGAGAAAGGCTTGGAGGGCTTCTATTGTTTGCTGGGAAACAATGGGGCCTAAAGGGGGTGGGGATCTAGTGATAGAGGGGGGTATATCATGCTGGGCAGTTCCAGGGGAAACAAGGGTGTGCCTGTTATCTGCGTGTGCTCACGAGTGTGCATTTTCTCAGGTTGATAATGTGTTATTGAGTTTTGCAGGCGAGTTTTGAGGTTCGAAAGAGTTTGGTGAGGGTGGGGGTCGCCCTCATTAACCCCCTCCACCTCCACTCAATCAGCCAACCAGCAGGTTAAAGCAACAACACAGCCTAATTAGGGTCTGGGACAGAGCAAAGGGTGAAATGTCAACATCCATGTTGTCTCTCTCTTTCGAGCTGTCACTCTTCAAATGGAGGGTCGCTGCTCTCTTGGGCACTGAGGCAAAAAAGGTGCTTGAGAATGTTCACCATCCAATCTGTGTCAGGCTCAGGGACTGTGCTCTGCAGCCGAGGAGGGCCATTAGAGTAGCTTGCATGTATTAACGTATATATGGTAACCCTTGTTTGAACCACTGAGAGCTGCTATCAGAGTAGTTTTCTTGCTTGACCTTGTTGCACATTACTGATGAAACTTTTAGAGCTGTGTATCAACCTAACCTGCATTTGTGTTCTTTTAGCTTTTTTGTTTATGGTTAACCTCTTTCTTCATAAAATTGACATTCTATTCTTTCATTACATGTGTAAAAACAATAAATACATTATAATAATACAATATATTAAAAAGCTTCTCTAAGGTCTGGAGTGACAGTCTTTGCAGATATAGTATCTGCAGGAATATCATGACAACAGAAGAGTTTGTAAATGCTCTCTTAGTCTGTCTTTTAAATTTCTTTGAATTAATTTTATACAAGTAAAATAAAAATTTAGTGGTAGGTTTGGTTTGCGGAAAACTGCTGGCTTTCCTGATTCAATGTGATTATTTGATATAAAAGTATCAGATTTTTTTTTGGAAATAAGTTAACAACAGGTCCCAATAACTGCACTATTTTTTCAGACGAAAATTACTCCTCCTGAATTTTTTTTTTGCCAGCACTAGTTCTAAAGTCTTAAATATTTATTATTGTACATCACAACTAACTCTCCTCCTCAGGGGTAAAAAAAAAATCGTCCCTTCTCTTTGCTGTCTCACTCTCAAAAAATTAAGCTGCATTCACACAAGCAGCTCAACTTGAAAATTTTCAGACGTTTTGATGGACTTTAGTGTGAATACAGCCTAAGTCCATTTACACAGAGGCATAATTTACAAAAGTGATTCAACCTCTATCTTGTGTCTCTCTGCCTCATCTCAGCACCTCCCCAGTGACAGAGCAAGAAGCAAGACCTCACCTCTCTTATTTTTTTGCATCGCTCATATAGCTTCCCTCCAACCCATGCCCCCCTCTTCCCTGCACACCCCCTCCTTCCTTTGCACCCTTTCAAGGTCCGCAGGCTTGACTCCACCTTTTCAATTCGGCTTCCCAGCAGCACTACTTAGTGGGAAGGTAATTGGAACCAGTGCTATCAGTGTGATTGAGGGAGCAAGCGCTGTGTGTATGTGTGTGTGTGTGTGAGAGAGAGAGAGAGAGAGAGAGAGTGTGTGTGTGTGTGTGTGTATGGGGCTCTGTATTAATGTCTAAGGTGTTGGTGAAGCATGGAGCAAAAGGGGGGCCCTGTGAAAAAGGGGGTCAAACACATAGAAGAGCATTTCAGCGTGGAGTGGAAGAAAGGCAGAGTTAGAGGGGAGATGGGAGAGGAAAAGAGAAGGCCTAACCGAGGCCGTAAAGGTTGTGAAAAGATAGGGGTCCACACTGAGATCACACACACACACACACACACACACACACACACACACACACACACACACACACACACACACACACACACACACACACACACACACACACACACACACACACACACATGATGAATGAAATAAAACAACAGTGAGTGAAAAATTTAAACAAAGCTTGTTTTTTATGATACAGAATCTAAGATTTAAAGAGAAGGTGACTCCGGTGCTATTTTTGAACACAACTCAGTTTGAAGTGAAGTTTTCAGCCTTTTACAGAGACAGTGTAATTTCCAAACAATTGTAAAAGTAGATTTTAGTATGGGTTCCCAGACATTCAGCAATTTCAAACAGGAATTATTTTATAGCTATAACCGGTGGCGATTGCATTAAGAAGAATTTAACTGCCTTTATTGGGGCATACTAAGCTCTAAGGCAGCTACAGATACTTTGATGGAGCCAAAAAGACCGAAATGCTTGAATAATAATAAGAGAAAATTTTCCAGTTTTCATTGGTCTCTTCATTACCCAGTATTTGCTGATACATTACTGATTTAAAATAAGAAAAGCACTGTAGTTGAATTTTTTTTTAAAATAAGCCGGCAATCCAAAAGACATTATCTTTTTACTCACCATAAATAAATCTCTGGCCTCTAAATCTACAGCAATGAGGAAGGCCTTCTCGAAGCGCTGATGTCTGCAATGAGACAATTGGAGACAGTTTAGGAGAATACAACATCCAGATAGAAAAGTAACACAATAACTGCTTCAAAAAAGATTTTTTTTTGGATTAAAACTTATTGATGGGTAGGTTCATTATTAAATTTTTCCTTTTTCAACAAACACGACCCTCCCACACTCATCTCTGCATTCCTAACTGTCAATAATTGAACTGAGAGTAGTGAGTCCTCGTCCCTATTATCCAATATTAAAGCTGGGAGAGAGCGCTCTATCTCCCCACACAAAACACCTCAACTTTCACTCGACTGGAGCCAACATGAAACAAACAAACACGAGCAGAGAGGGGGGATGCGGGGAGGGCTTCCTTCATTTGATGTTGATGGAGAGAAAAAGAATGCAGGTAGGTGATAAGAGAGCAGAGGAGGAGGGATGCCAAACAGCGCTCCAGCTCCGCTACAGAGGAGGAGAAAAAAAGAGAGACGAGGAAATAGGAGGTAATTGCATGATGGTGAGCGGTAAGCAGCAGTGTGTGGGAACAACAGGGTCTATTTCAGTCAAACAGGCATTTCAAAAGGCTCTCATGGCAGAAGGGAGAATGAAACAACAGTCTAAACAGGTGCATGTGGGGTGCTTTGCCTTATGAATGACTCAAAGCTGCATCAGTGTGTGTGAAGAAATATAAAAGCTATTTCCTTTTTAGAGAACTTAAAATAGCAATGGTGAGCGGCGAATAAGCTGTATTAAATTGTATCTTCAATGGATGTCATTTTCTGAAAGAAACAGAGTGTCTTACACTGATTCTGCACCCTGTGCTGATAAAAATGAACTAACTGTTGCTAAAGCCTTTAAGACTGAGAATTATTTGTGAAATATGTCAATTTTATTTTATCTTTCTTATTTGGAGACATATTCTTTCTCCTGGGGGATGTTTCATTCCTAATCCAATGAACTGTCAAAGTTTTATGAACAAATTTAGGGGAAAAACAAAAGCAGAAATGAAGATGAGAAAAGCAGCACAGAATGAAAGTTACCTGAGGAGGTGGTGGAAAAAGCGACGGGCGTACTTGCTGATCGGCTCCCTGTACTCAAGTATCACCACATCAGAAAGAGGGGCAGCTGGAGCATAAAACACTCCCAAAACAGCTTCCAGCTGGGCTGCAGACAGGAGAGAAACAAACACAGAATTAAAACCTATTGTACTAGTGAATTTGTTGAACTTGAATGATTAAACCAGAACACCACCCTCTCGCTCTGTGTTCAACTCCAGCCTCAGCAGGTGGTTGGTGATCAAGCTCAGGCCCCTGTAGCAATCATCTCCCATGATGCTCCAGTCCATGGCCTCCAGGATGCCCAGAGCATCTCTGACTTGACCACAATGCAGCCGCTGCTGCAGCAGCTCAACAGGACCCAGCTGACCCCCTGTCAGAGCTCCTGTCAAAACATGTGAAAGTTTATTATTAGATGAGAAAAACAGCAAAATTAAGAAATGTATGCAGAAAAACCCCAGTCACAAGGAAAAATGTAGTTTTATAGAATTAGCTGCTGTTTGCTTTGTTGTGTTTATACTTTTATGCATTATCTTGTATCAGTGAAATTTTGTCTTTTTGATTATTTTTAGAGGACAGGATCGTGGATAGAGAGGGACACAGGGCGTGTGGAAGGTGATGAGTGGTAAAGGAGCTGCAGGTCAAATTCAAACTTCGGGTTATAACCTGAGGCGTGTGCATGGACTGCTAGGCCTTCTGTGTCCCTGTAATAATGTTTTTTGTTTTTTTTTAGATAGAGCATCTTTCTACTTCAATATGTATTTGATTATTAGCCATGTAGCACTATGGAAAGTACTTTTTAAGTTACTCCCTGATATGTGAGCTGGAAAAAAAACTGTAGCTGTCACTGCAGATCTGTAACGCCATCAGCTGCAAAAGTCCTGTGTGTGAGAGTGTACAGAATAACCTAAAAAGCTTGAGCTTGAGAAAGTTAATTTTCAGCACATGCTACTTTATGTCAGATCGGCATTGCAATTTTGAACAATTAACAAAAGAGTCTGTTCAATCGCTGATATAAACCATGTTGTGCTTACAATAACACATTCATTCAAGTTTGAACAGTTCATCTTTTGTCTGATGCACATTGTGTTCAGCCGATGAGAGGAACCCAACATGAGATTTGGCCTTTTAACCGTAGGTGATAATTTATGCTTTTGTGTGCGTTTGTGAGTACATTAAGACTCTGCTGAATAATGAAAGCCTAAGGTTTTGTACCCTTACTGCTATTTGAGGTGTCTAGTTGTAAAAGGGTAATGGTGCACACATGTTTGTGTCTTCGTACTGTATGTACATGAAGGTATTGAATGCCAGGGGTGTTTAATGTCCAGGGTCAAATGGTCACAATGGAAAGGACTTGTTGTGAGGCAGCCTTGCACGCTGAAACATGTTTTCATTTGATACAATAAATGCAAGTATATGCTGTTTTAGTGATACTTAACCTGAATACACCAAATTTGAAGCTTTCTGGAAAGTGTAGGTGATCACTGACAGCAGCACTGTCCATGGGCCAGGCTGCAGGCAGACAAAGTCACCACAGACTCTTGTTTAATTAATTAAAGAAGTCGTGTGTGTGTATGTCCGTGTGTGTGCAGGGGGGTGTTCGAGCAAATTAAAATGACAAGCTGGCAATTAGCAAGCCTCAAATCCCCTAAAGAGTGAGCTAATGTGGCTAATACATCAGCTGAGCAGAGTTTAGTGTGTGTGCGTGTGATTGAGTGTGTATGTGATCTTGAGTTGGCTGGTAACATCTTTTGTCAGCTAACTTTGAACAGAAAGAAGATGTCAGTTTTCTTCAGCATGCATTCAGAGTAAGGACTCAAAACTGACTTGAGTAACAACAGAAAACAGAGCTGTTAAACTTCTTGATTAAACACCAGTGAGTCTGAACTCACATTGTTCATAAAACAGAAACAATTCAGAGTTCTTTGGAACAGGAAGCTTCCTGATAACTGAGAGCAGTTCTTGCACTTCAGGACAGAACCCCCTTTGATGTTATCTGGATGCCTGCTACTTCCTGCTTTCACCAAAATTAATATCTATTTAAGATACATCAGCTTGGGGTCTTTTTCCGCTTTTGCTTTGGGTATTATGTAATTCATCTTGAAACATCAAAAACTGTTCATTAAAATCCCTACAAAAAGGCCAATTTCTTTGCATGCGGCACACCACATTCCCTGGTCTACCCTTCCACAGCCAGTACCGGTGCAGGCCCAGCCACGGCCAATGTGTGCCCAGATGAGATAACTCCGTGCAGGCAGGAGAGTGGGGGTGGGGGCACCAGGGAGGGCTGCCTCCTATGGAAAAAAGGGAACTTGGAGCGTGGCCAAGTCTTTCTTCTTCAGCGCCTCCCGACTCAGTCCTTCTGTCATGTAGCGGGCCTTATGAAACAAGTCAATACAGAGAAGGAGTGCAGGCGAATAAACAAGTGAGTTGGAGTGTATGTGTGGATGTGTTAATGTGTGTGTATGTGTGCATGGAAATAGAAGAATACATGTGTGCGTGTGTGGGGGGTGGTGGTGGTGGTGGTGGTGATGAGGGGGGGAATTATCATGGAGAAAAGACGTGCAGTGACTTTCTTCATCAAAACCTTGGCCGACGATCAAAGCTGGGAAGCTATTGTTGGAAGACACCCTCCCCTTCTCCTGTGCACACTGGCAAACGCAGTTGAATAAACACACACCCTCATGCACACACAAATGCAAATGCACACAATCTTTTACCTTCTTCCCATCCGCCCCCACACTCCTGCTTTCAAACTTCAGCACAAAACTGTGTGCTGCTGTCACATCTTCTTTCTAAATTCACAATTAAAGACTGAATGGTGTATGTGCAAGTGTGTATGAGACCGTTTGAGAGTGTGTGTGTGTGTGTGTGTATGTGTAAATGAGAGAGAGAAGCAGTGAGGTGGTTGTTTGGAAAAAAACATTTTGATTGGCAAACTTTATCTGGGGGCCCCGAGGGACTGCGCAGCCACTGTAAACGATTTATCGGAAAAATGCATCCCAGAATGCACCTGGGGGGCTCTTGCCCCAGGGCGATTATTGAATGACCTCTGAGAGCGCGACTCCTGCTAACCTTCCCGCCCGTCAACAAATTAACTTCCCTCGGCAGTGAAGAGGTCGACCCGTTTCGCAGCCGTATTTACACTGAAGGTTCAGACACAGTGTCAGATCCTGAACAGAGGAGGAGTCTCTGGAGGGAGGAGGGCACCTTCACCAGGAGGAAGGAGACAAGTGTGTGTGTGTGGGGGGGTTAATTTCTTTTAATTTCTTTTAACGCAAAAGTCTATCCCAGGATGCACCTGTTCATAGTTTGTATCAAATGCATCACCCTGAGACAGCATGAATACAAACTGGAATCAAATGACCCCCTTGTAGAACGACCGAAACCAGTCAGCTCATAGACTCTTATGTGAAATACAGATCTTCTTCTGTACACTGAAACATTTCTGCCTCATGTTATCGGATATTAATTTTAAGCTCTTGAATATAGATCACTTTTTACAAACTTCCAAAATGGCACAACCAGTTGTCAAGTTGTAAATAACAAAGCTGATGTCCTAAAGCTGAGATTGTGCTTTCCTCAGTTTTGTGTTTTTGTAAAATCATACAGCTCTCTGTTTGGAGTTGTTTGTTGTTATGCCATCTGCAGACAGTATTTTAGTGTTCCTAAAGATAAATATGTGCTCTTTCACTTTCCTGACACCTTCACAGTCAAGCAAAGTTATCAACAGATCAATCCAAAGAGGAGAAATTTGTCTTTTTAAAAGTTTTACCCACCTAATCTGAATCTCAGGGCTGCCAGTGGTCCTCCATGAAAGGCCAGCATCATGACATCAGCTCCCTCTGGTGCTCCTTCCAGACCAGCCCCCCACCACAGTCTCTCCAGGCCTCCGGTGCAACGCAGGTGCTGCGCTAGTCTTAGGGAAGCAGAAGAAGCTACCTCTTCTGCTAACAGTGCCATACCTAAGGGTGCCAAGCCCACATCAAAGCACATCAGTTCTCCCTGTCCACCCCCTACCATGACCACAGCCCCTGCAGGGTGCCAAGCCAGAAGGGTCGGTGGCACAGGGCACAAGGCCAGGAAGGAGACCCCTCGTCGCTGGTCATACAAGACTAAAGAGGAGTCACTTAAGCCCAGGAGAAGTATGGTCTCAGAGGGGTGACGGGCACAGGAGATGGGATGGGATGCTAGAGGGATGCGGGTGATTGAGAGGCGGTGAAGGCATTCTCGTGCACATTCATAGACACAGGTATTGGCCCAGGACCCCACTCTGGATCCTTGGGTCCCTGTAGGAAGTTCCACCGTGAGTAGCTGGTAGGGCTGTAGCAGGCTGAAGTGACAGTCCAGAGGATTGCCTTCTGTCCGGACAGAGCTCAGGACCTTTCAGAGGGAATGACAGCAGCGGGGAGGAAGTGAGTATGAAATGATCTGAAAATACTTCACTGAAGCAGACATACGATCTCATTAAACCTTAGCAATCAGTCCAAGTCATCTCATTACATGCTGTGCAAGTTAGGACCACACATATGTGTCATCGCTTCCACAGCAATCAAACTTACTTCACCAAGCAGTTGGGCCATTAGCAAGGAGTAACTTCACTTTAACAGGCCAAAACATCAGATAGGGCCAGACTGCTGGGACCAGCAAAAACCGATCCAGCAAAACATCATGACACATCATGTATAAAGTTCTCTGGTTGGAGGACAATATAACTTCTAAAGTGCACGTTTACAGCAAAGACCAGAACAATGACTTTAGAGCTAAGTGTTAAGGTAAATATTTTAACTGTTTTAACTTTTATATAAACTGTTAATTATGAATTTACTGTGATAAATAAAGCCAGAGTTTGCACATTCGTTTGATTGTTCACTCTCTCTTGAATGGTGGAATATTCCTGTTTATACTGAAGTTTTCAGAGACAGAACTCAGCACCCTCCCTCTGCTCTTGAGTGTAACTAAGCAGAGTCTGAGGAAGAAAACATGTTTCTGTAAATCTGTTTTTGTTTTCTTAAACATATTTTTCATGTATGTATTGGAAGACACTGCCTTCACTAAGTTGTTTTAGGTTAAAAGAAGGACAAGGATGGAGAAGAAGAACGTGTAAGAGAGAGACAGACAGAGAAATGAGTGATACAATGGCAGCAGCTCCAAACCCCCTGGAGATGAAGGAAATGTAGCCTCCCTATTTGCTCATAAACACACGCCTGTCAATCAACACAGCTAATGATAAGAGCTCCATTTTAACTCAAGGTCAACAACATCTTCTCCCTGAGCATGCCACAGCTCGGCACCCAGCACCCAGTGATAAACACCCTCTGTTTACCTGAATGAGGAGCCAAGAGCTCAACAGTGGACTTGAGAAGTGACAATCTTTTTCAAACAATACATGTAACGTAAAAAATGCATTGAAATATCTGAGTGGTGGTCAAACCCAGAATTATGATTATTCATTCCTGGTGGGAGTGGAAGCGGCCCCCTCCAAGCAAGCAAACAAGCAACCTTTGACTGAGAAAGATGTCACAGCGGTGCTGTCTATAAAACACCCACAATGAAACCAGGAACAGTAGGTGGGTGACAGGAGACAACATCCAAAACTACACAGCAGTCCAACACTTCCACAGTCACTTACAGAGGTTTTTAGAAGGGATTGCACCTTACCAAAGCCTCTATCAGAGCCCTGTATTGACCGTGGCAGCTTTGGCTAAATGAGCCCATTTCTTTTCGCCGTGCAGACAGAAAGAAGGATCTGCTGCCTGCCTTCTTTTCCTTTCACAAAGCTGCCCAGCCCAGTTTTTTGGCAGGCATTGCCAAAAAGGGACTTAGAGGGAGGAAGAGAGGAGTTTTTTTGCCTGCCCATGGTCTAGAGCAGGAGAGAAGCAGATGACTGTCCTCCTGAAAGCTTTTTCCTTCTTGATAATCCCCCAGAGCTAGCTCCTGCTGCTCCCCAGGGGGTGGGTGCTGTTTGTGTGTTTGTGTGTTTATTCGAGGAGGAAGGAGAGAGGCTCAATTCATGTGAGGGGTGGGGTATCTTTGGAGGGTGCTGTTCTCTGGAAAGGTACATTTCTGCAGGGACAAAGTGGCACATGCATTAGATAAACTTGAACACAAACAAATAGCAGGCAAATCCATCCCACTGAATGCTGCCACGGGATCCACAGCACCTTCTTCACTACACAAACCCTGATCTCCCCAAAACATATGAACACAATACACAACTCATTCTCTCTGCTTCTCATCTGGTGCCTGGCTTACTGGTGCCCATCACCTGCTGTGCCAGCAAGCCACCGTGGCACCATCGGGGCTGAGGTGAAGCTGATTCAGCTCTGCCTCCCCCTGATAGGTGACCCTCCCAGGGAGGGAGAAGGAGGACAGTGTCAGCTGAAGCTCTGAGGCAACAACTGAATATTGCCGACTGGTTCAAGCAGTAATGGCTGGGATTCTTCAAGAACTCAAGTTTGATTCTAGTTGGACTTTGCACTACAAGCAGGAAAAAAAATAGACAAAATGCAAAAATTGACTTCACTTCAAAGTGAAACCATGTCATGGTCTTGAATACAACTGGCCAATTTCTATGTTTTAAATATTGTTTAACAGCAGCACTAAAAAAAAGCTGTCCTAAATGAGCAATAATCCATAAGCCTTTTAAACTGTTCTTGTGTAATTTCTTTCCTAACTTTGCTGACATCCGTCTGGACCTAAATGTGAAGTGGATGTTGAAAAAAAAGCTATTTTCTTAAGGAGGCAGTTTGAATTCCCAATAGTGCTCTGGCAGAGTGCACAGAAAACACACAGCAAAAACATCAAATTCTCACATCCAGTCTCAAAATCACTGTCACAACATTTTTAACAGTCAGCACAACAGCATTTCGGCTCTGGGTCACATTTAAGGACAGGAAGTGCCTCATTTCACATTCTGTGGATGGAGCAAACGCAAGCAGAAGGACCCTAAAGGCAGCATGGCTGATGAGGAGATTAGAGTGTGACACTCATGACCCACAGGTTTGAATGTGTCAGAGTGTCAACTCTCACACTGCCACATCTCCTGCCACTGTAAGCATGACAAGACATACACATCAGGGGAATGAAGCAAAATATGAATAAAATGGGGGAAAAAGCAGTGAGGAAAAGGAAGTGATCTGAAATAAAGGCTGAACTTTTCAGCACATCTCCTACTATTTTACTTAAATTTGCATCCTGACTGATGTACTGCTCCATGCATTTTGTGCTATAAAGAAATATGAATTCTGAAATCATAGAACAGCCCATCTTTTCAAAGCAGCAAGTAAAAGTAAAAAGATACACACGAATCACTGGATTCCCTGCTTCTGTAAAATTCTTAAACGATGAAAAAGGTCAGGAAAGAGAGAATGAGTGATTGAGGAGATGTTCAAGAAAGGGTAACAATGAGGCATACAGACAGAGATCAGGAAATACGAGCAAAGATGGTGAGAAAGAGTGGAAGTTAGTAAAGGAAATGAATGTAGAGAGGAAGGAGGTAGAAACATGAGAGAAAGTGCAAAGAGAGCAGGAACGGAGAGTGGAAAGCAGACAGTAAGACAGAGAGAGGGAGAGAGAGAGAGAGAGAGAGAAAGAGTGGCCTCTAGTAAGTAGCTTTCTCCTGGTTATTGGTTTCAGTGACTGGTCAAAACTATTCTTCTCCATTCTTCTTGTCTCTCTCTTGCCAGCACCTTTTTTTCCCCCTCCGTGGCGTGAAAGATAAAGCGGACGGGCCCAACTGTGTGGCTGGCCCTTGTTCACAGCAGTGGCCTTTTGAAGCCAATTTTCCAGCTCACGGAGCAGAGAAAGACAGGGAGAGACGGGCAGAGGGAGACGGAGGGACTTGGGGAGAGTTGAGGGACTGAAGGATGTGGGGTGTCGAGTTGGGGATGAAGGGGGAATGGGAAGTTTAAGGTGTGTGTGAATTAGGGTTAGCGTTGAAGTACTGATGTGAGAAAATGCACAAGCACAGCAGGATTACCAATCAGAATATTCCTCATACCTTAACTGTCATAATTGGTACCACTGAACATAATTGTAGCACAGAGTGAACATTACTCACTAGACCTGAAACTGTAGCAGCAGCAGCAGCAGCAGCAGCAGCATTTCCTGTGTGATTTTTTTTCAAAGCGCTGAAGCTTGGGGGTAATTCTGCTCTTTGGATTCCATACCAGACCCTTTCATGATCTAAATTATGACTGAGGCTCATTTTTCTACTCTTCATGCTTTCATTCTGCACATTAGGGCTGCAGCTTTTTTTGTTAAAGAGACAAATTTAGACATTTTACGCTGCTAATTTGGCTTCTAAGTGGCGACTGTTGCTCAGTGGTGAGAGTTGGTTGGGGGTTCAATTCCAGGTCCCACTATCTATGTATTAAAGTACCTTTGGGCCAGACACTTAAGCCTTAACTACCCCTAGTGGCTGTGCCAATTGTGTGTGACTAGGTTTAGGGCCTTTTAAATCGAAGCGTCAGTGTGTGACTGTGATGAGAATAAGACACTAAACTCAAAACCACATTGAGTGGTCAGAAGATTAGAGGAAGTTTTTCTTAATTATAGTCCCTTCACCATTTACCATTCTAATAAATGAACTCTCTGGGTTCTTGCAGGAGTTGAAGCACACACTTTTTCCATCCAGTTATATACTCTATAAATCACATCTTTCCTTATTATTGGGCAATCAATGTAGTTACTTTTTGTTTTGGCTCGTTTCACAAAAGAGTAAACACCATGCAGCACAGTGCTGTCAGCAATAATTAACAGAGAAGAGAAATCGCACAAATGCAGATCAAACAACTGCAGAAAAACTGTTTGGTGACGGATAACAGGATAGTCGTACACTTTAAAATGAACATACAAATGCAACCACGTAAAGCAAGAAAAAAAATCATCTGCTGTTTTCTTTTAGTTCAGATTAATACATTTCAGGTAATGATTTGTGTGTGTTTGTGTTTGTTTGGAGAGAGGGAGGGGGGCATGAAGGACAGATAATTAAAAATGTTAACTGGCTGCATAAAAACTAACTGTGTACATGTTTTTCTCCTCTTCCCACCCTCCACCCCCTGCGTGCCGTGGCTCCACTTATCAGCATGAGGAAGGGGGGGGCATATGAATTAAGACCACATAGGGAAAGAAATCAGACTTTTTTAAATGCCGAGAGACTGGCTAGAAAATTGGCTTAGTGCTGCAGATAGCGAACTGAACAAAAGGAACATATATATGAGCTTGAAGTGATTGAAGTAGCTGGCGTCTCCCGATGTGTGCCCAGCGTTTGATTCCCGCCACGGCTCTTACATAAACTGCTCGCTTAATTTCACACCGTGCATCTGAAAAATGACAACAAACGCTTTCATTAGAGCGCGATGCCGCAGCCCCACGAAGAGACTTTAATGTTCTTGAAGCGTGGAGGAAGGAAGGAGGAGAAGCAAGGAAGACATGTATGTGTGTGAGTGTGTGTGTGTATATGTGTTGGGCGGGGTGGGGGGTGAAGGAGTGTGATAAATGTGGAGAGCTTTCCAAAAACAAGAAGCAGAAAAAGCGGAGAACAACATCTGCTTTGCTTATTTCAATATTTCAGTACCCCCCCCCCCCCCAGCTCCCATCTTTTCCTCATTCTCTCTGTATGAATTTGTTTTCTGAACATGTGATTGGTAACGCTCATCTTTCCTCCTTACCACAGACTCTCTTCCTTCTGTTTCTGGTGCAGTAGAGATTTTGCATATGTTTGCAGAGGTATGCAGTATGAGGAAAACAGCTAAGCTTGGCTCGCTAATTTGGAGTCTTTCATCTGCTTTTCGGCACAGGGCCAATCCTGGGTTGACATAGAATCAGGTTGCAGTTAGGGTTTTGCCAAGGGCCATGAAGATGTGTGCCTATCATGTGTGTGTGTTTGTTTGTATGCCTGTGCCTCTGTGGATATGTAGGCGTTCTTCTTCACGCAGTACCACAGCTTAGTGCTGCTGCTGTTTTTTTTTTTTGTATGGTGGTGATGCATGGAGGTGCAACACAGAGGTGCCACCCTTGAGGTGACTAATGCACCATCCCCAATCCCATCTACCTCAACACAGGTCTCCACCGTGTTGAGGTAGATGGCCTGCTTTGTTGCCTTTCTCGTTATGTGTCCTCACTTCATGCATGCACCCCACAGAGTGTCTGTGAAGGAGTCCCCGACAGTGTGAGAAGATACATGTTTATAGTAAGAGTCTGGACTTGTGTACTAAGTTTGAGGTAATAAACATGGTATGAATGTTACGTCAACTAATTGACTCAACTTGGTTACTTCATTGGCACCAGAGTTGCTGGTCTTTCAAATAAATCAATTTGTGGGTCATTTTTGTGCATCTTGTAGGGAAACCTGTTGATCCAGAAACAGACATCAAGTTGTTTACGGGCTACTTCAGGTTAAATTGGTATATAACCACTAAACAAAGGCAACATACTGTATATCTACAAGCATGTGGACCTTCACCTGGAAGGAGGACTTCAGGCTGATGGTGCTAGCTCTGCTAACATTAGCCAAACTCAGTAAACCAGTTTGACATCTATTTTCAGACTTCAGATTCTTACTGCTTTTTCACAGAGGTCTTACACAGAAATTTCACTAAGTGAACTGTTAGCCGTCAGATGTGAATCCCACTCTGAGAGGAGTTTTCACAAAAAAAGCTTCCACAAAAAAAGCACATTCTTGAGTATCCTCAAGCCTTTTTCTGTCTTTATTCATAGTGCCATTAGGAACGATGGAGTGATGTGTATTGGCTTGTGGAAGGTGAAGCAGCTCTACATTAGCCTACCCAACAAACACAAAATAAAGGAGGAAAGCATAGTAGAGGATATGTGATGTCTGCTGTGAATACTGTGACGATAATGGAGGATAACTCTAAACTTTTTGGCTTGAACTTGAACTTTAACTGGTAAATGTTTTGGTTTTTTAAAGGCATTCATCAGTAACCGGTTGTTTTCCAGTCAGAAAGCCTCTGGTGTGTATTTGTGTGTACCTTGAGGCCCTCAGTAGGTGAGCAGCTCAGTAGGACCAGGTTGTTCTTGTTTGAGGCTGTGGGAGTCCAGGGCCAAAGCTCCTCACCGGTTTCATCTAGATTCCACCAGCAGAGAGCAACATCCTGGAGACGGTTAAGACTGACACGCCTGCAGAGCTTCCGAATCTGCCCACTTCCATCTACACACACCACCTGGAAATTGAAACAGATACAATGATGGTGGACACACACATACTGTACATGTACTGGAAACATGGACTGAGGAGAGGGCCAGAGACAGCAATACATTCAGAAGTATAAGACATTTGGAGAAACATTCAGAGTTAAAAACACATCTAATGAAGAACGGGGAGAGTGTCTTAGTGATTTGGATTTACCAGTCTAGCCTGTGTCATCACCTGAGGGCTGTAAATCTTCTTCATCTGTAGCCCAAACACCCCTCTCTTGTCCTTCCCCAGTTCTGTTTTTGTTGATGTCTAAGGTTGTTTTTTATCTTCCATTATTAATGTGTGTGTGTTTTGGTCTGTCGGGCTTGTTGTTTTAGTGATGTGCATATTTTTGGGAAGGTCTGCCACGCTCTATGGGCCACAACAAAGAGACGCACAGTAATGAGATCTCGTGGTGCTGGGGGGGCACACTCCCATAGAAACACACAACCATACATGAATGAATGCATGTATGCACACAAATACACTTGTACTTATATGTAGTACACGGACCAAAAGTGCATCTCATTTCAAAATGGACATCTAGAGAAGGTGAATTTGTTAGTTTGAAACTACGACTCCGGCCTTTATATACACCACAGCTCATCCTTGTTCATACACACAAATGTATGCACATACAGACACACTCGCACATCTACTCATAACCACTTAGGGCTTGTTCTTCACCTCCAGTCACACTCCTAAACGCAAAGACACAGCAAACCAAAGGTAACAGCCAACACACAAACACAAACACACACAAACACACGCACACACACACAAAAGTATATGAACATCCATGACCTTTGTAAGTAGATGAGCAGATGAGTAGCCCCGATTCTGTTTCTGCAGTAATACAAGAACGTTTCTTTAAAAATTTATAAAACAAACAAACCACAAAAATTATTCAACTAAGTCCAAAAAAAAGGGTGTGAAAGGCCAGAAAGAGGCAGAAATTAATAAATCGACCAGCTGTACTGTATGAGTAGAGCAGATCTAAGGGTCAGTGGTCCATGTCTGCCCTTCTTGCCCCCTTGGGGGGACTATTTGCTTTGGATTCAAAATACAGGGCCAAATTAAAATGATGGAAGCACATCTGATGATAAAGGGAACAAAGAGTAGCCCCAAACAGCAGAATAGGAGATCACTGACAGATTAGAAATGGAAAAAGAAGAAAAGGAAAAAAATCTGTAAATCACCAGGGTTAATAACACCCTCTATATCAACCACAGCATGCCCCCTCCATCCCTTCGCTTTTCCAGAGGTTTTTTTTTTTCTGCTGGCGTTTGCTGGTCAGCAATAATCAAAAACCACTTTCTGTGGGCCGGATTAGTTTAACCCCCCCCCTCATTGTCCCCCACACTCCGTCTCCAGCTTAGCCCACTGGACCAGGGCGATGTGTATGTGGTTGTGCATGTGTTGTGTGTTTGTCATGGGGGATGGGTAGCTGGGTGTACATGTGCACGTGTGTATATTGCAGGTTGCCAGCACATACATTGACAGAGGTCTGTACTTTACGGGGTGGCTGTGTGGGGCGGGTGGTAAGAATGGGTGGGAATGGGGGTGTCTTATCAGGGCAATGCTTCTGGAGACAGACACACAGTAGGCACGATTGCTTTTATACACATGCAACATGCATGCACAGTAACACACGCACACATGTGCGTGCACACCTTAATAAAAGGGCCTGGCAGTAATATGATAATGCCAGGTTAGCAGTTTGCCTGCTAGTGAAGAAGGACATGATCTAGTTTTGTTTTGAGGAAGGGAAGGAACAGACCAGTGTATGATCTGACCTGTTAGTGACACCTACAGAAACATCCCCAATCAATACACACGCCTGTCTGAGAGAGGAATGAATAGAAATGAAAAAGAAGTAGAAAGTTAAAGGCTGCCTGGGATATTCCTCATGGTGACATAATTACATTTACCCAGTAAGAACCTTTTATTGATAAAGGTACGAACAAAACCTTAACAATCATTATTTATTGATAAAGTGTAATGACAGTGTGCATTAGAATTAACACTACAGGATTTCAACTTATTTCAACTATTGAATTTCTCTTTGGGGCTCAATAAAGTTCTTCTTATCTTATAGTCATGGTAACAACAGATTATGATGGGTAGCTTTGTATCTCACAAACTACCGAACAGACCAATGGCACCCTAGCTAATTTAGTTGGCACTGGTTTTTGAAGTCTCTGCTCAGACTGCCAGCAAATATGGGAACTGTTCAAGCAGTGGTGTACCTGAACTTCCCTTTCAAAATGAACTGCAGCTATTGTGATTCAGTTATCCGTCAAATATTCCTAACCAGAATAGATTTTTTTGACTTGGCTGAAAAGGTGAGGGTCCTAAATATGTCTGTTTGTCTCAACAGTTACAGTGCCCCGTAAAAAGAGCCATAGATCTTTGTTGAAGTGGCTCTCCCTTCCTGGAGTACTTCTATCAAATAAAGGCAAAATAGCCCAAAAAGTATTTCCAAAAAAATACAGCAAAGACAAATCAGGTGTTTGTATCTGTATTCAAACACAGAGGGTTTCAAAGTGAAATATGCTGGAAAGCAGCGATTTGTTACCTCACATACAATGTTTATTTTATTTTTTGTTGTTTGTGAATGGATTTGTGCCATGTAGGTTTTGTTTCCAGACTTTACTTGATCTATGTCAGCCTGAGCAAACGCAAAACAGGAAACAGTTTGAAAATGTAGGTCTTAAGACAGTGATATAGAGGACCTTATTTTCTCTTCTTTCTCGTCATCTTCTTCTTTTGACTGTCTCACTTTCTACTTTCCTCACCCTCACAAATACCAACCTAGGAGCACACATACAAAAGTACACACACACTACAGACGCACAGTCCTTTAATGTCTTCCACTGTACCTTGATTTCAGAGGGTGAGAGTTTGTCTGTTCGCCTGCCAGTCTCCGGGGTGTCCTGGTTCTTTTGGTTCAGGTAGACTGCAGCCACTTGGCTCTGCTCCAGGAAGGACAGCAGAATCAGCCTGTCGCTTAGCACCGCTGGGGATGACATCACCACACTTGTCATTCAACGTCATGACTTAAAACAGAGAAACAGCAGTATATTGTTAGGTGACACTTGAAGAGTTCACTGTCTTCTTCATAGGAGTGAACGGTGATAAAAAGTTATCACCACACAGCTGCACCTGTGTTACAGTCTTTTTCAGTATAAACACAGCATCACCAAGGGCAATTGATTGGAGTCAGAGAGCTAGGTGAACTGTTCCTGGACTTGGAAACAAATAACGTCAGCTGATATTTTTTTAGAATTAAAGTGCATTTAAAATCCTTGAGTATGCTCACATTATCAAAGATACTAAGCTGTGATTAAATGACAATGATTTAGGTTTCCCAGCTGGTTAGCTTTACTTTTACTTTCCCTCCAGTCAAATGGAATCAACTTCACATTTTATCCCTGAGACTCTGAGAGTTTCTGGATCTATGAGTTGCTCCTTTTATGCAAGTATACTGAATAATAAGCCTTTTTATTTGTTTTCAAACTGTTCCATGTACAATCACTACATTTTAACACAGTAAAATTGCTGTTGTACCATGTCACTAAGGTTTACAAGTTGGAGTTGGAGTTTCAGTCTCTCACACCTCTCTTGCAATTTTTTCTTTCAGTCCTTTTGACTTGTTTTCTCCTCTCCTCTCTCCCCATTCCTGCATCCTCTCTTCTCCTCTCCACTGCCTCCCTCATTCTTTGTATCTCCCCTGTACTTCTCTCTCTTTGCCTGACGGTGTACAACAGGCTCTAAGGCCTTTTTGTGGTAAAAGAACACACTTGATCCTGTTCAACTCTTCAGGAGCTGCATGGAAACGCTGATTAGCAATTAAGCCCCCCTCTCCTTCAAATTAATCTGTTTATGAAACCAATTAAACGGAAAGGAAAGGGGGGTTGTTACACATGTCTCTCAGATATCCTGCTTTGAGTTGAACGAGTGAGGCTGCACCCCGAGATTTAGAAATCTAACCGCCAATTAACCGTGGCATGTGTGTATTTATAAACGTGAGGGTATAAATCATCCTGTTGTGTGAAAATTTCAAATTAATATGCAAATAGTTATGAGGGAATTGAAACATCACTTGAAAAGAGAGAAGAACTAGTGTCTCAAATCAGGTCAACTGAGTAGGTCTGTCTCTATGTCAAAGTTGGATTATAAAGCATTTGAAATAAAAACTGGTTCAGGGTTAACACTGTTACGAAATACAGCCATTAATGATGCCCTGGCTTTCCCAAACAACATTTAATGCAATAGTAAGCGTCTTTGTAATAGATTACAGACAAATCAAGTTAAATGCAGTTTAGTATTGATCTGTATGGGTGTCTATAAACGGGATTAGGTTTAATCTCATTCAGTCCTAAATGAAGAAGGAATACGTATCCAGGCTGTGGCCCAATCTGGGACCAGGTGGCTGATTAGTATTAAGGGCCAGACCCTTATAACCCACCCTGATACAACCCTCTGTCTTACACACACACATGTACACGCACACACTCACACACATGCACACATACATACTGTTATAACTCGTGGACTGAAGGATATAAATACACATTTTTGCATTCAAGCCCGCAACCACATTTCCTGCAGTCCCAGTAACACACACACATTTACACCCACAAGCATAAAACCAACCTCTTGTTCAAGCACATATTCTTTTTCACACACACACACACACACACACACACACACACACACACACACACACACACACACACACACACACACACACACACACACACACACACACAGCCCTCTAAATCCATTTAATGCCATCTACTCAGCAGCATGTTGACATAAGAGGCCAATGGGCTTAACCAAAGCACATTTCAACATGAGTAAATGAAACCTGCTATGAAAAATCACTTAAGGATGCTTAATCGTGGAGCATATGCGCAGCTTTGCCCAGCCGTTGGCCAGAGTAAGCGGGTAACACTATGATGGTGTAAAATATATGTAATCAAGCGCTCTGGATGATGCAATCAGAGCTCATGGTTGAAATAGAAAGGAAACTAGCGTTAAGGATGCAAAGTTTAAGAAAGGACAGTAAGCCGCCTGCTTTGTCACACCGTGAAACAAAACCAGACCTGGCTTGTGTCTTGTTGTCTCAGAGAGGCGAACACATACATACATGCAAATCAGAAAAGAGATTTTCTTCAGCTTTTAAACACCAAGAACATTTTTGTTTTAGAAAGTTGTCAAATTCCATTCCAAAACGTAGTCACATTAGCAAGTGCTCTGATTGTCTAAGCATAGATTCATTCATTATTGAAGTTAGGATCAGATTTGAATGGAAGCCCACTCCAAACAATCCTGAACCAGATTCAAACATTAAGGTCTGGAGGACCACCAAGAAAACTTTGGTAAAAGACCGCTGAAAATTTCTCAGCTGGAAGGTCAATGCCTTTGCTCCACTATGTCATGTCAATACAAAAAGAAATTGTTGAGAAGACACAGAAGATAACATATTAACAGCTTTTATCACAGTTTATGACAGTTTAAGTCACTCAGCTCCTTCACTCCTGAAACTACGTTTGAGCCATTAGCCTACACATTTTCAAAAGCTAAAACTCTGTTAGTGATCTATCCCTGACAAAAGCAGAGCAATCATCTAGTTTAAGGATTTCAGATAAATGGTTTTAGCATACAACCTTATGATTTTAAATTCAGAATTTTGCATCAAATAATTCATTTTCTCAGTTCAGTCCATTAAAAGCCAAAAGCTAAAAATAGCTTACAGGGACCAAAATAAGACGTTATTATCAAAGATCTGTATTAACATCATGCTTTTTGGTTTGTCACTCTTGGTCAAGTTAAGTTAGTTCAAGATTATCACTGTGAAGTTGTTAAGTCCTGTTAATTCAGCCAGTTTCACAAATAACGAATTAATCAAGTATGAAAAAATGAACATAATAACCTAAATAATCCCATAATGTAGCCAGATATATGACTTCTTTCAAATGTTCTTACAGTGTTAAGATTGGTTACACACTTACATATGGGAAAACTGCACAAAAAAAAAAACAACGTCATTTCTGTATTGTACAAAACCCAATGCCATTGAAGTTGGGAAATTGTGATAAACTTAAATAAAAACAGAATACAATGATTTGCAAATCTTTTTCAACCTATATTCAGTTGAATACACTACAACGACAAGATATTTAATGGTCAAACTCATAAACTTTTTTCTTTTTTTGCAAATAATAATTAACTCAGAATTTCATGGCTGCAACATGTGCCAAAGTAGTCGGGACAGGGGCATGTTTACCACTGTGTTACATCACCTTTCCTTTTAACAACACTCAATAAATGTTTGGGTACTCAGCAGACTAATTGTTGAAGCTTTGAAGGTGGAATTCTTTCCCATTCTTGCTTGATGTACAGCTTCAGTTGCTCAACAGTCCAGGGTCTCCGTTGTCATATTTTACGCTTCATGCGCCACACATTTGCAATGGGAGACAGGTCTGGACTGCAGGCAGGCCAGTCAAGTACCTGCACTCTTTTTCTACAAAGCCATGCTGTTGTAACACGTGCAGAATGTGGCTTGGCATTGTCTTGTTGAAATAAACAGGGGCGTCCATGAAAAAGACGTTGCTTGGATGGCAGCATATGTTGCTCCAAAACCTGTATGTAACTTTCAGCATTAATGTTGCCTTCACAGATGTGTAAGTTACCCATGCCTTGGACACTAACCTTACCCTTACCCTTACCACCACAGATGCTGGCTTTTGAACTTCGCGTTGATAAGAGTCCAGATGGTTCACAGAACACGACATCCACAAACTATTTCCATAAAGAATTTGAAATGTGGACTCGTCAGACCACAGAACACTTTTCCACTTTGCATCAGTCCATCTTAGATGAGCTCGGGCCCAGAGAAGCCGGCAAGTTTCTGGATGTTGTTGATAAATGTCTTTCGATTTGCAAAGTAGCGTTTTAACTTGCACTTACAGAAGTAGTGACAAACTATTTACTGGCAGTGGTTTTCGAAGGTGTTCCTGAGCCCATGTGGTGATATCCTTTACACATCGGTTTTGATACAGTGCCGCCTAAGGGATCAAAGGTCACAGGGAATTCAATGGTGGCTTACGTGCAGTGATTTCTTCAGATTCTCTGAACCTTTTGATGATATTATGGACCGTAGATGTTGAAATCCCTAAATTCCTTGCAATTGTACTTTGAGAAACATTGTTCTTAAACTGTTCGACTAATTGCTCACGCAGTTGTTCACAAAGTGGTAAACCTCGCCCCACCCATGCTTGTGAATAACTGAGAATTTTTGGGGAAGCTGCTTTTATACCCTATCATGGCACCCACCTGTTCCCCATTAGCCTGCTCACCTGTGGGATGTTCCAAATAGGTGTTTGATGAGCATTCCTCAAATTTCTCAGTATTTTTTGCCACCTTTCCCAACTTCTTTGTCACGTGTTGCTGCCATGAAATTCTGAGTTAATTATTATTTGCCAAAAAAAAAAAAAAGTTTGAGTTTGAACATTAAATATCTTGTCTTTGTAGTATATTCAATTGAATATAGGTTGAAATGGATTTGCAAATCATTGTATTCTGTTTTTATTTACGTTTATCACAATTTCCCAACTTCAATGGAATTGGATTTTGTACATGTCACACAAAAAACACACATATACACATTTCAGACACACTTTAATGATGGTTGTAAACTGTTTCGATGTGCTTGATAGTGCAGTCTGGTTGGACTCAAATTGTCTCAGACTAATTGAAGAAGTAACAGATGTGAGAAAAGTCCTTAACCTGCACACACACTATCACACACACTTTGACATGCACACAATCCCCGGAAACCAACATTACTCTAATAATTAGTGCCTCTGAGGTTTTGAATGGATCGCAGTGGGAGGTGAGTGGGTGTGTGTACCTGAGCATGTGTGCGCCTCTGTGTGTGCCATTGTGTACATGAGCAGGTCCAAGTCCATGAGTGTGTGTGTGCGTGTGAGTGTGTGTGTCGTCTTGTTAATGTGAGCAGACATACAGTAAGTGCTTTTCTTCATTGAAAACAGGCTGTAATTACACATGTATGTGTGCGAGCAGGTGTGTGTATATCCCTGTTTTTGTGGTCATGAGAGACTGTGTTTGTGTGTGAGTGAACACTATGTATACACTATGGGGGCTTTATCAGGTGTCTCGAGACTCCGGACGGAAGCAAGAAGGGCGGTGTTATGAACAAATAATTGATACAGAAAGAAAGAAATAATTAGCAGATTTGGGCCAGTGTCCACGGGTCTCTTATTCTCTCCTGCCAGGTCTGCAGAGCGAGGGAGTGCATTGTGAGGGGGGCGGTGCTCCCTGGAGAAATGTGCGATGGAGGAAAAACACTGATGGATGCTCTTAAGGGAAGGCCCCTGGACACACACAGCACAAAAGGATTTGTCCGCAATTAGCTAGCAGAGCCGCCTCGCTCACCTGTGGCACCTGTTATGTGTTTATGTGAGACGGCAAGCGCGCGCATGTGTGTGAGAGAGTGATTGCGTGACAAAGTGGCGAGGAGAGTGGGGATTGTGTGTGAGTGTGTGTGTGTGTGTCAAACTGTTGAGGGTGAGCAGGTGTCAGAACACAGTGGGTGCTGACATTGTGAGAGAGGATGCATGGTTCTTGGTTTTTGTGGTTTCAAACACGTTTTATTTGTATGTGTGAGGCTGTGGGCAGAGATATGTGGCCTAACACTGTGGCTGGAATAAAGATGATTGTGTCCCTAAATCTGCTTAAACCATAGTGAACCTTTATGCCACATATAAACCATGATTTTGTCCAAATTTACTGAATGCAAAAATCGCAACAATACAGAAGAAAGGATTCTTCACCTCCACCACAGACATGATGGTTACACAACCACTCTAATTAGCATCAGCAAAACCAGAGAAACCCAAACCACTGTCAAAAATGTCTGAAGGCTTTATTACAGCGGGCACCAAGGCCGGATTAAAGAATGAAAAGCATTTCTAAAGAATTTAACTCGTATAAAGTACATTGTATACCACAGGCAACAAAACAAATCTCACTGAAGCTGAATGTTAAATAAACACAGAGGGTGAACATGTCTCAGACCAACCTGGATGTTTTATGGTAATTGTATTTTTACAGTGTGTGTATGTGTGAGTGTAAGGGACTGGAGTGTGTAACTAACCATCAGTCACGGTGCTGGCTGGTAGGCGGCTCACTAATGTGCGGTCGACGAATGCTTGCTCAAGCTGAGGTCCATTCAAGGTCAGGGTCACAAGAATTCCACTGCTCAGCAACACCTACAAGTACCGCAGACCAACCAACAGGAGAGCAAAACACTGAATTAACGCCAAGGCGACTCTATAGTAAGTATATCAAAGCCCAAATCTGTGATGGTAACATAAAACATACAAAACTGAGGTGATAAAACACACAGGAATAGAAAACAAAAATAACTGTGACCCTCTAAGATTTTCCACTCAATTAAAATTCATCCCAAATTCCTGTGAATGGTTCAGCAGTCAAATCAGTGCCTTAAAGTTGTCAAAGCTTAGAGTTCAAAGCAGAACATTATGTGGAAAAATAAGTGCTATACTTTGCTTATTCACTTCACACTACTGACTTGGGGTCAAGTCAACCACGCTGTCATCCTCTCTTAACTCAGATTTCCCTTGTTAACTCAAGCACTGTAAAGAGTTTTGAGTTTGTGTAAAGCTGATGCTATTAGCTAGTGAAAACAAGCATGTGAGTGCCATGTTATTTAAGAACACAAGAGTCTCACAGTCCAGGTAATGTAGGTGCTATGAGACATTGCTAACAGATATTGTAATATGGGGAGGATGGAAGAGGCTACTGATAGCTATGAAGACTGTCACAGTCTGGTCAAAAACATCATCAAATATTGTGGTTTTGATCTGGGGGGGGGAGGGGGGAGGGGGGTAAGAGATGCAGCAAGGGGTCACAGCTGGGAATTGAACCAGCCACCACTGCTATGAGGGTCATAGTCCCTATGTGTGGGGCATTTATACCGCCAAGTCACTGGCACCCCATACATGCTGCATTTTTTTTTTTTATGCTTACTAATGCAAACGCCAGCCATGTATTTTTGACTCTGAAGAAAAGACAAGACTATTGAGTCATAGGTTTAATACCGTTATATAGTAAGTTTAGCTTAAGATGACCTGGTAAGGACCATTACAGCCCAATGAAGCTCACTCTCTGAGGCCTAGTCTGGGCACGCTGTGGGAGGTTTGTTCAGTTCCTGCAACATTCTGAACCTGGAAAAAGAAAGTTTGTGTGTGTGTGTGTGTGTGTGTGTGTGTGTGTGTGTGTGTGTCCATCTGTATGTGTCGATCTTGGGCTGATGAGGGTGTGTACCTGGCAGCAATGTTTGCTCCTCCATCTGGTCTGAACGCAGGTGTTGGTCTGCAACAGCTCCTGATAAATAAACAGAGAAAAACAAGGAAAGACAGAACAAACAGGACACATTAAATTGCAGCTCAAGCTCCAAATATAACTGGCAACTACAGGAGTGCAGGAGCTGTTACAGTTCTGATGCTGGAGACAGAATTTGGTTAAAAAGATCCTTTGAATTAATAACCATTCCACAATCAATTTTTTGTCTTATATTTAGAAATAAACCACAACAAGTGGTGCCTGTTCACCTCTCCCATGCATGTGAGAAGTGAAGCTTGAGAAAAAAAAAGTCTTTAAATTTATGAGGAAAATCCTAATATAGAGTAAGCGGTATGAAGCAAAACAAAAGTTATGACATATCCTTAAAACGTGATAGTTCATACATGTATTTTTTGATGTTTTAGATGATTAAAGAGATAGTTTTCAAACCTCATTTATGCAAGTTAATTGTCATGTGAGACCTTCAATTGTAATAACTTAATCCCTGCTCCATTTCGATGTAAAGAAAGTGTCACTGATACTTTTTATTTCCAATGAAGTGGACACTGGCCCTCACAGGTGTCCACTTCAGCAGTTCCTGTTCACAGAGGGGCAGAGTGGTGGGAGCAGGTAAGAACTGCTTGTATGTGTATGTATGTGCACGTGTGTGTGTGTGTGTGTAAGGTTAGTCATTCCTGCCACATTCCAAACCCAGCTGGGGTGATTGGATGGGAGGAGAGTGGGAGGGCGGGGGAGAAGGAGGGTGTAGAGGTGAGCTGGGGTGTTTCTTGTTTCAAACAATGGTTATGGGCGAGAGGAAGGAGGCGGATGTGTGTGCATGCATGTGTGTGTGTATGTGTGTGCGTGCGTGTGTGTGAGTGTGCAACAGCCAAAGACAAGTTCCAGCAAACAAAGCTAGGTCTGTATGGCTACAAGTATGGGGTGGGAGGGGGTGAATGAGGGGAGAGGAAGGGAAGGAGGAGGAAGACAAGGAGGGAGGACAAGAAGGGATGAGGGGGCAGCCTGCAGCCCCCTGATCCCCTCAAATATCCCCCTCGATGACAGAGCTCGGCCGAAAGAGAGGTGATGACAGAGGCAAGGAGAGAGAGAAGAACAAACGAGAGCGACAGGGAGAGTGAAGGGAGAGGGAGAAAAGAGAGAGAATGCCTCTATTTGTTAATCAATCGGCCGTTTCGGAAAGGGAAAACTCTGAAAATCCCCAGAGGGGGAAAGACGACGAGGAGGGGGGTGGCAGGAGAGGAGGTGGTGGAAGGTTTAACAGAGGAGGCGGGTACCTCTAACTCTTTCAGCGAATCACGGAGCTTCTCAGGACGGCTGTTCCTGGGGGTCCATGAGTAGCCCCGAGCTATGGAGGAAGCAATATAAGAAACGTCCAAAGATCATGTGACTGGTAGTTTTACATTTAGACACTGAAAAAAATATATTTCTTAAAGTAAGCCCCTGTGGGAATTCAGAGGAATGTGGCACCAGAATCAGAGAGGGTAAAAGGGTTGAGCTTGGTGTCTGGGAAAAGAGCTAAAAATGAGAGGGGTTGATGTGAGGAATAAAGGGTGTTGACAGGTTGGTCAGGTGAAATTAACAGATGCAAGTATGAATGTTTACAGACTAATGGCTGCACCAATGAGTTCATACACTACCTCCATTCTCGCCTCTGTAACTAATCCTCAGTATACTCAAATATTCCCTTTATTAAAAAAACAGAGTTATTCTATTAAGCTCTTTCAATTATCAAACACTCGAATCATGTGTAAAGCAAAAAAGCCAAGGTTGTACTGGTACAAACTGGAAGATCATTTTCTTGGCTCTAATAAAAATGTCAGTGAATCACACTGCAGCTTTTAAACTAATGTTTTAAGTTAAGTGCGTCATCTTCATTTTTCCCCTCTTGTTTCTGGCAACTTATGGACTACAGATGCATCCTTCAATCTAAAAATAAATAAACAAATTAACAATTTAGGATAATATTCATTTGTTCCACTGATGGAAAAAGAAGTATCCACAGTCGAACAACTAAAATGGTTGCTATTAGTGGAAGAGGTGCAATGAAATGATGTGTAACTTATTATTTATAGATTTGTTTCCTATGTGTTTTTACACAGACAAGTATGAAGCACATATCATTGTTTTAAAGCCGGAGCTGTTTACAAAGACAGGTCCTATAAGCCATCAAAATGAACACAAAACAATCACAACACACCAACAAGTATGCAATAAAAACAACAGAAAATGAATTAAAATATCTACTCATTCATGGGAGCAAAACTGACTTTAACCTGAGTTTGAAATGACTTTGTCAGGATTTTCACTTGCTATTAAAAGGACACTTTAAGGATTTACTTCAGCATTTAATCTCAGCAAGAATCAAAACTTGAAGTTGATTACTTCCTTTGCAAACTCTAGGCATGAGCAGCTATGTAAGTTATACTTTTATATTAGAGTCAGTGTAAAAATATTACTCACTACATAAAAAAAATTCATTGATGTATTCATATGTTTTATATTTTTGACCACCATATCCCCACAGCAGCAAAAGTCTGAAGTCTGCAGCTTACAGATTGATTGAGCTGCACTCAGAGGAGGGAAAATATTCTTCTGAAAGCAAATGTCCCTTCAAGAACACACACACTGGTCCTTGAGGAGAAGCAAATATTTAATTGTGGAGACTTTTGGTGCTCTTGAGTTGAGTTATCTCCCAAATGCAACCTCACAGTTACCAGCACATATCTCAACATGTACCGCACCAAGGCCCTACATTTTAATTTCCCAGCACTCCCTTTCTCATCTATCTCTAGTGGCTAAACAGAGGGAGAGAAGGGTAGGAAAAAATAACAGCTAATTGAATTTGTGCATCTGCTTCTGCCCACACATATAGATGAAATTCAGTAGGAAAAAATGAAAGAATGAGGGACTGCTGTTTTCAATATGGGGCAATCACTCGCCTATCTGTTCATTTTTTACAGTCTCCCTTTTCATCTTCACTGGAACAAACCATGAAGGAGTGGGATTCTCCATTAAGAATGAGTGGGATGGGAAGGTAAACAGATGCATGCAAATGAGGGTGTGGAGGTTGGATGGGTGAGGAAGGAGGGGGTCAGGGGAGTGAGGAGGGAGGGGAGGGCAGGGGGATGAGTGTTCGTCTCCTGATAAGGGTGTTTGTATTCCACTACTGGGTGAAAAGCAGAGGGAGTGAAGGGAAGAGAGGAGAGGAAGTATGAGAGTCAATGATGAGGACAGCAGTTTGAGTAGGATGATATTGTAAGATTATTAGAAGGCCTGAGCACATAAAGACACACTTAAAATAAAAAAATTAAAAAAACTTGTGTGTTCCAATGACTCAGTTTGAGTTTCTGCACTGGGAACTTACCCTCACAGAAATGGCGTTTCTCACTGTAGTAGTGATGTTCCAGAGGATTGACTGTAGATAATAGAAAAAGCCAAATGTAAGGTTATTTTAAATCTGTACAGTGACCGAAATAGCATGATATACTGGAACTCATGATTTTAATCTTTGTGTGTGATTAGATCATGAAGAACATGATAATTAACTAGTTCAAACATCCCCTTTAGTCACAAGAGACCTTGTTGCTGCTGTGTAACCCATAACTGGGCCTCTTGGCCTGGTCGCCATGAGCAAGAAAGTGGTCAGTCTGATGGCCGGCCTCTCTGGCAAGCAGGAACACCTCCAGGATTAGTAGTATTAATCAGATAAGGGGGTAAGGGGCCAGACAGGCCCAGACATGGGCACCTGCTTTGGGGCTGGGTGGGGAGGGTTTGGGGATGTTTTTTTTTTTTTTTTATTGGCTGCAGGGGACCCCAAGAGCTGCTCCAATGAGCCTGGGTCTACCTCTAGTGGGGGGATGAGGAATTACAAATGATCCCCTCCAATTATGCAGGTATCAGAGCAATCCAGGACCAACACAGAACTCCAACACTCAAGTCTCACTGAAATATACAGATTTAACTTAAACATTGTAAAATTCTTATTTGAATGACATTTAGCTGCTAGATTAAGAACATCCCATTTGGTCTGTTGTTCATTAGGTGTACCAGCTACTGCTGCTGCAGTACAACTACTCCATATTTTATAAGAGTGTTGAACTGGAAAGCTCTTTCAGTCATTCAACTTTTAGCATTGCTGATATAAATGAATCAGTCAGAAACAAAAGGAACACTTGGTAGAGCCACCCAATGAATTTACAGAAAACTGCAGACTGCTGCCTCCAAAATAGTCATACAGTTAAAGCAGCACCTCTTTAGAACTATTTTAACAGCAACTGAACATGAAGATTGTCTTTAGGGCACCTTCATCGCAGAGGGACTGTAATAAAATGAATCACTTTAACTACCTACCTTAAGCTTGACATACCTCGCCAAAACTGGGAGAAAACTAGTAAAATGATGACACAAATAATATGGTCTTACATAAGTATCTTTTTATTTTTGGCTGAAAAAGTTATTTTACTTGACATGCCAGATGTGGTTCATGATGAACCTTCCTCACTAGTCTTAGGCAGGCAGAGCTGAATTGACAAACAGTTATCTTATTCGCTTCAATCAGAGTTTAGCAACAAGTGTATCAGAATAAGATGATAGCTGATAGGAGTTTCGACCATCTATGGTTAGATTTAAGCAAACCACCCACAGATGTTTTAATGACAACATTTTTGAGTGTTTAACTCTTAAAAGAATACTAATAATTAGGGATCGATTCCATACTTAAACACTTACCGATGCACAAGTGTGCAACCGTTTTTCTTTTTTCTTTTCATAGTTGCAAACTTTCTTTTACATTTGTTGAAGCTGACTGATTTACTGTCCATAGAAAATATATATACGAAATATCTTTTGTATGAATTTTAATTTGATATGGCCTAATTGGTTTTACATGCAACCCAGTGTAATGACTCAGGCAATTATTACACTGCTCTGTGAAATGTTGTGATACTTATGGATAGTGCCTCTGCTCCCCTGCTCTGTCTCTCCCCCCTTCTTTTTCTCCCTCTTTCCTCCCCCCACTGATATCAAGCCACACTTTAGTAATCCTCCAAATGAAAGGATTTGGAGCGAGAGCATCGTCTCCCCACTGAAGATTGGAATGAAAGAGAAGGCAGCTTCTCAGATGAGAGGGAAGGGAGGAAACCCTGTGATGAGAGGCAAGGAGGAAGAGACAGGGAGACACACTGTTGCACAGAATGAGCAAGAACAAAATATACATGTTAGAGAGACAAAAGAGAGGGAACTTTCTGAAGGTGAAGCAGTGAAATCTAAGACAAGCAGTGTAACAAACAGAAAACATGCTGATGGACAGAAGAGAGACTGTGAAATCAAGATTTGTTAGAGATGAGCATTGTTGGCACTATCCCAAGTACAGAGGATAGTTCTTAAAGCCTCTGACTGCTGGTTTGACCCCTGGCCATGAGCAGTTTCTGCAGGTCTTATCCCACTCACTACTTCCCACACATCTCATCCCTCTTCATCTGTCTTGTTTAATAAAGGCAAGATTCCCTCCCATTTGTTGGGTAGCAGGAAAGATCAGAAATGAAAGAAATGTATCAATTGTCTTTCAGAAAAGAAAAGAAGTGTCTAGAGCTGTACATCTCAAGGTGAGCTTTATATAGCTTAAATAGCCCCACTATGCAGAGTTATTAATCAACAGTGGATAAATATGACATTTTTTAAAGTGTGAAATAGGGACAGACAAATCCTGCTGCTCTTTTTAGTTTTTTTGTATCTGAGTTCCTTACCAGGATCAGGATGTCCCCATTAGGCAAATTTGGGACAAATATAATTAAAGCTGGTTGAATTAAAGGTCAAATAAAACAAGGGTTTTTCTGTCCCATTTTCCACTGATGACTGAAAGACAGAATTTCTAAGTTTACATAAGACTTCACAACTTAACACTCAAATAGTTTGGGGGAAAAAATAAAGAATCATTCAAGTCTGATTAAAAAAAAAAAAAAAAAGATTATATCTGAAGACATCTTTTTTTTGTGAAATTACCAGCTAAGGTAGGTCAGAAATGCCAGTGTCTTCTGATGTTGCAAAACTTTCAGAGACTTTATGTCCTAATTTATACAGCTCTTACTTACTTTAGAAAGTAATGTATAGAATACACTAGTAAACTGAAGTATTTATCACATTAATGAATGTTTATTAGTGTTGTCAGCAATAACCTGTGATGGAATCAAGATTCAGAATGAACGTGTTCTTTGTATTTGTTGTGTTTCAGTTTTTTTTGTATGCTATTTTGTTTCAGCACATCATAAAAAAGCCACACTACCATCCTGCTGCAGCTCTGATGGAAAGTGACACCACTGTGCTTTTGAGTATGACAGGTGATGTTAAAAAAAGTCACCAATGGCTGAGTTTTTAAGTCGCTAACAATACTAGAATAATGGTAGAATTAAAATATCACTACAGTTCAAGTCAGAGCAACCATCAACAAGGCCAGCATACAAGTGTAGCCCATCAGACTACAGTGGGCAACATTATCACTAAGCTAGCAGAGCACTATTTTTGAGTGTGGCAGTCATTGTAGACCAATCAATGACACCAAATCAAAGAAATTAACTACAGCGCTTGCTTAGTGGGTGACAGGACCTGCATTCATTTAATCGCCAAACAAGACACTGGTAAGAATTGCTTTACATAGTTAGTGTGGACCTAAAAACAGTTTTGAAATATGAAATCATTTAAACAATTCTTTGTCAAAGCTAAGACCTGTTATTTTTAAGGTGCTTCCTAGGCACAAATATTTCTTAGTGGATAACTTTTTTGTAACATTTTCCTGAAGCACCTCTTTTCAGAGTGGCACATTCATATAAATACAGATAAATGTAAATTAACAGTCTCTAGCAGCCTCCCTCAGGATGCATGGTGTTCAATATGACTACATTAAAAAATTACGTGAAGTAAAGGATATCTCATCCCCTTACTGCTTTTGCCATGAGGAAGCTTTCAGTGCTTCTTGGTGAGAGTGAGACCTCCTGGCCTGAGGCAATATGAGGCTGGACTACATGGGGCCTCATGCTATATGATCTAGCAGAGAGTCAACAGTTTAGTTTTCCTATCGCTGAGTGTCAGGACCCAGGGTCAACAGGAACACAGGCAGTGCAGGAGATAGAACCATGGAGGCCTAATAACCTGCATGTTTGTGTGTGGTATGTGCATAAGGTTTTAGGGCATCAATTCTATACGCTTAAAGCCAATGGACAGGAGTTTGTGTGGCTAAGAGGTGTTAGACCCTAAAACAGGCAGGACCAATAATTTCTGTGTGTGTGTTCAGGGCTTGTGTTAGTGTGGGAGGCAGCAGAAAGCCCTTCCTCATATATAAGGAAAGCACATAGATTCCAAAAACAAGACAAATGCAACTTATCTTAAACACAAACAGACATCCAATATAAACAGTATTTACCTGGCTCTCCTTTATCGTAGTACTGATAGGTGCCAATATCTGTATCTGCGGGGTGAGAGAGAGAGGAGAGAGAGTGAAAGAGAGAGAGGGAGGATGATGAACATCTTGCTGTCAGGGAAAAGCAGAAGACAGATCAGCAATTTCGCACCGTGGGATAAACAATCGCTATCAGCCAGTGGTCTGTCCCGTCTGCCAGCACCACGGTTTGAGCTGAGATAAGGCCTGTGAGGGAGGGGAACGGGGGAGGGCTGGGGTGTGTGTATGTGTGTGTGATGGGGGGTCCAAACTAGAATAGAAGAAGGGGAGCAGAGGGGTATTAATAAAATGGGAGTGTGCCTCAACCTGTCCCACCTGGGGGGGTTGACTCTAATTTCCACACATGCAACACATACATCTAAAAGAAGATGCACAGAATCAGCAGGTAGCTGTAAAACATATGACCAATATATGCACAACATGTAGCAAGCGCTGACGATTACACACGCACACACACACACACACACACACACACACACACACACACACACACACACACACACACACACACACACACACACACACACACACACACAAACTGCTGAGCTGAGCCTTTTTTTTGTCAGTGTTATTCCTGCAGGCCCAAAACCATAAGCAGCCAGACTCGGATTCGCACAACACATCGTTTCTTTATCGCTTCATGACTGTTGCTGCTGCCGCTGCTGCTGCTCCTGAGGCCAGGTCATACTAATACAACAGGAGAGCTGATGGCAGACACACAAACACACCGACACAGCAGTTCACAACGAGATTTTTAGTTTTTTTTTTTCATAACCTTGAGAATCACCTGCATACTTTTTTTTCATTAAACAAAAGTTATTATCAATATGATTATTATTGAATTTCCCTTTGGGAATAAATAAAGTTCTTATTGTTGTTATTATTATTATTGTGCTAAATCTAAGCACTTTAACCTGCATTAAAGCATGTCTTGTTTGTCAACATATATTCAATTGCATGTGTAACTTATAATAATAATAATAATAAAAAGTTAACACTCAGTTTTATTCACAATGCCAGGAAGAATCCATAGTTGTGGCATTGTGCTGTTGTAAAAAACAGCACCTTTTAATGTGGCCAGTTTAAGGCACACCTGTGCAATAATTATGCTGTCTAATCAGCTTCTTGATGTTCCACACCTGTGAGGTAGATATATTTTCTCAGCAAAGGAGAAGTGTTCACGAACACAGATTTAGACAAATTTGTCAACAACATTTGAGAGAGATAGGTCTTTTGAGTACATAGAAAAAAGTCTGAGATCTTTGAGTTTAGCTCATGAAAAATGGGAAGTGTTGCGTTTATATTTTTGTTCAGTGTATTTCATTTACACTGTGTTGCTCAGGTGTGACTTTAAATTCTTCTTCAGTGTTTAAGCTTGTGAGCTGTCAGGCTACAGTTCTTTTACCAGACATCTTTTAAGACTTAAAACAGACACTTTCATAATAACATAATCTTCCATAAGGGTGACTATGTAGCTTTTTTTGTCAAACTACTGAAGTTTGATTCAAACTGTATTGAGGACAGCTGTTGCTCTCTTGTCTTGAGTGCTGCAACTGGGTTTAGCTGCAAACTCTGTATTTGTTTTCAGGCAACAGGACTGACAGTTTAGCTGGCCAGCAAAATCAACAGGCTATATATCAGCTTGGTATTACAGCCTCAAGCTAGTTAGGCACAAACACTTCTCAAAAATGATAGAGAAGAGCATGTCATGAAAGAGTAGGGGAGGGACAAAATGTTGTTTTAATATCTTGTTGTTCTTTCCTGTGCAACACTATTATTGTATCTTTGGTAAATAAATATGTTATAGCCAGTCAATATTCAATTTGAATATTGACTGGCTTCCACACTAGTTGTGCTGTCACAAATCATGGCTGTACTTCAAACACTGAATTCAGATTTTAGGGGAAACTGTCTTCTCTAATCAAATTAAAGCCACATATCCATAATTCTTACGTAAAGGTACAAGATTTAGGAAAAGTAATGATAATTCACAAAAAGAATGAAGACTGAGAACTCCAAGCTTAGAGAGGTAAGATGGAAAGGTCACAGGATCAAAGCTAATTCGGCACTTTAAGTCTTTGTTAGTGTTCTAACTAGAGATGGGTGATGGGTGATAAATGATCGTTCATTATAAATCATCATAAAAATCCTCCATGATAAATATTTGCCATCTCATGATAAATACAATAAATGCAAGTTGATGACATAAGCGCAAGCAACGGACTCACAGCCGTAGCCCACACAGCTTAGAATAACAAACAAACATGGCTGAAGGTAATGAAGAAGACGTTTCTGAGCAGCTGGAGACTCCACATGAGGGATTTCCTCATGTTGGGGTTGGGGTTTAGATGAGTGCAATCAGGTCTGCCTGACAATGGACAGTGGATCTGCTGCTGCTGTTCACTCTGTACAATAAGAGTTTTCAACAAATGTTGAAAATGTTTCCACATTTGAGACTTGTTTGATGTCATTAGTTTTGTCCATAACCTACCACTTCAACTTGTAGTTCGCTATCTTATTTGATAACTCCAACTGGTGTTCTCAAGACAAAATGAGTCAAAAATATAGATTGGAATTATAATATTTTTTTATCGGGACTTTTATCATTATCACCAGAATGGCAAATCTTATCGTGACACACTTTTTTAGCCCATATCGCCCATCCCTAGTTCTAACTCAATAACTATCTTTGCCATTAAGAAAATATGTTTCCATTGCAAAGGCTTGAAAGGGTATAGATGATACAAAGGTGTACAAATATGATTGACTAAAATAGAAAATATATGAAATGAGCACAAAAGAGTACTCTGGTGTCTTATGGTATATGCTTTTATGAATGTACTGTATATTTTTGTTTTTTGAGGCAGATGTACATGATGTAACGAAGAAGGTGATAGGGAGCGTCACACCTCAGCAACCAGGTCTCTGTGCTCGGATGTATCCATCCACATATTTCTCAGATAGCAGAAGACACACAGTAGGAATAAACAAACAAATAAGGATATGTCACCATCACCTAGGATATACACTGTGTCATACACATATCAACACACACAAACACACATAGACAGTTGGGGGAAAGACACTATCTTTGTCTAAAGCCCAGCAGACTGTGAAAGACAAGACAGAAAGGAAGGGAGAAGAAAACAAGAAAATAGATGGAAATGCTCTGTTTCTCCAAAGGGAGAGATGGTCTGATAGTTTGTGAGCAGAAAAACACACACACAGACAAAAATGCCAGAAAAGTCAAACTTATACCAAACCACCCAGCTTCACAACAAAGCAGTGGTCACCAAATGTTGAATGGGTGGGTTTTAAGTTGTGTTTTATACAGTATGTGTATTTTATCACCAGAGAAATTGCAGTACTTGTTCTATTGTGGCTAACATGTTTGTGGCAATAATGGCGACTTTAACAACACAAAAGTACAACAAACTGACATTGAGTTTTAACAGTTGCTGTCCTGGTGTTTTGAAGAGCTTTATTCAACTCTGCCATTTAAAATTGTGAACTAAATTGCAAATTAATCAAAGCTAAAGATATCTTTCATTTGTTTTTTTCCAATTATTTTCTACAAAAACAAACCAAAAACTTAATTTTCATTATTTTTTCTTGTACTAAATCTATGAATTTAGATGTGATATAAAATGGTACTTACTGCTTTTGATGACTAATATTTGCTTAATATTCACGTTGACTCAAATGTCTAGTTATTCATGAGTCGCTAGAGTTTCATTTGTTGACAAATCACACTTGGAGAAAACGGAAATATAGTTAGTTTAGTTGTAAATAAAGAAAATATTAAGAAAGAAAAAGAATTGAATGCCAGAAAATTTTAGGAGAGAAAGAGAAAATAGAACGACAAGCACTGGTGTTGACTGAGAGTCTGATTGTCTAAGTAGATATTGGTATGGCGGGGCGAAGGTGTGAAAACAAAGTGAGTGATGACAGAGGGTGCCAGAGCAAGACAGAGTGAGAGGAGACAGAGAAAGGAGATGTGGAGAGAATCACTGAGAGAGGGAGGGTGATTGAACATGGTGATAAGTGCTACCTTTGACTTGGAGCAAGCTCTTGGTGGACCACAAGTGCAGCTCAGCCAGGCAGAACGCCATCTGACGGAGAAGTGTAACCCGAGTCTGTGGAAAGGGATGAGTGAGAGAAAGAACAAATGAGAGACAGGGAGAGGGAGAAAGGGAGAGAGAGAGAGAGAGAGAGAGAGAGAGAGAGAGAGAGACAGGGCATAATGAAAACAACCGCAGATGCATATCTTGACAAGACGACATAACAGGTTGACTAAATGGGCCTGAGGGTCGCTCAAAGCATGCATGTAGGCACAGGAACATATGTACACACAAAGTAGAAGGGGAAATACATCAATTCCTACCAACAGAAATATACTTCTTTTTTCAAGATCTGCGCAGATGATAGAAGCACAAAGAAGAGTGCCAGTGTAGTGGAGTGAAACACCTTCTAATGACCAGGTAATAAAAACAAGGTGACATAAAGGAGCATAATGACAAGGGTAATTGATAAAAACACTAGGAAATATGTATCAAAAGACAAGAGAATTTATGTTTTCCCCCAGAAGAGTCAAAATTCTTAATATGGTTAGATTTTTAGACAGGAATGGCAAAGTTTCAGATGTCAAAGAAACAAGTTTTGGCTGGATTTCCAGGGTAATAAGGTAAACTAATGCTGAGGTTTAGTATCAAATCAAAATCTGATCTATATCCATATGAAGGAGTTTATAGTAAACTAGTTATCTGTAGTAGCCAAGGGCTGTCCCTAAAATAAGTGACAGTGGCGCTGTAACATAATCCTCTCTTGTAGCACCACGTCTATACCTGTTAGTCCTGTGTTACCAGAAAGTTGGAATTATAGAAGTGGGTTGTAGGTATGAGTGCATATTTTGACCACCACACTGATTAACAGACACAGACAGACATGCACGTGAACTCAGACTGACTCCAAAACAAGGTCACGACCAGTAACCTCCTTTCACACATCACAGGTGAGCAGTGACGGACGCACACTTTGCAGCTGACAGGTGAAAGAAAGGAAACAGCATTCCTCACATCAGTCTGTGAACACAGGACAGTTGACTGTGAAAGGTACTGGCTGTCCCTTTTTCTTTATCACAGACTTTACTCTCAAGTCAGTCAACTTCTGCTCCTAAAGCGTTAGGCAGCTGCTATCTTCTGCCCCTTCTCTGTAGGCTGTCCCCTGCAGTACTGATGCCTCTTGTTGTATGTGGCTAACCTTCTCTGATGTATAAGTAGGACATAGAATTTCCTACAGGGGGAGAAAAAAAAATCTATATTAAATATTATTAAATCATAACTATAGCCATCAAACCATTCTATGGCCATCACCTTCTTCATCACAAGCATAACAATGAAAAGAAGTTCCATAATGGCTGAAATTTTCTAGGCCAGACTCAAACCATTATGTGATAGGAATGTTTTTCCTCACCTCACCAACTTTTTAAGATAAAGTTAGACCCAAGATTTAACTTAAAATCTTTGGTCTTGTTTTCTATACCTGACCTATTACAGATCACTCACCTATCAGACCGTCTTACAGTAAATGTTAAAAACAATTGTTTAGGCCCATGACTGGTCACTGTTCATAATTTCAAAGGTTTCTAAGAGTCTGGTTTAAAATCCTTATCATCATATAATCCCTATGTTACATCTTGTATAATTTAAGCTGACCAGTGCTAAATACAAAACTAATACCTACTGGAGTTGGCAGTATTTCTCTGGTATGTATTTTTTAATGATCACACCTGAGATAAACCTGGCAGTCATCGAATTTTTATCAAAAGCTATTAGTCTGCACACACAAAGTTTCTTGCACACATGGGTGTAAAGTACATATATACACAGACACACATGGATGGTGTGGCAGCATGCTAGACAAATCCTGGACAGCTGCCGCACTCATTCTGATTTCTGGCTAAGGTTGCTGTGGGTTACCTGTCCCCTCACAGAGCTTTGTGGGGGTTCACAGCCGGTGTTCAGGCGGCTGTGTGAGGGGTTGGGGGGTCTAGGTTATTGTACCCTGTCTTTACACTGGTTAAGAGGCTGCTTTAACATCAAAGGAGAGGAGGGGGAACATAGGACTCTTCTTTCAAAGACAATCCACAGGAACTACGACCTTGTCTGCTCTCTGCATCTCTCTCTCTGCTCTTCTTTTACTCCCCCCCAGGTGGTTACTGTGTGTGAGGTATGTGTGTGTGTGTGTGTGTGTGTGCAAAGAGGAACAGGAGCAAAAAGAAAGTGCCTTTGTGTGAGTGTGCCTGGTTATGCAGGCTTGTGTATGTACCAGAGTTCGAAGGACAGTGAAAGACAGACCTTTGAGTAAATATTGATTTGTGACTCAAAGTAAAAGACAGAAACAATGAGAGCCTTTCTATGTTTCCGGTTTGTAGTCCTGTCTGTCTCTAACACTTTCATGTTCTCATAGCCACAACCCAAACAGACATTTATTTAAGTTGACAGGCAAGTTTACACAAAGCTATGATTGTACACATGCTCTGAGTGTATTCATGAATACTTAATGACTGTACTACTCAAATATTGTATTTGGTTTGATTCTTATTGATGCCCTTTCTTAGCTGCCGTTTCCACATCCTGTCTCTTGTGGACGACTGACATGTCCTGACCTTTCTAACATACAATGCACCATCTGACAAATAACAGTCAAAGGCGCACTCCAAGTGCAAACCTCTGGCAAGGCTGAACATTTCTCTAAGTTTTGTTTCTATTAAGTATTCAAAGTGATTTTTTTAGGAATCTATGCCCACAGCAAACCTTCAGGACCATTTTGGTCCTTATCCGACAAGAAGATGACCTACACAATATACAATATGTAGAACTATGACCAGCTCCTGGAAGTCAGCAAGCCGCCATTACTGCAGCTGAGTTTTTCCAAGTTTTTGACACCTTAGAAGATTGCTGACATTTGGGGGTAACCCATTTCTCTGCATAGCAAATAAAAGACTATCATCAGTGCACGTCAAGGGTACCATTTAGTGTTGAAAGGGCATCATTTATGAGTGAAACACAAAGCTATACTATAGTATGTCTGGGATGTCAGGATCAGACTCCCATTAATTCTTTATGCCAAGAATAAATATAGCTTCAGTTCTGGGTTGCACTTTATGAGGTGTTCAGGGTGTTGTGTGACTTTGATTATCATATTTGGGTTATTTGACATTTACTTGTTTATGTGGGATGACCTTGCAGAAAAGACCCTACTGGATGGAACATATACCTTCAAGACCCGGTGTGACTTTTGAGTGCTTCTCTCTTTATGGCCAGTTGGGACATTAGTGCATTTAAGAGGATGTTATTGTTTTCAAGTCACTAGACTGATAAAATGCACTGGGATTCTCTAACATACATATGGGAAGCAAAATGCATTATAGAATCCATTGTTTGTCTACTCTCATTAACCACACAACAATGTGTCCACATCCTATTTACAGTAGGATAAAGAAATGGTTAGAAGAAGGCTTGTTAGAGCCTGTTATGTAACAATGACCCGAAATGTAATAAAAAATGTAAAAAAACATCAATTGTAATAAAAATTTTTAATAAAATGCAAAATGTAATAACTGGTCGATAATGTAAAAGGACGCTGAGCTCAAAGCATAATAACTTTGTGCCCAAAATTTACCATTTTGTTACGTTTTAGGTTTTATTACATTTGTTTTTATTCCATTCGGGCTCAACACTTTGTTATATTATTGACAAATGATTGCATTCCAGGCTTGATAACATTTATTTTTATAACATTTCAGGTCATTGTTACATTTCAGGTCATTCTTACATATCGGGCTCTAACAAGTCTGTCAAGGACAATGCTGACAATTTTGACAAATGTATAAAAAACCCCATCATTTTAGAAAGCAGCTTCAGTCATAATGTAAGAGGCCAGTAGTTAATCTATTTTTTTATTACTCACAGTTGTTTTGTTTCAGCCAATGTGATGACAAAATAAAAAAAAGATCAAGTTTTGACGACAACCCTAGGAACTGCCAGGGCCTTGGTTCTGATATAGGGCTCTAAACATAAGAAAGACAAGCCTTAAATGAATGCAGACTCACAGACATTTTGTTTGACACTCTAAGAATCTTTTTTCACAGGTATACACGTTTTCTCTCTCTCACACACACACACACGCCAGAGGTAGTGTTGTCAGTAGGTGCATTGGTCCCATCAATGTGAGATGAGTGATGTGGTAAATTACAGGGTAAAAGTGCTGCCACAGAGTGACTGACATAAGGCCATCACAGCCTTGTCTCATCCCCCCACCCTCAATACACTCACACACCCACACACACAACTATGCTCCCCTTACCAGGTTCTGTTTAACTCTGTCAGTTTTTCTGTCCACTTCCTCTCTTTTTTCCACTTGTACCTTCACTTATCATCCCCCCGCTTACTTGTCCCTTGCCTTTTATCTTTTTTCCCTCTTCTTGTCTCCCATGTTTTTCTCAGGTACCTCCTATTAGAAATGCATTAAACTTTCTGACCCTGTCTTCAAGCTTTCACTCTCCTTCTGACAATTTTGCTCTTCTCATTCTTTGTCTCATTTCTCTCAAAGAGCAGAATTCAGTGTGCCTGATTTTCTTGTTTTTCCTTGTAGTTTGTATTCCAGTCTTTCTTGTCTCTTCACTCTCAAAAGGACACAGTTTAAAAATTTTCTGACTCTTTCCCCACAACCTTTATCTTAAGCAGGCGTGCTCTCTCTCTGTGCTACTGTCTGGTCTTGTTTTGGCTCTAAGAGAGAAACTCAGGAGACATGAAGAACATACAAATTTCAACTTGAAAGTACAGCCACTGAGGGAGAGTTTATAATTGTGTGTGTATGAGTGTATATTTTCCAATCTGAGCTGCCTTGGAGTTCCTACCACAACTCAGCTACTGACTACATGAATACATACACTCATGTATTCAGTAAACACACTTAAGCACTCAAGTCAGCCCTACATCGCACACTTTCCAATCTCTCCAGCTCCTGATATGTGAATTCACTCTGCACATAGGCATGAAGGTATGCAGGGAAAGACATATACAGTACGCTGCATACACTCCTATCTTTTAACCTTGTGATACCTCAGGAAATGTACACATGCACACATTAACATTCATATGAAACCATGCACACTGGCTCCAACAAGCCCTTATCGTCAGTATATTCTTGAGGGAGAAGTCCTCAAGCTTTCAGTGTCATATCAGAGTAAAGCAAGGTGAAGCAAATCTGAAAAAATATGCAGCAAGAGAAAGAGTCAGATAATGATGAGTGCAAAATGGATAAAACAAAGAGTCAGAGCCCTGAAAGGGGGGCTAATGTTCACCATAGGAGGGCTGTGACAACTGGGATGACAGATTAAATGGATGTCTGTGTTAAGGGTGTTCGATATATCCAGTAAACAGAAAATACTGCAGGCTTGTTTTATGTTAGATACATTAGAATTTATTACACCAAGGGCACAAAGAGAGCAAAGGAAATTTGTCATGCAAGTTTATGAGTGCTCAGAGAGGCAGCTCATACTTTGCATTAACATGTGGTTTTTGATCAGAATCTATGTGACCAGCTTTTAGTACTAGCTTTCACATTTTTCATCATCACTTTTTCCCCTTCAGATACAAATTAATGCTGAGCCCCATTCGCCTTCAGTGGACTGCATGAATAGGAATATTTATTGCTTCGACCACTCTTTCTGTTGAGGGTCTTTGAGAGCAGGCCACAACATGAAGGACTTCTATGCCATTATTTATTCATATTATTTCAGATAAAAGCTTACAATCACTTCTGCCTGATTCCAAGTAAAAACTTTGCAGAACTTAACTTCGAGGGATTTTTTTCCCCCTATTTTAATGTCAATAAAAAAAATAAAACTTCAGTGATCAAACTGGTGTCATTTTATGTAGCCAGGGTGGAATTTAACACAGTGATTTAGAGGACATTTTCATTACAATATATGTTGTTCATTGTGACATAGCCTAAAAATCTTGCCAAATATGCCATATACCCATGCCAAAGTTTGTGTGTAAGGTGAGTAATTACAGATTACACAACCCAAGGATCAGAAAAAATATGATAAAAGTGAATTAAATTAATCTTCTGCTCGTCCATAGGCTTCCAACCAAATGTACAGGCTCTGTACACTGATTGATATCCTTGAAATGTATATACTGTCAATGATCCTCCAACAAGTTAAAAACAAGGGTTCACAAATTTAACCAATAAGAGCAACTTTTTTGTCAACTCAGGCATATTTATGCTTACGTCACACAACATGCCCCAAACACAAACTGAAATGTATTTAATCCAGCAGGCTTTTGGCTAAATACCAGCATTATTAGCACTATTATTAGTATTATATTTCACTGTTTTGCAGGGGAAATAAAATACCTTGGCTGCAAAAGAGACAGAGTATAGGGAAAATATTGAAACAAGTTATTTTTATTTTTTTGAGCAGGGAGGTAGAGCAGTTGTCCAATAACTGGAAGGATGATCTCCGACCTGTCCCTAGTCTGTCTGTTGTGTCCTTGAGCAAGACACTTAACCCACCTTGCTCCTCCACTGGTGTGTGATTGTGAGTATTGTGTGGTGGTGGTCGGAAAGGGCGTAGGTGCAAACTAGCAGACACGTTTCTGTCAGTCTGCCCCAGGGCAGCTGTGACTACTAAGGTATTTTCCACCACCAGGGTGTGACTGTGTGAGCAAATGAATGATGTATCCAATGTAAAGCACTTTGAGGGTCTCTGATAAAGTGCTGTAAAATCTGATGCGTTATTATTTATTATTATCTGCTACTTTTTGGTTTGTTGGGGTTTCCTGTGGGGTGTATTTGACTGTATAGCCTCTAGGAGCAGCTAACCATGTCTAGAAGTTCTAGTCCAGTCCTTTCCTTTTCCACCCCTCTCCCTCACAGCCTGTCACTCTCTTCCTCACTCTCCTCCTCATTTTACTTCAGTGGTTTTGTCGAGGACCAAAGGCATTACAGAACTCGACCTGCTGTGGAGACAAAAAAGAAAGGAAGAACTGAAAACTATTTTCTCCAGACTTCAGAATGAAAGTGCTGCGAGGACTACCGGCAGAGTATTCACTTACACACATGCACTCACACACTTTCTCTCTGTCACACACACAACCACAGGGACGTGTACATTCAACTGTCCCATTACATGACATAGAGTCTGGTTGAAGAGGGTGCAGGGTGGGCAAAGCGGCGCCAGCCAGCAAGCTGGAAACATTTCACACACACATACACACACACCTGCGTGCGCACACATTCACACACATGCATTTAACAGAGCCCCACAAGAGCCCATTCAGCTGTAGGCAGAAAGAGAAAAAGAGGTGATGGACAGGCAGAACAAAATGAGGTAAAGGTAATACTATTCAAGAGAGGTGATGGATACAGTCACTCTATATGTGTGTGTGTTTGTGTGTGTGTGCATGTGTGCATTTAAACAGGACATGTCAATCAGCAGGAAAATGAAGATGAGTGACATGACTGCTGGGCAAGTCTTTTCATTGAGTGATGTTTGTGGGTATGTTTGTCTCTCAGAAAGTGTTTGTGCATGTTTGTACCTGTATGTGCAATTGTGCATGTATGCAGATCACCTGAAGTTACATTCCTGGTTTGGGGGGCATGTGGAGGTGAGGAGTTGAAAAGTTCAGGGGGTTAGGGAAGATAAAGCAAGAGAGACATTCTCCTACATAATCAAACATCTCGCAACTAAATTAAAAACACTACATAGAAAAATAATGTTGGGAAAAGAAGTTAGAGGAACACTGTGGATAGAAACTAAAACTACGACATCTGCTATACAAAGAACTAGTTATTAGGGCCTACCTATAGATCAGAGTGCTACCACCTAAATAGTTTTAATGTAAGTTTTTATGATACATTATTTCATTCAATCATTTATTGTTTATGTTATTGTAAAAGATTGTGAAAGATGAGACCGATCACACATCTTGATTTAATGGGCCTTCCTCAAAATCATTGCTTTATTTATTAACCATCTAAACAACAAAATACAACCAATCCAGGGATCAAATAAATATTTTGCAGTTCTTCTGGGAAAAAAAGACTTAGTTGATCAAATAAATGTTGACAGCTGAGTCAGTTTCGAAAGGTGAATAATAAACAGTAATTAATTCATCCTATGACTTCTATTGTGTTGTCCAAAGGTAATCCTTTGTGCGAGCCAGGGGCTCTTATGGACCGTCAAAGAGTAAGAATGAAAAATGTCAAATGTAATTTTCACATGTGTGCATTATCAGGCTCACGTCTAACTGTTAAAACAAACAAAGACTAATTTTTTGTGATGTATTTCGGAGAAGGTTTAAAATTAGTATACCAGCTGCCGTGCAAAATAGTCCAGATTAAAATTTTGCTGCATCAGCATGTCTACGTACGTGTGTGTGGATGTGCATCAAAGGAAGGAAGAGGGAGATGAATGCAGGGCGTAAAAAAACAAATATAACCGCAGGACTGACCAAGACAAGTGGGGCAGACAAAGACACGCTCAGATGTAAATCTTATTTTCAATTTCCCTTTAGTTCACCACATGGAAGAGGAAAACTGCTGTCTTAACCATACAATTCAAAGGTTTTAATATCCTTCAAATCTCACATTCGTAACAGGTTCTTTTGAACCAGTGGTGGTTTTCTTTCACTCCTGCTTAGCTAATAGGAGTAATCCTGGCAAGTGTTTTACAAAAAGTAGAGTTCATCTGCTCCGTAGCAATGCCCAAGGGCAAGAAAGACTATGCTCCCAAATCAGCGGCACAATTGCTGCCTGACTTCAAAGAGACTGTGTGCCTCTCCGGTGTCTGACTCCTGTCACAGCAAAGGTGACGCGTGTCACACTGACTGGGGTTTTGTTTTTGTTGCTGGATTTTCTTCCTTTAAAGCTGTTTGGTGCCCTGTTGTTTGCCCCTCACCTCTTGACCACAAACACACGTAAAAGCTGTGAACACCATGGACTCACAAATAAACACAAAATTACATATGCTTATTTGTGTGCTGACACATTCAATACAAACAACAACATGAGTCCATTCTGATAAATACTAGAACTCAATGAATGCCAAACACATTTATGATGTAAAACACATTCTGAAATATGAACTAATTGAAGGGTATTTCTTCTAAAAGTTCTTCTTATATGCTCTAGCTTAGAGCTCACTTTCTTTTTTTCTTAAAGACTTTTTCACCTTTTTTATTTAAGATAGCTGTAGAGACAGGAAATGCAGTGAGTTGACATACAACAATGGGTCATTAGTCAAAACATCGACTGCAGTGCAGAGGACCAATAGTCTCTGTAAGGCCAAACCAGCGTTCCTCAAATGCTTCTTCACTTGGGGCAGAGACTCATTCCCCAACCATAGACAGCCATCCACCATTTTCCGGCACAGCATCATGGCCTTGGTTTAGAGGTGCAGATTCTCATCCCAGCTGCTTTGCATTTGGCTGTAAATTGCCCAAATGCCTGCTGGAGGTCCAAGCCTGAAGAAGCCCACAAAACCATCATTTTCATAAGGGCAGAGAATCCAGAGGCTCCCAAACTGCAGAGCATCCTCCCTCTGCTGCACCTTGAGTTCCTATCCATCAAAATCACAAAAAGGATTAATGACAAATACAACCCTGACCAAGACTAACATGCAATGAGAACGTACCTGACTTTGTACCAAGTATTTGGACACAGCTCACACTTTGGTCACACAGACACTGTAAAGCTTGCAGTAACACCCTGGCACCCTGTATTCTTGTAGTGCCCCACATAAGCACCTCCCTGTCTACACATAGACTGCACTGGCAAACTCCCATGCCCCCAATAGAAGCCTTGAAAGGGTTAAGACTTGGTCCACTTAACCACTACCAGGGGGAAAACTGCATTGTTCCTGTATGTTGTATCCTGTATACAGTAATTTGCACACACACCTAGGTCCCTTTTTTTAGAAATGGGAACCACCATCCGGTCTGCCATTCCACAGGCACTATCCCAGACCTCCATGTGGCACTGATGAGGTGAGCCAACCCTTACAAGGTCCAGGGCCTAAAGCATCTTGGGGTAAACCCCATAAACACCAGACGCCTTTCGACTTAGGAGATTTTTGACTACCTTGGTGGCGTTCGCCAAGGATATAGATGGGTTTTCAGACTCTGCTTCCACCTCCTCAGATGTGTTTGTTAGATTCAGGAGATCCTCAACGTGTTCCTTCTACAATATCCCAATTCCAGGTCAGCAGTTCTCCATCCCTGTTGGTAAAAGCCTGAGCAAAGCCCTTCTTTCCCATCTTGAGTCACCTGGTGGTTTGGCAGAACTTCCTCCGGGCCAGCCAATATTCCTTCTCCATAAACTCCCAAACTTCTCCCACACCTAGGATTTTGCTTCTACTACCATGAAAGCAGCTGCTCTTCTAGCTACCCAGTACCTGTCAGCTGCTTCCTGAGACCTCTGGGCCAGCCAAGCCTGAAAGGCCTCCTTTTTTGGCTTGACAGCTTCCTTAACCGCTGGTTTCTACCACTAGGTTCTAGGGTTACCACCATGACGGGCACCCAAAGCCTTTAAGCCACAACCTCTGGCAGCTCCCTCTGCAATAGAGGCTTCGAGCATGGCCCATTCAGATCCCATGTTCCCAGCCTCCCCCATAATGTGTGAGAAATCCTTCAGGAGGTGGAAGTTGAAGACCTCATGTAATTGGGCTTCTACCAAGTTCGCCAAGACAACATGTTTGAGTTTGCCAGGTCTATCCAGCAGTCTATCTCACCATCTTATCTAACACACCACCAGTTGGTGATCAGTTGGCAGCTCTGCTCCTCTCTTCACCTGAATGTCCATAACAGAGGCTATCATCAACCTTCAGCCAAGGGTGGCTTGGTACCGTGCACACTTATGAACCACCTTATGCTTGAACAAGGTGTTTGTCATGGCCAATCTATGACCAACAAAGAAGTCCAATAACAAAGCACTGTTGAAGATCAGATAGAATGGACAGGCCCTTTCTCCTGCCTATCTCCAGGTGTCTCTATCTTTTCCCACATAGGTGGTGAAGTACCTCAGTAGAGCAATGGAGTCTCCAGTCGGAACCTCTTCAAGAACCCCACCCAGAGACTTCTAAAAGGTTATGTATGCACAAGCAACACCTTTCACGGCTTGAAGTTGAAAAGAGGCAACTCTTTCCCTCCCTGGTGAGAACTCTAACACTGAAGCACTCAGCTGGGGGCTTGTAAGTATCCTCACAGTGGCCTGGCACTTCCACCTTCAGAGAAGGAGTTGATAAATTGGTACGACTGGTTAAGTTCATATGTTACATTTATTGTTTTAATTAGACCACTCTTTACCTGTGTGTTTGATCAACAGGAATGCAGCAAGGTTAAATTGTGCCCCTGCATCAGTGTCTTGTGTGTACAAACAGCTCGGTTTAAGCCCCCCACAATTGCAATACACAATATATGCACTTGAAACTACACAAACACACATAGCCACAGACAGACCTGTCAGCAGCTCAGGAAGACGAGGACCTTTAAAGTTGTTGTCAGATGCACAGAGGGAGATGGACCCTTGCAAAACGAAAGGTCACACTAAACGCCCCCTATACTTCTCAGCAGTCTTATTTCCCCGTCACACACTCACACACACGCTGTCTATCACCTTTCAGACCAGGCCATGACATCTTGGACACCTCTCAGCAGGCAGTGCTACTCTCTTTCCCTCCCTCTCTGACAGGTTGTCATGGCACAGAGTGGTCGGATGTCGATGGCACTTGGACCGAGAAGTTTGTTCTCTTTGCTGTGACCTTAGAAATGGACCAGTGTCATATCTCTTAACTTCTTCTCTGCTGTAGGACAGTCCTGCCTAGAAGTAGAAATAAGTGCCTACTCCCTACTCCTCTTTCCTTTACCTGGCAATTGTCTATCAATATTCAGCCCTGTAGTCTGAATAAAGGGAGCAAGGGTTTATTTTTTAATCTTGTTTTCTATATTTGTATTTCAGGTCACTTAATCAGAAAAAAAAAGAAGAAAATTCTGCTGAAGTTGCTAAACTTTGGTTTCAGGTTTTAATTACTATAGTCTACAGGTTATTGAAGACACAAATTTAGAGAAGTTGCTTTATTTCTTTTGGAATTTGATAAAAAACAATAAAAACAAAAAATAGAATTAAGTGAAGTAATTAACTTACAAATTTACAATTTCACAACACAAACTTTTTAAGAGCAAATATTGCACCTTTAAAAAAGCTTTATGCCAGTCAACTCTTATACTACATAATGACAGTAAAGCATTCCTTTTGATTTACTTTCAGCAGATATGATAATTTTAATTTCTTACTTCTGGTTGTGATTTGTAGACTGCCAGATCAATCAAAATGAAATTGTGTTAACTGGACATGCAGAAAATTCATCTATAATGAGAAGTAAAGCCAGATATCATCTATTGGTGCAGACATATTGTACTGGTGGGACAAAAGCTTGTGCAGAAAGGACCTAGCTAGTGAAAATTCTTGAAAAATTTAAAAACTTGAAGCTTGAAAACCAGCATTATAGAAACCAACCATAATGACATAAAGCATTATTTTTATGTCATCTTTATGTCATTATGTTATCTTTGAAATTTTGGCACATGTCAACTTTTCAGATCATCCAATGCCATTCACTGCTAATCACACTCTGACACAGTATGCAGAGGCCCTTTGTAACACTTCAGAGAAATAGCAGCTCTTTCGCGTGTAATCTAAGTAAAAGAAGTTTCCATATTTTGCCCAGTTAATATACACACTTTGTAAAGCACTGCAATTAACATCCATGTCCTTGCAATACAATGGGGATATCATGTGCATAAACTAAATATCTGCGTTGTAAATGGCAAAGATAATATTGTCTGTCCTGTTAAGTGATGAATGATTTTGATTAACATACCTTTTGAGGCAATGAACACGCTGTCAAACAAAAGTAGCTTCAGTGCTAAAAGCTAGTTTGTCAATTACCCTGTTAGAGTGAAACCTTTTTTTTTCTTGCTCGCAGTAAGGGGTCAGTCAAGCTGCTATTGAGGTTTGAAATCAGCAGAATGGAAGCACAGAAATAAGACAATGCAACTGTTGCACACACACACACACACACACACACACACACACACACACACACACACACACACACACACACACACACACACACACACACACACACATCTAGCTTTTCTCCATCTGTCAAAAAGCCCAAACACCCAGCCATGCATGAAAACATCCCGTTTCTGGACAAATTCTCTTCCTTAGAGAGTACAGTCACTGTGGAACTCAAAATGACACAGCTTGCACCCCATGACACCCACATCAATCCACACAACCACACATGCACACAGAAGAAGGCGTAGTTCTACAACACTGATTTTGGCTGTTTAGTCAGAACAATAGCAGAGCTCTGCCTTGACAGCCAGGTCAAGTCATGTCTTGTCAGACCTTGTCTCCTCTTTCCATTGTACCAAACAGTAATGTCTCGAGTACCTCAGGAGCCTCCACTGGGCCCCATGTTAAACACACTCACCCTACGGTCAGACCTGTCTGGCATAGAGCAAAAGTCTCGTCTTTCACATCAAACGTTCAACTGTATCCCAGGTCTAATATTCAGTTTAGGCCAATAGTAACAGATGACCGTTGACAATGAAAAAATAGTAAAACAGCCACTTGGAAGAATCACTGGATAGACTTTTTAAACATTCTACCTGACCAAACTAATGTGTCTTTGTGTATTTCCTCATCCATCACAGTTCACCTGTATGAACCCTGCCATCAATAATCCATCAATGCTCTCCAAGTTCAATGTTCCTTTTCTGGTGATCTCTTCTACAACTAATTATTGATATTCCATACCCATTTCATTTTCGAGAGAAGAACAAGCTCAGTAAATTAGAATTAAAAATTATTCATTCTTCATAGTCATTTTTCAAACTGAAAGTCCAAGGACAGCTCAGAGAAAGTGACGATATGCAAAATCTAGATACAATCTCTCCAGAGTGTGATGAATTAACTTTTTTGTCCAACTTAAAAAAATAAAAAATAAGAACTTTACATCCATATATTAAGCCTTGTCCAAGAAGCGTTTGATTTTCTTTTCTGTAGTCCAACACTTCTGTAATCTAAATCCCTGTTTTGATTGAGCTAACAATTTGAGATACTATATTTCTGATTTTCATGAGTCCCAGTAATTAAAATTTAAACCTAAAATGGCTTTGTCATATTTTATTCACGTGTATTGGTATAGGTTATTCTAAAAATGCAGGCTACCTTTTTAATGATCGTCTAATCTGTTGAAATGCACCTGTACATAAACAGTATCCCTCAAGACTTGTGCTCTACTGACAATGATTTATCTCTCAATCATAATGCAGTCTGTGCATTCAATCATCTTCATTAGAGGCTCTGTTTGACAAGCACTTGAGAGCTTAGCAGTAAAAACCTCTCACATTAAAACATCATCCAGGAGGGTCAAAGTCGTTGCTCACACAGGGGAAGTGATCTTGACAGATGATATGCGACTGTTGATTTAAAAACCAGCATGTGTTTTGAAACACGTGCTGAAACCAGGCCAATCGGAAATGTTAGAAAATTATGTTTGAAAAAAATGGAGGCAGACAATAACGCACTGGGACCTGAACTGCTACAGTCACAATCTCATCACGTGAAAACATTCAACACGAACCAAAATTAGACCAGGGCTGTGAAGCTCTCTTTGTCTTTGTGAGCGCATGTGTGATGATGATGACAAAAAGTGTGGATGAATTAGAGTGTACCCACTGTGACAAATTTCCCACCGCTGTTCTTTTTAATGAGTGACAGCCTCTTCACTGGCTCACTCCCCACCATCTCCCTCATACATGTTCGTGGGCTTAAAGTCGTCTGGGCCGGCCGATCCCGCCGGCTCACTGTCGGCACGGCAACGAGCACTATCCTGGCTGACATCTGCTGCACGACCCCGGGCCACTCAGAATGGGCCTTAATCCCTACCCTGCCATGATGTGGGGGAAAACATTCTTTCCTTTTAGTGAGTGCAGACAAACAGGGACGAGTGATGCTGCTGCTGGTAACCTGCAGGCAACCGGCCTCTTGGAGGGACCAGGAATGCTGTTAGTCGTCGCCCCCCCCATGTGTGTAGCGGCCCATTATGGCTGTGCAGAGGGGTGTGACCGCCAGCGTCTGCAGTGAGTTGCCATCACTGGTCCAGTTGGAGGGATTTGGGTTTTTATGTTAATGAAAGGTGGTGCAAGCAGGCAAGGTGGAGCGGGTCAGGGAGGGTTAGTCAGCCGGCCTTGTTATGCAAAAACAACAGTTGCATTGATTTGGGGAAAAAAAAAAAAACACCTTCCGTCCTCTCTAATGTGCATTTGCTGCCACAACAACTGGCCGTGTATCCAGAAGCCGTGTCACAGATGCATTTTTGGTCATCCTTCAGTGAGTTTTTAAAAAGCATTGTGGTCTCTGTCAATATTACAAGGCCTTAGGAGTGAGCTTTCAGTTAGGACATCAACATGTGGCAGTTTGGTGCCCCCCTGTGTCTGTTTCCAAGACAAACAGCCACTGAATGAGCACACAAAACAGTCATATTTTTGCAAAACGACACTCACGCCAAGAACCATTCAAAGTCAGAACACAACAAGATAACAACTCCTCTCCGCTCCTCTCCTCCCTAAAACAAGCTGAGCCATGATCCTTCATATTACTGTTTTCTGATACAGATCTTTGGCAGTGACGCCGGAGGAAATGAAGACGCAGCCCCATCAATCAGTCCATCAACTGCTATGAAATGTGTATTTGTCTTAATATGGAGTTTGATTCCATCAAACAAATTTCACGGACCATTTCCTTATGCAAACACCTCAGGGAGGAAGAGAGAGTGAGAGACTGGCAGAGCGTGGTTGGGACTCGCATAGAAAGGAAACAGACCTTAGAGGGTGGTGGGATATGTGTGTATATTAAAAGATTTAATTGAACAGTTCGGCTTCAGTGCCAAGAAGTTAGTTGGTGTGCTTGCAGAGGTCTCTGTTCTCTATGATTGAGGGCTAGGTTGTTGGTTTTTTCCCACAGCCAGCAAAGGCTTGGCTGGAAACAAAGTCCTTCTCAGGTTTCAATCACTGACAATAAGAGAGAGGGAAACTCTCAAAGGTAGAAGGTACATCAAGGCAGAGTGGAAACATTTGTACGCCTTCAGGCCTTGTCTTACAAACGAGCCAAAGCGACACACAACAACAGCTCAAATACGTCCGATGATTTCTGGAGAAAACAATTCATAAAATCTCTGAAGGCTCATTCAGAAGACGTGTACTGCTGTATGTAAAACCAAAAAGGTCTTGAAAAGTATGAATCAATAAATGTAGTATCCAGAATTTCAAATGGCATGAGTAGCAGCAACTGTGACATATTAACATCAGACTGTTTGCTGACTGACATTATTTAACTATCTTGTTGAGAAAAAAACATAAAGCAGAAGGTCAGCTATGGGTACAAGGTTTGAGAGATCTGTTTTCACATGGCATATTAGGATATCAGGTTCTTTTGGTAAGTAAGAACACTCAAAATCTCTCCATCGCTCAAAGATCAAAAAAGAAAAAAGAAACTATTTAAAAGCTAAATGAACACATGTTCTTGTTAGCTTTCCCTACCTGGGCTGCTTTTAAGTGAAGCACCCAAAAACCTTCCAAAGGAGGAAATAAAGCTTTAAGGTGAGGGATGATGCTTCCATTTGTGATTTTTGATATAAGTATGCTTTTTTTTCATACTTTCCATCTTAATGCTCAGTTTTTCCTACATATGAAATTGTTTTAAATGCCGTTTCATTGCTTGCTTGTTTAAACTATTTTATGACTTTTACAGCCACAAAATCATCAGAGAGGATTATGATGCTTCTTTTGATGCTGAGTTCATAACCCTGTGTTAAGATTTCTACAAACTAATGCAACACACAACTTAGCTAATTTCTAAATGTTGTTCTTGTGCAATGTTAATGTAATTGCAAAAAAAGAAGAATTTTACTGAGAAATACTTAACAATATACTATAAATATGGGAACTTGTCAAAGAAACATAAACGTCATAGGTATCTTATTTTGGTTCCTGAAATATTTTTGTTTTATTTCTCTGAATTCAGGTTCCTCAAAATGTATACTTCTGATTTCTTTATAAATAGCATATTTGTAAGATATGTGTGGAAAAAAAGAATACAATTCTTGATTTTAGAAAAAGCTGGCTAGTGTTCTTTCTTTTTGACAATGAGCCAAACAACTTCTCAGCAGTGAAAAGTGTTGGTCAAAGCCCTAAACTGTTCTTTTATGTAAGGCAAAAGGTGCATAAGGCCATATGAACCAGAGTAGAGCAGTGGTTAAGCCTGTCTGCACGCCAATCTGGTTTTGAACTACATTTAACTTTATTACATACAAAATGTAGAGCAAAACTGTGTAAATTCACTGCGATTCACATAATTACCAAATTTTTACATATGGGAATTCGTAATTAAAATAATAATAATAATAGTCCCAAAAATCTTTTGATGGATGAGAAAAAAAAAAAAAAGGTAACAGCTGTATCAACAAGTGTTTCCAGAGAGTCTTCACAGCTGATCCGTCAACACCAGTCTCCAAAATGCTGCATGAAGTAACAGGCAAATTGAACAAACTATAGCCTTATACTGACCCCCAGTGTTTTGTTATGGTTACTGCAAGTCCTATCAACTGAAGGAACAGGCCCTCACTAGTAGAAAACAGGTATCAAAAATCTTCCCCATCCCATCTTCGTCTCCATCAACTAATCTAAGACATGAACTTGACAGCACGCAGGCAAAGATATGCCACAAAGTAAACATGGCAATGGCACAGGGATACACAAGTTGAATATGATGGGTGATAGCAGAGGCGATGATGTCACTGTATGCTGTGTTTGTGATTGTTGTTTATGTATGTGGGTGTGCGAGCTCGTGTGAATGCAGCCTGCTATCTCAATGTGTCTGCTGGTACACTGTGAGGGCTATTTGGTCTAGCAAGGCAGATAAGAGGGCAATGATGAGGTCGGTGAATGTGCCGCCTATCTGCCTCAGAGCTGCCAACGTAACAGGGTCACCCAGGTGCACTCTGCAGGGACAAGTGGAGAAGCAGAATAGGGAGAGATAAAGGTAGAAGGATGAAGAGGGTGGAGATGAGGGAGGTGAAATGATGAGGGAATAAAAGAGGAAGAGGAGATGGATCGGACAATGGGGTGAAAGAGGGGTCAGCAGAGGTGACAGAAAGAGCAGTGAGGGATGTGTGAAAAATGCATGTGCAAAATCCACACTTCACACTGTGAATTTACAGTTAACATGTACATGTACATGTATTAAGCATGTGTGTTGCCAAGGATTTTTGCATGTGAGAACTTTGTCCACTTCAGTGGCTGCTGTCGAGCGCCAGGTTTTGCCTTGTGGGTGGGACAAAACACCCACAATGTTGATTGTTTTTACAGCATACACACACCATATCAGGCCAGCATGGCAAACTGGCACCAGATACTATCATGAGTGCTGCTGCTGTTTTTGGTTTCATTCTGATTTCCTTTTTTCAAAGTCAAGGTGTGCTTAATCCCCTCATGACAACGTGACTACGGAAACTGCCAAAAAGAAAATAAACAGAGGTCCAACTTGTCAAATAACAGAACAACTTCAGACTATTTCAAATGTGCTCCTTGTACATAAATCAAAACTGTCATAAGTTGTTTTCATTCAGAGTTCAGGGAATTTTGAGGTGATTTCCATGAATGTTTATGGCTTCACCTTATACCAAGTCCACTGACAGACTAATTAATACCTCAAATATGAGCTGTACAAAAAAGGGGGTTCCCTACAAACGCCTAAGACATACTGGAAAGCATCACTTAAGCTGTCAATCAGACCTGGACCTACACAAGCAGGTTTGAAACATATAAATTGTCTCCCACACAATGATGGTAAAGTACATTGATCTCATTCCAACTTTTTTCCCTTAAGTGAAATTAAATGTTAAAGACAGCACTGCTGACTTGCCTAACTAGCTTTTTTGTTTCCAACAGAACTCCAGATAACTGTTTTTCAAATATTTGGATAAATTTACTAATCTGAAGTAGAATTAGATTAGATTAGATTTTCCTTTATTCATCCCTCAGTGGGGAAATTAGGTTGTTAACAGCAGTGGTACACACAACACATTCATAATGGGTGCAAAAAACAAATAAATAAGATAAAGAACTACGGTTAAACAAAGAAAGAGCAGTGCAATCGAAGAACAGTATTAAAGACAAGTATAAAAAAAAATCAAAAAGAGAAAAAAAAAAAATCCTTGGAAATCCTTGGTGCTTGACTTCCCTAATGAAAGTCAAAGCGAGGCCCATGAGCAACAGGCTGGAAAACTTGGCAAGTGGAACACAGCCAGAGTGGATACAAAGTTCAAGACACAAAGATCCTTTTTTAGGCAGAACACTCTGGATCACCTATTCTCCTGAGTGGTGGGTTTATTTTACTGCAGGGCTGGGCGCTTTGGGAAAAAGTTTATCACAACATTTTTTTTTCATATCAGTCGATATCGATGTATATCACGATCTAAAAAATGAAATTTAACAGTGCTTATAGGTAGCATGTCTTTTGCAATACAATAAGCTACTGCATCTGTGAGGTCTTTGTGTCCCTTTGACGTTTTGTCATAAGGCGTTGTGCTGGAGAAAGCGGACTGAATGATCAGCTGTTTGGGCTGCACAGGCGCCATGGGCTCCTTGCTCCGCTCGGGGTTTGTAACCTTTTGCATTGTGCATGCTCTGTTGCATGGCACTGCTTCAGGTGGTGAAAAAGATCTGAGGTATTCCCTGACTTTGTGAGAACATGTACTTGACACAATTTGTAGTGCACATTGAGGTCATATCCGACCTCAAAAAAACAAAATACCTCCACACCACTGATGTTTTCATGACAGTACTGTCAACGATTTCATCATGTATTGAGCCTTCACCTGCATTTCTGCCGGGAGTAGCACTCATATTCTTTTTCTCTCACCAACAGTGCTGTCGGTTTTACCTGTTAAAGTGCTATGGTTGTGTGTAGCTGCAGCCTGCTACTACACAGTTGTTGCTACTTGGTTCTAATTCAGCACGATTGGTTGAGCGCGAAGCGGACCTGGAGCAACTCCCCTTTTCACTGGCTATTCGTATAGTCTACCAAAACATGGCAGAATGCAGACTACTGAGAGGCATATTGACCATGTTTTATATTGATATTTAAGGAAATTAATTTTCGATATATATTGTTATCGTTTTATCGCCAAGCCCTACTTTACAGTATAATCAGATGACTGGATAATGTTAGATGACGTTGTGTGTGTGTTTTGTGTACCGCAAAAAATGCAGTGCAATGTAATGTGTTTCTGTGGGAAAAAATACTGATGTTAAATTTTGTTATTGTGTAACTGTGGATTTGATTTATTTTGTTATATGTTCTCTTTAATGAGAAATGTTAATTTAATTGATCCAAACCCAAAATGTTTGTGTTTGACCATGAGGTTTGGTTAAGAGAATAATACGTTGCAAACTGATAGATATGCATCAGATAGGTTGACCTAAGAAGTTTCCTGATTTATTTTATGACCGATTGACTAATTGATGTGATCTTTTATAGATCAGGTTTTGTGTGGACTTGCAAAAGGCTATTCAGAAGATTGAATGTGATGGCAAACTATCCCAATGTGTGGAGATCATCCTATTGCTAGTTTCAGCAGATCCATGTTCTAAAATAAAGGACTCAGGAAAAGAGCAGGGGACTGGAAAAAGTCCGAGGGACTCTTCGTATTTTTGTGAAATTGTTTGAATTGTGTTTCATTATAATTTTTCAATATATTATTTAAAATGTATCTTTTAAGTTGTTTTTGTTATATTACTACAGACTTCTAGATACTAAACATACTTCATTTTATAGGTTCTTTAGTCAACTCTAGTATGAGGGCTTTGTGAGTGTTACATCATGCCATTTAAATACAGAATTAATTAGATTAATCAACACATAAAATAATGATGATGATAAGACATAGTCAAAAAGTGGACATTGAGTTGCTTGGTGTATAATGTCTTTTATTCATGTTTCTGATGCTTAAATTTGACTTCTGACATCTACCATGCTTTGTTTTTTTTTTGACAGAGAATCTTAATTCCTGTTGACTAATCTCTTAAGCAGTTTCTGCATACAATTTATAAATACAATATTTTTATTTCCTCAAGGAACCTTCCCAGAAGGATAAATAACGTTTTAACTAATCTAATTAGTTCTAAAACTTGTCTAAAACTTTGAATTAGAGGCAAAAAATTTCAATAGCACCATGGCAAACCTGATAAAACTTAAATTAAATATTTAACTTTGAATGCCATCAATTTGTTTTGTTCATACTTTTCCTTTTTAGATAAACCACCTTGGTATTATACTACGTGTAATAGATACGATAGATACAATTTTACAACCCAAAAGCTGGTTAACAACCTTAAATCAATTAATCTCACATCTCCTCAGCCTGCAGGGGATAAAAGTTTTAGCCTGACAGTCTATTATTTGTTTCACTTCATACTTTTTTTTCTTTTTGGTGCTTATTCAGACAGATTTCTTATATTTGTTGTATGCCATATTTCATAAAATGCTGTAAATGTTATTAATGTTGTGTTTTTTTTAACTCTGTAAAGCACTTAAAATTGTTCCATGTATGAATAGTGCTTTGTAAAGAAATGTCTCTTGCCTAATGAGGGAGCGTTCAGCAAAAGCACCTGATCACATCACATTTTAGGATTAATGGAATAAAACAACAGAGCAATATTGAAATGCTCTAGATTGGTTAAGTTGTTCTAGTTCAGTCCCTCACATTTCTTATACTGTGTTTTCTGTTTTATTTTGACATTTACTAGTCTCTCGTTTCATGTCAATTGACTTCCTGCTTTCCTGTGCTTCTAGCTCTCCTTACAACCCTGATGTGTTTCACCTGTATCTTGTTATCCACACTATTTAAAATAAGTCTTCTCTTCCTTCTTTGCTGGATAGTCTTGTGCCCTTGTGTTGATATTCCAGCCAGTGACTTTGCCTGTTGCCTTTCCAAAATTTGACATCCTTTTAGAAATTGTGTATCCTGCATCCTCCAGTCTAAAGAGAAGCAAAGCCACCCAACTTGTTATCAACACACTGTTCAGAAGCCGGTAGACGTGACGATATGGGGATGCATAGGTACCCATGCAATGGTTTGCTTACACATCTGAAAAGACACTGTTTATGCTAAACAATATATACTGCTTTTGGAGAAACATATGCTACCAGACAACACTTAACTTCTGAGGACCTCACACACTTGAGCAAGCTAATGTCAAACTGCATTCTGCATGTAGGTCTATTACAACAGCATGGATGAGTCTGGGTGCTAAACTGGTCTACCTTAAGTCTTGACTTGTCACCCACTGAAAATATTTGGTGCAACAAAAAGCAATAAAGTAAACCCCAAGCTGTTCAGCAGCTACAAGGTATCAATGGGCCAACATTTAACTTTCAAACCTCCAGAAACTGTTCTTCTCAGTTCCAATACAGTTTAAGAGTGCTGGTAAAAGAAGAGGTGATACGATGGTAAACATGCCCCATCCCCACTTTTTTCAAGCTAATACTACAAATTTATTTTCGTATTTGTTTTCAGTTGTTACTCTTTTGTAGTCTCACTATAACAAAAATTTCAAAATATTTATTTAACTATTTAATTTAACAACACAAACTGAGAATGTTTTGTTTGGTGCTGTTTGAATTAATGGATATTTTAAAGGAGTGGCGGTATCCACTCCATCAATTCCTAGGTTCCTAGTGAACCAATTCAGAATTTAAGCTATTATCCTACAACCCCTACTGAAGAAAGATGTGAAGGGCCTTAAATAGCTAATCATCTTATTGAAACAGAACAAGTGGATAAAGCTTCACTGGTAAAATCTAAGATCAGTATAAGGTGTACCCATATGATCTGTGAATGTACCCAATATTATACCAACATATTGCCCAAAATCAACTTATCTGATGAAGCAAAAAAGAAAGACTTGGACCATATCTACCAGCACCTCAAAGACTCATTTTCATTCATAGCATCTATGACACAATGCCTTATCCCTGTAGCCAGCCGGCCAAGCTAACTGCCAGTGAGAGCACATTGTGATGCCAGCCTGGTGTAATGTCATCTCCCTTGTTTTTTGTTCAAGTCATGTTATGAGTCTGTAATGAGGCCATGAAATATTAATAACCACACTAGCCTAACACTGGATCTCTATGGGGGTCCTCTAAACTCAAAACAAGATAGTAGACAGATAGCCTACTCTTTACACCTGCCTTGATGAAGAACCAAAGAGGGGGCAGACTGATCCAGAAACATTTTAGCGTTTCAAAATCTTTAGGTTTTAACAGTTTGAATCAAGCAAAGCCACAGTGGAGGTCTTTATTCATTCAGACTTTTAGGAGATGATAAATGTAGAATACGTCATTCCTGAGCTAATGGGGGATTTAAAACCATGCCTTGATAATCTATGCACCATCTTTTGAATAAGTAGTAAAACTGAGAAAGATTAACATATGTACATTGAAACAGTCGAGAGGACAGATAAAAGTTGGAAACTTACCTTAAACAGCTGAAGTGGAGAAAACTGCAGTTTCAGAGGTGAATTTATGCTGCAAGGCTTCTGTGGTTTTGAAGTAAGCGTTAACTAAAGTTAGAAAACTTTATGAGGCTTCCCTCTACCTCCAAAAAATAAATATAGTTAATCATTTTGGTAACATTTGGATGGCACGTTTACTGCTGATTACTCGGAGAAGTTAGCAATAACCAAACTTAGCAACTTGCAATACAGTGAAATCGTTCACGTTTAACCAGCCTTATTTCAGGATGGATATCACGAGTTAACACCGTTCGTCGTCGTTCGGTTCCTCTGATAACCAGTGATGTTCACCCGTCTGTCTTTCTATGACTAGCAAACTGTATCCTCGTTGCTAGCAACCTCTTTGGCGCTGCTACCACTGCCGCTGCTGTACACTGGTCGCTAAGCAACGATAAGCAGAACTTCAAAGGCTATGCTAACGAGCTAGCTTTAGAGCGGAACTAATGCTGCCTGTAACGCGACAACTTGAGCCCCTAAAGAGTAAAATATGTCGAGATCATTCTATGCATTCATGAGCGACAGAGACATTTTATTGATATTGGCGCCCTCACTTGTTGGTTGAGCTGAGTAGGTTTGTTTGGAATGTAAAACTGCATTAACCCTTAAAAACTACAAATACCTGGACCCCCAGTATGCCGTAAGACCGTTGCAAGTGTCGTGATCAGCTGAGGACTTAAATAGGAGTGATCTCCGGGGTGATCGAGAAGTGGGAGAGTGAGCACTGCTGTCGTTTAAACATGGTAAGTAGAAGCTACAAACAGTAGATTAGTTATCTTATTTTCAGTTTTTCTTAGGACGAAGGAATAAAACTATGGCGACTTTAATTTATCCAATCCAGCATTCTTAATGTTTCACAAAGTTCTGTAAATTTAAGTGGCTCTACAAGTTGATTTTTAATATATCTGCTCAGTCTTGTAATCAGTATGCAGCTTTCCGCAAACCCATCCCTCAGGACCTTAAAGTTTATTTTATTTTAGAAAATGCTTGTTTCCTATGCCTCATGCATACAACGCACCAATAACTTAACACTTTTTGAATGACTGCAGTTGAATGAATTGTAAAGATGGCGATGCACTTGATAACCTAAGTATATCCTGGTTTTGTTATGCAACAGTGAGTCCTCTATGGAACGGAGACAGTCTATTTTTGAACCGACCCCCCCTGCCTAAGTTAATCCTGTTGACCAGAATGGGCACCAATCCCACGTGCTGTGGACAATTACACTGTCACTGTCATACCCGTCCTCGTAGTGAAATCACTGCGATTAATACTAACCAATGTGATCTTTGATGTGATCTTTGCTTTGTGTTTTGCAGACTGAGCCTATTAGAGTTCTGGTGACCGGCGCTGCAGGGCAGATTGCCTATTCCTTGTTGTTCAGCATTGCCAAGGGAGATGTCTTTGGCACAGATCAGGTAAAGAAGGGCTTGCTCTATTAAGACACCCAATTCCCTTATCTTATTAGTCAGTGTAAGGGCAATGTCAGGTCGTACTGTTTGAATAGCAGTGAGCGTGATAAATTTTCTTGGTCATGTTGGGGATTGACATGGAATAGATGCTTTCCCCCCCTTTGGAAAGGGATCAGATTGCAGTTGCTGGTGCATGCGCCTTTGGGCGTGACAAAACTGCTTTTGAAGTTAGTGAAATGGACCCTATGCCAAGAGTCTTAGGTCATCTTTAAAACAGCTCCATCCACTTGGCACAGGCAGAGAGCCACATGGCTCAGGCCTTTACACTCCTTCCTGGAGACAACTTCCTTACCACCACTGTTTGTCATTCATTTTACATAGGAACCATACTTTAAGTGCATCTTAATTGATGTTTTGTTCACTTCATACAATTCATGCCACTGCCTACTTTCTTTCCACATTCTCTCAGCCTGTCGTCTTGCTCCTCTTGGACATAACAGCCATGTTACCAGTACTTGAAGGTGTTGTCATGGAGCTTCAGGACTGTGCCCTCCCACTTCTGAGAGGTAATAATGTTCGGATAAGAGAGATAACGGACACTGTGGAATGTATCCATTCCCATTTCATATCTCTTTTTGCCCATATATTGATAGAACAAGTGCACATGTAGCTGTGCTTGTGTTTGAAAAGTTAGGAGCTACACAATTCTAAAAAAAAAAAAATCTTAAAACAATGCATTTTATATGATGTATGTATGTCTGTATCACAGTGTTTAGGGGTCCTCATTTTCTGTGTGTCTTGACCAATTTAAAATTGAGCTAGATTGATGTTTTGATTCTGATACTGTCATTTTTGTACAGTTTTTTCCTGGAAATTACAACTCTGCCGGTAGTGGTGACCAATAGCGTAGAACTGTTTTTAGTTATTCTACCATTACCATTCCCTGTAAATACAGCTCTCGTCTCTGTGTTGAGTGTGCACCACCATCACAACCTCCTTCATATTTTTAAGCTTTCTGTCTGCCCGTATAGTCATTGTGGTGATGAGTGTTATAGATATATGCCTCAATAATTTTTCTATATTTTCTAGGTGGAGTAATTGCCTCTGAAAAATTAAAATATGTGGCTCATTTTTTTCTGTTATTGAATATTTAATAACTTTTATTATGATTATCTGAAAGTTAAATGCTGCTTGCTGCTGTGCAGCTAATCTGAAAGGGTACATTTTCCTGGTAAGATTTTCCTCTATGGAATTACCTCCTTCTTTGTGATACTTGGTACATGTGAGCACTAATTTCCATCAGGCTTGTCTAGTGCCATGACAGTACCCCAGTAACCCCTGACATTACCTCAGTCGTGAGGCGCCATTATGTGCTACCGCCATTGTGACCTGGAATTTTTACTCTGAATCGGTGCCGTCCTTTGCTTTGTTTGGACAGAGGCTATGAGAGGCCCCTGTATTAACAAAGACAGCAAAGACAACGCTTCATGCACTGAGGTGGGCCCAGCCATATAGTACCAACACTGGTTACGGACATAATAAATCCAGAATGATTTATTTTAATGTTGTGTGTTTGGTTTAAGAAATAAAAAAAAAAATCTTAAGAATGTAAGTTTACAAATATTTAAGATTATGTGTCACGTTGATTTATATGGACAAACTACATGGACAACCTTAAGCTTTTGTCTGTGTGTACTGTATTTGTGTAAGGAACGTACAATCAAGTTTATTGTCAACCCAACCTTTATCAGGAATCCAGACATGCTTCTTTATTATAGAAGAGTCAGTCAAGAGACGGCAATATAAGGGATCACCCTGAATAGCTACTTGGTTCTAAGTCTGAGCCCAAAAGGAAGTTCAAGACCAGAAAAGGGTTTTCGGTGCTGTTTTTTTTTTTTTTTTTTTTTACTGTACCTTGGAGTTTGTTAATCCTCAAGTGTAATCTTAGCCTCTTTTAGTTAGTTGCCAGAGAATCTGTTCAAGATTGGCAAAAAAAATCTTTTTGGTAGAAAATGTTATGAAACCTCTTTGTATTGAAAAATTGTAAACTGTTCATTCATTTTAATTTCCCACAGATATTGTTCCCACTGACAAGGAGGATGTAGCCTTTAAGGACCTGGATGTAGCTATCTTGGTGGGCTCCATGCCAAGGAAGGAAGGTATGGAGAGGAAGGACCTGCTTAAAGCCAATGTGGCCATCTTCAAGAGCCAAGGAGCTGCCCTGAATAATTATGCCAAGAAGACTGTCAAGGTAATTACACTGGCATGTAGTTATGTAGACATGCAGTTGCATGCCAAGTTCGCTTTATCGCCAAATCACCTTCTTTTCTATTTGTGCTAAGGCACAGATTCTGCTTTGGGTTAAGTTTCTCATGGTACACTGTTTCATAGTTGTCAAAATGTTCTTTATACTAATCATCTGTTGTGCCTATTCTTGTGCTGATTGTTCTCATTCTTTCTAGCTGAAGCCTTGATGTAATTCGCACTGTAATAATTGGGCAGTTCTTGAGCTCTTAATGATCTAAAGTGTTATACAGGTTTTCTTATCAAATAGTTAGCTGCTGAAGCCTTAAGCTGCTTTTAAAATAAAGCAAACTGCACAGTCATCAATCACTCAGTATGTTCTTAATAATGAGTTTGTATACATGGGCAGAAATCCATTCAGTTCGATTTAATTCAAATGAGTGCTTGTGTCTTAGGTCCTAGTGGTGGGAAACCCTGCCAATACCAACTGTTTGATTGCAGCAAAGTCTGCACCCTCCATCCCCAAAGAAAACTTCTCCTGCCTCACCCGTTTGGACCACAACAGGGCTCGCTCTCAGGTGGGTTTCTTTTGGCAGTTCATGATTTCTGTCACGAATTCATCTTTTTAGTACCTCCTTGTAAGTTCCTATTTGGAGCTAATTGTAAAACATGAATTTATTGTTGGTCCTCTGAGCCTATAGGTGGCAATGCGCTGTGGTGTTCCTGCCACCCATGTGAAGAATGTGATCATTTGGGGCAACCACTCGTCTACCCAGTACCCAGATGTGCACCATTGCATGGTCAACATGTCTGGTAGCGAGCTTGCTTGCTTCGATGCAGTCAAAGATGACGCCTGGCTCAAAGGAGACTTCATTGCTGTAAGTGAATTAAAACAGTGCCATCTACTTCACTGTGAAATACATTTTGCATCACTTAAAATTCCTGTGGCAGGTTTAAAAAATGTATTAAACAGCCTACTTTACAAAAGAGAAAACACGTAATAAAATAAACTATTGCTTACTGAAAGCAGTAGATATACTGAAAGCAATTGGTATATTTTCAGAGTAAATGTAAATGGTAGTGGGACATTTAGAAGTTATTTTTTTAACAGTTTACATCATTGAAAATACAGCTGTCAAAGGAATTTGCAGATGCTTCGGCCGTAGTCTTAGATACTTCAAAAAAGAAAGCACACCATAGCTCAATAACACAAGATAATGTCCACATGCGTGCTGTCATTTCTATTAATTGCAACAGTTTTTTTTGTATTTCAGACAGTGCAGCAAAGAGGTGCTGCAGTCATCAAGGCCAGGAAGCTGTCTAGTGCCATGTCTGCAGCCAAGGCCATCTGTGACCACATGAGAGACATCTGGAATGGCACCCCTGCGGTAACATCCATTATTATGAATACTTAAGTAATAAAGTCTGTATTTCCCACATTCTGTTGAGAAGTGTTTCTTTCTCAACCTTTTGTATTGTTTTAGGCAATATTGGTACAACCCATCTTGAATTTTTTGTTAGGTGGAAATAAAAAATCAGGACTGTACAGGTCACACATGGTTTTAAGCCACTGTTTAGTGTTGTTGAATGCCCATTTTTATACTAACCCGATGATATGCTATGTGTTGAATGAACAGTTTGGTGTATGAATTTCAGTAGTAACCAGGTGAACTTGTTTTTTAGGGTGAGTTTGTCTCGATGGGTATTTACTCCTCAGGCAACTCCTATGGAGTCCCAGAAGACCTCATCTACTCATTCCCTGTCCAGATCAAGGTGAGAGTGGCCATTTGTTTCCCCCCTTCAGCAGCCTATCATCTGTTTGAATTCAACATCATATTCGTTTTTCAAATGAAAGCACTTTGCAGCTTGTGAAAAGTTGCACCATCATTAGTGAACATGGATAAATTGAGGTTTCTCAGAACAAAGTTATGTTAATATGACTTTCCACAGGACAAGACCTGGAAGATTGTAGATGGCCTGGATGTCAACTCCTTTTCCCAGTCGAAGATGGAGGCTACAGCTGCAGAGCTGATAGAAGAGAGAGACACAGCTGTGGATCTCCTGAAAGTATGACTAGACCCTTCAGGGCCATCTGATCAGCATTTAGATTGCCCCAAAACTCCAGACGCACGCCTGTGAAAAGCCCTCCTCCGCCAACCCCTGCATTACTCTGTATGTGTGTGAGAGACTGAGAGAGCGAGTCATTGTGTTTATAAGCGTAAAGATGGATTTGTACTTATGCGTATGAAGACCACAGCATAGGTTAGAGTCTACGCACAAAAATGTGCTGCAGCTAGCAAGATTCTGAACAGTGACCGTCTAGTTTATGCCCATTTAATTCATTTTCAATTCTTCTACCGACTGTTGATAGTAGAATCTAAATTATGCAAGTAAACTGAAAGATCTTAAGGTGTCAACTTTTAAGTTGTACCACATACTGGAAATCATTTGATCTGCCAAAGCCATTGCACTACAAGCCTTGAATTTTCTCTGATTGGCACTGCCTTTCAAGATGTGTAAAAAGAACGTTGTTGTGCTAACTTTGGTTATAACCTGCAGCACAACATGATTCTCCTTTCTGCAGTCAGGAATGCACGAGTATGACTCCACCTTAGTCTATAAAGTTCTTTCTGAAAGTCTAACTCTGTTACCATCTCTTTTTCAAATATTTTTTCTGTGGGGGTAAGTGAAACATGGATGGTTGTTACATGTAGTCAGCAATGCATTGGGCTTTCAATAACTGAAATAAAAAACAAAAACAAAAAAAAAACTTAAAGCTCAATCAATAAAAACAATTATGACTGTAGTCATGGTATCATATTGTGTTTCCTTGTTTACTTTCTGAGTGTATTTCTTGTCTGTAAGGGTATTCTCACACCGTACAATAAAATACATGTCAGGTCATTTTGTGACTCCAAATGAAATCTTCTGTGTCATTTCTGTGCTGAAAGGCCTGAATATACTTTGAGGCTGGTAGAAGTTTTTACGTAGACCATGAATAACTGTTACCACAACTATCAGTGCATTATACAGTCCTGACTATCATGGTTTAAATTAGCCTCTCTTGTACAATAGTGACCCTCAAGCTAAGGATACAGGACTTAAAGGTCCTGAAGTCGCCCGAAGTCCTTTTGCTTACACTTGCTGTACTGTTATGGCTCAAGGACACCGCGGTTTCACAATCTCCCCAAAAGGGGGCAGAATTCTCTGTTTTTCCCCCCTGCCTGGACGCATGAGGTTCGGTTATGTAACATCTGTAAATGGTGAAATGGACATGGTATTATTGTCTATTTTTTAAAACAAAATAACAAAAGGTGCGAATCTGTCTTGTAGAATTAAAACAAGTCAAAATGAATGGGTATATTTGATCTATTTTGTAAAAACATCACGGCGAGCCTGTCAGAAGTCACAATATTTTTTTATTTTCACTTTGTGGACTAACCGATAAATAAAACTAAAATGTGAGTACGGTGATGTGGACCCTTTTGGTAGGCCGATCCTAATTTCCAAAATTTGGGGATTCTTCAACCCGGAACTGTCAGAAACCATGCCAGACGTAGCTTAAATCTATTGGTTATAAAATCTGCGTCACAAGAAAAACAGTCTCGTGATTGGCCGCTATCCTCCCGCAACATTCCCATTCGCCCCTACCCGGAATGGCACTGTGGTGAAAATATCTTGAATTCATCTTTCAAGTTCTTCAGTTTTTACCTCTTTGTAAGTTTAATTTCGTGATGTCTGGTGGAAACTTGAGACCGATGTCTTAAAGTGAACCCATCTTCAAATATCAAAGCACATATTGTGAGTTCCTTGTTGTCTTTTCTCAGGGTTTTCTGTGGTCCTTCAGAACCGCAGGACCAGGCCGACCCCGACGACTTTTCTTCCGCCAGCATCCAACAGTCACACCGTAAGAAATGGTTATGTATATCACTACATTTTATCAGTTTGCCTCGACATTTTGCAGTTTTTCGCCAGTCAGTTTTTGTGAGGGTTATACCTTGAAGTGCGCTACAGTGCAGCATTTTTAGACATTTATCGAAAGCGGTGGTTTTATGTCTTGAGGCGTTTACGGAACCTCTGTTTCGCTGTGTCGTCTTTTATGTTTCCAAGGGTATATACTCGGTGGGTGGTAATCATATTGATCTTTTCCCGGGTACATGCCGTCCATCTCTTTCCATTCACTCATCAGTCATTCATTTCCGCAGCCTCGAGCCCCCGAAGTTCACCCCGGCAGGCAGCTCACGCGCATGGACTCGGTTGTGTGCATCTTTCCGGTTAATAATTGACGTGGTGTTAGTTGCCAGTGGACTCTGGGGCAGAAAGAAATAACAGGAGCTGAAAATCGACGGCTCTGTAGCAATAAGGAAATAAAAAAAGAAAGCAAGGGGGCGAGGCAGAGCGAAAACCATGATCAGAGGTTGGGAGTCACAGCAAGGCGGATTTGTGACGTGGTTTACTGTATCGGGGTTGGAAAATAAGAGGCAGGGAGGACAAGCAATAAAGGAACCAGCTTAATGTGCAAGGACAATTTTAGGCTGCTGTCCAGCAAGATAAGGGTGGTGATATAAGGCTCCTTTTGCTTTTTACCTGACATCTCAGCCTTACTGAATGGACTAACAAGGTTGATACACATCTGAATGAATCTTGGCTTGCAAGACACCCCAAAGAAACTTTTCAGTCCACCAGAGGACGTATTGTGAATTATATTTCAGTTTTTTCCTGCGAGTTCTGTGTTAGGAGCCTTTGGATTTATATTATAGTTTAACTGTATGTGTTGCTGAAGAGGTGGTTACCTGGCAGCTAAAACATGGCACTTTTTGTGAAGGGTAAGTACTTTTCAGCTCTTCCCATAAGATGTTTGCCACAGGCAAATGAGCATATTTAACTGTGTTTAATTATTTAACTCATTATCTTTGTCTTCAAACCCAAACTCAACCCAATTCATCTGACAGGTCGTTTTAAATTGCGGTACTTCATTGGTTTTAGCACAATAGTCTCTTAAATCAGAGAAACTTGACCTCAGGTTCATTCATCACATTTATAATATATATATTATCATATATTGTTGCTTTAGGTGTATTCAAAACAAACAAGGTAGAAGACTGTAAATATCCAAGTGGTGAAACTTCTTCTCATTTGCACTTGAACACACTGCTAGATTAAGTAGAGTCTATTATTTTAGGTTCAATCAGTCCACTATCCAATTCAACCACTGTTTTTTTTTCCCTTTGTTTCTTCAGCCTTATTACTACCTATAGGGTTTTTTTTTCTGCTGTGCATTTCCTGTTAGGCTACTTGTCTGATCTGTGCTGTTATATGGGTAATCACCGTGCCTGTCATTTACAACCCTAACCCTCTACCAGAAATACAACATTCATCCATCTACAGGCAAACCATGTGCCAGTGACAGCTGATTTTCTAAACAGATTATCTCCTCTATTCCAAAAGAAATAGACAGTTTCACTAAGATCGTTAGAGAAGAAAAGTGCCTCCAGGTGATGAGTGGTATGATGACAAGCTGACTTACCACCAAGTTAACTTACTTCATCAGGATACATGTTTTATTGACCCTCTGGACAACGGTGCAGTGTGTGCTGCTCTTATTATGTCTCTGTTTGTTGTTCATTGACGTGTTGTAGAATACACATACAAATAATCAATGAAAGCAGCAGTTTATCCATTAATCAACAAATCAGCATACTCAGCTCAGATTATAACCCATCACAGTTGCAGTACTTGCAGTGTGCTCTTGTTAAAAGAAGGAAGTGAAAGTAGAGTCTTAAAGTCTTTGAGTATGACATTCCTCAAAAGCTTTACCAGAGATCACGAGGGTCATCTTTGTTTCCCTCTTATCATACTACTCTGGTCTATGGTAACAATGATTTATGGCACATTTTACATAGAGGTCATTTTCCTGTTGTTAGATCTTTGGACTCAGAGGCAGTAAATGATTCTGTTGTGAAATTGTTCCTTGTCACTCACTACGTTAGTTTGCCAACCAGTGAGGACTGATTTCAGAGACAGATTCTGATGACACTCCATACTAAGTCATATTTTAATGTTTCTCTTTGTTTGATAGCATACAGTGCAATAAGAAAGCAAAGTCAGTCTAATCACAACATTGAGAATGTCAAGCTGCCGAAAAGCAAACAGCCAACATTTTTACAGTGCATCCTCACCTCCATGTTTGAACATGATGTGCAGTCTACACAGTTTACTTTATAAGCAATAATAAAGCTGACTTAACTGTTTGACTTTTAAAATAATTAGGCACAGTCATTCCGCTAGTATGCTGATCAGATGTGCAAAGCTGTGGAGCCAAGCTGCCTGACTTGGGCGTGTTGTACTTAAATGTCAAGAAGTGAAACACCCATCTTTGCTCTACCAATTTGCCAGTTGATTTAAAGATAAGTCAAAATTTCAGTGAGATGGCTGTCATCTTTAGGATTTAATCACATCTCTTTAGAAACTTGTGGCCTTCACGAGAGATGTTTTTCCTCAATTCAAAAAAGTAGCAGCAATTTAATGATTATTTTACAAGTACAATATTCATTGTTTTTAATAAAAAAGAAAGTGGTCACTGTAATCATGTAGAGTTCATGCTTATGTCTTTTTTCCTCTGTTATTTTCTTTCGAACCATTAAACATTCACTTTAGAATAATATCAGACAATTTGTTGGGAAAAAACTTGTATATTTTTGGAGCTCAGAATGGATTAATCTTCCATTATTGTCATGCTTGAAAGTTTTTGTCAAGTGAGGTCAATTTTTAAGATCAAGAATGACAGATTTTGTCTTATTCAACTTTTTATGTAATCTGAATAAGAAAGATCTTTGAGATTAGAAATCTTTTGAAGAGAGTCTCTGCCAAGAGAGGCAGCAGTACAGTTCATAAATGTCCTGACAACGAGCAGCCACACACACACACAGAGACAATGCAATGAATGTATACATTAAATCACAGACCAAAAGGTGAAACAAGTTCATCACAACTATCAAGCAGAATATCCACAGCTATCTGTGCTTGGCTCCATATGTTCTAAAATATCCTAAAAGCAAGGGAATGAATGATTTTGTTGGTAGAAATGAAGGAAGAAGACCTACAGTACATTTGTAAATTAGGACTCACCAGTCTCTCAGCTTACATGCAGATGAAAAGGACCGACCAACAGTGATCAGTGAGAGCTTTAAAGTTAGAGATGAACCTCTGTGCTCCCTGCCTCATACACAGTCCCAAGAGCATGCAAAGTCTGAGAAGAGGCATGCATTCATAACACATCACGAAAATCTAGCATACACATGACAGTGACAAAGACCAGTTTCTTTTTGGACTTGCACAGAAAGGCAGGATTTGGTTCTAAACAAAAAAACAACATTCAGTCTTAGTCCTCAACAGCTGTTCAATATGAGGTTCAAAAAAGCGATTCTTTACATAAAATGCCAAGGTGTCTGTAGTGGGACACATGTTCAACATGTGTACCTTGAAAATATCAGTAAACCGTCACTTGTTTGTATTCTGTAGTAGTTAAAACATTGTTATCCATCTTCCTCCATCTTTCTTGTTCAGGTCTGAGTAACACAGAAACCGGCAAAGGGATGGCTCAGTTCCAGGAAATGATGCGGCAGCAGCTGGAGAGCTCCATGCACACAGAGCTTGAGAAACTGCTGGACACTACCACCGGCCCAGAGAAAGAGGTGAAATGCTATCCCTCTTTCTTTTTCTGTCTGCCTCACACTCTCTCTTTATCCCCCTCTGTTTTCCTTTGACCATCTGGTTGTGATTTAAAGAGTGGTTGGGTCACACACACAAACACTGGGGAAACACAGGAGTGACACATACTACAGCACAGAGCCAATGAGGGTCCCACCTACATGCTACTCACATACTCGCTTACGTCAAGTGTACGTCACTGAAATTATGAAGGCGAGGTAATGATTAAACAGTCATCCTTTTTATTAGCCTTAATCATAATATAACAAACTATCAGAGACGCCCAGCCTAAATTAAGCCCTGTATATTTGTCTTTTTGCTCCAAAATGGATTATAGTCTTAGAAGGGATCACCAAACAGTCCAAACCATCCAATTATTCCCAGCTCCAGAATAAAATCTTAAGTGTCTTCCAAATAGGGTAAATTCAGGCTGACCATGATTTGTTCCTTTGGTATGAAACATTGCAGACCTCAAGACAAAGCTGTCACTGCTAAAATAGTTCAAAACTGCACAGAGCTGAGTAACTGCCTCTTACAGACATTGACCAGGCCCTCTACAACTCCTTGAAATCCCTAAAGATGTGATTATACACAGAGAGCAAAGGTGAGTGAGTAAACATAGGCGGGTCCAGGACTTCAAACACTCACTCACTCACTCACTCACTCAAGAATAGAAAGCTTTTGTACTCACAGGAAAAATTCACTGAACCAGCTGAAAGGTAAATTACACAGATGTTGGCTGCACACACACACACTCCCTTACACACCCTCACAAACAGGATAATCTGAAAAGAAGTTCATTGTCATGGGGATTCAAATGTGATGGCTTTGAAGTACACCAGTAACTGACCGCTGATGCACATTGTTCATTTTTGTTGTTTGTCCTTCATGAAAATCTGCAGAGTAAGACAAAACTTAACTGACATAGTTACACTCACAGTGTCCCACATCACTTTGTGGAGATTTCATTGTGTGTAGTTTTTGTTGACTATATGTGCATACATAATGCTTTCTTGCAAAGTGACCAAGGATCAATTTTAGATTATAGCATGGTTTCCTTATGAAGATATGTCAGATAAACTATGCAGAACTCATTCAGCAACCTAACAGACTGTCAGTTGAAGTGGATATTTTTATAGGTATTTACGTAGATAAGTATACAGAAACAAGCCAAGAAGCACACTGAGAAAAATCACTGATAGAATTTTTTTTCCCCATTTTCTGAAAGAAATGTTTTAAAGGTGCCATTTATCAACTTCTAAAACGTTCTACTAGCTTTTCAATGATCTTTAATGAGGAAAAACTTGGTGAGATTTTATTGCTATTTGTATATTTTTGCAGATCTTGGTTTGTTGACCTTTGTTGTGCAGTTATGTAACAGTGACATACATGTTAATCAATCTTTCTGGGATGAACAACCCTCAGCTAACATCTTTATTTTTCAGGTGTCCAGGAAAGATTTTGAGGGCTTCACGAATCTTTTCCACAGATTTCTGCAGGTGAAAGGGCCGTCGGTGGAGTGGACTAAGATACAGAGACCTCCAGAGGACTCAGTAAGTCTTTTTTTTAAACCTTGGTTGTGTATTTTAGTGGGTGTGGGTGTGTTCATATCTGGAGGAATGTGACTATTATTGAGAAAGAAGTCCTTTGGAGTTTACTCTATTCACATCCTATATAAGATTTTGTTGTAATACTTTATGTTAAAGCATCTAAAAAAAGGTTTACACTATTGGACTCACAACACAAGGATTGAGCCAAGCATACATGTGCAGTCTAGTAAATTGTCTAGTCAGAAAACCTAAGCTAAAAGACATAGATAAATACACACAAAGGTGATTTGCATCCAATGTACAACAGTTAGATTAGGTAGATGAGGTTAGGCGAGATGATTAAATCCACCCCAAGGAATCCAGTTTAAGTAACTCATTCATGAGTTTAATTGCATTTTAGTTCATGTAACACTTAACTGATATTAATAGCACCTCTGTAGAAAGTCATCATTGTGGTTGTCATTATTATCCTCTCTCACTCGGCATTAGTTTCAGAGTGCAGTTTAATCTAATTGTGTTACCAAATCAAACAACTACATTAAACTTTTGGAAACCTCTTTATTCTCAGTACTTACCACCAGGATACTAATGGTCTTATATTCAGTGGCTACAGATGTGGTGCTTTGAGCAGAATACAGCACTGTTCAGCTATGTAGCTATATACAGCATTCTACCTTAGGTCACTGGAGAGTTTTCTGTCCTGGACTAAGATGATCAAACTGCTATCACAGCACCTGCCACTCATCCTGATGATCTGACATAAGACAGCTCCAAGCCTCAAAGTGAAGCTGAGGCCTCAGGAACATTAAAAAAGTGCTCATATATACACCTTTTCTGCCCCATTTAATACTGTTCATTTCATTTTCTTTTGTAGTTGCGTGTGGCTGCATTCAGCTTTAAAAATACAGTGTGATTTAATATAGTTTAACACTATGATGACCCTCAAATACATGAACTAAAAGGAGTGAATTTTGCAGGAAGAAGTGTGGAGCAGAATGACAGTAAAACAACTTGTAGTCCTTTTAATAGACACAGTGACCTAAGAAGTTACTCTTTAAGGATCATCTGGTATCAGAGTTGTCTTACGGGTCAATGACCATGCCAACTTCTAACCACATGAAAAGTCAAAGACTGTATAACAGGAGTAATTGTGAAATGATAAGTCAGTCTTTGTTTTCCACTGACTTAGTTTTGTAGTTACAAAAGAGTGAGAATAAATAAATGCTCTTTATATGCATCAGAGCCATCGATTTTACCTTATGGCATGTCAATGACTGGACTCATATTTCTGGGTTTTCTATGGATTCAAATGGTCAATTGTTAAATTAAATGATTGACCTTTTAAGTTTAAGTACAATAAATTATTCATGTGGTTTCAGGTTAATTCTTCCACTCAATTATTCATGGCTCATCTCCACAATATAGGACTCTTATAGGGACATTGTAAACCAAATTATCCAACAACATAACAGATGGTTTATGGTCCAGTGTATTCAACTCAATCAGGTTAATGGTAGATTGTTAAAAAAGAAGAAAGTTGAGACTTGAGTTGTGTAACACTGATCCCAACATTACGTTAAAGATGGGGAAAACTTTTTTTAGTTGTGTAAAACCTGAGCGCTTTCTTACTGTTTTGAAGTGAAGACTGTATAAACAAAGACTTGGAAGTTTTCTCTTTCAGTAACACAAATGGAGGCGAGCCATTTCATCTGAAAACCATCTGCCCACCGTTTGTCACAGTGAAAGAAGGAAAACAAACACAGCTTGTTAAGGAGTGTATGTCTCCTGTTCACTAACGAGACAAGGTGAAATAGAAGTTATTTGAAAGTAACCAAACTTATATAAGTATGTCTAGACTGATGCCATTATTTAAAAGATACTAAAAAGAAAGCTAAACACAGAATCTGGATGGATATCAACTAATGCAGAGTGATCATAATTAGACTTTAGCCTAGCCATCGCTTAATGCAAAGATCAGACTCACTGATCCTATTAAATGTTAAAGGGACTGTACTTCTGTATTGCTTCTTTAGTCTGTCTTACCCCTCAAAATGCTTTCACACTTCATGTCACATTCATCCATACCACATTTATATACTGTCAATGGGTATATTGTTAGCGTTATGTGGTCAAAGTAGTGAAAGTAGAAGTACTGATAACAATTATTTACCCAATGATTCTTAAACTATAAATCTGCCTCACTTAATGCACCATAAGCCAAAGTAGACCTCCACATAGTACTTATCCCCTGAAAGCTTACTACTGAACAAACCACATCCTTTTTTTTAATTTATTTGGTGGTTTTGTTGGTGATTTGTCTGAAAGTCCACCCTTTTTTAGGTCAGCATTGTTTCTCTGTGTTTTTCCTGAACAGGATTTCCTTTTCCTTTTCCACTGTTATGGGTCTTCTTTTGTTTTCTGCTTTCTGTGCTTCTTCTCCAGTTCCCCCCAAAAGTTTCCATGCTTTGTACAAACTTCAGAGTGTAAGATTGAAATTTAAACAGCGTAAAAGAAAGTGCCAACATGATTAGATTTTTTCTCAAGGGAGAAATAAAAAAGTAAGAATGCGGCATTTGTTAAGCAGTGAAAGGCAGCACTGGAGAGTTGCAAACAAGGAGCAGGAGAAGTAGTTGAGTCTGAGTTTCAAAGCTGAGAAAGCTTTTGATTTCTTTTTTTTTTTTTCTTTTTGAGCAAATTTTTAAAAAAATGTTACCAATACAATCACTGCGGCGCGGTAGCTGGAAATTAATGTCCACATACATCGAGCCTCAAGGCTTAATAATGGAAAAAAGAGACATAATAAACAAGATCAGAGCTCATGAGCTTTTCAATGAGTTTTATGCAAGTTATGAAGTATTACGTATGCATTAACGACCAATACAAAAAGAGATGCCATCTAATTTCCCATGTCTTCCTTCTGCCTCATTCATTTGTCACGAAGCGCAGCAATTAAACCTTGAAACTCACATCTCCCCCTACCTTCGTCCCCTACAACCCACCCCATATACCAACCACCAAAAAAAAGTTTGACCAATGAGCAGATGAAAAATAAGTAATACTATGTAACCTTAGATAAAGGTCTTTATCTGGTCAAGGATGTTAATCCAGCTGTCTAGAGTTTTCTGTTTTGCGCTGTCCATATTTCCAGTAGAAAGTTCTGAATCTACAGTATTAAGGACAAGCTGTATCCACTCAGTGGTTTATTGTAAGAGTGTTTGGGACTCGTCATCACAGAGCCAACATGTTCTATGCTGCTGTGCTTCCTGCCAGTCACAAATGTCTTTGAAATGAATTTTGAAATAGAGCTTTGTCATCATTGTTTAACAGCATCAAGGTTGATAATTACTTCTAAAAATATAGAAACTTGAATAGTAACCTGTTTCCAGATGGATTTAACTAAGGGACAATTGCACATCACGTTCAAACAAACAAACAAAATGTACAGTTTGGTGAAGTTCTGACTTTCATTTTGGGGTGTAAAATAAGTTCAATGTGTCAATTGATGATTTAGGTTTCGGGATGCTTTCTTTTAGAGGCGACTTTGTGCTGAATTTTGCTAAATATACAAGCGTGTAACTTCAAGAACCTTGAGAGATGGAAATGTTCACTTATAGATCTCCTGCAAAACATTTTGAAGAGCACGTCTTAGAATAAAATCTTTACATCTTTGATGGAACAAAGTTATATAAGTCACATGTATTAATCCTTAATTTTAAATCACTGCAGTTTTAAGCAGTCGTCAGTTCTTGTTTACTGCCTCACTACAAAGACACTGTTGGGGAGGAATTGATTTGCCTTTATGTGTGTTTTCATTTTTCTGGTTGAAAGGATGACTCACAAAGAACTGTAAACTCTGCAGCTGTGAATTATTGAGGGGTGAAATCAGTTTGTTGAAATGCTGAAGCAAAACTACCTCTCACAGAAGTGAATGTAGGATGTTTCTTAAGACATGTACTGTGTTAGTGCTCTGTAAATAATGGTGTTCTGATCTGTAGGTTGGCTGTTGGTAGATTTGCAGATTCATAGTCCAGTTAAAAACACCTAAGAGTCGTGATTTTACAGAGGACAGTTGCTCAAAACACTTTCTTTTCTTTTCTAAAGTTTACAGATTTCTGTCCATGGAGACCAGGGACCAATAAAACGGTCTAAATAAAGTGTACAGATATAGTACATATTGTTTTGGGTTCAACCTCCTGCTTGCATAGATTAGTCTCAGTGTCACATGATTTGATACTCAAACATGCAAACATGTATCCTGCTCAGAAATAAAATCATCATCATATGCAGCCAAGATGCATTTTCCCTCCAAAGCTTTATTTTAATTTGGATTTGTGTCATTATGTGACTGTAGCTCACTAATGAAACCATTCATCTTGGGTCACACGCAACCATGATTTTAGGAACTGTTGAGAACCACTGAAAAGGAATTCGTCCTGATGTGACTCATGTTTATGTGTGCTGCACTTTAGTAGGCAGATATGCTTAGTGGGAAAATGACAGAAAGGGACTAAAGAAATGTTCTGAACCTTCAGAGTAATGACTCATTAAAAAAATAAAATAATAATGTCAACTCCCTGCCCTTCATAGATCATGCTCTTAGGTAATATGAATCATAAGCAGCTCCCTAAAAGTGAGTTTTACGTCACCAGCCACATATTCATGCACAAAGTGTGTAGATGGGAGATGCTGACATTGGCTAACTAGCTTAATAAATGATGTCAAACCATCCAGTTCATTGCAGATTATCAATATTTTCTTTCTTATCTCTAAACTAGCCTTGACTTTAGATGGATGGCTAGCTTTGACATGAGCATATATCTATTTTTCTATAGCAGTTACAGTAAAGCTAAGATCTATCATCAAGTATTAAGTAGGGGTGTCCCGGTACAACTTTTTTTACTTCTGATATGATACCGATATTGTAGCCTTAAGTATTGGCCGATTGATTGATCCAATATTGGCACAAAATTGTGCATGACGAGGTTTAAAGTCTGAAAAGGACGTTGTAGGCTACAACGTCCTTTTCAGACTTGAACAAGAGATACTACCACACGACCAACATCACTCCTACTCCTTGCTACTTTGTTAGTACCTTAGTACACACTGTTGTTGTGATAAAGTGGGCTCTGGGCGCTGCTAGATAGAGGTGCTGGAGCAGAGTCTGGTATGGACTGCTTGAATCAGAGTGCTGATATCTGAGATTTTAGATGGAGGCCGATATAATCCGATATTTGTTTTTTTGCTGTTATCTGACAGATATTCAACATCAATATTGTATCAGGACATCCCTAGTATTTGGAGTAATTTGTAACTTTTGATGCGTGACACAACAAAAAATCATGATGGAAAGTGTCACAAAACCTTAGCTCTTGTTAAGGTTGAGGCATTTATTGATGGATGTAAAAGTTCTATTGGTGCTTTAATCAGACGAGCATATCTCTAAAATGCTAGCTGTGAAACCTGTTTATGTCTATCTACAATGTTGGCTATAGAAGCCACCCCTGCACACTTTTAGTATATCAGCTGTGGAATATGGGAACGTGCACCGCTCATGTATGCTCTCATGTCAAATAGTGGTATGCACACTGTGATAGCCATGAAACTGGAAGTCACTGTGGAGTTTGTAGTGCAAGAACAAGATCATTGATGTCATGTATTTTGACAGCAGATTGAATGTATACTTCCTGAGCAGTTGCTGTGGGACTTTTTCATACATACAGCTTTAATGTGGCTTTTTTACCTGCACCTTAGTGCATCCAGAGGAATTTGTGCATGCACAGCACATTCTGGTAACAATCTAACTTTATTGGGGTCACAAATTTGAAAGTCCTGGTCACCCATAATAAAGTATACTTCATCTTTTTAGTACCCCGCTGCATACTGTGCTGGTTCAGGAAAGTCACTCAACAGAAAACAACAATCAAAATGTAGATCAATGAAAATTTCTGTTTTGCTACTTTGTGTTTATTAGCAGTGTCTCTTAACTTAATGTCAAGGTGAGTTCACCCCGAAGGTTCTCTTTCTTTGCTCACAGCAGCTTTGAGGGAAAACATGACAGTAGATCTCTCCTTTTCTTGAGCCTCTGCACTTTTTTTAATACCTTCTGCTGTCTAGACTATCATTCTGAAGCACATAGTGTTGAGAAATATCTTGACATTGAAAATTTTAAAAACTTTACAACTTTCTTACAACCTCATTATCTCCTTTACAGACTTTGTCTTCTTCACGTTTCATGCCAGAGTTGTAGTTGTGTGGCATTTTTTGGTCGCGTTCGGTTCAGTCTCACTGCACATCAACAAAACTTCCTCAGTTGCTTGTTTGCCCAGCATCAGACTCTCTGATCGAACACACACATCCACATGAACAAAGCCTGATCTGTCTTTTTCCTCTCCAGTCTGCAGCGACTGCATTAGCTCCCAATTATGAGCCACCTCATTAATTTTACACTCAGATGCTGAAAAGAGGGAGAGATGGAGGCGACAACAAATAGAGAAAAGCAGAAAATGGTGAAACTAAGAGTTACATAAAGAAAAACTGAGGAGGAGCAGAGAGGAAGGAGAGCTGAAGAGTGAGAAATGGCTGGATGAGTAGTGAAACAGAGAGGAAAATGACATTGAATACAATACTGAGAAGAGCAAACTGGCCAACAGCAGCATGTTAGAACAGTGCATGAAGGGAAATTAAACAGGAGATAAGGAAATGAACAAATTTTAAACCTGTTTCAGCAATAATTGTCTTTTTTTGCCATTGCACACAACAGAAATAAGAGTGAGAGTGTTGATAAAGACACAGATGGAGAGTAATTCATGTGAACACTTCTTCCCCAATAATCAGATGATTTGTTAAAAAATATTGCTTATAATTACAATAAAAGGCTCCATAAGGCATGTCCCACTTTAAGTTTGTGATAAACAAAGACCTTTTTTATGAAAACAGTCCTCTAAGGCTGATGATCACTATGTCAGGACCACAACTTTTCAATTCAGTGCTAGTAGTTACACTCAGATTGGAACATAGAGGAGCACACAAGTTTAGGTAGTGGTTTACAGACGGCTTCATGCTTTGCATATAAAGCTTTATTTTGAATTAAACAATTAGGACTGACTATAGTCCGACTGACTATATACTAACCAGATAAACCATTAGATTGAATAATGTCTTTAGAAGCTGAAACCATCTTTTGTGCAGTGATGTAAAAATGTCAACCCTCACTGGCAGTTAAAAGACTCTAATAGGAAGTAATGTAGTTTAGCTGATTGGTACTTGCTCACATCATGCTGTTGGGACACAGATTTAGTGGTGTGTAATGAGCAAGATCATGGATAAAATTTAGGTTCTTATTACTTTTCCAGACAGGAATCCCTTCAAAGTAAGGGAACATAATGATCTCTTCTTACAGTTCAGTTCAACCCATTACTGCTCCCACAGTCTTGACCTGACTATGATAGAAATGTTGCTCCTACAGAAGATGTAGTAGTAACTTGGTCTGTTATTTTAAGTTTTTGGATGTTAGAGCGTGTGTGCCAGATATTAAGATATATATAGATCTTACTCACATGGTCAGATAAAGCACTGGACATTGCTAATATTTTCAGGTATGTTGGGGACAGGACATTCATTCCCTCTTTTGAAAAAATGACTGATCTTGTGCATACATTTCTCTGTCATATACTATCATTTGATAAACCTATCAACTTATTGACTTATTATCGACTAATCTAGTCAATGTTCTGGAGTACAGATAAAAAGATAGTTGTAAAATATCATTGATAAATTGATGGTCATTGACGATGTTCAGATGTGTTTCAGAGAAACAACATTACAGTGTAAGTTTCACTAACCCGCTCAAAAAAGCTAATATAACTGAGAATAGTCAGGGGAATTCTCAGAGAGCAGATACAGGAATGTTCTCAAGGTGTTTGGCGCTTATCTAGCTGAAGTACAAAATATGTGGAATGAGAAATATTCAGATGTTGAACTTGAGGATGTCAACACGTTGGTTTTTCATCCTGCTATTATACGCTGCTCACAGATCATAATCCCATATACAGACCAGTGTTTCCCCTACATCCATTCAGCAGCAAAATTACGTGCGCCGCTACTGAAGTTTCACACGATCATCAATATCAGTGCACCACAAATGATTTCTACTCGCACTGTGTGAGCACAACAACACACAACATTATTTCTGACTTGATTTGAGTCATCAAGTAGTGTATCAAATCCTATCGGACCCTCTTCCATCAACGTGAAGGGTAATGTTCAAGTTTACACACGTTCTATACAGCGTGTAGAATTAATAGCATTAGTAGCATTAATATCAATGCGCCACTAATGATTTCTACTCACACTGTGTGAGCACAACAACACACAACATTATTTTCGACTTGTTTTAAAGCATTTAAATCAACTTGAAACTGAACAATGCGTATATAATGAAGTGCACAATTGAATCCTCCAGTATTATGGACAGTATTGTGATGGATACACCAATGAGAACAGCAGCCAAGGATGATGGATGAAGAGTCTCTTCATGGAATGATGTGAGTCAGGAGTTGTCCCCAACAGCTTGTCCAAATGCTGTGCAGTAAAATGATCAGTTGTGGTGTTTTCAGCATCAGAAAAATATCCCATAATATGTGCATTTAAAATGTAGTCCATAACACATTAGAGTGTAAGTGTGAGCAGTTCTAAGATCTTTTCAGACTTTATACTAGTGGAGTTGTCAACCGTTTCTACTCCTCCTGTGGAGCTTCCAGCAACTGGATAACAACTGTGTATGCGTCTACTGTGTGTGTGTCTGTGGTATGTAAGAAATGAGGTAGACAATTTCCTGCATTGTAATGATGCCGTGGTTTACATGCCAGAGGAAAGGTTTGTGGTCAGTGGTTGATCACATTTGGAATAACCTTAGACAGAGACAGCAGTACGGTAGTTTTTACTATTTAAGTGAATAAGGGTTGTAGTGGATTGATAACAAATATTTACAGGGTATTTGGGGTCAAGTGTAGTTATTTCAGAGTCCGTATCAGGCATGCTGTTTGATTTATAAGCAACTTGACTTTAAAAAAGAGTGTTGGTTTCCTTTTTTCTATGAGCCATTGTGAATTCAGCTTCTTTCACTTTCTATTTGAGGACAGAGTGAGTATGTGCTATTTGCAGTGTGGAAGAGGGGAAGAGATTTGATTAGGAAATTAACTTTTTTGTAATCCAAGACCAACCTACACTTGACTTCCAGATTATGTGCCAGTTTTTTGATGGGATTTAATCATGTGACTACTCAAAAATAAGTAATTTAAACAGCATTTTTGTGGAAACTTGTACAGAATTATCAAAAGAAGGTAAGAGCCAAACAGTAGTTTAGGTAGGAACTTATAATACCTGCCTTCTTATAGAAAGTCAGGTCTATTTGAGACTCTCAGTACACGCTACTTGCGTGTCGGAGTATACCAAGGTTGTTGATTAATTATCTACAGGTTTTTAATTCCTGTTCCTGTTTATTTTTATTTTTTTGGCTCTGTTATGTTACATCCTGTTTTTAAGCTCTGCATTGGTAGATATTCATCGGACAAAATCAGGGACCACAGCCTTAAACCGGAAACCTGTTCTACATCCTGCACACATTGTCTGACCTTTGTTACAGCTGTAGCTAAGTGTACAGATTAAACAATTCACAAACTTAAGCTGGACATCTGCGTTTACACTGGTTTAGGGATGAGAGTGTGCTTTGGCTTGACTTCATCATACAGACGTCTCCCCTGCTCCCATAATGCGGATTTGAATCTGTCTGTTATGTAATTTGACAGTCTAAAACTGTCATACAAAACTGTTATACACTTTGCTTTTTATTCTCAGTATGAAATATCCTACAGCTGACAGCAGCTACCTGCCAAAGCAAAGCAAGTATGGAGTGTTTTTCACCATAACTGATCCAAGCTCCTGTTCAATTAGAGATAATACAGCACTAATGGAGCAAAAATGGCTTTTCAGTTGAGTTGTGCCAAAAAGCAGAAACAGAGGTGCTTCTGATACTTATGTCTAAGAGGTGACTGAATTGATTTTACTGGCACCCTCTCTGTGTCCCTTTTCTCCAAATCAATACCCCACAATAAAAATAAGAATGCTTGCACCACACAGTTACTGGTTATGTAACAGACTGATTTTAGTTGGGATGACAGAAACAAACAAGACCTTCAGCAGCAAGATAGATTTTTAGATAGATAGTTTTTTATTCACTTATCAAAAACTAGAGTAACAGTGTAGGTGTCGGGTAAATGACTAACAGCCTTTTACCTACATGATCCACAACATAGAGTCACAGTGAGTGATGTACAGTATTTACTGTTAAATGACCTGGACAAGAGTTTTTGTTAAAAAAACTCAGTGAAACAAGGAAAGTGCGGCTTTGTCCACAGTAGGGGTGGGAGAAAAAAAATCGATACAGCATAGTATAGCAACACTTTGTCTGGTGATGTATCGCATCGTCTCATCGACCAAATATCAATTTTTTTCAAATTAATTGTTAATATGAAGTCAAATCGATAATAATGGAAAAATAAAATCAGCTGTTTGTCCAGTGAGGTTGGCAGAGGTGACATCATAGAGCAGGAGAAAGTTAGTACAACAAATATATCAACACCTGGGGAAAGGCATTAGGAATTCAAGCAGGGCACAAATGAGATGGACCTGACACATAAGGTTTGCAAGATGTGCTACATAAAAATAAAATACAGTGTAAATAAGACAAACATAAAGGAAAGACAAATGCTAAATAAGCGAAACAGTTAAAAAAAAAAAAAAAATCCCAATATATTGTGTCGTAATACTCACTGTCTTGCAAAATGTTAAAAATCGCAATAATATCGTATCGTGGCCAAAGTATCGTGTACATATCGTATCATGGGGCCACAGGTGATTCCCACCCCTAGTCTACAGGGAGCACTGGTTCCCAAAACGTTTTTCGCAGTAACTTCAAAGAACAAACAAAAGAAGTTTTATCCTAAAAAAAAAAGAAAAGAAAAAATCAGTGTTTCTTGCTTCAATCTTCAGTGCATGATCACATGTTTCTCACATCCATGTTTCTGACACTTGTTTTTTACTGTGCTGGTATTCAAGTCTACGAATGTTTGTAGGGAAAAAAATATTGTCTGAATATCTGTGGTTCTGTCACAGAATAATTTCCATGTGGCTTGAATGAACATTCAGAGAGCTGTCTAACTTTTGGGGGTACATAGGCTGGATGTGGTTCCAAGCTGAAGGACATTTTGTTCACAAGGAAAACACGTAAACCACACCAGCAACCCCCTCTGTTTCCTCTTATAGATTTTTGTTCATTCCTAGTGTCTGTATGAGTGGAATGAGGTCTGTGCATTTGGAGCGCATGCTGATTACTGTCATGCATTCAAATCCAACATGAAAAAACATGTGTTTGTGCTCGGTGCTGATTGTGTCTCTGAGGATAGGTCCATTTCCAGGTTTTGTTCGAAGGCCTTAGTCTACATGTGGTGCAGAAAGGGTGAAGGAGTGAAGCGTTGTGGGTGAAGGGGGGGAGGGGAACTACCATAGCGGATCATCTGTTTCCATCAGGATGTCTGCCGAGTGTCTGCTGTCACTAATGAGTGACTTGGTGCTTTTAGCAGGAAAAGACACAGAATGAATCCCTGCCTTTTCTTTTACACACACACACACATTTAAAGAATACATTTGAAAAAAAACGCACAATCTCACACAGAGACAGAATTGAGCAGTTGACAATCTCCTAACAACTAAAAGCTGTAGGAACATCTGGTTAGTGTTTGCTGTCCCTGGATGCCTCTGCATACAGCTCACAGTTTTGTCCTGAAAATTCCTCCTGTAGTAAGGGAATACATTGAAGCTGCAGGAATCTTGATGAGGAGCACAACTCCAGCAGGGGAGCAGACACTTTCTGCTGAATGCTGCGACTTGTTCACTTCAAGTTTGATCTTCATATATTCATATAAGACACTGTGCTCTTCTTCATGAAAGGTTTATGCACACTCACATCCTCCCTTCGCTCCTTCCTGCTTGATGGGAGATAAGAGAAAGACGTTAATACATGATCTGTGAATATGCTGATATAAGGAGTGTTTTATTGACCCAGCAATGTGGCTTCATATACACACAAGCACACACCACTCTAATAATATTTGCTGTTTTGTCAACAAAAGTACAGAGGGTTACCTTTAAAGCAGACTGTGAGGTGCACTAAGTCAGAGAGATGACTATAATTTGCACTCTTTGTGTGCAAAAACTTGCCACATTGCGTGTCTGTGTACTGTGTCTGGTCTCTTTTTAATGAATACATGGAAATTTCCTCCTTTTTTCATAAGAGTTTGCCAAATCTAAGTTTGTGGCATTTTTACTTCAACCCTCCAGCTTAGTCTATTTCTTTGTGCATATGGTAATTACTAAGCCAGCGTGCAAAGCGGTTAGTCAATTTTTATGCATCTAATAAGCAGTAAAATCAAAGTAAACTGGCTTCACTGTTGACTCAGAGCAGAAACATCACAGTAATCTTCAGCAGTGAAAGGGTAAATCACATAAAAATTACAGAGAGGTTGTTTTAAAAGCACTTTAGTGGTACACACCTACTGTGTTCCTGACCCTCAGCCTGCCTCTGTCTGTGTCTCTCTCTTCCCACCTTCAGATTCAGCCCTACGATAAGATTGCTGCTAAAGGCCTTCCAGATAATGTTGCTGACAGCCTGAACAAACTGGTGGTGGTGAAGCTCAATGGAGGCCTGGGGACCAGCATGGGATGTAAGGGTCCCAAGAGCCTGATCAGCGTCCGCAATGAGAACACCTTCCTGGACCTCACTGTGCAGCAGATAGAGGTAAAAAACAATCATGGCTTTTCTTCAGAGATTGAACACTAACATTGATATTTGTGATGCTGTAACATTGAAAGTTCAGTGTGCAGTACCTCTGGATATGTGAATAAAATATTAAAGAGGATTGGTCACTCTCAGCCCGCTGTTTAGATCTGAATCATCCTGATTTGTAGCCCTATACTATTCAGAAGTTTGATACATCACAAACTTGACTGTTTGCCGTATTAAAAAAAAAAGACTGTATTACCTAATCCAGCCTGATTTAGTGATTCATGTTTGCTTTTGAACCACCCAATTCTAAAGAAATGTTGCCATCCAGTAGCTTTGAGCTGAATCATAAGAAAAACTGAGCCAACAGGAACCACAGAAAAGAAAAACTCAGAAAAGTGCACTTTTATGACTGAATCACATTCTAGTTTTGCAACATCTTTGTGATTTTTAGTACAGAGCTAACGGGCAAAACCCGCAGGGTCCGGAAACGGCACTAGCACAGCCGGTGGATCAAATCCGCAAGAATTATAATCAATGTGAGTCATTCCACAGAATCAGTCCGGTGTTCAGCTCTGCTGCGGATGCCGGAGCACGGCGCATTAATTCAGTGCAGCCAACAGCAGCAGCAGCGGAAGTTTTATGCAGTGACAGAGTGAAATATCCGGTTAATTTTTAAAGTGAAATGAAGTTAATACATTGAACTGTTCTTAACTTGTTAATAGGAGAGGCCAGGGTTGTGGGATGTGGGTGTTTATATACACCGGCGTTTATATACACAGATCGGCGGATGTTATTCTATGACTCAGGAAACACCTGAGAGCTTTTGAGATCTTGTCAAGTCTTGTGAGAAATACCTGTAATCTCACGAGAGCTTGTCCTCTGATGGCGGTGGCGGATCGGATCCGGTGGGCGCTGTATGCTTATGGATCTGATCCACCTGGCAATCTGGAGCAGAGCGGAGCCATTCCAGATCCTGTGGTTTTAGCCAGTAACTTGTTTTGATAAATTAAAGGGATATTCCGGTGTAAATTTAAGTTATGGTGCTGTGGAGTTTCGCAACTCAAGGAAGAAAATTTATGATTATTACTTCATGAAAATGTAATCATAGTTCTTGTGTATCTTGTATGTGCACTGCAGACATGGTAGTTCTTCTGCCTTAGCGTCTTGGTCTGATTACATTTTCATGAAGTAATAATTATAAATGTTCTTCCTTGAGCTGCGAAACTCTGCTGCACTTGGTGATCGACTTGTCAGGGCTTCCTCACAAACAAGCGGCTGCTGGAGGAGAGTAGGTGAGTTGAGTTTGGTCTCTTTGCTAAAGAAATTAGGCAAAGCTAAAAAGATGTTTGATGGCCAGTGCTATGGCTTGGACCACATATGTACTGTTGATGAAGTCAGGTGCTGTTCTGAGCATTATTTGTGGCTATAGAGTGGCTTTTAGGTTGAGGTTTATGCGTGGAGTGGTAGAGCGCTGTGTATTGCTATTGTGTGGTCGTTGCTGAAGTTGGTATAACTAGAGAAGTAAGCAGTTGGCAACATTCATCTCTTAAGGGGGTTGCCTAACTCAGTGTTACGGTGTGTTTGACCATAACTTAAATTTATGCCGGAATATCCCTTTAACAAAGTACATTTTGTGGCTCTTCAACAGTTTTAGGACAGTTTCAGGGAATATTTATAAAATGTTGTTGAATCGACAAAGACTGGAGTACAACTTTAAAAAGGCAACTAGAGTGACTTGCTTGCAGCTGTACTGGAAAGCTTCACTCTGTGTGTGTGTGTGTGTGTCATAAGCACAGCTCACAGTATTTCTTCACACATCATGTCTGTGGTGAAGTTTTGGCGACACTGTTGAAACTTGTGGGTTTCCTGACACAGAGGTGTGGCGTTTGGGGTAAGAAGACAGTTGACACATAAACTGACAGTGATGTCATAATGGGAGGGACAGGAGAGCAGGAAGTGATGACTGTTTATTCTGCTCTCTGCAATGAAGGCTGTCTTTTATCCTCTCTGCTCTGATGAAGTTATGAATGAATAATGTCTGTGTCTTGTTCTGCTTTCAGAGTGAACTTTGATTGGAAGTTTAGACTTTGATTTTTCACGAAAGAGTAATAAGAAAACAGGAGATGTTGTTTCTCAGATGAATCAGATGAAAAAAAAGACAAGCCCTTATTTATGTGTCAAGAAAATTAGAAACACATGACGATGTTGCATGCTGATGATTCCTCCCTGGAATTTTTTAAGTGGCTGAAGGTGTTTTGAAAGACTTTCAGTATTATTAGGGGGGGGGGGACTGGTGTGAAAGAGGATCTGTTGGTGTGCAGGCGGGCAGGTCTGCAGGGGTTGGCAGGGAAACAGAGGGTGGCTGTGTGCTGGAGGAGAAGAGTGTGTGCGATATGTGTACTAGTGCTGCTGCCTGCTCACATACATCAGGCTAAAACAAGCATGCCCACACTGACAGACTGTGTTTTACTAACTTTTAATGACTTCAATCTATGTTTGCACATTGTTGTTTGAAAGCTTTATTTCTGAAAACAGGTTTTCAGGAGAAGTTTCAAAGAGAGATTCACAGATTAAAGTTTGGTGCAGAATCTGCCAGCTGATGTGTGTGTACAGTGTTGTGTAACTGAGGTCAAACATGGGATGTGTGTCTACCTTGTACTTGTGTTTCATAACATCCTCATGGGACGCCCCTCTTCTCCTGACACACTGCTCTCTGTGTCTGAGCCACTGCTCCACATTTTCTGTTCAGGTCTACTCAGATTACCTCCAGACTCAATCAGTCTATTTAGGTGGAAGGAAAATGGATCCTTTACACACACCTATGCATACCCACTCACACCCATATCTGTGGCCATTTGTAGCCACCACCAGCATGCCTTAATGCATATTTATGTAAAAGCCGTTCGCTACAGAGACCTGGATGTTCACTCTTGAGGCAGCAGAGAAAGACTGACTGAAAAAGGCGCCACCTGGCTGCTGAAGACTTTACTACTCTTACCCTGAGAAACCATTAAAGTACCACATCTGTTCATTTCACGAAGTACAACAGAGTGTGGTTCAGCAGAGGTGGTTTAGTCTGACATGTAAGAGTGTCTCAAAGGTACAGAGGAGATTTGAGATCAAATAATGACAAATAAAAGAATACGACAATGAAATATTAAGATATCATCCTCTAGCAACCCCAAAACAGTCAAATAGAGACTCTCTTTTCATCAGCAGGATCCTTGACTTGTTGGGTTCACAAGATGTTTAAATACTACTTGTTGTTGATCTTCAGTTTGAGTGGCTGTTGTGTCAGGAAATGCCGCTCTTTTATGAATTATAGTCTAATGCTACAATTTGACTAAAATTTAAAGACAAACTCCTAAATCCTGCAATTCATTCAAGGAGAAACACCTGCACAGTGTCCAACCTGCAGAGAAAGGAACAATTTTATGAGCAACGTTTCTGCACTAGACCTTCATTAGGCAAACCTGATGAAGGTTGCTTATAAAATTGTTCCTTTCTCTGCAAGTTGGACACTGTGCAGGTGTTTCTCTTTGAATGAATTGCTGGATCCCTTTCTCTCTGACATACCTGTCCTGAATTATAGATGTGCTAAGTCACCTCTCCATTGTGAAACTCTCAGACCCTGAAACAGAGAAATGCAACACCAGCTGTCATTTCTCATCAGCTGTGATTTTGCAAAGTAAAATCAAGAAAAAAATCTAATTTCTGGGTAAATCCTGTAGACATGTTTATATCATCTGTTTGTTTTCACGTCCTGCAGCACCTGAACAAGACGTACAACACAGACGTGCCGTTGGTCCTCATGAACTCCTTCAACACAGATGAAGACACAAAGAAGATCCTGCAGAAGTACACACACCACCGTGTTAAGATACACACCTTTAATCAGAGCAGGTGAGACTAAGAACATGCCATCATAATAAATCATAATAAAAGATCCAAATTGAATAAATGACCTGCAGAACAGTCGGCCGTGTGCCCCTCTGAAAAGCCAAGAACAGCAGCAGCAAGAAGACAGGAAGTGTTCAAGAGAAAGCCATTAATATTGAATGTGTGGGAGTCTCCTATTTGTCGGTTAAGTGGAACCTGCTTTTTATGGTTTTCCTTTGAATTATTCAGAGCACCTGTCTGTTATTTGTGCCAGAAGGAGGACGGCACAAAGCAGTTTGGGATATCAGTTGCAGCAGAGAGGTGAAGAGGGGGGAATTATGCTGCTCCAGTAAAAGACTGTGGTTGTGAGAATAATTCATAAAAGATTATTTATTCCCTGCCAATTAAACAATCCGATGTCCCATTGCCAAAAAAAGAAGGAGAGGAAATACGCTCCATCCACCTGACAGGTTCCCCAAACAGGTCCAGCAACTCCAGTTCTTAGTAAGTTGTAAGTTTAACTTGGTTACCTGCCAAACTTATGAGCAAAGTGAAGAAATAACATTTCCATTAAAGGGCTCCTCCTGAACAGATCCCAAAATCTGAAGTTAATTTTAGAAGCTAGGACAGCTGCTCCTCTGTACTCAAGTAGGTAAAGATGTACATTTTAGGAAAAGCCAGGTGCTCTTGAAGAAAGAAGTGTTACTAAGACAGAGGGGAAGCCTCCAGAGCTGTCTACAGGTACACTTACTCGAGTCAACGAAAAGGTTCACAAGCCCTTTTTAGTTCAGGGCATATCTTTTTTAAAAAAGGTTCAACTACTTCAGCATTTTGACTGAAAAGTGCCTGAGAAAGTGTCACACTTTATCAAGCCCACACAGTCCAATTAGCATGTTTTGCTATTGTGGATTTGCTCAGTCATGTAAGAAGTCATGGATTATATGGCAGCGCTCTTTGTAAGCACTCACTAATCAGGAACAGAGAAGAGGAGGAAATGAGAAAGTTCAAGAAAACTTGGCTTCAATATGAAAAATTCAGAGAATGGTTGGCAGGGGCAAAAAATAGTTTGGAGGCAACTTGCAAAAATCAAACCTGTAAACTATTATCAGTGTGGAAAACATGTTTGAAAACACAGCACAGCCTCTAAGGGTCCCTGGTGGAGGCAGATCTGTTGACTCAAACTCAAATTCTCAGTTTCACATAATGATGTAGTAGCTACTTGTTCCTTCTGAGGCAGAACATTTTGTTTTTCCTCCCTTGACTCCTCGTCTTTGGGTCAGAGATGACATGAAACCTTTGAAGGCTGTGATTCCATATCAAAACCACTCGTCTGAAATCGCCTCACAGGACACTGGGTTGGAATTAAACCTCAATTAAAAGGGCTTTGACGCTGCAGTTCCCCTCAGCTGACCAGCTTCTGCTCTCTTAAATATCCTCAGACTGCCAGAACCACAGCCAGCTCCCATCCTTTCCTGCTCCTTGTTATGAGGCTTGGTAACTGATCCTGACGCAGATCCCTCATAGAAACACTTTGATCACTTTAATACAGGAAGCAGTGATTGCTTGGCTCTTTCGCTTGTTATCTCATCCACTGTCTTGGAAAATTTGACAAAGTTTTCCACTGATAGTTTTGTTTTAAGTCCTGAAGAGATGAGAGAAGAATATATTTACATGGCACTTGACATGCTACTTCCTCACACAAAGTTTAGCCGGCTGCACTTTAGATTTCTTTTTGATTTGTTTTAATCCGTCAAATAATACCCAAGAATCTGTAAATGAGTTGTTTTATTTTTAGGAAACAAAAGTTAAAATATTTTGATTCCAGACTCTCAACTTCGACATTTTTTTGTTCACTGAGTCCACCATGTCAGTAAACTGAATGTCTCTGAAGAATAATGACTATTTTTTTGTTTTTCCCTCATCCAGGTACCCTCGCATCAACAAAGAGTCCCTCCTCCCTGTATCAACAAACCTGAGCATGACAGGACAGAGCGCAGAAGGCTGGTACCCTCCAGGTCATGGAGACATTTATGCCAGTTTCTACAACTCCGGCCTGTTAGATCAGCTGATCGCTCAGGGAAAACAGTACATCTTTGTGTCAAACATCGACAACCTGGGAGCCACTGTGGACCTCAACATCATGCACCATCTGGTTAGCCAGCCCAACGGCAAGCGCTGCGAGTTCATCATGGAGGTGACGGATAAGACACGCGCAGACGTCAAGGTATCATTTATATACGACTTATACACTGATTTATATTGTAGCTTTAAAGAGTTACACCATGTACGCAGATTCTCAAACATGGTTTTGTTTGTGTTTCAGCTGATAAAGGCAGTTGCCAAAATTTAAAAAACACAAATATGTCCTGTAAGGACTCCTATTTTAGAAGACAATGGCTGTATACCTCTGTAGTTAAGTCAAATATAGGTCAGTCACTCTGTATGTTCTTTAAACCGACTGACTCTGATTTTCAGGGTGGCACGCTGATACAGTATGAAGGAAAACTGCGTCTGCTGGAGATCGCACAGGTCCCCAAGGCCCATGTAGATGAATTCAAGTCAGTCTCAAAGTTCAAGATCTTCAACACCAACAACCTGTGGATCTCCTTGGCTGCAATCAAAAGGCTGCAGGAGCAGAAGGCAATGGACCTGGAGATCATAGTCAATCCCAAGGTGAGTGAAGGAGAGGGGGCCTAACAAATACAGTCAAGGGGAAATGAGGCCAACACTTGGAAAAAAGTCGGAGTCTTTTTCCAACACACACATATAAAGACACACTCGCACACGCACACACACACACGCACACATGGCTGTGATTGCATTGCTGATCCAAAGGAAAAGTGGATCAATGGATGATCTCAGATTTTTGTTCATCTGTGGTGATGGGAATGAACGGTTTGTAGATAGTTTTTCCAAAGTCAGAAGCTGGTGCTTAAGGTTCATTTCGAATTCCTCCCTCAGGTTAGGACTAGATCCTGGAAACAATAAAGTTATTCTCAGAGCCTCAGCTCCCAAGAGAGCTCCTGAGGTGAATACAGTCAGGGGGTCTGAGTGTCTCATGATCAGAGGAGGAAATGGCAGAAAGATGGTGAGGTAGTAAAAATGCCCCCCCAACACTGAATGGCTGCAGGTTCATTAAATGTTAGGTTAAATGCAGAGCCAGTGCAGATCACAACAGTTTATTAATGTTACCTGAGGACCATACAAACTTGAAGAGCGTCTGCCTGCCTTGGTACAGGGGATGTGCAGTAAGTGTGGGAAACACTGCTTTCACTATCAGCATGTGTAGAGGTGACTGCTGCACAACGGATAAATGTTTTCAAACATTTTGTGGGCTTCACACATTTTAAGTAAGAGTTAAAATCAACCTGACAGAAACAATCATGACATTAAAAAGAATGTAAAGGCAATGTCTGATCAGATTCTGTCAGCTGGTAGAGTTATTGTCTCTTTCCTGTGTTTGCGATCGCTCAGGGAGCATTTTATGTATGATTTTTGTGGATCAACCAATCAAAGCTTTTAAAAGAGTGCATTAGATCAACAACGCCTCCTCTCTCAGATTAAAGACTATTTCGCGTCCTCGCTCAGAGTTGCTCTGACAATGGTTCCGAATCATTCGTAGGCTAAGACTCATCAGTGAAAGTTTTAAACATATGTTAGGAGCTCTCAGAGAGGATGCTCAGACTGTTTGGCGCTAGTGACTCAGCCTGATCAGCACAGCTTTACAAAAGTCTCCGTCAGGACAACCAATATGAGTCTTAAACTCTTCTATGTCAACAACATACTAGTAATAAACCCTGTATCTCAGTACATAGGTTTTCAGACTTAAGTGGGTCATCACTAGATCAGGAGATGCTGCAGCTGCTTCTGCCATGAAACAGCCAAAATGACCAGATCTGTGTTCCATCTCAGATACAAAGTTGAATCTGAACAAGCAGACAGGACACTGCCATTTCTTGATGCAGTGAGGCATGTACTCCCCCCTTGGAGTCATTATCTTTAGTGTTCCCCATGAATTAAGCCTTCTAAATCTACTTACAAGAAATCAAAGAAACTGCTTCTTCTTCTTTACTACAGTGGTACTTCCTTGGGAAACATCAGTATTTATTCAGCACCAGAGAAGTCCAGTGATTGTTGTCTTCACAGTTATAAGTGAAATGCATTTTGGTGCTAAAAGAGTTGACTTCAGCACACAATGAATGGTGTCAAATCTAAATTGTCAGTGTATGGTGGAGGACAGCTTCACTCAGTTTGATTCACTGGTACTTTTTCCTCCTCATTTGTTTTTTTTACTGCAGACATTCTTTTCTTGATGAAGGAGTTTAAGCTGATCACTGAAGTGACTCTCTCGAACCTGCAGTGACATCATATGACTTAAAAAACATCTGATGAGTCTGTGATTCCTAATGTTTTCATGTCACCTCATAGTTTAGCTCATAGTTCAGCTCAGCCTACTTTTATTTTGGACGACAGTTCCCAAAACTGTGAGATCAGTGAATCTCATATTTAGGGAGAGAGGGCGTCTGTCTGCAGTCATATTTTTCTCGTCATACCTCCACCCTTTTGGTATTTGTACACAGTCGGTCAAAGAAATACTATAATTCCCCTGAGCTGTGCTGTCTTGACAGATCCTCCTCTTCTCGATTCCCCTCTGTTAAATTATCTGGCATGAGTCATAAATGTCCTGGTAACAGTCTGCTGTAGTATTATGGCCCTAAAGGCCGAAGGGACAGAGGGATCACAACAGGATTTCTGAGCGTTCAATAAACGCTGAAATGAACCAGAACACTGTCAATAACAAGCCACCAACCTCCCTGTGTGATAGCGTCAGTCCTGTTTTATCACTCTCATCCTGTCATGTTGGGAAACATAATGCAGCTGTGAATAGCCGAGAGATATCTACACCACTTTCATCTACAGAGACCACCACCCCTAAATAAATCATAGCCCTACTCTGAAAGCGGAAAGAGAGAACCCACATTCTGTGCTCCTGCTCCTTGCTCTAAACCATTTTGTTGTCACATGACGTTTTTGCATACAGAGGAGAGAACAGTCCAGTTTTCTGCGTTAGATTGGCCCTCACACACATTCACACAGTCATACAAGCATCATGTGAAGGATTTGTGTCTACCCTGTCTGTGCAATTTTATCCTTTGTAGCGTTCCCTTGCTCGCTGTAATAGAGCAGCCTTATTAGAAGCACGGCAGCAAACATATCTGACTTGATGTGACTTGATGTTATTTTGGTGTCCCTCACTCAAAGGCACGACACTCTGCCTCTGCACCCTCAGTAAAGGAGCACTGCCTTAGGCTATGCAAATCTGCCACCAGCGTAATAAATTCACAGCTGAACCTACCCTTGCCCGTGCTTGATTATTTCTTTTTCTTGGCCTATAGATGTCATTTTCCAGCCCTACGCTGCAGAACCACGCACTGTGACATAGGCAGCGTTATATAACCGGTGATATCTGAAAGAGCTGTGTAGCTTTACGTAAGTGTGTGGTCCCATTTAGGTAAGAGTGCAGCACTAAACCTGCAGAGTCAACGAGATCTGGTCTTGCTTTACAATACCGACTGCCGCTCAGTGTTTATTGGAACTGTGTGTACTTCTATTTCAGAGAGGCACTTAAGATAAAAGCGTCGTTCATGAAGTGGTAAATGTTGCATAATACCCTCTGACAGTCATACCTACAGCCTGTGATATTACTCGTTGTTCACGGTTATTCTGTGAAACCTGTAAATACTGAGTTTGAGTTCATTTTAGTCACCCTTGTGGTTTTAAGAAACGTAATGGCTGCAGAGTCTGCGGTTGAGCTAGCAGCTGTTTTTGGCTGACCCATAGCAGGTCAAATTTTCAGCATTACCACTATCCTGATTTAGCCTTTTAGCATGCTAACATACGCTCATTAGCTCGAAACACAAGCGGCGGCTGAAGGAACTTTGCAGGCATTTGGCTCAAAAACGGATCATAAGGTGGACCTGATGATGGTTCTGAAGGAAAGATTGTGTGTGTATCAGTGTTATCATGATTCCTTGTCAGCGCACCCATGTATACATTTCATGGTGGTCCTTCAAATAGAAGTTTCAGTGTGGACTAAAGATGTGAACCAAGAGATGGACATCACAACCCCAAAACAGCATAACCCTAATGCTTAAGTGCACAAAACTGTAAACATCACTTCCAGATAATGCAAGACTGCATGATTCGATAAGTCTAGCTTTTCAACAGCGTGACATGTATTTTGAAGCGTTGAGTTTGTTTAGTTGTTCTTTTAAGCTCCTTGTGGTTCAATGAAGCAGCAGTGCAGTCACATCCTCTCTTGGTGATACGAATGATTACTCTAAATTCAAACCCGGTCTCTCCTTTGATAACTGAGTGTCCTTTCCTACTTTTTTTCTTTTTGTTTGTTGTCAGACGCTTGACGGCGGTCAGAATGTCATCCAGCTGGAGACGGCTGTCGGCGCTGCTATCAAATGCTTCGACAACGCCCTGGGCATTAACGTGCCTCGCAGCCGCTTCCTGCCCGTCAAGACCACATCAGACCTGCTGCTGGTCATGTCCAACCTGTACAGCCTGGAGGCCGGTTCACTCACCATGAGCCCCAAGAGAGAATTTCCAACAACGCCGCATGTCAAACTGGGCAGCTCCTTCACAAAGGTGACTGTGATTTATGTGGTGATCTCCAAGAGTGTGAGTCACTCTGTGCTGATTTACAGAAAAGCTCTTTAAACACTCAACATTGACTTTGACACGGCTGAAAAAAAATCCTTGAAGCTTTTAATTGTATTCGTACATGGAGACAAACAGCTTCACACACCACATGTAGCAGACATGACGTTATTTATTCAGTCATTTTTGAGTTATTGTTTTAATAATAATTCTTTTTTTTTTCCTTCAAAGTCTGTGGTTATGGGTCCCATGGTATTCGAGCCATTTTTTATTTTCCTTGTCAGTGTTGCACATCTTATGGCCTCACTCCTCACACCATCAGCTTTGAATTTAAGTCTCAACAACATAACATCACTCTGTTTAATCAGCTGATTTCTCATCCAGTACAATCAAATGGAACAGAGGTGATTCTGCAGCAGTATTCATCTAATCAGTGTTCAGGTAAAATGATATACATAAATGGATCCTAAGATCAAATATTGGAGTTATTTGATATAATTGGGTTTATTTGTACCTGAACAAGAATTAAAGTCAAAGGATCAGCAGGATAAAATTAATTTAAATAGATATTCAAACTGCTCACATCCTCTAATAACCCCTCTTGTCTCTTGTCTCTGTGTTTAGGTTCAGGAGTATCTAACTCGCTTTGAGAGCATCCCCGACATGCTGGAGCTCGACCACCTGACTGTGTCTGGAGACGTCACCTTGGGGAAGAATGTTTCTCTCAAGGTAAACATGTTCACTTAAAAGAAGTTTCACTGAATGATGATTGGCTGCGTATGGTGCAGTGGTAGAGGGCTCCTGGTTCAAATCCCCGTCCAGACAAGGGCCTGTCTGTGCAGAGTTTGTGTGTTCTCCCCTTGCGTGGGTTTTCTTCAGGTAATCCAGCTTCCTCCTGCAGTCCAAAGACATGCTGGTCCGGTTAAATTGCCTATAGGTGTGGTTGTTTGTGGGCGTGTTGGTGACCTGCCTCTCACCCAATGACAGCTGGAATAGGAAACAAAGTGTACAGAGATTGTCTTTCTAACTTCAATCCTCAAAGACTGCTATCTGGTCACGATATAGTGTTTGAGCATCGTCATCACGATGTACGTGTGTGCAATAGTCACATCGCAGAGCCTGCGATGTCGGAGGCGAATGAACTCAGTTAAATTCAAGGGGAACTGACTGAGATACACTGCATGTGACTCTGCATGTGCTGTACAGCGATCCACCGATCACCTTCGTTCTTTACTCAGTTGCCAATCAGACTACCTGTCCAATCAAATGGCACAGAGGTGATTCTGCAGCAGTATTCATCTAATCAGTGTTCAATCAAAACCAGAGAGGAGGAAACCACACCCCTGCACATGTCCTGCACATGGAGTGAGTCGCTGCTGCTACCGGAGTTGAGCAGAGAAACGCGTGTCCGCTGAGAATTACTTTCAGAACATTCTTCATCACTGTTTAGCCCAACAAATAAGAACTGTATGGGTTTTCAACTGTACATTTCCATTGACCACTCTACTATAAGCAGTGCGCATTTTGTGAGGTGCATGCAATTCTCGGAGGACATGCATTTCTCAGCACAACCCCGTTAACAACAACGATTGCAAACTGAGCAACAAACAGAGAAAACCACAGAAGATGAAGACTTGTTGCCAAAAAGAAAAGGAAAGTCAGTTATCTGGAAATTGTTTCGGTTACAAGAAGGGTGATTTCGACCAGAACACGTGTTCTGTGTTCATCTGTTGCCACAATAACGTCCCAGCACAATAAAAGCTAAAAATATCTCTGAGACAGACAGAAGCCATTCTACTAACATTCACAAAAAGAGGTAAGATCAGTGCAGGTTAACTGTCCTCAAGATTTCAGCAGTGCAGCATAACATTAAGTGCTATTCAGGTCAACTGGTGAAAATTCCTGTATTTTTTAATATCGCAATATATATCGCAGGGTTGAAAAAAATCGCAATGTTATTTTTTTCCAATATCGTGCAGCCTTACATCGAACTGATCTCATGTAAAAATATTTTCAAAGAAAATCAAATCACTGTGTTTGTAACATGGACTGTATACAGAATGGACGTCATCTGCCTCCTCACTGGGTGAAGCCACCGCGAGAACAGCACCCTCTGGTGAACGACTGCAGTAAAGGTCATAAACCCCGCCTCCTCCAACCATTCTTATGGAGCTGTGGACAAACTTAAATTAATTACACAGAAGTTTTCCATTTTTCTCCCCCCTGGTTACAATGTTGTTTACAATACAATATAGTTACTGTAAGACTGGTTTGTGCTCAAGTCCTCTTTTTTCTGTGCAGCTCCATTTTTAAAAGTTATTAGGGGGTTCATATTTTCTATGATTGATACTTGATACAGCCTATGGGCATACAAAGATTATGTAGCTCAACCAGGGATACGTTGTTTGAGCCGAGCATCATCACAGCGACTCTCTGCGACTCTCCTGCTTAAGGGGTACAATGCTACTGCGCAAGTGGTGGTTCCAGGTAGTGGAGAAAATCCCGGAAATATTTTGGCAATTTGGCTTCAAATTCGTATAATAACAGAAGGCGGAGCCAAGTTGTCCATAGTGTATACAGTCTATTGTTTGTAATCGGATTTCTCTGGAGCCGGCATTTTTCTTTTTCTTTGATTGAAACATGAAGAAGTATTTGTCTCAACATATTGAAAGAACATGTGTTATTGTGTTGTTTTGCCTCCCCACGTGGTTTGATCAGAGTGCAACTGATATAACAGTATTATCAACAAGATTAGAATGACAAATTTTCTAAAAAATATCAGTACAAATTTTAAGGGTTATTTCTTGTCCAGGTTTGAGCAAGGACACGCTTTGTGTGTCACAGAAGCTTTCATTGTTGAAGTCTTGGTAAGTCAGCGGCTCTGCTGGCAGGAGGCTTCCAGTGATTTATGTCTTTAATTAAGCGTTGGTGTGAAAGTGTCTTCTTCTTGTCCTTACTCTCTGACAAATATAAAGCATCGCTTTTCCTCCTTGCAGGGCACCGTCATCATCATCGCCAACCATGGAGATCGAATTGATATTCCAGCTGGCTCCATGCTGGAAAACAAAATCGTATCCGGCAACCTCCGCATCATGGACCACTAACGCCTTAAAAAAAAAAAAAGAACATACACACATACAGACACACACACACACATACAGACACACACACACACACACACACACATACACACGCACGCGCGCGCTCATCACCCATTTGGCTTTATCGCAGTCATGTGACCTATTTGTCATGTTTCCCAAACACCAACAGATTGTGAAAGGAAGTGATCTTTCCCTCCAGGCTTTGTAAAGTGTGTGATTTCATGTGCAGTCTCTGCAGAGGGTATTTGGGAGTGTTTGTAGCCAGGGTATACTGCCCTCTACAGGCTGTTAGTTATATGATTTAAACATGTATAAGTATTAATGATGAGCTACACATAGCTGTCACTTTAAACATGGACTGTATCCATGACAGCATTCTAGTTTCTATTGCGTCACTGTAGGGATTTTGTTTTGTTGTCGCCTGAGTTCACAAAAGAAAAACACAATCACTGAACAGCTCAAAGGATTTTATCCTTGTCTTCAGTGGGTTTTTACAGCACAGTTTGTATGATTTTTATCGTGCAAAATACAAACTCATGGTTGCTGTTGTCATGGAAGAGTTTAGACTATTTATTTTGAAGCACATCAAGCTCACATGGTTTTAAACAGAAAGAAATTCCTGGAATAGTGTTCTGCTCCATTTCTGATTGATTGCTGAAGCTGGAGCCTTTCTCATCACAGTTTATCAGACCATCAGAACAAACTAATGCAGGCAGATAATTCACCAGTTACATAGTTATTGTCTTGAACTATCAGAGAAAATCTAAATGATTCAAACCCTTCACCAAACTGTGCTGTTTGATGGTTTAAAAAGTTCTGAGATATTAACTTTCTCTTCTTTACTCTCATTATCCATTCTTGAGTGACTCTTATTGATTCTTCAACTACAGTTGTTGCCCTCTGTTCAAACTGTCTGGTTAGAAATGTTAACACAAAGTCCTCATCTCTGATCACATACTGAAAGTGTAGTCAAGCGGTGCAAAAAGAAAACCTGTATTTTTTAATGTCTGGCCTCCTGCAGGTGGCACAGTAATGGCTGTTACATAACATAGAACATTAGAACATTTTAAGTTCATATCACAAATGTGTTATCAAATCATTGATTACTGAGTTGCAAACACAGAGTAGTGTTATTACTGATTAGGAGCCATGTTTCTGAACACCACGCTAACTGTCGTGTGTTTGTAACAGCTTGAAGCCACTGACTCTTTAACTGCCACACAACCGATTTTTCATGATACAGTTGTTGAACTTAAATGCACTGCTACATTTCAGATTTCAGGTAAAAACTGAGTCCAAATTTCCACTAAATATATCAAAATAGCACCAGCAGTTTATGTGAGGTGGCTGCTGATGTAGAATACTTGCATGGATATAAGAAAGACCCAAAATGTCCTCCTGAATTTTACAGAAAGAATAAAAAACTTTTTGGGGAGTGATGAAGGGTTTCTAACATTTCTTACTTATATATGAAACATATTGAAATAGTTTTAACAATATCAGAGGAAATTTTAAGTTTCAAAACCCTCTACAGTTCATGATACATTTGTGAAACCATGCACAGATCAAATTTGAGGTAAAGTTTGTGCTTGGAAATCAAATGGTGAAATTCTTCCTAGGTAATCATGTCATCTACCTGAGAGAATGAAGACTGTTCTCTAGGCAGCATTTACGACTCCAGCGTCCCAACGGGTTGTGCCATGAAGGTGGAGCTAACATTTTCCTCATGTGGTGCCTGAACTGTTTCTGTCTCTGCCTTTTGACCTGAAGCTCTATGTGAAATCTGTAAAGGTTGTTATTATCCATATCCAGACATGTGATAGTCAAGAATTGTATTATTTCAAAGTGACAGCTTTTACTTGTAATGCAGGTGATGAAAAATATCACCAATGTTGTGCATTATTTGTGTATCTGTCCAGTTTGTCTGCTTACTTTGTAACCTAAATGTTGTATGAAAGCTCATACCTCCATTACTGTTATAAACATCTCCTGTCCTCTCTGTCCATCCTGTCATTCAGCATTCCCTTTTCACTCAAAGCAATATAGGAGGTGAAAAGATACTTGCTACAGAATTTGTTTTTAAACACATTCACACACACACACTTACAGATTCAGATGGTAGATATTTTGGAAGCGAAGTGGAGGTGTGAGAATACTTGAGACAGGTGTGACATGTGAAGACCGGATGCCTGAAAGCAATAAGTGTTGATCTGTGACAGTGATGAGGTCTCAGCCCAGCCCAGCTCTGTCTCCTCAGAGCTGAATAAAGTGCAATATGAAATAACAAACCTGTGTCTGCTCTTCGTCTGTTGTGTTTTGGACACCAACAATCAATCAACACAAATGTTGGAACTGGAAATCTTCCCTAACGTTTGGGCCCTAACATTTTCATACTCGGTAAATGTTAAACTTTAATATAGTGCGTCCATATAATGCTGCCATAGCTTACAGTTAGAAATATATTCAAATAAAGGTGATAGATGTCTGTATGATGGTGTAAAACCAGCTGCTACAGATAAAAACACCGTGGGTTGTTAGGGTGGAATGAAATCCTGAAAGTGTGGTGAGCTCCTTGAGAAAGGATTCCACTGCTCTAACTCTAACAACCCCCTCACTATAACTGAATGTGCTTATAATGGCTAGAAACAAGTTATTTCCATTAAATATTGATCTTGAAAAGTCTCCTTGATTTGAAATTGATTTGCCTAAATCAATAGTCAGTTACCTTTGTACTTTAAATTGAATCCATAGCAACCGTTAACTCAAGAGTCTGTCTAAGTGACAGAGCTGCCATTACTCAAATTATACCCAATATTCCTTAAATAAGAAAATTAATCTCTTATTACTCTGCTCTAACTGAACATTTCCAATGATTTGAAGGAAAACAATCTGAACAGGTCTGCATAAATCAGTGCCACATACTATTGACTTTTCCCCTCTTGTAGTAGTCGATCGTAGTCGTCTGGGACATTTTCTGTCAATTCTAATATTGTTCTGTTTTTTTTTTTGTTTGTTTGTTTTGTTTTTTCACTTTTCCATCTTGAGTTTTTTTTTCTTCCTCTCTTGTGGCAGACAGTTTTTGTGTAAAACATCTTTCTTTCTGCATAATATACTGGACTTCTCTCCACCAGAATCTGATTATGGTCATGTCACAGCAATGGTCTGCTATCTGGAAAGAGCAGACCTTTGGGATAATGGGTTGTTAATGATGAGATGCACAGCCACAGAATACAACAGTGAGACCATTAGGAATAATAAAAAAAAATGAAATGAAAAAATGAAAAATATATATATTTTTTAAATTGAGTGATAATGTTTGCTCAAAGTGCTTTTGAGCTTAAGTTTTCAAGGACAAAGAAATAAGCTGACATCTTTGTTGAGCTGTCTTGACAGATTCCTGGCAGTCACTTCCCCTGAGCCTCTCCAGATGTAGGCCACTTACTTTGCATCAGTTTCGATGTATATTGTAAGTGTTTCGGCAAAATTTCCTTTCTAATCCGTCCTTTAGAAAATAGTCCTTCTGTACTAGGTGCTTAAATCAACTCGATACATACTGATAAACTTGTTTGGCTGCATAGTAACACAACTAGAAACGTGTGGGGAGTTAGATGAGATAAAGTTGGTGTATCTCTCCTATCTCTGGTATGAGGCATTGCTTTGCAATAATAATACACAGAATGAAGCCCACAAACATCCTGTACGGCATACAGTTTTTGTACCTGTATTTTTTTAAATAATTTGAGCCAGTAGCCTATATCAGACTCACATCTCAAAAGCATTTGTAGTTTTTCCTTTCTTAAATTTTTGGACAGCTAGCTTTTTCTCATACATATCTCTGATCGAAGGCCAACAACAGCGTCAGCTGGCTGTAGTTTCAAACCAAAGAGGCACATTAAAGTAGTCTGAAACTTCTCCTCTGAAACTTGTCAGGGACGCCAAACAGGTATATTTCCAAAATGTCAACTTTAGCCTCAAATTATCTCTTTTCTGTTTACATCACACCTCCTGTGCTGAAGGAGACGTGTTGTTGTCAACGGCTTCACAGTATTAAACTTTATCAGCTAAGGAATCTGATGAGGCTTGTTCAGCATGCCTGAGTGGGGTAGTACCTCTGTAAAAGGAAAGGACTTCCTGGAGGCTGCCATAGTGGTTCCCGAAAACCTATACAAAACTTCAGAGGCACTCCTCTTATGGTTAAAACTATGCTAAAGGTCAAAATATCTTGAATTACTACACTGAGACATAAAATATACAGCACAGTTATATTGCAACAATACATGGTTCCATAACCCTTCCCCATGGTCCCCAGTCAGTGGACTAAGACATCTGTGTTGAATATTTAATCAAAACCTCAAAATCAGTTATAAAATAATTTACTCTTTGTGTCTTTGGGGGACATTTGATTATTGATTATGTTACTGTCACATGTACATCACACAGAAGAAATTTGTTACTATTAAAAATGTTTTTACAAGGTCCCCTGTTTGTTATATTTGAAAATTCAGTTAATGATCTAATCTAAGTGTTGGCTTGAGAGTTTAAGTTGAAAAAATCATAAAATTCAAGTCATGGCTTGGGAGGTTACTCCAACTCACACTGACTCATGAGGCACATAAAGGAAATGCTCTCTGACCAACACATTTAGACATTTAGTAGAGTTGCCGTCATGAAAAGGAGAGCGTTTGTGATGTGCCCTTACGGTCACCTTTTGGTCCTATAACACACTTACAGTGAGGACTGAGTCAGACTACAGGTCTGAGGCTGTCATGTAATAATTGCCTATATGACCCCTCCAGAAATGATGATTCCCATATACAGTTTATATCTTTACAGATCAGTGACCCCACCTTCTCTTTATTTTATGATTTATTTCTGTTGTTTCAGTGTTGTAAAAATGTGTTTCGTCTATGTGAGAGAAGGAACCATGGGCAAACCCTTAGTGCGCTGGGATTCCTAAGTAAATGAGCAAGGTTTGGGAAATTAAGACAAATCTGTTTGTTTTCATACACTTGATATCCAGTAAAAAGATTGCAGCATGTTTATGCTTGAAGTCACACCCTGCCTAGCTTTAAAGATCACAGTGCAGTGTGTTTAAATACTTATTTTATTTATTTATTATTTTTATCATTATCATTTATTTTTATCTAATTTTTGTCATTATTTATTTATTTATTTATTTTCATCCCTGTGTGTGCCTGTGTGTTTAGTGTGTCCACCAGCCTTCATTTAGTTTCGACCTGAACTGGGTATGTGGGGGGTTAAGAAGCTGTTGTAATCAATTGCCTTATTATTGAATGTAATTTGACAATGTCTGTTCAAACCATAGACTGTATATAGAATGGATGCTATCTGCCTCCTTGCTGGGTGAAGCCACTACGAGAACAGCACCCTCTGGTGACGGGCTGCAGTATAGGTCATAAAGTCCCATCTCCTCCAGCAAACTCAATTGAGTTGTGGACAAACTGTGGAAATGAATGACACAGAATATATTTCTTTCTCCCCCCTGGTTGCGAAGTTGACGTAGTTATTGTAAGACTGGTTTGTGCTCCATTCTTCTTTTTCCTGTGCAGCTCCATTTTTAAGTTATTAGGGGGTTCATGTTTTCTATGATTGACACTTGATACAGCCTATGAGCGTATGCAGATTACATAACTCACCCGGGGGATACGCTGTTTGAGCCGAGCGTCATCACAGCGACTCTCCTACCGAATGCATACAATGCTGCTGTGCAAGTGGTGGTTCCAGGAAGTGGAGAAAATTCTGGAAATACCAAGGAGCAATTGGACTTTAAATTCGTATAATAACAGAAGGTGGAGCCATGTTGTCCATAGCATACACAGTCTATGGTTCAAACCTTCAAAAGTTAATTTTATTTATTTAATCAGGCTAGTCCCACTGATATCAAAGATCTTTTTTTTAAGGAGGGCCTGGCCAAGAACGGCAGCAAAGCAGTTTCAAAAACAAAAAAACAAACACATTCAGACTCACACAGCTCAACACCAGCAACAAGCACAGTAAAAATAAAATGTCAGCTAAAACAGTGGCATACAGACAGTTTGCTTTCAAGAGTTTTCACCAAAGATTTAAAAACACTCAGAGGCACTATGTTCTGTCATTTAAATTTAGTCTACAGGTTATTCCACGCAAAAGGAGCAGAAAACCTAAAGGCCTTCTTTCCCGGCTCAGTTCGGACTTTGGGAACAGCAAACTGCATTAAACTAATTAAAAATGGTGGGGAAAAAATCCCAGGGCAGACACTTACTACCTCAGAGTAACTCAGGATAGTAAAACTCAGCTGGTGTCCCTCACTGGCCAACAACTTTCATGCTCAATGATCATTTAAGGGTTTTATTCTACCTGAGGGAAAAGAAAATAAAAATGCTCATTACAACAACTTTTTGTAAGATGCAGGTGATCAGGAAATAAATGATGAACTAATGGACACAACTAACTGCAGTAATGACAACAAGTGAAGGTTTGTGGAGGCCTGACAGTAGGTGCTGTATCATTTTCAAGAACCCTTGCAGAAAAAAAATGCGATTAAATGACTAAATTAGTAACATTTGTCAATCTTAAGCCGCTGATGCAAATAAAACTCTGCACACCATCAGGTGAGTCACTTTTTACACTTTATTGTTTAAAGTTGTTACAAAAAAGTGTCGCTGGAAACATTCTTTGTTTTTGCCTTTACAAGCACAGAGGAGTGGGCGAATAGGTGAGCAGAGGGGGGCAAGACGAGACAACTGATGGGCAAACGTTTGAGTAGAAAAGACGGTACACAGAGAGAGAGAGAGAGAGAGAGAGAGAGAGAGAGAATAAAGCCCTTACTCACACACTGAATCCACAGAAACAGGACTAAACTGAGGACACAAACCTTAAATCTATGATATACTTTTCACTTTTGAGGTATCCTCAGAGGATCTTAACAGTGTGTGTGTGTGTGTCTGTCTGAGTGTGTATGGGATTGAGTCTGTGGATTTGACACAGGTCATTGTTTTTCTCCCTGAGGCGAGTTGATGTGATGCGGTCAGAATACAGGGGTGATGAACATGATCCTTGACTGAGACACTACACTCACACAATCATTCTTAACATAAATTACACTCTCTCTCCCACACAAATGAACACACACAGGAACACACTACTGATGCCTAAGGATGCTCAATGTGTATTTAAAAACAGTTGAGGGACGTTTCTACAGTTGGATTGTGTCTCGGTCTTCCTACAGTGACTGTGGCTGCATCCGTGAGTGACACTGCAGATGGTTTTGTGAGTCTGGTCAGGTGTTTGAGAGGATTTGTGCTTTTATTAGAAGATATCAGAACTGTCTCCTCTGCACTGTTTGGTCTCAAGCCCTGTGGAAGGTAGAGCAAGAGGTCATGGATGCTTGAGGTTTCTTGAGTGTGTGTTTTTAAGCTTTCTATCAGGTCACACCGTCTCCCTCGGCACACACAATCTGATGTATCCATGTGTGTTTGTGTGCATCAATCCTAAGTCAAACTTGTATTTCGTGGCTAACTTGTTGGTAGAGACTCACTGCCATGTCACAGCTCAGGTGGGAAAATGTCTTTCCATCTAAAGCAATTTGTCTATCCTCGTTTTTATTATGGCTTATTGAAAAAAACACCTCACCTGAAACACTGCAGGATATCAGTCTTTTATCATCCAACACTCATTTTCACAGGTGACACAACCTGTGCTGGCTGGAGTTTAATGTCCTCTTTGTCAGGATTTTGATCTTAGACGTCGAAAGGAACGATCTCAGCTTAATGCGAATATTAACACTAGTCAGAATACTGTGTATGGTTAAATTATGCTAGCCAGATTTGCACCAACTGTACAGGTGAGACCAAAACATCACATACAGGCAGAGAAGTGCATCCTGTTCTGGTGCTGTACTGATTTAATAATTATAATATACTTTTATTTTGTACCATTAGTTCATTCCCACTTTAGATGTATTTCATATCTGACCTGGTCTGTGTGTGTATGTGTGTGTTTGTGTATATGTGTGTTTGTATGTGGCTACATAGCTGCGGTATCATGGCTAACCAGTGATCAGAAAAGACTCACTCGTCCACAGAACCGTGTCACTTGGACTTTTAAAGGGAGGGAGCAGTCAGTCAGCCTGCCTGCCTGCCTAAGCCTTACAAGGGCAAGCCTGGAAGACTTGGTTTCCCATAATGCATTAGGTTCCAAATCTATTGCTTTGAATGTGAAAAGGCCATGTTGATGCAGAATGAGAGAAAAGAGTAACTGGAGGTTCGACACACAGAGTGAGAGGTTGGGGTTGTTGGGGTATAAATACAGCAAACAGATCTGAGAGGTGAACATGGGAGCAAAGACAGAACGAAACCCTCAGAACACACCAAGAACTTGATCTCTGATCAATAATATACTGTATTTTTCAAATTAAAATGCTTAATAGTATTAAGTATCTGACAGATAAAGGATGAAGCGATGAATCCCAGGCCATAAATAAACATCTTTGTTTAAATTAGCTCTCAGAGATGTACACAGATGTATATTGCAACAATAAACAGGAATAAAAACCGTATGTTTGCGCTACGGTAGATAATTATTTTTGAAAAATACTGTTGTTCAAAGTTCTTTCCAAAAAACAAACAAAAGGTTTACCCAGCAGTGTTCTTTGTTTGGTTTTTGTGTCTCTGGTTTCACATGAAAATATAGAAATCTTTGTCGTCATTCATGAAAAAGCAATACAAAGGTCACTTAAATATGAGAAAGAGACAAAAAGGTCCAAAAAACAGTTTTTACTCAACTGTAGAGGAAAGAAAACAAATCTGGGGGAGCTCTCAGTTTTTTCATTGCAGGTCCAACAGAGAAAATCCCCCACTGTTTCACGCTAAAGATGCTGTCAAGTAGTCTTTTTTTAGTCCAGGGGTCCCTGGAAGATGAGTCTGACGTAGCCCTGCTCACCACTGAGCTGCTGGGCGCAGAAAGGGCAGGCAGCGTGAAAGGTGTGTGTGCCATGTGGCAGCGGGATCTGACTCCAGAAGGCTGCGGTCTTCTCCGAACAAACATGGCCGCATGGGTTGAAAGCGTGCGTAGGCGGGGCAGCATCTACATAAAACCCTGCCTCGCAGCCCAGCCACAGCGGCACGTACGGCCCTTTTGTTCTGCACATCGGACACTCGCGGAGCCGTCCCTCGCGGCCCTCCCTCTCCTCACGGTGGTTTCCCCAGTTGTGGTAACCGTGCACATGGCCACACTGGAGGTAGACCCAGGGCTGCTTCTCGTCTGGTGTGTCCTTGCGGCGCATAGAAGGGAAGGCCAGCGTGTTGAATCCCACAGGGCACTGAGGGCGGGCTGCATTGATTTCCTGCCGCAGCGCCTCCAGGTGTTTGAGCGTGGGAGTGCGTGAGAGACCTTCAGCTGTGCGCCACAGGAGGGTCGCCCCGCAAAGGTCTATGAGGGAGCCGTCGACAAGCTCCTGACTCTCAGTCTCCACCTGGAACAGAGAGAAGACCGAGCAGTGAGACACAACAGAAGCTTATAAAAAACACAGCAGGATACAGAGCTACATCCTTGTGGACTCATTATCCTGCCCGGTGTTTGTGCAACCAATTAATAACAGCCGATTGTGGTATTCCAGAGGTGATGCATAGTTGAGTAGAGTTTTCTGACATAACCCAAATCCTGTTTTTTCTTTAAACAGTGAACTGAAGGACTGGCTGTGTATCTTAACCATGGAAAATGTAAACAGAAGCTGTTTCAGCTTTTGTCTGACTCCAACCCAACAGCAGCAATAACAACAGCATGGAAATAACTATAGAGGAACAAAGTGTCTTACCACAGTTGGTCATATTTGCTCTAATGTAGCTCATGAACAAACATTAGTTTGATTTTTATTGATCTATATCAAATTAAAATCCTATAATAGAGGGTTTAACACAATCTGTCGTTTAGACGATCATTACAGTTGGTTTTCTCTACTTTCCCCACAGTGTAATTTATTCAAAATAACACAAGCACTTTTCTATAATACGCTGTAAATTCAGAGACAATAAACTGAGGGTATTAGACATTTTCACAAATAGTTGCTACAGTCCTGAAAATATCTGATCTTATGGAGAACAGGAGAACACTGCTACTTGTCACAACAAACCCCAAAACTTCATGATGCTGTCACACTAAACCAGGAGATGACAAAGGTCAGGACAAATCAAACCCAGCGGGAACCATGAAAGTGACTATAACATTTCAGATCAAATCCATCTGCGGGAATATTTGTTCTGACATTGCCTGGCTGACCCCCCACACACACACATTCTGCCTGGAGCCCCACTGCTGGCTGTGCTAAAAATACCCTTTAATACATACAGTGACTTTTCGACTTATTAGAGCATTATTCCTGTCAAATAACCACACCACTGCTAAAGTGTTAGATTGAACAGGGCCTGTAAATGACAAAAATAAAGTTAATGAAGTTTATCAGACACACAGATCATTTTCAAGTGATAAACTTGTTCTTATTATTTAGACTATTTGAAGTGTAAAAACTAGTACAATGTGTCCATATGACATGTTCATATATTTTAATGTTTCCCAAATATTTCTTCTTAATGTTTTAATATATTCTATCAGGTCCCGTTTACAGCCTCTTGTCCTTATGTAACCTCGATGAGACAAACTTACTCCACTCTGGGACAAACAGATCAGAGAATGTATGTTTGCCTCCTGAAGTCTGTAGTACCCATTCAACACAGTAGGTGGCAGTGCAGCACTGTTCTGTTTTTTTTTTGTTGTTCTTCAGACAGATGTGTGAACCAGGCACTGACAGATGGTGTCAAGATGACACCAGGAAACCAAAAGAACATCGATGGGAGGAGAGCAGGCCAGAAAGCTGGTGGAAAACTTAGTGGAGTGGTGTCCTGAGGCTTGGCCTGATTGGACAGAGAGGGGAATTCCAGGTTTAGATAACCAGGGGACAAAAGGGAGGGACAGAAGGGAAAATCAACTCCTTTTAGAGAATGATGAAAACATGAAGTGAAAAAAATAAAGCTCCCAGGGATCTTGGTGAGGTCACCATTATCAGCTCTGCCAGTGAGGTCACTCCACGCATGAGGCTGATCGTTCCTCCTGGTGACAGCTTTAACCTTCATTTCTCCCCACTAAGGTCCACTGAGCATGTGTACTCTGCATGTCAGTGATGCTCTTACACACATACACTCAACCACACACACACATGTGCCCCGGGAACAATATTCATTCTGCTGTTGTTCAACAAGCTGCTAAACTGGAGTGGAAAGAATTCAATGTGTTACTCTAGTTGTTTTTGTTTTTCACTCCAGATTAGATTTTCCCTGCAGCAACTGCAGAGACACGAGGCTGCTCCTTCAATCAATAGCAGAAAGGAATGAAATTATGAAACAGTGTTTGTCTAATCAATAAATTGCCACACTCAGTTTGAATGACCCAGGCGCTTTTGGTAAATTAAATCCATGTAAACATCCTCAAGCTCGCAGTCTCTATGCAGTTATAATTTAATTACACAAAACTGAATCATTTATCTACACAAAAAGGACTTATCAAACACAGTAGGAGCTCAGAAACTACATTCCTCTCATTTGTAGTGCTTCACAACAGAACAGACCTCAAAGTGTGAACTACACTAGGATATTTCTAATCATGCTGGATTCAACCTTGTGTCAAACCGCAGAAGGGCAACCAGCTGCCCTGCTGGCAAGGCTGAGTGACCCTCTCCAAAGACAGGGACCAAGCTGTGTTTGATGCATAATCCAAAGAACACCGAACATTACCGTCTCTTTAATGCTTCAGAGCTATCAGAAAATCCTCCTGTATATACCCAGGACTTCTTAGTGGGTGAGTGAGACCACAAACAGGAGATTTTAGAAAGCTATATGTATTCAACATCACACCCTAGATACATATTAACACAGGTAAACGCTGTTTGGCCCCCTCAGCAAACTTGCTGAGCGGACTTTTTTCCTCCCTACTCAATCAGAAAGTCCTTCAGTTGTTAACCTTCATGAATGCAGGGCACTTATCCAATTTAGAGAGCTGTGCTTGCAAAAGCAGTGAAGGCAGGGTGCATTACTCTAGATTACAAAGCTTTTTTTTATGACAATCACACAAGCTCTACTGGAATCACCTTCATTTATCCCTTTTGGCTTCAAAAATGTAGTTGGATTATTAACTGATACTGAAAATCATGAACAATAACATGAATCTTATATACATCTTCATCAAAGAAGGAGTGAATAATTGGAGGAAGATAACTGTTTATAAGGAGATAGGGGCCTCACACTTTTTCTGTTTGTTGAGGAGACAGCTGACACACTTGCAAAGCCACTTTTGAATCACTAGTAAAAACACCATTAGCTGAGTTTCTATCCTCTAAAATAAGCTACAGCTGAGCAGCTTATCAGTTACCTCACTGCCTCACTGAAGTAAGGAGGAGTCCACTTTTCACTGTGTTTGTTTGTTTGGTCACTTTTTCAACAAGCTCAGGGGTAAAAACAAGTCACTTAAGTCAGAACGTTAGTGCCAGATATTAATCAACATCTCTGCTTTTTTGTTGTGTGGCAGGCAAATGTCAGGCTTAGTGATGGAGAGGCAATTTAAGTACCTGAAACACCGACTACAGCAAAGCAGTGGGATTGAAAATATGATGACAACTGACTATATAGTATATGACTTTAATACCATTTTCAGTTTGCAACTTATACTTCTCAGTGATTTCTGGTGAAATTGTAGGCTTTCTCCTCAGCTTTGTCTACTTGTATGAGCATAATTATCTCTATATACATTTCACAAATCCTCTTTGTGACGGCCTAAATGTCACTCAAAATTACAAATAACTAAGTGGTCCTGACGTGATTGTGTATTAACTCGCACAATAACAACCCATCATGCTCTGTCATTGTTCGTAATGAAAATAGATGCTTTCCTATAGCCCACTATCTAGACTGTCAATCAGCAGAGAAATAATGAGCGGTGTCAGAAGAGGTGTTTAATTCACTCTGCGTTAACTCTGGAGATGGTAAAGGGCAGGTGGAGATAAGAGAGCCGTTAATTAATGCTGCGCTGGAGAGGCTTGAAAACAGGTGGGACAGCAGATAAAGACACAGCTTAACGTTTCTGAGGACACGCTGGCTGTGTGCTGGTGTTTCAAGATTTGAACAGTGGGGGAGGTAAGATGGTGAGGAGAGGAAAGATGAGGACAAAAAACACGAATCCACTCAGACAAATGCCACATGTCGCCACTCCGATGAGATGGGGAAAAGTCAGGATTGGCTGAAAGGCTCTGATGTCATTTTAAGGATCCCCTTACACGGTCCTGTTACACACTGTTCCAACAGCCAGAACTGTTGCCATGGAGACGGTTCCCGTATAACCTCCTGGTTTATGTTCAGCTCTGACTGCACCCCCCCTCCTGACTGCCTAAGTGACAACTTGGTAGAGAGGGTGAGAAGTGTGTGTCGGGGTGAGAAAATAGATATCTGGAGTGTAGTTTTCTTTTTTGAGCCTACAGTTTGACTGTTTTATACCACTCAAATGGTTCTCTTTCAGCTTTTGTGGAAAGAAAAAGGCTCTTAAAACCCTTACGTATACTGCAGCAAACAATGAGAAACAGTTTTAAACACAGTCGAACAGTAGGCAGCTGCACATCCTCACATTAGGCTGGTAAAGCCCATGGACAGAATGTGAAGTGATGTTGTAAAACTGATGCATATAAATAATGAGCTGTTTACTAACAGGTTTGTAGTATTAGTAAAAAAAAAAATATTCTGACAGAACAACTAGTTTTTGGCCACTTGAGGGCAGCAGACAGGTCACTGCTAGGACCATTTTGATAGATGTTGATGTGGCACTCCTAGAAGTTTTAGGAGTGCCAAAGACTTTGACTAAACCCTGAGAAAATGCCGTTTGAACCAACTCCTAGAGGTCTGCTGATCAGCTCCAACTCGTCCCTAAAACTCGTTTAAAAACCTGTGGCGACCGTGCTTTCTTGGCTGTGGAACGAATTGGCACTTCAGATTAAAACATTCCCCACTCTTTTTACTTTTATATTATGTCTGAAAACTTATTTCATTCCTTGGCTTTTAGTTCAGCATGATAGTTATGTGATCTCTGTCCTTTTATGTCTTTTATGGTTAGAACTTCTATTTCTTTTGTGTTTTTGTGTTTTTATTTCATTTATTTTATTTCATTTTAAATGTTTTTACCTGCTTTTATTTATTTTCCTCTTGATGTTTTTTTTTTTACTTCTGCAGTGTCTGTTCTTTTAATTTTACTGTGCAGCACTTTGGTAAATTTATACGTTTTTTAAAATGTGCTATATAAATAAAACCGGTTGGATTCGAATGGATACTTAGTTGTGACAGAATTAAATTATTATTGATGACTCTTTATGATCTACAAAAGCAAATGCAACTATAAACATCAAGATTGATCATTTCACTATATCCTTTTAAATGTGTAAAAGATTGAATGCTGTCTTTAATTTCATATTCTCAATGTAAAAGTATTTTCACTGAGCAATACGTTCGAGCATTCATTTATCAGATTGAGATCTAGTATTAATTAAAGACTCACTACACACCCGACGATATCTGCAAAGAGATTACAGGTGCTTTGTCCACAAGAGGCACCCAAATCAACACAATCCAAAAGTTCTGTAAAACTCCGCTTCAAAAGGTTCAACAGCTTTAACCTCTAAAACTCCCACAAGCACAGTCCTTTTCCAAAGCAGCAAAGTGAACCCAAAAATACTCTGAACAGATCCTGACTGTACACCTGGAGGCCTTCCAGTTGTTACATCTCTGTTTTCAGTTTGAGAGCACAGACAGCTGAGGGACTGTGCTGCTATGTGATATGACTCTTTTCTCACCATCTTTCCACGTTGCTGTGCTGAGCGGGTCTCCCGCAGAGTGAAGACATTGCCGCACACTGAGATCTCCCTCCAGACCCCTGGTTTTGAGTCTTGGGTGAAGCCGTTTCGAGGATGCATTACCAGCACACCATTAGTGGTCAGCCCGTCCATTTGACCATCAGGTGTTTTCCATTTAGCAGCTTTCTCCTGAGACAATAAAAAGACATGCTCAGGTGTGATAAGAGCGGGGAAAATTAAAGAATAGTTTGACTGATTGTAAGTTAAAATGAGGTGTTCTCCTGCTCAAATGTCACCACGTGATTCTCAGAATTTTATCATCCAATCTTATGTCTTTGTACATCCAGCACAGGATGAAAAACAACTCACCCCTAGGAAGATGTTTTTGGAGGAGTCGAAACCTGCTGCATAGATGCGTGCTGTGTAAGGCGGTGTACGCTGGCACTTGATGCGGCAGGCAAAGCGGGAGATGGTGCTCTGGACTGACTGAGTGTCTGTGTTGCTCTGGCTGCCCGCCACAGTGTCTGTCACGACAAAGTCTATGGGACTTTCTGTTGATCGACCAATCTGGTAAAGAGAAGTAGAAATGTATTTAAGCAAGTTTTAGACAAGACATCAAGATCAGAGGGACTGAAGAACAAAAGGACATGGAACTTAAGAAAAAAATGATTAAAACAGGTTTTGTGTACTGTGATACATGTAAAGAGATGACTTTGGAGAAAAGTTTTTAGCTAGATGACATGAAGAACCCTGTAATAACCTTGAGGACATATTGCAGCATGATGATGGTACTTTGCTGCCCCTGACTGCTAACTGCACCTCTGCTGTATCATAATCACAGACCAGGACAGGCTCCTTGGGTATTAGTACTATGATCAAACCACAGACAAGAAGACTTGGACTAAACCCTGAGAAAATGCAGTTTGAACAAACTTTGTGATTCAAGACTGGTTAGGGTGTTGACCCTTGACTGTGAACACTTAATCGACTCATCAGGGCTCCCCTACAAACAAGCAGCTGCTGGAGGAGAGTAGGTGAGTTGTGTTTGGTCTCTTTGCTAAAGAGACCAGGCAAAGCTAAAAAGATGTTTGGTGGCTAGCACTATGGCTGGGACCCTGTATGTACTGTTGATGAAGTTAGGTGCTGTTCTGAGCATTATTTGTGGCTATAGAGTGGCTTTTAGGTTGAGGAGTGCGTGTGGAGACATAGACCGCTGTGTATTGCTATCGTGCGATCATTACTAATGTTGGTATAAATAGAGAAGCAAGCGGTAGGCAAAAAAATCTCTCAAGGGGGTGTCTAACTCAGTGTTACGGTGTGTTTGACCCTAACTTAAATTTACGCCGCAATATCCCTTTAAGTAACTTAATCACATTGCTAGATACCACCACAGTTACCTGTACGTGATGTTTTCTGGGGGAATGAATTTCCACATAAACCTTAATGTTCCAAATCAAATGCACCCTTCTCTAAACATATTTCAGATATGTAACAAACAAAGAAGCAGGTGAAAAAAGAAACAGAAAGGAAGTCAAAACAGGTGCAAAAAAATGTGTTAAGAAAAGTAACTTCTTTCAAACAATCAGAAATATACATTACAGGCCAAAAGTTTGGAAGCAAGATCAGATTTGTACAAAAAAAGATCATAGTTTCATATATATAATTTGCAACTCAATAAAAATGACTATTGTGTAAAGAGTAACCTATCAAAAGACATTTAAGACTATAATTATTAGGTATTTGAGTTATTGTTGCTTAGACTTTGCTTTCTTTCAAGTAACCTCCTCTGGCTTTAACAACAGCTTGGCATATACCAGGCATTCGTTCCACAAGTTTTTTAAGGTATGTTCCAGGGATTGCATTCCAAGCTTTCTTAAGTTCATTAAAAAGATACTGCTGATTCGTGGGACGCGTTTTTCTGACCGATCAATCCAATTCATCCCGCACAAGCTCTATTGGAGAAAGGTCTGGAGACTGAGGGGGCCAAACCATCTTTTGAAGAACACCTTCCTCTTCTTTTTTGTCTGGGTAACCCTGACAATTTTTGCCCACTCATATCTCCTTTTCTTGTTTTGTGGACAAAGTAGTGTTTTTTTGCAGATACACAACCCTTCAGACCAGCCTTTCTCAAACGTCATTTTACGGTTGTCAGAGATATGGGTTTCGACCTTGTCATGTTGATTTCCTCCCTTATTTGTGGTGCTGTCTTTTGCCGATCTCTCTTACTGGTGACAATGATGTGTTCATCCTCTGCTTTTGTAGTAACTCTCTTTTCGTCCAGGTCTTTTTCTATCATGACTTCCAGGTTCCTCTAGTCTCTTCAGAGTGTAGTGGACTCCTGTGTTAAACACCTTTAGGCGTTTTGCAATTTCTCTTTCTGTGTAACCTTCTTTCCTTAATGTACAAATCTGTACTTTTGTTTCTTTACTCAGTTGCTTCTTTCTAGCCATTTCTGCAGCAGTTTGAATGCAGTTGAGATTTATTAGGATTTTTGATGCAGACTCCCAAAAGCCAAAAAGTTGAAGTAAATAATCCAACTGTGATTTGTTTTTTTGCTTTTGCACTGAAGTTGTGACTCTTGCAAATGTTTTCAACCCTAAAACTAAGCCCTTATTTTCTTTTGCTGACATATATTTAGCAATGGTCTGTTAACATCAATGTATTTCTAAAGGTAAATGGAGTAAAATGGTGCATTTCCATGAAAGCAACATCTGATGATGGAGTAAATAAATCCCAAAATACATAAAACTCATGCTGGATTTTAAAAAAAAAGCATTGTGAACAAAAACTTGAAGTTACTCCCAACTGTTCAGCCTGTAATGGTCATGCTTCCAAACTTTTGGCCTGTAGTGTAAATATAAAAAGATTTTGATGACACACACTTGACTAGAGAGCAAAAGAGTCAAAGAAAATACCAATCAAAAAATAAACTGCCTTTTTATCCCTCCTTCAACTTAAACCTCTGCTCTCACACATGCAGGTCTATGAGTCAACCCTGTTTCAACCATATGGGTGGGTGAAGCAGTGAGGTGGGGGGGGGGGGGGGGCTGTGACTATGTTGTAAAACTCCAGTCCTGGTGGTAAAAGCTGGGCTCTGTACCTGGAACATGTCTGTAGTGCTGTCATGGGTGTACTCCACCACCACCGTCTGCACTCGAGACAGAGTGTAAGAGATGCTGTGCTGGTCTTTGTTGCTAATGGCCTGAGGAGAAAGAGAGAAGAATAGAATAGATTCAAGTCCAGAAGGAACAAACGTCTCACTTTAAATGTATGTCAGGATTTGAAAGGGATCTTACTTCATGGAAGAAGAAACACCATGTGCTCAGTGATACTACCAGAGAACAATAGTTACGCAAGGGAAGGGTGGGGTGAGTGAGTGAGGAGTTTGCTTATGTAGTCCATGTTGGACTCAGCACAGTCTCAACATCTTGTTGGTCAGTCAAGACCACCCAAAGGACAAACGCTTCTCCAGACTCTTTAAATTAGAGCAGCTAAAGACCTGGTCTGTGTGAGGAAGTCATAGTACAAATGTGTGTTTGAGGCCAATTCATGAAGTGCAGATGTTAACCAAAAAAAAAGAAAAGAAGTAAAGGTCTTTTCTCATACACGCCTTACATCCACACTGTTCATTGAACAGATTTAGCAGGATTCCTGGGAAGCTTTATGACTGATGATGGAAACACACGCACATGTGCTTTTAGGGACTTTGATAGGAAACGCTCAGTTACCTTCCACTGGAGCGTTCACATTTGTTTCCCATATAAACCTGCAGTGTGTTCCAGTTAAAAGCTGTATAAAAAAACCACTGCTCAAATAGTGTGAGAGGCTTGTATCTTCTTCCTGCTAACTCAGGAAAGCTTAGCTGAACTCTCTTTTTTTTCCCTGTCTAGTTGATTGGGCGTGTTGTGTGTGAGTGAGTGTGCGTATGTGTTACTTTCATATTACAGAACAAAAAGCAAACAAGATTTTCACAAAAGCTGTGCGGGTCAAATCCACTCAGCTGGGTGTGTTTTATTTGATGCTGTCAGACAAATTCAATCACATCCTTACAAAGACATCCTCTTTTAAAGGGGGAGGGAGGAAACAGAGAGATTTACATTTTGTATATCTTTCTTTATGTGAGCGATACTCTGCTTGAACACTCAAACCAAGAGTTTCACTAAACATAATTCAGCAGGTGAGTGTTATATTTAAAGGACTGAAACTGCTGATGTGAGAGGTTTCCAAGTGAAAGGTTGCGTTCTCTGGATGACTAAATGATACACTATTGTGAGTTCATTTCTGAGTGTGCATGTGTGTGTGTGTGTGTGTGTGTGTGTGTGTGTGTGTGTGTGTGTGTGTGTGTGTGTGTGTGTGTGTGTGTGTGTGTGTGTGTGTGTGTGTGTGTGTGTGTGACTGTGTGAGTATGTTCCACCTTGGCTGCCTGTGGAGAGCAGGCGACGTGGACTGTGCTAGGTTTCACCCCATTTGCCTTCGGTCTCTTACAAAGTGCAAATCGGCTCTTGCGTCGGCCGCGGTCCCCGTTGGGCAGAGAGCCATTGTACCTGCACATTCACACACATACACAGGCACACAAGAACATAAAGACACACAAACACACCCACCCACCCAAACAAACAAACACATACATAAAGAAAACAATGGGGCGTTATTGTCTGAGCAGAAGTGTTACACACTGGAAAACAGTCATTGTGGAACATGATTGAGGCATTTGGTTCACTCCTTGCGTGCTTCAGGACTACATACAAGCAAACACACTCACATAGCCTATACTTTTCATACATGCTTTTGCACAAAAGCACATCATCCCCCATAAACGACAAAGCCCTCCTCCTAACATAACCTCAGAAAGGCTGAGAATATAAACACACAAAGAGTCTCATTTGGGCCGATGCATGGCCCAGGAGAGGAGAATAAACAGAGGCGTTTCCTCCAACAGAATGGAGTCTCTGTGACTCCCAACAACACTGACACTCAGTAGGTTTCTCACTGTGTGTCTCTAGTATGTGTTTTTCCTTATATGAAGTAAGCCTACTGAACCAACTCTCACTTCATGAACAGTATGTTCATCTGTTTCATGTAAACTGACCCATACAAAACTGAGTTCTTCAAGTACTTCCAAAGTGAGGCTCAGACATAAGCACCATTTTTAAAAATCAAGATTGAAACAGAAGCTACATCAGTTGATAGGTCATGTAATATTTCTGGTCATGCACTATTTCAGCAGAAGATTCAGAAATAGCGCATAAAGAAGAAAGGGCGTATTTGGGTTCCAGAAACAAACACATGTGCCCACATGTTTTAGATATTACAAGCCAATCCCAGTGTGGAGTGATAGTCCTGCTAACAGCACCACAACTTGACAAACACCACATGCATAAACAAACACAGCTCACTACTTGGACATTCTTAGAACATCCAGGAGGTACATGAAAAGTGGACTTGTCTGGCTGTGCTAATACACTGCTGCAACTATACTGGACTGCTGTGGATGTGATCTCAGAAAACCTCAGCTCACATCATCAGATTCAGTTTCTATTCATGTTTGGCTAATTGCTCAAAGTTCATCAGACATTCACCATTACTTATTAGCTATTTTTTAAAAGCCAGTTTCCTTTAAGGTAGAAGTGTCTACATATGAACAAACATGTACCAAAGCACTTAAATTCAAGGAACATCAGCAAACAACTCACAAATTAACGATCAACTGAAATAATCACAATTTTATTGCCTTTCCTTGAAGAGCATTTACATACTTCAACCTTTTTAACACCGTTGTTTAAGGTTTCTGAAGTTTTTAAAAGATTTACACTAAAGTGGGAAAAAAGGGAAACAGAAAGAAAGGCTCATTGTTTTCAACCTAGACTGCAGACGCATGTGTAATGTCTGAAAAGTTCTCTTTAAAGTAGTAAACATGAAGTCCAGTAATGACAGCACAGACAGGTTGTAAGCATGCCCGGCCTGCAGCTAAATGTTTCTCTGAAAGAGCAGATCTGCTGGGATCAAACGACGCTGCGAGGGTTTATGCGTAACCATGGTGAGGGAACAGAGTCACAGCAACGTTTTGGGAAGAGTAACCATGGCAAGAGAGAGTAACCATGGTGAAGTTTAGCCCGTATCCAGAGAGAGGGCAGGGCAGTCTCCTGGAGAGAGCTCAAAATGTTGCAGCAGGCAGCTCAAATCAAAGCTCCCATGAGTCGCAGAAAAGTGTGAGTTTACAAGTATTCTCTAAACAGTAAAAGGCCTAAGGTTAGCAACAAGTTAGCATCTGTTAATATGTGTTTATATATACAACAAGTTGTTCAAACAGTGAGGCAGGAAGGCGCAGAGTCAGGAAAAAGTTACACACTGTATTCTTCATTCCCAAAATTAGCAACATGCATGAGTGTTTTTTTTCCCCTGAAAACACGAGTAAAGGAAAGCTCAGTGTGCAGCAACAAGCTACCACACATGCAGCTATAAAGACATAAAGACGGGTTGTATTGATAATTACTGCCTATGGCTGAGTCACTCAGTGTCTCTGTTTACATGTGTTAACATTACAAGGTTGTTTAAGAACAGGCACAGGCTGCCAGTGTGTAAAAAAAAAAAAATTCTGAACAAACACAGTTGGAGTTACTATGCAGATGGCAACAGTGAGAAAATAGATCTTGAAGTCCAGAGCCAAACTGAAAAGACATGATGGAGCTGTGCGAGACAAACTCTTTCAGTGAGCTCCATCTCCATGAGGCAATACTTGAGAAATAAAAAAAATTCTGTCAATGCAACACAGCTAAAAAAGCATCTGAGACTGGTAAAAGAATGAGCCAACACTTGTGAAGAACGCATCTGCATAAAGATTCATGTGAACACCTCTTTGCTGTGTCAATACAGAATGGCACACTTGTTTCAAATGCCACATGGATGTCTAGAACGCCTGAGCGTCCCCAGAGACATGATAGCATTCCTCTGGATTAGGCCATTAGCATGGGCTGCAAACATGGTGATGTGGGGTTGCCAGGGGGTCAGATACAAGAGTGTTCTCTGCAGGCTTTCCTCTGTCAAGGTTTGGTTTGGCTTGTTCAATTTGATCTTGTTCATTTCTATTCAGCCCACTGAAAAACAGGCCCAGAGGGTTTACCTGAACTGAGCATGGTAGAACCATGGAAACGTTTCTAGTTGGCTTACAAAGATTTTACTGCATTACTGGGACCATGTACAACATACATTGATCTCACTTAATAAGACAAACTGCACCAGTTTGAGCTAAATAGTGAGCTTCCAACTGCGATGTCTGGACAGGAGGACATCACTAAATTTGACCTGATATGTACAGAAAACAACTGCTGGGATGTTTTCGTTTTTGATTCAGGGTAAAAAGTCAGAATGCAGATCATGTATGTTCTTGTTTCGGCTCTAACTCTAAATCATTTGTTCAGTTAGGTTTTGTCGAATTCATTCAGGGTGTGAGCAAGTGCAGCACTTTTTGAAACCTACTTTCTGTGCAGTCTGTGGAGTTTGGTCTGGAGTCTCAACACGATACTTACAACTACCTCATGGATATTTATGTAACTAGTAGTGCCATTGAGCAATATTTGTATTAGTAGGTCTCTGTTTTATTTATTCTATACATCCCTACCACTGTTTCACCCTATTTTTGGTGATGGGCAGTAGGAGTGGGAATCACCTGTGGCCCCACGATACGATATTATCACGATACTATATTATTGTGATTTCTAACATCTTGCAATACAGTGAGTATTGCGATACAATACATTAGGATTTATACATTTTTCAACTGTTTAGCTAATTTAGCATTTGTCTTTCCTTTATGTTTATCTTATTTACACAGTATTTTATTTTCATGTTACATCTTGCAAACCTTGTGTGTCAGGTCCATCTCATTTGTGCCCTGCTTGCAATCCTAATGTCTTTCTCCAGGTGGCGCTATATTTGTTGTACTAACTTTCTCCTGTTCTATGATGTCACCTCTGCCAACCTCACTGGATAAACAGTTGATTTTATTTTTCCATTATCATAAACTTCATATCAGCAATTAATTAAAAAAAAAAAATTAATACTTGGTCAATGAGATGATATGATAAATCACCAGACAAAATGTTGCGATAATGTGCTGTATCGATTTTCTCTCCCACCCCTAATGGGCAGACAGCTGCAAATATGTAAGGGACACAATCCTATCAGCATATGCTAGCAAAGGCATGAACGTTTACAATATTACCTCCCCAAATTTTTTTTTCAAATTTATTGACTTCACTTAAAGAATGGATTGAGGGGAATAGTAAGGGGGGAAGTTGGAAATTGTTTTCATAAAGCCCTTAGTTAAATCTTAAAAGGATTTGACAGGTTTCCTACAAAAAATATGTCCATCCAAACCCTTGGAGACCTTGCTCCAAACCAGTATTTGAAGTGGCTCAACCAAAGCCTTCCTTTGTGTTTTATAGGAAGAAAAGTGCAGCCTGTGTTGCTATGACCTGTGGCTTTTACAACGTGTAAATCACAGGTTATTGAGAGCGAGCTTGCTGTCCAGGATGGCACAGGCCCTTGAGGATTCACATCAGTACTGTAGGTCTGACAATGAAGCATGGTTTTGATGTCAGGGATAGAAGCCAAACACAGAAGTTCCTTAGAGCAGTCTTGCCTGTGGCAAAGATTGTGATTACTCATGCCTTCAAGGGATAAGTGCCCCTGTTGACCTCTCAAAAAAAAAGGCGGGCCTGACCCAGAATAAAAAAGCCTGACCTACAATAAAAAATGGAGTGGAAAAAGAAGAGCAAAACGGAAAACTGGGGTTCTCCCTTGTAAAGGCATGGAACTGCGTTTACTGTTCATTGCATTTTTCCACCGAGGAAAATTTCCACGGTCATCTCCCAGACAATACCGCTTAGGCACGACCCAGAACAACAAACTATGAGTCAGCTGTGAAACCAACTGTGTGTGTCTGAGTGAGACATGCAAAATGTGTATGTGTGTGTGTGTGTGAGAGAGAGAAAGTGAATTCAATGTACACGCATGAAAAAGCATGTGCATTTGTGTGCGCATGTAAGGAGTCTTTCTGACATCTGCATTCCTCTGTGGAGTGGGCTGGGACAGGGAGTGGACTGGAACAGCCCCTTGGGGAATAAACAGGAGACAGACGGATAAAGGAAGTACTTCAGTGTCAGTTGTTACTGGAGAACATGTGCTTGATTTGTGTGTGTGTATGCAGTTCTTCGTCCTCTATGCTTATGATACAGGGAGGGGTGGAGGGTTTTTCCTACAGCTGAGTGTGTGGAAATGAGTCAAAAAACACTGAAAGGGGAGATGGAAACAGAGGTGTTCACAAGATTGTCTGATGACTACTGCTGAGTTAAATCAAGTATTAAAAATGACTTTATAATCTGTCATTAAAGCTCTCTAGAGATCTGTTCGATACAAACATGAACTTTGTTTACAATTTGAATGAAGTTTTGCTGATTTGCACCCTAATAATTGCCTAGCCAAGTTCAATATGGGTAAAAAAAGCCAGCTCATTAAAGATGCTCTCTTTGCCAATGGTACAACTTGCTGAAGCTGCAAAATCTGACTTCATTATTCCAGCACTGTGTGGATGATCACTGCAAACTGCAAACAAAACTACCTCTCCAACAGAAGAAGGCGTCTTAAAATGTTAGTTCAGATGTTTTCACGGCTAAGGACAATTTCTGTTTTTGCCCACAGTTATATTTATCTTAGCCATAGAGTACAGTACGGCTGAGTTTGTGTATTTCAGCAAAGCAAAGGCTGCCTACGCCAAATGCATCCTGGCTCATGTGCTGTGGGCCTCACTCTGTGAGTGAATCAGCCAGCTCTTTTGGTTCTTTAAATGTTAGAAACTGGGGGATATTAGGGGATATTATGCTGTATTTTCTAACACTGGATTTCCACATGAAATGCAGATTTTTTTCCTACTAATTCCTCTTTATAAAATGCATCATGTGTACCCTTGAGTCTGAGATTGTACCATTTGTATTTCCATTTTATCAGTAGCTGCAACCATTTGGAGATTGTTAAACAAACAAACAGCTGCCAAATTGAACATCTTTCAAATATATATGGAAGGTAAATCTGCAAAACACTCTTTGGAGTACATGGCAATAAAAATCAGAGGAGTGAATACACATGAGTGGGTCAGATATTCAGGTCTTTAAGCAAAGGTAACAAAAGTGATTTCAACTGAGCCCTCTTACAAAAGGTGAGTTGGAAACACTGAACAGTCAGAGCGAGAACAGCAAACAACTATAATTATCGCCATGATTCAACCTTTGTCAGACTGAACATTGACCAGAACAACCAATCATAGCAAATTCATTCAAGATAGTCAATAGTTCAGTGAGATTGAGGCTCTTCTTGACCATTTTTTTCTAAACATTTCTGTTCATTCACTTGATGCTTACCCCAGCACAATGAGCTCTCCATACTTCACTGGCACTTTGGTTGAGGCGGTGGTGGAGATGTTTTCCTGCTCTGGGGAGTACATTGGGCAGGGCTGATTCAAGCTTACAAGGGGAGGTGAGGCAAGATGGGTGAGATCCCAACACGGTAGAGGGAGACAGGAGGGGAAAAGGAGGGGAGAGGAGGGGAGAGGTGCTGATTGAGTGGAGCACAGGGGGAGAGGAGGAGAAGGAAGGGAAAGGGTCAGCTGAGTCTCAGCTCCACCCTCTCATGCTTCATGAGTCTGTCGCTCACAGCAGCACTGCTTGTCCTGCAGAGAGAAAAAGAGAGGATTGACATTAATATGAGAGTTTCTACCAAACTTAAAGAATTCAGACATTTAAAGCACACGGGACAACAGTCTCTGTACTGTAGATTCCACTTCCCCTCACTCTGATCCACTAAGGCTGAGACGAGAAGAAACTTGTCTTTTTTCCCTTGAAGACCTATTGTTGTCACTCTGTGGTATCGACAATATTGCTACGTCCTTTTGATTTTAATATCATTGGTTGATTGTAGCATGACACCTTTTGGCATTTCTAATAGTCATAGTATTACAGTACGAAAATAAAACTACCCAAACACAAGTACTCTGAATTGCTCAGCAGGTATAAATGAAAAATCACCCACACACACACTTCAACCTCCCAGAGAAGTTCCCAAAAAAGGCTTTCATCAGAACATCAGGGACATAAGCGAGCTATGTTGGGAGTGAATGTGACTTGTTCTTTTTAGAGAGTGAGGTGGGTGTCTGTAAAAACTGACCTCAGAGAATGAGTCTTTGTTCAAGAAAACCACTGTGCAGAGGAAAGAGAGCATGGATGGATGAGAAAAGAAAGCATGAGAAAAAGGAAAGGACAGACTTCCTGTCATGCTCAAGAAGATCCCGTGTGAATCTCAACATTTGGGGTTTTGGTCCCACTCAGGGCCTCTCTACCCCCACCCACTTGATGACAAACAACCTTATATGAATATGCTATTGCATCTATCATACAAGTGTGCAACATATGCAATAACTTCACTGTATTTCCAGTAAGACTTCACTGAAATGAGGGTGAATATGTTTCTCCTACAATTCCCAGAGTGCCTTTCTGCTAAGAGAACTTAAAACCACTCATGAATAAAGCATAGGAAGTAAAGTGTTTTGATGATGAGTGGGAATAGGGCTTTGTTCCTGGATGCTCTCACTGAGTTCGGAGGATCAGATGAAGATACAGTCCCATCAGACTGAGTGGGAGAAGTTCACACAGAGGCCTTCCAAGTAAATACTTCAGGCGTAACATCAGACAGAAGCTTTATTCAGTATAGATGGAGGCAATGTTTGCAAAGTCTAAAAAATGAACAGTATACCCTGCATTTCAACTCACTCTATGATTTGTGTTGTCATTGTCATTTCACACCATCTGCTGTTTCTCCATGAATTTTAAAGATAGATTTTAAAGATGAAATTTAATGAATGAAGCGTCCCTGGTTATAGGCTTTATAAATAAATTTTAAAAAAAAAGGACAATATGACAACTCTGTAAAAGTACTGCCAAGTGTTGATAAGCTCCTCAATGGGGGGAATAAGACCATAATTGAAGGCTCTGATAATGAATAGAGCTCCTATGGTGATGTGTGCATTGGAGAAGCGACGCAGGGGAGGACTGGTGGAGGAAAAAGAACCCTAAGTGAACTCTGAAACAAATGTCATTAGATCGATGTTGCACAGACTCGTGCTCAAAATGACATCAGCGGAGCCAGGTTTCTGTGATGGACAGAGGGAACATTTTGGCATCGCTTTTGTCTGAGTCAGTGGTATTTGATTCAAGTTTCTAACCACTGGAACCAAACCTTAAAGTACTGTTGGACCATAGACATCAATATTCTCAACTTTCTACCACAGAATAAATGAACTTTTCAAGAATGTTAAAATTACTACAACTGCTGTATGCACTAAACAGTTTATGCCAAATACAATGCACAGCGGGCAATAAAACTCTGTCGTCTCATTCAAGTATAATGTGTTGCTTGCACTTCTTAGTGTCGATCCCTCTGTACAGTCTGCCTAGCACATCTCCTGCCTACATACTTAGTGGAGTCCTGTGAGAGTGAAGTAAGATCAGGATGATGTTAGGGCTGCACGATTAATCAATTTTAAATCGTAATCGGATTATTTGATAAAGACGATGTTTAAAAAATTCCCGCCCCCAGGCCACCGTAGGCTTGAAGTGGGAGCTCCCCAGTTCCAACACACACCAGTCTAAACAAACATGGTGTTTGTAAAATAAAGCATTCATTTTGTGGCTAAACAGGGCAAGAGCAAGTTGGAGTTGGTACAGCTTTGGAGTTTCGGATGAAGAGCAAACCACTCCCTGCTGCAAAGTCTGTCTGAAGATGGTGTCAACCTGTCCACACGGAAATAAATTCAGGAGTAAACAATTTTTTTTTGTCGTATCAGCGTTGCATCCACATAGAAACAGCGTTCCAGGTGACTGTAAATAGTACTTTTTGAAAATGGGTCAGACAGTGCATAAATCTGTAAACGACTACCACTTCATCTCTGTGTGGATGCCTATCAGCATCTCGAAACGATTATGTCACACACAGCGTAACTATTTTATGGCGCCTGTGCCTGTCTGGCCAAAACAACCTTTATAAGCATGCTCCCTATTCTTCTTCTGTCTTTTGTGCATTTCCTAGGCAGCATACAGTGCCACTTACTGGCTTGGCATATTCACTGCATCATTTTCAGAGGTTTCGTTTTGAGAGATGATAGAAAAAATGTTTTATTTTCAAATTGAAGTTTGGTGAAGTTGTCACTGAATAAAAAAACCAAGAACAAAATCTAGTTTTCTGAGAAAAAAAACAGGATTTTATTTTTGGTCAAAATCGTGCAAGCCCTAGATGAGGTTTACTTGAAAAAGATGAAAGCAGTAAATGTAACATGGAGGATCTGAGTGAGTGTGTTACCAGAATGTGGGGGTGGAGAAGGCAGGGTGTGTTCAAACTGCATAAAACTGTAAGCCTGGGCTACACCTGTTCCCCTGACAGAAAGGGTTAATCCCACATACTCGCACACATGCAGCATTGTCACTGCATCCTAAAACTGATCTGAACAGTGTGCATGTAAAATACTCTGTTTACTGCACACAGTCAGCAGTGTCTTGGGAGCTCTTAGCTGACTTGCCAGGAATTGATTAAAACTTATGGATCGAGACGCTGGAAACCAAGAGAAATACAGGTCTGAGTCAGTGGGTCCTGTTTAACGCGTCAGTGTTGCTAAATTATCTCATTTTTTAATGCAATTTTGCTGTTACCTACAACTTAAAAAAGGTGTCATTCACCCCTGCAAGACTCTCACTGAATTTCCTTCCGTTAAGCTAAGAAGTAACCCTTGTCCACGATTTTAATAATGTATTAACTATGGGTTTGTTTTCACCTAAAAACTCTGAAACTTTTAAGAATTTGTTAAAAACTGGCATCCCTAAATACACGTGTGAAATGTCAGGGTGTGTGTGTGTGTTTAACAAAGCTCTCAGCCTCTGCATGACACAGAGCTCAGTCTGGCTGCGTGCCAACTGCTGCTTAGCTACAGAGACACACAGTCCTACAACAATAGATCTCAAGCTTAGTGAGACTGACTCTGTTGGCCGGGGTCAGGGATGGTAACAACGTGCTGCTGACAGCAGGAACAGCAACCTCACACTTACAAAAGCCCCTGTAAAACTTAACTGCAAGGAGGCACGCATGCATGACACCTGCCAGTCCCACTGGCTGCCAATGGAGCACAACACATGACAACAAATGTACATGCTCGCAGGCAGAAGCAAACACACACACACACACACACACACACACACACACACACACACACACACACACACACACACACACACACACACGTGTCTTCATGATAAAGCGGAAGCAGGCTAACAGCTGCACTTCTGCCTGTGAATGCATCGGCAGCTGAGCTGCAGTGTGACGTGTAAACCCGTTCCATTTAGCATCGGAGCGACACATAGCCATCCTCTCTGGGGAGTTCTCTGCTCAGTGCTTTCATATTGAGTTCAAAAGTGAGTAATGCTTGACAGAGGTGGGTGCTGTGGTTTAGTCAAAGGGTGACACACTTTCAGGATCACAAAGCATGACTGTGGAAATAAACATCTTAAGAAAGTGGCAGTGTTCCTTCATCGTGATTTCTGGGTCATGAGGTTCTGCAACAGGGTCACCCACAGAGACTCACAGTGAGAGACTTACATTGTTGACTAATCTGCTGGGTCAGCTGCATGCAAAGGTAAGAGGTAGGTCTTGATACAAGGGGCTCTTAAGTCTTCGGGGTTGAAGAAATAAAAAAACATCGGTTGGTAAAATATCTTCATATTTCAACTCAAGTAAAATCTCTGTTCAAAATCAATCATCTTCTAACCTGTGATTCATGACAGAAAACATCGACCACAAGAAAAACAAAGCAATTGGAGCCAAACTCTGAGCAGGAAGAAACAACGCATGAGGCAGTAGGTCAGGGCACAAGAGTTCAACAAGGCAGAGAGGAAAACTAAGACCTCCTACAGAGTGGAACACCTTCATTACTGTAAATTGGTAATGATACCCTTCTGGTAAAGTGGGTCATCAGATCAATAAATAATAACAGCAGCCTCACAAAGACTCAGAGAGAGTTACATTTGGTAATGTCAGTATATGGAGGGAGGGTGATAAGCGTGAAAACACCTACTGCTGAATAAAAAACTGATCATTTTTAAATCAAAATTAAACTACAACTGCATTCGATTTCAAAAGGATCATGTGATGATGTTTCAGTAATTTCTCCTTCTGTGTTGTTTGATCAGATTCTCAAGCAGATATTCCTCCTACTGGGCTCAAAGTAGGTCTAAAAATGAGAGCTCATCTTCTTGTGGCTGCTGTGATCTTTGTCTAAGTCCTCCATAAAGAAGGTCAGCAGATATCTTATCATCTCAGTATTTCAAGCCCTAACCACATCCTCCAACACTCTACGGCTTTAAAGCTTCTGCACACATTTCGAGTTTCATACGAGGATCTTATGAGTGCTTGAGCTGTTGCATGCTGGGCAGAAGGATCCTGTTTTCTTCAAATGTTTTGGCCCCAAACAAAAAGTTTCTCTTTGCTTTTCTGTCCTTTAAAAGATCTTAATTCAGCATCTCATATGACAGATTGTTTTTTTCTCTTCATGGGACAAAAAGGTGCTCTAACATGAAAACCAGTAAATGTACTGTACGTTGTAGCACACCAATATTGATTGGGTTTTGCTAGCTGAAGGCTCACTTTACAGCAGTGCTCAGTTTTTAGGTAGCAGCTCCGATCAGATAAAGTTACACAGAGCTAAGTCTGAAACCAAGGAGACTGTTCAAAGAATGCTGAGTAATGTCTGCTGTCAAATAAAAACTGGGCAGTGCCTGACTTAAAAGGGATTTCTATTATTCAGCTGGCACAGTAGGATACCACCTGTGTGATAACTGAAAACAGAAGTTTAAGAACCGTGAAAGGCATAAGACTGCGTGAGAAGAGAGGGGGTAGATAACTTTCCAGGAAGTTACTAAATGTAGTTTGTCTCACTCACCATTATGAGCAACAGCTATAAAAGGGATATTCCGGCGTAAATTTAAGCCAGGGTCAAACACACCGTAACACAGAGTTAGACACCCCCTCAAGAGATGAACGTTGCCGACTGCTTGCTTCTCCAGTTATACCATCTTTAGTAATGACCGCTGCTTGTTTGTGGGGGAGCCCTGACGAGTCTATCACCAAGTACAGCGGCGTTTTGCAGCTCAAGGAGGAAAATTTATGATTGTTACTTCATGGAAATGCAATCAGAGTTCTTGTGTATCTTGCATGTGCACTGCAGACGCAGTAGTTCTTCTGCCTTAGTGTTTTGGTCTGATTGCATTTCCATGAAGTAATAATCCTGAATAAAACGCTGCCCTCAGTGATCGACTCATCAGGGCTCCCCCACAAACAAGCGGCTGCTGGAGGAGAGTAGGTGAGTTGTGTTTGGTCTCTTTGCTAAAGAAACCAGGCAAAGCTAAAAAGATGTTTGATAGCTAGTACTATGTCTGGGACCCCTTGTGTACCGTTGATTAAGTTGTGCTGTTCTGAGCACTATTTGTGGCTATAGAGTGGCTGTTTGTTTCAAGTTTGCACGTGGAGACATAGACCACTGTGTATTGCTATCGTATCGTATCGGTTGTTGCAGAAGTTGGTATAACTAGAGAAGCAAGCAGTCGACAACATTCATCTTTTCAAGATGCTTTAGTGTGAAACGCAAAGCTTTACAATAATAAGAGCAAAACCACCTCCTTCACTGTCGATCTGCTCTTGTCAAATCATTCAGTCCACAACTTCTGCAAGACACAACATCCCAGGGAATAGAGGGAGAATCTGCAGTCACCGGGACATATATACATAAATACATATACTCTTTACAAAGTTACATCTTTCATCAGAGTGAGAGATAACAGTTGACTTTCCCAAAACATTAATTTCCTCTTTTGATTTATTATTATGATATTATTCTGTGTCATTATGGTCTTCTTTGTTTTTATGTTCAATTTTTTTTTTTTTTTTTTTACAATTGTGACTACCCAGATTTACAAGGCAACACATACTTAACTATATTCTCTTGTGGAAAATCTGTTCACATCTTTGAAACAGAAACTCAGGTGAACCCAGCAGGATGTAAACCATGGCAGAAGTAGTATGCTCAGTTGAACTTCCTCAAAAGCTTTCTTTGCCAAATACCTTGAACAAGAGGAACTCCAACCCGCTTAACCTGAGTCCTGTTTGGAAAGCGGTCTAAGTCTTGTGGTTCAGTGGAGGATAAAAGTCACATCCATGTGCTTAAACTCGTGGCCTCAAGGAAAACAGGTGATTGCTGCTAAAGCCAAACTCTACTGGAGAGGCTGAGACAAGAACCCTTTAGAGGCCTAAACTAACAAGTGTAACTTTTGTTGTAATTATGAAAGGCTATCTCCTTTGCAACAATGTTCACTAGGCATGGGAATCACTTGTGGCCCCACGATACGATATTATTGCGATTTTTAACATTTTGCAATACAGTGAGTATTGCATTACAATATATTGCAATTTATATAATTTTTTTCAACTGTATAGCTAATTTAGCATTTGTCTTTCCTTTATGATTTTCTTATTCACACTGTATTTCATTTTTATGTAGCACATCTGAAGGTTTGTTGTTCTAACTTTCTCCTGCTCTATGATGTCACCTCATCCCACCAAAATAATAATGTTAACTCTTAATTTCAACAATAACATCCTTCACATTTCAAATGAGCCTCCGAGCCAGCCTCAAAAACCATTTCATACATTTTAGAATCATATACAACAAAACTGGAGAATAACCACATAACACATCCCTGCACACACTTTCTTTGTTTTCATCTCTTTTGTTTGATTTTCATTCTCAATAGCAAGTGGATGGTTTTTTTTTTTCTCGACAAGATACCAGCTGGTTGTGGAGGAGCTGTGATGTTAAGAAAAATGTTGCATTAGAACATGAAATTGCTCTAATAAGACGATTGAGGTTTTGGACCTTTGAAAGTTGGTCCTTCTAACAAGTTAAAAGGCTTCTGAACATCTACAGAACAATCTTGATGGAAGGCTTCACAGTCAATTTTAAAGTGGAAATAAAGATCTACAATTAGCATCTTTTCCTCCATTCATCATACCAAAGCAAACTTCCCAGCATTCAGCTTGATGGCTACAGAGGTTATCCTTGACAGGACCTCCATGCAAGGAGGAGCAGAGCCAAGTCAATGTTTCAAATCATGAATCTCAACCACCTGTGATGAAGCCAGCGTGCCTTCAGCCAGCTCATGGAGACCACACAGTCCTCAGCTCACAATAATAAAATGATTGCTCTCTGTCGGATGAAGATTCCTCATTCATAAAGGAGTAACCACGCTTAGTCAGCCAAAGCTGGGCCTGCAAACATTCAATAAGCGGAGGCGGGGACAGATTTATACCTTTTCTTTTTGTCATCCCTGGCTACAGATGAAATTAAAGGAAAAATAAAAATGAAACATACCTTTATATTGCCTTAATAATTTGTTTGCACATTTTTACTTTGAGAGGTAGAGAGAAGAAAACAAAAGAACAAAAGGGCCGGGGTATGGATCAGCTCATCAGTCATCCGTATAAGTGCTTACAGCAGGAAAAGAGCCTGAGATTAAAGGCTTCCCACAGTTTCATGGAATGTCTTTTATTGTTTTTCTCCAAATGGTGACTAAACCAGGACATTAAGCAGCACATCACGCAGGAAGGTTTACACCGACAGGAAAAGGGAGGAACGCTGAGTTTGACCACAAACCTTATCTGTGTAAGCGGTGCTGGTTTTCAGACGCCCTGGGTCTAGTCTCTAGTGTAAAGTTTCATGGTGGGGTCAGAGAAGAGAGATTGGTTTGCACACTGTGTGGATTAGACGCCCGATGACTCAGAAACTGATCTGCAGGGTGAGGGGGAGCTGGCAAACCTGACGCCAGATTCTTTTTCCTCCTCCGTCTTTGATTCTGTCTCTTTTCCTTCTCCAAAGGGGTCTGATCAATGAATGTGAACAGATGGCTTTAGCACTGCAGAACATGAAAGGGTAAGTGAGGATGAGAAGTAGTCCACCAGCATGTGGGACATGAGGGGATTTTTGTAGGCCTATTCTTAAAATATGCTTTGGATTGTGCACTTGTCCTCAACTGACAGGTCATTGGATTTACATGGAGGAGTGGGCGTATTGGTGCTACAACACAAAGTGCAATCTCTCACTGTTGACTGTCTCGCTTTTGTCCATGAGGAAAATACGACCCAAGACAGCAAAAACATTCCTCATTACAAACAAGTCCTCCTATCCTTACACTTTTTACCAAGGCGTGACCCATCATGGCCTTTGATGACATCTGCATTTATCAGTAGAGGAAGTAGAATGTATACATTGAGTAACTTATCCTATATATACTTAAGAAATGTCAACACCCTAATTACTGGTGGAGAGAACATCTGGAAATCCAATTTTGAAAACCAGTAGATTTTCAGAGGCGTGAGACTTGCCAGAGCAAAGTTAGTTACCTCCATAGACTAAATATACCATGGATAACTTGGTTCCACCTTCCACCAGTATATGGATTTGAAGCCAAAAAGCTCTCTGTAATTCTGCATTTTTTTCTCCACTTCCTAAAACCAACATTGCGAAGTAGCATTGTACGCATTCAGCGGGAGAGTATTCCCCGAGTGAGCTACGCAATCTTTGTGCGCCCATAGGCTGTATCAAGTGTCAATCATAGAAAACATGAACTCCCTAATAACTTTTAACAATGGAGCTGTACATAAAAAAGAGGACTTGAGTACAAACCAGTCTTACAGTAACTACATGTCAACATTGCAAGCAGGGGGGAGAAAAATTAATATTCTGTGTAATAAATTTCTAAATTTTGTCCACAGCTCCATAAGGATTACTGGCGGAGGCGGGATTTATGACCTATACTGCAGCCCGTCACCAGAGGTTGCTGTTCTCACGGTGCCTTCACCCAGCGAAGAGGCAGACGGCGTCCATTCTATATACAGTCAAGATTCAAGATTCAAGATTGGTTTATTTGTCATATGCAGGTTAAACATAGTCAACAATACAATGAAATGCCCTAGATGAGAAGGACCTGTGGTTAGTATATGGTTACCTCTTAAACTTATGGTTTAGCAAATAGACTTTCCAATTGAAGCTCCAACAGTATTTGGTTCGATGGGTGCTGCTGTCATTACAACTGGGACTAGCCAAGGATCTCTCCATCCAGCAGTAAATGATCAGACTCATTTCCATTCACACACCACCAGACCACACAAAAACTCCATCCACTGTCTGAATTTAAACCCACAGTGTGTACTGGCACCTATAAACCAATTCCATCCAGAGCAACCGTAAAATAAACGCAGGGTCTTATGAGACGGGGTAAATCACTGCTGATGCAACGTTGTAGAAAATTAATGTAGCATGAACTAAATTTCCTGAAGCTGGGCCTCAGTGTGTACACCCACTGATAAGACTGTATTATCAATACAAACCAGAGTGTTAGCTCCTTACATGAGTTACAGAGCCATGGTTTCTGATGAGACGCAGGAGACCATGCAGCCGGTCTGCTCAAAGTGATTTAGATACAGTCAAAGTGATTTACACAAGCCAGTATGTCAATGCACAGAGTCCTGATTCTCTGCCCACTCAAAAAGATGCAAACCTCTCTTGGTCGTTGGGCCTTAGAGATGTCCAGGGTCTGGTCCAATGTTCATACAAATATCAATCACAACACCCATAACAGCAAAATCTTAAGTCCCATGACATGTGACTTTGGGGGAAGGAAGAAATCAACTCAGGGCAGACAGAGTGATAGCCTTATCCAGGTGAGAGGACATGGGAGACAGAAAGTGTAACTTTGGTGTGACCTCCAAGTTAAACCTGTCCTGAGAAGCCTGCAGTGAAATTATTCTTCATATCACTCCCACCAGAGAGCACAGACACCAAACTCCTCTGTCAGACTACAGGTGGAATAGAAGTGGACAACATATTATCCTGTGTCACTGACAGCAGAGTGCAAAGGAAAATAACTGACACAAAATAAAACATCTGGCTTGTTTTCCAAATAAAACACTATTATTTAGTATTTCACACCATTCAAACGTGAGTGGGAGCAAACAAGTCATAGGTTTTCAGACGTCTGATCTGCTGGTCTGGACAGAGTGGATTTCCTCCTCTAGAAGGACACAATCTACTGCTTGTATGGTTATGTGGCTGTCCTTACAGAAAAAAAATCGATTCAATGTGAATTTGCAGGTTCTTGTGAGTCCTTGCAATTCCCACTGTCTGATCTTCGACACAAAATTCCCCTCACAATAGATCCGACGGGAATTGGCGGACAACGAAAACTGCCACCATCCCGCAGCTGTGCCGTTACGAATGCGGTGGACTTTGGGGGTAAGAAAGTAACACTGGTGAGTGCTGGGGTGTTCCTGGTGTTGGACTGTTTTCAACTAAAAGCACTGTGCACACAGCAAGGTGTGAAAAAAACTGCTGCCATGTCTTCTGATTCACAGAGAACAATTTGAAGTCCGCTTCTCAGGTTTACTCCTGGCTGCACTACATTGACATCATATCACCGTCACCTATTGCAATGATGTGAGTAAACACACATAAAAAAAAATCCAACCTGCTTACTCGGGATGGTGCACACATGCTCACTTACACAGTGAATAAAAATTTAATTAGCTCCAGCCATCTGTCTTTTTTTTATCACCCTTTTTACAGAAACCTAGTACAGGACAGGCACACTCTGTGGTGTCTAGGCTCTCTGGGGTAACCATTAGCCTAAACCAGAGCTTATAAACGGGTCCACAAAACAGACCACTTCCCCATGTGCTGTAACCAACACACTGATTCTACACAGACACTCGAGTGAGCAACATTTAGTCACGCTGAGCTCCTTTCATAAGGTGAGACTATGACGGAAAAAAGGAGGAGTGGGAAACAAGGCAGATGAGAATAATCCACTTGGGCTAGACGCCAAACACTTGACCTAAGGAAGCGTTGCCACAACAATACTCACACTCATCAGCTATAAACAGCAAGGCATGAAATATGTGGAGCGGGTCAAGAGAAGGACTTGCACATTAGAAACAAGGTGAGGAATGTAAACCTGGCTGTGTTGTTGAAAGCAGATGTGAACATCGTGAAGGTGGCATCAGAAGCCACTGAGGATCATGCTTAACAAAACCAACACATGAGGACACATGCTGAAATGTCCAGTAAACATTTTCTAGGGTGATGAAGAGCCAACATACAACACACTTCTCTGCACTTCACCGAGGCACCAGGCCCCTGAAGAAAAACACACACTCTCAACTTTTAAAGTCAACTATGTACACACAGGACCAAGTCTTTCCTGCTGTATGACAGCCCTGTTCACACCTTCATTTCTTTAAAAAGCAGACTATGTCAGAGCCTGCAGCGCCAAACTCCTGCTGAGTATTAAATTGACTCATCAAAACAAACTACTGGTTGCCCTGTAGGCTCCTAGAGACGGGCATGCCAGAAGAATCCTGGGATCAGGAATTGCCTCACCAAAACATGGTCCTGAGTGTGAAAGAGAGGCGCCTTGTTGGTGGACATGTGTCGGCACAGTGGATTAAAATACTTGACAGGTTCTAATTTCACCAGAGAAATGGGAATCATGCCTAATACGCTACATCTTTGTCCCATGATTGTGTGATGTTTGAGCAGCCTAACAACAGTATGATAAACAACAACTGACCCTGTGATTAACTTAAGTGAATCACTCCCTACAAAATCAAAGTCAGGCTCATTTCTTCAAAAACTGACCAGAATACTGATCTCACTTTATCCAAGGAGTTAAGGATATGAACCCAACATATGAGCTTTTAAATCTGTTAGATATCACGTAATGTTGTATGACCATCAAGATGGAGAAAAAATAAATAAATAAATAGAAAAATACAGATTTTTTTCCCCTCTCTGTGGGGCTCTGTGTATTTTGTGACTAACCTGTAAGCGACACAGGGAGGAGGTGAACTGATGACAGACGGTAGGGGAAGAAGTAGGAGGGCTGGCGTTCGAATTACAGCCTCATCAATGATTCAGTGAGAAGAACACAGACCAGCGTATGCACACAAACAACAAACAGCCCTGCTGGTGGACTCGCAACAAGAGACAAAGCCATGAGAAGTCTCCAACACACAGCAGCAATCCACCAAAAAAGCAGACACTGGCATTTGAAGGCCGATACAGCACACACTTTCCTCCACTGGTACATGTGGAGGTTGACATGCTACCAGTGATATGTGCAGTCACGCACAAGGGTGTACTGTACACAGACTGTACATCACATAGGTGCCTGGTCAAATACATACATACAGCATGCGCTTCACAGTCACCCACTCACCGTGGCTAGTACATGATGTGACCTTCCTAGAAGCACGGTACAGCAGAAACGAGTGTATAGAGATCGATTCATGATGTGTGCGCACATTGAGGAGGTTTACAAATTTGTAACAACTTCTCATTATTACACGATGTTATTGAGGTCAACTCATATCATTCTTAAGTCATTTTATGTAATTTTACACAAAACCATGTATTACAGTAAGCAGTGGAGGGTTGTTGGGATAATTAGTAGTTTTGACTGTCTCAGCAACGCTTTATTTCTTCAAACCTTCCCCCAATCTGAAGCTTTCTGTCACTCCAGCCCTTTCCAAGTTTACATCTGTTTGACAAATGAATAAAAACACACTCTCGACCACACTGCTCCTGAGCAGTCTGTAAAACTCTGCGGAAATAAATGAACATTTTAATCAAGCGAATAAATACATTCTCTGACTCCAGGTTTTTCATTTATCATCATGCGAGGGGGGGTTCTTGTGGTGTCATGGTTATCATGATGCCATAAAGACTGTTTTTCCTGCTATAGATCTGCTATAGATGTCTTTGTGATGATGTGTCTGTTTACAAGGTGAAAAGGCTGAGGTTGTTATATAAGGATGTTTTTTTTTCTGCTGCTGGCACCATTGTTCCAAACTTTGGAAAAGGACTAAAAAAGACAGACTGAACCTTGGAGTTGAAGTGTCGAATGGTAAAGCACCAAATGTCCTGGGTTATGTGTACAACCCCAAACATGAAAAATGGATTTATTTGATTTCTGTTTTATATTTATTTATTTATTTTTGTTAAGACAGTCAATGATTTCTAGAATTTATCTAGATACATTTTTTATCAAGCCCTGACGAATCGATCACCGAGCGCAGTGGAGTTTCGCAGCTCAAGGAAGAACATTTATGATCATTACTTCATAGAAATGCAATCAGACCGAGACGCTAAGGAAGAAGAATACAGCATCTGCAGTGCAAAATGATTATTATGATGACTATTACTTAATGGAAATTTTTCACTGCACTCGGTGATCTACTCGTCGGGGCTCCCCCACAAACAAGCGGCTGCTGGAGGAGAGTAGGTGAGTTGTGTTTGGTCTCTTTGCTATAGAAACCAGGCAAAGCTAAAAAGATGTTTGATGGCTAGTACTATGGCTTGGACCCTATATGTACTGTTGATAAAGTTAGGTGCTGTTCTGAGCATTATTTGTGGCTATAGAGTTGCTTTTTGGTTGAGGTTTGCACATGGAGACATAGACCGCTGTGTATTAATATTGTGCGGTCATAACAAAAGTTGGTATAACTAGAGAAGCAAGCAGTCAGCAACATTCATCTCTTGAGGGGGTGTCTAACTCAGTGTTACTGTGTTTGACCACAACTTACATTTACGCCGGAATATCCCTTTGAGGGTCATATCCATAGACTGTATGGACAACTTGGTTCCGCCTCCTGCCAATATACGGATTTGAGGCCAAAAAGCTCTCTGTATTTACAACATCCCAACCCGGGGGGGAGAAAAATGTATTTTCTGTGTAATAAATGTCTAAAGTTTGTCTACAGCCCCATAAGCTTTGCTTGCGGAGGCGTGATTTATGACCTATACTGCAGCCCGTCAACAGAGGGTGCTGTTCTCAGAGTGGCTTCACCCAGCGAGGAGGCAGATGCTGTCCATTCTATATACAGTCTATGGTCATATCCTAGAGAAAACTTTCCCTAAGCTTGTATGCTTGTGGCTCATTCATAAGCTCACCGGTGTTGGTGTGGGTTGCATCTCTGGGGATTACAAAGAAAAAGTGTGAGTCTTACTGTACACCACCTGGTCACAGTTTGTAACCATTAGCCTCTTGTCCAGATGATCGAGAGAAGCCAGTGCATAGTGCTGCATACATTGCAAAGGGGTTGTTTTGGGTTTTGGCACTGCTCGCACTTCAGACCACTGGCTCTACCTCAAGGACTTTTTCCAAAAATAAAGAACAGGCCTGAGATTTCTGGAAGCAAATGAAACTTAATGTTTATCTTTGGTCCGAACAACACTTCCATGTTGTCTTGTGTGAAAGCTTACATCATGTAACAAAGGCCAATTCTCCTCCTGTTTCAAATCTCAGTCACTGTTCACTGTTGCTGTGTTGTGCACAAGGACCCTACAACTTCTATTACTTAACAGCCTCACTGCCCAGTCCATCTATACTTTCACAGGAACAGCAAAGCACCCTGGGGAAGTTACACACTTAGCCATTTGTGTGTGTATGAGGATGAGAGCTCATTTGAGACAGGAAGGTTGGAAAGTGAAGCAGGAAATGGCAATCACGCACGATCAGAGGGGAGTGGATAATTACGGCTCTGTGTGTGCGTGTGCATGTGTGAATGCAAGTCTGCAAATGTGTGTGTGGAACAGAGAAGGTACCAGGTTATATCAGTAGTTTCAGGAAAGGAACTACACAGCAGGGAAACCACAGAGATGGCTTCTCGAGAATCATACAGACCTTCACAAAACTCATCTCCTGATGTAAAACCTCAACAGGACTTTCAGTTTCTGCTTGTAAGAGGAAATCTGGTGCTGTAAAAAGGGCAGAGAGAGAGTATGCTGCGGTCAGAGTCTGGGCAGAGGTGTTGAAAACACCTTCAAGAGAAGAGAAACTATCGAAACCTGCCCTACTCTGGTACTGAATGATCTTTTTTCAACAAATAAACACTTTCGTTATTCTTTCAAAGTCTCTGTTAGCGCTTCCCCTGCCACTCTGTTACTGACATATTGTTTCAATCTATAACTTCGTAAATGAATTTAAAAAACAGCTTTTTACCATGCATGCACATTCACTTTTCAGTCTAATGTTGTTTAACTGTGTTAGTATTGAAACATATCTCAACCTTCCTCTGCAATATACTGCAAATCTTTTATCTCTTCAACTCAGGAAACCCTTCTTCCTGTGTGTTTGTATAGGTTGATGTTCTCTACAACTTAACCAATCTAAGTCATATATGACACAAAGCAAAGTCAAACAGTCAAACTAAAGCATTACTGTCATTATGCTTCTTCATATGATTTTCTTGTAACTTAGGTAGAGTGATTTTGCTCCTTCAATGAGTCAGCCCAACCCTGACATCAACTGCCTTTTCCCCCTCAACTGCACCAACATTTACAAACAAAGATTTCATTCATAAATTCAGCTAACTGACCAGATTTAAGCTGGCAAAAAGGAGGACTTCACTCCCTGACAGCTTTTCAAAAAGAACTGAACAGCGTCACTGTGCTCTCTCTTACTCAAGTGTTGGCAGCAGAGAAGAAACCTTGGTGTTATTTTTAATGACAGAGAAGTTTTAAAAAAGGGTAGAAATGCACGCTGGATAAATGTGAAAGACAAAAGCAGTGGAAGAAATAAGACACACAACTATAATACCCCCTAAACTGCGTAAAAAGTTGATTAAAAGAGAAACTCAGAGAAAGAGAAAGGAGAGCAGATCTTTGCACTTTCTTTATTCAGCCTTTGCTAAATCCTACCTGTTGCCTTTTGTTGTCTGTCTAGGCTGAGCCTTCCTTACATGGGTGTTAAATGCTTTCATTCTGAGGAAAGTTCAATTATTCATAGAGTTTTTACTATGCAGATTTCTCAGTGGCATGACTTTACATTAATTATGTAGTAATGTGTACTGACTTACAGGAAGCATTTCATTATTAGCAGAAAATGACGTGCAGACAGTGGAGGGACTTTGTTGTTGTACTTGTTAATAATACCCAGAAGAGGATGAGCCATGCAAAACTAGTCTTTCTAGCCAAACATTCTGGTAATTAGAAATTGCCTGATGGATTTTTTTTAGCATACATGTCCAAACTGTATTATACTTTATGAAGAGTTGGTGTATTTATACAAAACTCAGCATAATTTACAAAAGGTGCCAGGAGCTAAATCAAAATACTTTCACATCCATAAAGATACATATTGTGAAGTCCTTGCCAGTGTGGATAGAACTGAAAAATGTGTCTGTCCTTTTGTCCATGGCAGTGGATTTTGATTCAAAGAAGTTTTCAGATTCAAATTTCAAATTCAAAGGAAATATAAAAGCATGAAGAGATGGCAGGTAACTAACTCCAGCTCCTGCTGGGATCAATCTGATTCTGAGCACTACTCAGTCACAATCAGAAACATGTAAGCTAGTATTGCTGCTTAATCACTGCTTACATCTGCACAGTTGTGAAAAAGGATGAGCACAGTTTTTGCAAATCCTCCAACGTTCATATTTATGCGAACGATAAATGTCATTATGACTTACTACGACAAAAGGCTCAGCTTTAGAAAAAACTCATGACAAGCATAAACAAGAGCCAAGCTGTATGTCTTGTTCGTAGAGGCACAAGAAACTGATTGATAATGATTCTGACAAGAGGGAGAGTGGAAGAAAAGCCGAGGAGCACATGCTGCCTCAGGCAACTCTATGGAAAAATGCTGGTAGTTTAATGTTTCCCCTTTCTCCTTTTCCTTCCCCACCTTACAGAAACAAGGCTATAAAAACGTGCCCACTGTCTGACCCACTTTCCATGACAGACATAATCTCCCTCCACAAACTTGAGTCTGTTTACCAGCCCAGCAGAAAGTAAGCCGGACTGAGAGGAGAGTACCAGGCTCTTCACACACAGCGGGGGGAAAGCTGCAGCTCAGCTGCGCTGAAGATTACTAGCATGGATCCCTGCTGAGTTGAGAGACCCTCCCTGATGAAATGATCCGAAAAAGGCATGTGCGCACATAAATAAAACCTGAAAAACATACAAAAATAAAAGCCTCCTGACATGATGTGTTGTAACTGAGGTTTAAAAGTCAGCAGACCCATGTTAACAAACACATGGCATGCTTTTGCATACACACAGACAGACACACACACTCAACTTGCAGGTCTTAACCACCAACTGTTGGCTGCAGAATAGCTGAAGCTTTCATCTATTTGAGTGATATCTGTGATAAAAACACAGTTTCAATCAGTTCACACTGAAGGTGCAGAATGTTTCCTTAAACTACAAGTTTACAACACTGCCTTTGTGATATTACAGCTATAATGCGAAAGGATGAAACTTGCACTTGTTGTGCAATCTGCATCACCCTTTTCAGCCACAAAGGACATGTTTGCATTTTTTTTTTCAAAAGATTGGTTTGTTTGAGTGTCACCAATCTCCTGTTTTGAAAAACCATCTTAAGTATAGACTTAAGCCTCTTAAATAGTCCTGTAACAGCATTGGAACAAAGTTTAGCAATCAGTACAACTTTAGTGTCTTAGTGTTTGGGGTGTTAAGGTACAATCATGCTTTTCCTGTCATGGAAGCCAGCATATTTGCAGTGACCTACTAAAAAAGAACAATGAAATGTCACCTTCATATTAAACAGACAGACACTACTCTAAAAACAAGACAGTAAAATAAAAACAAAGCAAAACATTCAAATAGTTACCGGTGTGGAGGTTACACGATTTTTATGCTCCTGGACAGCATTGGTATATCATCCAGTCACTGTCGAGACTTGGAGGCCTCTCTGTGTCCCCACAGACCAGGTTACTAAGGATACCGGCAGCACTGAGCCTCCATTAAGACATCAGAGCTCCCTATGAGCTCCTGTCTGACACCATCAGCTCTAGTTTCCTGCCTGAAACTGAGACTGCAAACTGTGCTGGAGAGAACATATAACACACACATACACACAAACACACAGTCCTGCAGGTAGCACACCCAATTCAAATGTGCAAACACAAACTTGTGCATGCAGCACCTCCACTCTCCCCAGTTACACGGCATTCACTGTGTCCAAGGCACGTCCAGCCAGAAGTTATCACATTTAAAGGACAGTGAGAACACAGACTTAAAATAGTCTGCACAAAAAGATTCTCCAGCCTTTCCAATGAGATGGCAGTAATGTTTAAGCAAGTGTTGCAACCTGACTCGGATAGAGCACCCAATGAGTACTCATGCTCACAGCTTTAGATCTAATGTGTACCCTGACAAGTCAAAATCACAAAGTTTGAGTATTCATATTTTTGCAGCTTGATTGAAAGATGAAATAAAACAAGAGTTGCAAGAAAGTTTTGGAAGACAAAGGGCCTCTACTGTGCATTTCCAGCACTAAGTCTGAAGCTCAATGTTTGGAACGGTTTCAAACTACTCATACACTTACATAATAGTTCCCTTTAACCACACCTTGTTTATAATTTTCTCCTGCCCTTAACTCTCCAGTTGCACACAAAAGAAAAAAGGAAAAAGACTTGCTTTTTTTTAAAAAAGGAAATGAAAAATAAACTTTATACCCAAGTGTAAAGCCTTTAGAAAATATAGTTCCCTGATCAGTCATCACTACCACAAGCAAACAATGGAAATGAGGCCTAGGGCAGATAGAGTTAATGGTCATCTGTCTGTACTGTGACAAGAAAAAGGAGTCAGTGAGATCTCTATCAGAAACCAAGTATTTCACCTCATGTTTTACCAGTACAGAGTAAAAGAAGGAGATAGAGAAGGGCAGCAAGGCGGGTGGGAGAGGAAAAGAAATAGAGGGGGAGGAAAGAGTGAGGGAGACAAAGCAAGATGAGATGGGTGATAGCGAAAGAGGAGAGAGGAGGAGAGTCATTAACTTGCAATCAAGCTTCAGTAATGGCTCGACTCCATTCATTTGCCTAATTCCTTATCAGGCAATGTTCCCTTTCTCACTCGACCCCCTCTGTGACAGGTCAGCATAAAGACTGGAGGTGATGTAAACTAATACCTGCATTTCTCAAGCCTCCGTACACACACAAAAACCCCAGCAGCTTTATCTTCACAGAGCTTCTGATTTCCACCCAGATAAAGAGACAGAGTCAAAACAGGTGCATGAGTATGTGCAGGCAACTTGACAAAGACTTTGCAGCTGCAGCACTCACAATAGCAGTCCTGTGATGACTTACCTGCTATGTGCATGAACACGAGAGAAGGAGGAAATTGATAAACTACTGTATCAGCTCATAAATCCGTGCATGGGCAGAGCCACTTGCAGGACAAAGCAGGTGACCGTCAATAACAATGAACAGTGCTACAGCTAAATTAGCTTTCTGTGAACCGCCGTGGCGTTCCTAACGTTATAGAGCAAAGTCAGGTGGCTTGTAAACATGCTCTTACTGCGATGTGAATGATGAAATCCTTTTGTTGTCTTCGGTGCTGCTGACAGGACTGCTAGCTTCTCCTCCAGCTGGTGCCTGGCTTCCCAACTTGCTGAGCCTAGCAAGCTAGCTAACGCTCCACCGGCTTAAAAAATAAAGAAAATTTCGTCTTAATTTCTCCCCTCGGAGCAGGTTTGACAGAAAGAGAAAAGTGAAACCCTCATCACGTCAAATAATAAGCCAACGAGGATTAACGTCTCCCCCTTTCCCGTGGTTGTGAGTTAAAAAGGTTGGCTGTTAGAGAATATATCCACGGTGTTTTCTTTTAAATGACAGGCTCTCCGCGGTGCGCTGTCCTTTGTTGTAAGCATCTCAACGTAAACACAGAGCTGATCTGTTCTGCCCGTTCTGTGGCTGCGAGCGTGCGTCTGTGGGAGGAGACCGACGTGGTCGCAATGCATCCTGGAACATGTGGTCTTATTCGCAGCGAGCTTCGAAACTCAAATTACTGCTTCATACACAGAGTTTAATGTTTTCTCACGCAAAAGAAAAACTATTTGACAAATATAGTTGTTTGATTACTGCATACTTTACAATTTAAGCCGTTCTTGTTTAAAGAAGGAGATAGGAGTCCTTTGAACGGGTTATAATGTTTTGTCATTGACGAAATTAGCCAACACTGCTGCATTCACAGTTATAGTTCCATGTGAAGCTTTTCCTCCATATTCATAGTATTCAACTGATTCAGGCCTATGGATAAATAAAATACATAGCAATCCAGTAAGATATATATTTAGCTCTTTGTAACATGTTATTTTACAAAAAAGATTGTCATACATTTAGTCAATTTGCTTTGCTCTGTCGCTAACTGTATTTGATTCTGCTCTAAATTCACCATCAGCATTTAAATACAACACCAATTTCAGCAATTTATTGTGTAGAATAATGCATTATTCCACAACTATTCTATCAAAATTTTACAAAGAGTACAGGGAGTAAAGGACATATGAGGTTTTTTTCACGAGTTATGAAGAAGGAACCTATGCAAATATTAACCTGTTAGAGAAAACAAAAAAATGTTTGAAAAGCATTAAAGCTTTTGTGAAGTTCTTTGTCATTCTTCTTCTTTTTCACTGTTTATCTCACTCTAAGACATCTCTAACAAATTAAGACGCAGTTAAGACCAAAATGTCTTACAAACGCTTGATTGAGAGGATTACAGCCTTAAATCCTGACATCACTGTAGTAATCACACTCCTCTGAATAAAAACAATGAACAAATCTGTCAGCCATCAATATGGCTCACAACAGACAGAGAAATGAACTTACTTTGAATACCATCACAACCTACTGCCACCCCATTCTTCTGCTTGGACATGTGAGATTTAGGCTCGACAGATACGCATGACTTCTCTCTCATATTCCCTTTCATGCTGGCTTCCATACAAAACACCTCACATACCACGAGCGCTTAAATCTTCAGCCTGGATGGATCCAACTGGAGTGAACCAGGGTCAAACTGTCTGTGTTGTTCCTCTACTTCCATCTTCATGTGTAGCTCCACATTGATGAATTCTGTAACATTTTGGTTCCAAACATTAGCGTATTAGCGTGTAAGCAGTACTTTAACCACAGAATACAAAGATCATGGAAAACTGCAGCAGATAAGCAGATACATTAGATGCAGTGATGTCAGCATGTTCATGTTCAAATTTTCTATTTAGAAATAGTTTTGGACTGCTTGTGTGACTGGAAATATTTTGTCCCACAGCCTTGATAATCCACTAGCTGGCTTTTGAGATATTAAAGTCTTGAGATAGTACAGACAAAAATAAAATCCCCACAAACCACTGTAGGGCCTGACTCTGCTCAAGCCAACGATCAGAGTCTGTAATTGAATTTATCCATTAGCCCAGATGGAAAACTCAAGAGTATTTTTTTCCATAACTCTCCTTCTTTAAAAACATTTTGTACTATTTTATGTTCCTATCTAATACATGTAACAGTGTCGTTCACTACACAGAGGTATGTCATAAAAAACATCATTGTATTCTGATATGGAGACAATACAGGGAATTCTGATTATGACCTAAAATGTTTTTATCCATTTCTTTAAAGAATAGAGTTAAGTTCTGCTTTCTTATGAAACTGTGGTCAACCTGGTTGTATTTTACTTTATTTTCACTCTAACCCTAAAACATATCCCAATCCATCAAACTCCCACTTTCACCTGGTTCCATTCAGGTCAAGTTTGTCTTTTCATTATACCCCTACATAAGAATGGATTCATTAGATTGTTTAATTGCATTTTTAAATGGCAGGTTGTCATGCATTAGTTTGACTACTTTCATTCTATTCCATTTCAGTTTTCTGAGAGTATAAACAGTAAGATTACATAACTATATTAATCTCTAGAAGAGAAACTGGTTCTGTGACTTGTAAACATAAACAGATTACATAAAGACTGCCAAAACAATGTATACTTATGCAATACTTAAATAAATGGATATACAGACATTTACAATTAAAACAAGATGACATTGGAAGCAGACAAAGCTGCATCAAAAATGTTAACCTGCTGCAAGGATATGATACAGGTGGTTATTACATTGATAACTTTAAGTGTCTCTGCCAAAGACACAACTGAGACGAGTATTCAATACACCAACTAGGAGACCAAAATGTAGGTTAATGTTAGAAGTACAAAAATCCTACAACAAAATGTAGAAAACAAAAACAAATTAGAATTAAATATTGAAAGCTCAAAAGCTGTGGGGAAGAAAGTCAAAACATCAGGGCTATAAAATGATGTTTTCAGTTGAGTTGTAAATCTGTCCCAGATGTGTAGCGAACTGTTGTTGTAATTCTGCTCCAGCTGTATGAATTTGATTCCTGAAAGTTGATTTCATCAGGACCACAGTGATTTGCAAGTAGAAGAGAGAAAGACAAGTAGGCAGGCACACAAACAGAAGGGCGGGCAGGCAGACAAACAGACATGCAGGCAGACAGATGGACAGACAGGCAGACAGACAGGCAGACAGACAAACATGCAAGCAGACAGGCAGAAGATGTTTCTGTGAGGAAGACGACTTTTTCAGTGCAAGAATAAGTAGAAAATTTAGGAGATGCCAAGGACAGATTAACTTTCTTTTTGCTTATATCAAACACACACACACACACACACACACACACACACACACACACACACACACACACACACACACACACACACACACACACACACACACAGAAACAGACCTGTTTTTGTACTGCTGAGATGCTGTAAAACACACACTTCAATCTGCTAATAAAACACACGCCTGCTGCTGCGCTGAGCGCCAGAGGTGAGAGGTAGGTGTTAAAAGATGGAGTGCCTTTGACACTGAAAGAAAACTCTGCATTTTAAGAACCAAGAAACACAAGAACCTACATGTGCCTGGACTTCTACATGCAAACACACACAACCTCACACACACACATCCATGCACACACCTTACGTAATCTTTGCACACATTTTAATCTGTGTTGAACCCTCCTGTTTATGTTGCTATGGCTTCATCGCCAACACCTCTCCTGGACGTCGACAGCAGACACACCTTCCTTTGATTTCTCTGAGGGTGGAGCTGCAGCCAGTTCACTTTTACTCCTGATGGATGTTTTGAAAAGTGCTTCTCTTTCCAAGCGCCAATGAGGCTGCAGGTCTGTGTGAAGCATCAGGAAATGAAAAATGTTGACTTAAACACACACAGTGGTCTGATTACATCCTTCGGCCTCCTATGTCAACACTGCACAAATCCTCGGATGAGTGTGAACCCATGGCATTTCAAGTTATGAAGGATTAAGGATCTATTGCAGGGTAAAGAATGGTTTAAAATTTACAGTTGGCCTACTTTTTATGATTGTGTAAGTAGAGAAAAAAGTACTGCAAGATGATACTGAAATAGAAACAAGTAAAACACAAAACGAGAAGGAGAAAGCTCTAAATAAACAAAATAAAGAAAAATCAGGCCAAAATGTCTGATTTTTTTTTTGTGCAATGTGAAACCCTGAACTTCCTCCTTTGCTTGAACTCATTTTGTTTTAGATTCCTGTTTTCATGTGCACTCAATAACCCCCTGAAATGCCACCTTGCAATTTAACTAAAGCATTTAACTTCCTTTAAAAAGCCAGTTTGATGTGGATGAAATAGCAACACCATTTGTTTTGTTTTTATTTTTTGAACTATTATCACTTCTGAAGATCTTGTGAGGCGTCTTCAACAAATTATGACACAGACTGAAATGAATACTGATGTCCTACAAAAGCTAAAAAGACCATCAGTGACAAGAGTGATAGAGTCTACATTGTAAACACTACCTAGAGCTGTTGCTGCTGCTGCAGGGTAGGTGTGATACCAGACAATTAACAGAACCCTGCAAGAAACAAAAAATAATTTAATGACAAAGATTTTTTTAACTACGGTTCAGTACATCTTGAAGTCACAAGGACAGGACAAAATCAACGAATACAAAAAAAGACCAACTGCTTTGTACACAATAGGTGTCAAATGAACACAAACCAAATGTTTCTCCAATGTCTTTTTAGTCACTTCAACGATTAATTACTGATATGTGAGAAACAAACTTGACAAAAATGAATAACAGCATTTTATATAATAACAACACTAACAAAAGTATATGAGTGTGTCAATATCTACAGTCATCATTCTTAGTTCTTGAACCAGGTTTCAGCCAATCTGAACTATTTATAGAGAAATGTAGGCTGCAGGCTGAGGAAGTTGACAGTGAATATCAGAATGCCCTTGAAATCATTCAAACAACCCAGATCTAAATTAAGAGATGTAAATGTCTTTACATGCATTTACGGTCAACCCACTGCAGCTGCATTCAAATTGAATGTGTTTCTGTTGGTAGAAGATGAAGAAAAGTTTGTATTTTTATGTGTTTTTGTACCATAATCTCATCTTGTACATGCAATATACAATACAATACGGTGTTATAATATTCATGAGACATTAAGGTGCTTTTTCACTAAAGTAGACTTGGTAGCAGGTATTTGCAGTATCGGTTTTCCAGCGGGTCTTCCATTGAATGTCAAAGAGATTAAACTTTGGCCTCAGATGGATAAGACACTTTTGCGAGGAAAACTAAATTAAAATAGGTTTCAACATACTGTTGCTTCATGAATAAACAGTGATTAAAATAGCTCTCAATCTCACTACTTTAACAGCTGAATCTTATTTTGGCATCAAAGTGAGGACACACACGGTCACATAAACAGATCTGTTTTTGTCCTGAGTTACTCGACTTGATATTTTGCCTTAATATGATCTAAGAACTCTTTATGTTCAACAAAAGCATCTGCTCCAGTCCCCTGAGATGCTGACAGTGGACAGAGTGTGTTGGATTGCACTGAGGGCAAACTGTTCTCAGCAAGTATGTTAACCGTTGTTGTTGTGTGATAAGACCAAAACATAGCAACAGCTGGGCCACGTTCAGAGTCAGTAGGGCTGCGTGGAGAAGACTTCTCTGCTGTGACAGGATTATGTGATAGAAACATGCTGTGCTCATGTGAAGCCAAATATTAAGTAACACTACTGTCCCGTGTTTGAGGGGCTGGACCGTGCACTGTTGTCATGCTGCCATGGTGACAGTAACCATGCACTGGATAATGTTTACAGAATGTTTAGCATATCATGAAGCAGGCACATAGGGTGATGAATCAAATGTGTGTGTTTCTCTGTGTGTGTGCCTTTCAAGGCTAAGCACATTTCTAACTGACAGACTTTTGTTCTGTGTTGTGTGTAAAGAACTGTATTTGATTAACACACAAAAGCCAATGGCTGGAGTTGTGAATGAACAAACTCTGCAATAGGTTTTATTTTCCCAGTAAGTATTAAACTCTGTAACTGAGTGCTGTGTACTGTACTGTAATATTCTCCAGATGTTGTTTTGAAGCTAAGCAAACAGGAGGAGACTTCTCACATGGTAACAGGATTTCTTAATCTTTCACATTCGAAGCACCTGTTTGCATGCATCATTACACACAGAAATGCAGGCTACCACTGACACTTGGCAACCATGGAGACATCATAGTTGTAAACTGGTTATGAGCTATGATAAACATGCCAAGACAAGAGGCAGACAACTGGCAGGATGTTTTTCCATCTCAGATGTTGGGAGCCCAGCTGGGTGTGCAGCTACAATGAGACTGGAAGCACCAAAATACAGCAGAAGAAAATCATTTCAAACGTGTTTTTGCAAAATTAGGCCATAGAAACAACTACATAAAACATATATCTTTTTTGGCATCTCCAAAAATTTAGATGCATGTCAATTCTGTCATGGCACCCACCGGGGGAATACTAAATAAAACTTTCACAAAAACAAACCATTTTGTTCTAATTTTCAGAAATGTTGCCTGTTTGTTGGCTGCAGTAGAAGTTTTAAATTCTGCCTATTCCATTGTAATAGATGAGACATGAGTCAAACTAATAATTCAAAATACACATTGAATAATTGTCTTACAAATGTGCTTTCTGCCATAATAGTTTGTACATATTATGTTGGCTCATAAGCAAGTATTCAATATCTGAGAAGCTCACTTCTCAGAGGAGATGCAGGTGCTCTGTCCATGTGGATAACCAGTCTATAGCTCCAGTGCACCTACTTGCTGAATTTTCTCTTAAGGGCACTTAAGGAAGTTACCTGGCTGAGAAAAAAAAAAACATTTCAGCAAGTTTCAAATCAACGTAATATTAAAAGAAATTCAAATGTAGAGGGAAATCTAAATTAGCTGACTTACGAAGTCCGTAGATCATGCAGTTTAAATCAATGTGATTTAATGCTTAATGAGTGAGACTTAAATGATTTACCTGCTTCATTATGAGGAGGAATTATGAGGAATGATCTGCCTCACTCACTCAAAAGATGAAGCAATGATTTTGACTATATATATATATATATATATATATATATATATATATATATATTAGAGCTAGAAATTGTCATTTGAAGCTTTTTATAAATTGTGAGTTAATCCAGACCCTGGGACAGTCATGCTGAGGACCTTGATAAAGATGGATCAGAGAGATATGGAGGCCAGTCGATTGATAAAATTCAATTTCTTCTGTTTTGCTTTGTTCTTAATGTTATTTGCAGCAGACATTCAAACTGCAACAGAGAAAGAAGGGATTTTGTGTAAGTATAATATCACAATTAATATAAAGGGTTTCGTCATTTGGTCAGATTGGTCAGGGTTTGTTGATTGTGTCTCAGCAGAGAGGGTGAGATCATCCCCCACACAGGGAACATCATCATTTTTACTATTATAAACTCCTCTGCTGTAAATACACCCCCTCTTGCTTCATGCCCCTCAGTTAGTTGACTGAAGATCATCTGAAGCCAGCTCTTATTTGAAGCTATGGTAAACTCCAGCCTGCTTTCAAGAACAGTAAATTTTGGAACGTTTTGTAAATATAATCACATGACGTGTTGCAGGATGGTGAGAGCAAATGTAAACCACATGTAGACAGATGGCTGTAAATGTTACTGGAATTTTCCTTTAATTAAGACTCATGAATCATCCCAGCATCTGGACCATTTTAATCAATTACCCAGAGTGCTACATTTCTATGAATGATCATTCTGCCGTGTCTCTCCATCGATTACATTTTGAAGGAGCATTATGTCTCTATCATGTCACATGTATTTTGTCTCAGTCCTATAGAGCAGAAACATATAGAGTCGTCCAAGGAGACTTTGGGTGTCACTGCACGTAATTATAGAGTAATTGGCTGTAATTAGGCGGGGTGTCGTCGCACAGCTCACCAAACACTGTCATAATTGGATGTGGATGGGCATCCAGACTCTAATTTTACATTGAACCTAAGGAGCATTTAAATAGCAGCCTGTCTTTGAGGCTTGTTATCTGTTTCCCAGTGGTTGTATTATGAGCCTTATTTAAAATGAATGACTCTGACAAATGGTTCACACACAAAGGAAAATTGCTTGGGGGTTTTCATCAGTATAAATCTACACAGGATCTCAAGGACACACATGTGGGCCAATTTTGGAACAAATACCCAGGAGCACTGCTTATATGAGATAGATTCTTTCATGTAAAATTTCTCAAGAGTCCTTTCACATGCTATCTATCTATCTATCTATCTATCTATCTATCTATCTATCTATCTATCTATCTATCTATCTATCTATCTATCTATCTATCTATCTATCTATCTATCTATCTATCTATCTATCTATCTATCTATCTATCTATCTAAAGTATGTCTGTCTATCTATCTCTGTCAGTCTGTGTATCTGTCTAAAGCCCTGGAGGTGGAAATTTTGTGGGCCATACTTCCATCATGCAGACAGCATCAGGGATTATTTTTGTGTCCTGCTGTTGTAAATAATCCCTGGAGCATAAAATGTGTATTAAATCAAATCCTGTCCCTAACCCATGCCTGGTATACATCATTATCCTTCATGTGACCTCTTCAAACTACACTGAATGAGAGGGTGGAGCTGAGGGTGGTGCTATTTCTTTGCAGTATGACTGAATTTTTTTATTTTTTTTTAGTATGATCACTCTTGAGGCTCAATGTCACTAGCATGTGATCTTTGTTGGTTTTATCTTGACATTTGTCCACAACCACAAAAAAGAGCAATTACAGTCTATTTTTACATTGAAGTGAAGTCCAATGTAATACCTGATAAAAGTAAAAAGAATTAGATTGAGAATTGATTGGTGGTTCTGATAAGATCAGAAAAGGAACTTTCTGATGTCCAGATTTTGTTTCTTTGTCTCTGACATTTCATTTTCCGTGTTTTTGAGTGTGTTAAATTCTCCTCCATTTGTTTGCACAGTATAATGTTCATATTACCCTCTGTATCTGACCATACAACATTAGGCTTGTATACAGTTTCTATCTTCACAGTAGGTCTCACTTTTGTTGGATAGTGTGTCGATGTCTTGTCATGAAAAGTCTCTCTCCAGAGGTTTACTATCTGCCTTAACAGTTAAACTTTCAAATACAGTTCAGTCAGGAGAAACAAGTTATTGAGTCAAAGTTGATTATTTTTGAAAGAGACAAAGTGATATTGAATTATCATCAGGGTCTTTCAGGCACTTGGACTTCACACAGAGAAAGGGTGGTCTGCCCTGAACATTAGTAACACCTGTGGAGTTCAGACTCTAGTGGTGGAGGTGTTGGCTAATGATGCTGTCTCAGATTGTTTAGATGATGACACTGATGAAGCTTCAGGACAAGGCGCCAATGAGGAGGTGGGGGGCAGAGTGTAACACCTGCAATGGAGATAAAATGGAAAATTGAAAGCTTCAAAGTGATATGTTGACAATGAAGGTGTGTTCCAGTGCTACAAGATAGATATACACAGGTGATGTAAGCTGGTGGTGGCCAAAGGAGATATGAAAGAATGCATGGAAAGTAACAGTGATAAACAGACAATAAATCAACATCCAGAGTTTAGTCTTCCAGAAATGCTTCATGCATTCAAAACACAAACACACACACACACATATGAGAAGATGGAGAATGCATGCAGCAGTTTAAAAAGACTCATCCATCATTTGCACAAACACACACACACTCAAAAACACAAACTCCAGTCCAACCAGTCAGGCGAGAACCAAGATTTATTTCAAGTGGAGCCTGCAAGGTCATCATAGTCACCATGGTAACAAGCAACACAGTGATGCAACTAAACATGATGTCATCAAATAAATCTGTCAGCAGTGGCCCACCAGTGTTTTTTCTTTTTCCTTGTTGTTACCACAGGAATTATGAGGGTTTTTTCAATGTATTGTCAATATGGATTCAAATCTGGATCTCTCAAAGGGGTATTAGCTCTTTGATTTTTCAATCCATGCACAGTGGTTCATTAGAGCGAGGCTGATCTGCTCTCACAGTGCAAACATGTTACAACACAACAGTCAGCAGAATAATGTTTTATTTTTAGCCAATACAGAGAACTGTCTGTCTGTAAAGGCTGACACTTTTTGAATATCACAAGATGTTTTATCTACTTTTTAAACTGAAAAAGGAAAGTAAACATAGTTAATGTCAGTAGACACAATTGTATCTATCTCAAACCTGCACTTTCCCTGCTACAACCAAGCATTGTCCTTGCCCTGAATTTTAAACCAGGACCATTTAACTTAAGGCGGCAGCTCTGACCTGTCTGCTTCTGACCTGCCTTGGATTATCTGCCCTTTCAAGTCATTTTGTTTGACTTTTTAATGTAGCATGTAATGGCTGGAATCAGCTTTTTAGGTTACTTCATTTCACCGTTTCTTGATGATTCTCTAAAAATGCATCTCTGACTGCAGAGTGAGGAAAAGATTGAACCACTTGCACCTTGTAATTTTGATTTAGAAACCTGATCAACAGTCTTTGCACTGATAGGTAGCATTCTCGACCACTGCAGAACTGTTAAGCCTTGGGGCAATTGCTTTTGTAGGTCTTTTTATATCCCCATTTGATTGCATTTCTTCTCACACACCAGTTTTTAGGGCTCTCTCATTTGCAGGGAAATCTCTGGACATTGAATGTGCAACATTCTGCTCATCTTTACTGTTAGGTCATTATGTAACCCCATAGACTGTATATACTATGGACAACTTGGTTCCGCCTCCCGAATGAAGCTAAATTTTTCCACTTTCTGGAACCACCACTTGCACAGTAGCGTTGTAAAGAATCGCTGTGGTGATGCTCCACTCAAACAGCGTATCCCCCCGGTGAGCTACACAATCGTTGTATACCCATAGGCTGTATCGAGTGTCAATCATAGAAAACATGAACCCCCAAATAACTTTTAAAAATGGAGCTGTACAGAAAAAAAGAGGACTTGAGCACAAACCAGTCTTACAGTAACTACATGTCAACATCACAAACAGGGGGGAGAAAAGTTTATATTCTGTGTAATTAATTTCTAAAGTTTTTCCACAGCTCTATAGGGAGGAGGTGGGACATATGACCTATACAGCAGCCTGTCACCAGAGGTCACTGTTCTCCCTATGGCTTCCCCTTGCGAGAAGGCAGATGGTGTCCATTCTATATACAGTCTATGTGTAAACCCAGAAAAAAAACAACTAAAGAAAGTAACAGACTTATAGTTTAATCATTCATCCTGCTTAATAGATACATACATTTTTGATAGTATAAACGTTATCTGCATTACATTAAACAATAGCTGTGAGGCAGAGGGAGCATTCATGCCATATCCAAACACAACACCTTCTGCTTTATTTGTTCAGTCCACAAGCCAAACTGGATAAAACATCTACATCATTCAAAAATACTCTGACTAGGCATGCATCCACATGGATGTAAACATTTCCTTATATATATGGGATTGGCATAACACATGATTCTGGGCTGAGTCAAAATTGATCATTTTTAAGGAATGGTTGAACAATTTGGCATCTTTGCCCGATCTCTATCTTTGATGGGACCTATAAGAGGTTTGACACACCAACACCAATGATGGGTTATCAGCTTAGCCAAGCACAACGACTAGAAACAGAGAAATCCGCTAGCCTTCCAACACGTCCCAAAATGTTGTCAACATATCAACACCAACACCGGCACTTACACGGATGTGACAAGACTCTACGAAGTTATCACACCGGGACCAGAAATAGTGACAAATGCTTCAATAACACACAAGGGTGGTACCGTTGATTCCAAAAAGATGTGTAGTTTGTCACAGAATATAGAGTGGTTGTTTGTTTAGAAAAAAAAAAAAAAGAAAAAGGATTGTCTTTACGGATTATTGTACAAATTAAAAGGAGGACCATCAGATATTTGCCTCAAGCTTAGTACCATGTTTCCTACAAATTCAATTCTTTATCTATCCAAAGTTATGACTTGTCTGGATTTTATATTTTTTTCATGTCAGGATTTGTCCTTCCCTTTCCCTTGGTTCAGACATTACAACATCCCAAAAGCACATCACAATGATGACATGTTTAATCCCAAACAGTGTCACTGCTGTGTGCTTTTATTTTGAGTTATTGTGGATTAAAAGATTCACAAACAAAGTATAAAGTATAAGCAGTTTGAAACTTTTGAGTAAAAAAATAATCATGTTTTGCAAGTATTCAGACTGCTTGTAGAGCATAACACATTTTAACCTGTAGAACAAATTAATCCAAGACCCCACTCTGTCCAGCAAAGTGGAGCTTCTCAAAAAATAAATGTTACAGTGATAAACTGATAATATGCCTCCCATCACCGACATCAAGCTTTCCTTCTCCCACAGGGAATGCAGGCACACAAAAAAAATAAAAATAAAAAAAAAATCTGTGGAGGACACTATCAACCTAAACTGCAGCTGAGCACCAAGATGAGACACGGTTACCACTTCCTGTTTCACAGCAGACAGGAAGGACATAAATCTGGACGACGATGTAACAAATAAGCAACGAGAGAATGTAGTCCTGCTGTGGGTGAGAATTTTCTTCATATAAGGGAGTGATCAGCTTTTTGAAGACTCTCCTTGGTCCCCACGACATAATACAATCACAGTGCTTCACTTCGTTTTCTGCTTGTAAAGGAACCATAATCTAAATAAAAATATATATTTCCTTGTTGTGCTGACTTTGTTTCTGACATTTCAGTGTTGACGTCTACACAGTTTCTATAAGATACAAATTTGATGTAGGCAACAAATACTGTGGGGACAAAACCATCGTCTAACTGCTATAGTAAGTATTTTCACAAATCTTTCTGAATAAGACTGAAGGCAGACAAAAACATGGAAAAAGTAACCCTGAGTTGGTTCCCGGCCTTCATCAAGAGTGAAAGGTTTTAAAAAGCTGCACAAAGAAGTGGAACAAACAATAAGAATATATACTCCCTTCATTTATGATATATCTATTCTCATATTGTAAATGTGTATACTCTTTGTGAACTTCTACATGCAGCTTTTTGCATTTCACTCCTGCTTGAACAGGCTCCAGAAACTGTTGCAGGATCGGGCAGCTGACTTAAGTGTGCGTGTGATGATAATTATTTAGGGGAGGGGGGCTGATGCATCCTCATCAGTCTATTAAACCACAGAACCCCCTCCTCACCCCCACTCCCCTCACTCCCTCCAGTTCATCCATATTCAGGAGGCCTGGGTAAGTCTTGTGCTGTTGGATGTCACCTGACGGCTCTGTCCCAACAGTGAGGTAAAGTTCTCCATGGGGTGAAACTGTTAAGTCCTCAGCTTCAAGATGACAGTGGCCAGGATGAGGAAGAACGTGTTCCAACCCAGGGTGACTGCAAAGCCGCGCCACACCATCATCTGAGACAGACCCCAACCTTTTAGAGAGAGAGAGAGAGACAGATTTATATTAACCTCCTGTACACAGCAAATGTTATCTATATAATAAGTGGCGTTCAAATGAATTGGCTTCAAGAAAAAGAGAGTGATTGGGAAACTGAGAGAAACTATAACACCTGGTGTTCCAGGAAGCTGAGCAACTAGACTGATTAATGATTCAGACGACTGCCTGGCACACTGGATGTGTGGTATAGAACAATCAGAGCCATGTGCCCGCCAACCACACACCAGATGAGCCATTGCACTTTGTATTATGCAACCGAGGAGGGTTGTGTAACATGTCCCTTACCTCTATACATGATACAGCGAAGAGCTTCTGAGGCGTACGTCTGAGGGAGTGCGAGGCTGAGGTAGCGCAGAGGATACGGGATACACTCCACAGGCCAGATGATACCTGCAACACAGGACAGAGAGGATGCTGGGTAAGAACTCAATCGGGATACACTCCACAGGCCAGATGATACCTGCAACACAGGACAGAGAGTTTTACTTACTGTTTTACTTAGATCAACATCTAGGAGTGGAAAATGAGGAAGTGACTAAGAAAAAATTACATAAAAAGGTCAAAGATTTTGTTTTGAAACAACTGCTTGGTAACTGCTGCTGATTAAATAATCTCACTGCGAGGCCTTTTATTAGCTGTCTAAGGGAATTAAATAAGCTCACATGGTTGTCATCATCACACAGAGTGTGTGCAAACCACTGTGATATTTTAGACATTGAAGTTTCTGTGGTGGACTTTGAAGGACAATAACAAACTTTGAACTGTTTGAACTGCAGCTTTAAGGTCAATGGATGTCCTTAAAGTTTGAGGAGAAAAAATGAGTTTGACAAAACAGAACAAGATTGTTTTTGCTGATAACCATCATTTGACTGTTCTGTAAGAGAGAATGGGAGAGGAGCTGTTTCGTCCAGATCTTGGTCTGTTTATTCTCACAACATTAAAAAACACAACATTTTTAACAAAACATGACACTGCTTCAAATAAAATATCTGATCTATGAAGAAGACTGTGACAATAAAAAAAATTCCTGAACTTTTTGCCACCCTGTGGACAAAGTGGTACCTGTGAACTTCTTTTGGTCTTGTCCTGTACAGGTCTAGGAAAAAATCTCATTCTGGGTGTATTATCAGTCAAATAGTTACAGTAAATCCTTTAAAAAGGTTGTAATGGGAGGGCAATGTTGATCTCATTATCTGTGGCAGCATTTATAGGAATCAAAAGTAACAACAGGAAAAAAATCTAATCTACTGGTGTCTTTTTATTGATGGTTTTGTTTGCTTTTTCAAGTCTTAAAATGCGTTTAAATTCCAGTCTATTTCATAAACAGTGAAAAACTCCCTTTGTGATAATGCGTTTGTGCTTTAAGGTTTAGCAACAAAATTTAGCCACTTAAAGCAGGGTTGAACAAATGAAAGCCTCAGTTTTATTTACACGTCATCTCCTCCCTTGTGAAAGGTGTTTGTTGTTTAAGAAGGAAATACTGAGGGCTTATTTAAGCTTATTTAACCCCTTTGTCCCATTACAATCACAGATGTTTTATCGAACTCTGTATCTAATTATTCTCTTGGACTACCTGATAGAACATGAACAACATCTGGCTCTAGTCTCAGAAAGTAGACAGCGTTTGTTGAAGTTATTTTCCTATCTTCACCTAACTGTGTTTGAAGTATTGAACTCGTATGGCTGCAAAGGTTATCTACACGTTCTTAACTCATACATTTCTCTGATTCAATTATTTCAGAGATGATAGTCAGTCTAGCAGTCCACCTACTCTATTTTCACACTCGAGCTGATTTGTTTATAGCTTCAAAATAAAAGAAGAGGCTGCTTAAACTGGCAGGTTCACCTAAGGACTTACCATAAAAAGGTGAAACTCTACACAAGTATATACAGCACTCAAACGGATACAGAAGCCTACCGCTGATGATGAGGTTGGGGTAGAAGATGCCCAGAGCGGCCTGGTTAGCATTCTGTTCGTCATCGATGGCAGAAGAGATGACCAGGCCAAAGGAGATGCCAGTGACGCCCTGAAGTATGATCAGGATGATGATCAGCACCAAAGAGCCTTCATTGGGATTCTGCAAAGAAACAGGCTATCATTACCCGTACAAACAGAGTATCTGAACGGAAGAGCAAGTTTTTTTTATCCACATGCAATAAATCTCAAATGAGGTATGATGTCTTATGAAATTATGAAAATGTAGGATGGAGACAAAACAGAGAAGGAGATGAAGAAGACAGACGAGAACAGACACAATCTGATGCTTTTCACTGATCTACAACCAGAATTAAATCAGTAAAAATAAATGTTTCTGCTGATTGTAATGGTTGCAAATCATACAGATGGAGAAAACTGAGACAGAAAAGAAGCTTTGGACAACATATAACGAAATAAAGTCATAAGAGGGAGAGATAGAGAGAGACAGACAGACAGAGAGGTCTGCAAGAATCAGCACAGATGATTTAAAGGTGGTAACTCTTTAACTCCACGAGAATCTGCCGGCATTTATAAGTGTGTGTGTGTGTGTGTGTGTGTGTGTGTGTGTGTGTGTGTGTGTGTGTGTGTGTGTGTGTGTGCGTGTGTGTGTCTGCTGGTGCACTTGTCCTCAGTGTTTTAAGACACTATCCGTCTCCCCTGACAACGTTCAAAAATAGACCTGCACCGAGAGACCACATGACTATTTGGTTGCCACAGCAATCAGGGGCTGTTGTCGTGGCGATCCAGCAGTGATCCCTGGATACAGGGGCAAACGCAGGAAGTGATTTATGCAGCGGCGGTCCTCTTTGGACCTCGGCACCTTAATTAACACACGCATGAACGCTCTCACACACATCTATAAAATCATGTGCCTGTACAGACTGGACACAGATATAGACACACACACACACACGCACACATTTAAATGGTTTCTATCTCGTGTTTATGCGCCTTCTCCCTGTATTGATTCATTTCACGTGTTATTGATATCCAATAATGAACAGAATCCCCCAGATTCATGCCAGTTTGTTGTTTTCACAGTAAACCTTGATCCCTTTGACCTTCAGACTTTTATTTACAAACATAAGAGGATTTACATTACACTTAACCTTCTGATGTTTGTTTATTTCACATTGTATTTTTCTATTAAAATGTGCCTTAAAATTTGTAACATTTCACATAGAAAAGAGACAAAAATCTTGAAAAATAAAGCTCTGTTTGATGGCCTTTAGCACAAGTATATAATGTTAATGTCATATTTCTGACACCTCTGAAACTAAATCCTACAATAAATGTATCTTTAAGCTAAAAATATGATGGTACTTCTTTATTTCTGGGTTTAAAATTTTAGCTGAGTGTAAAGGTTATTGCATTGCTTTGTCACGAGTAGTAACAGGCACTTTGAAAAGTACTTCCTGTCTGGGAAAACTGACCACATGGCATTTGTCTAAATGAACAGGTAGGACAAGAGACTATGTCCTAAGGTTGTAAGGAAAGCTCTGCAATAGTGTGTGCTTTAACCTGCTTAAAAAGATTGCAGCCTGAACTCATAAGACCCAAGGGGAAACCACAGCAATGGATCATTTGATTAGCTGAATGACAACAAGGTAAACAAGCAACCTGAAGAGACCAAAACTGTGAGCCTGTTAATGATGCTGTCAATTTGTTGATTTTCTGATTGGTGCAAATGAGAATGACTTTTGGAAGCAGCCTCATGAGCCCAGTTCAGGAACTGCAGTCTTTTATTGTTTCTTTCCTCTCGACTGCTCTTATTCTTGCTACTGTACAGACTGAGACGCCAAATCAGTAATGTTTTAACTCATCAGAGCCTGTTTAGGGAGACAAACCTTAAAGACGAGCAGTATGAAGAGAAGCAGCAGGATGATCTGGACGCTGATGACAAACAGCTGAGAGAGAAGGTGAGCCAGCATCATCTCCAGAGAGCTCACACCTGAAGGAGAGACAGACAAACACATGCACGCATTAGAAAAAAAAAAAAGAGAGAGAAACGTGATACTAGTCACTTGTCATCGGTCGTAACCTCTCAGGTACTTTATCAGAAATAAAGTACTACTACACAAGGGCGATTTGGGTTAATATGAATCAAAATGGTTTACAAAAATCTTCAAAATACATCTAAGAAAACAAAATATCAATTCAAAAAACACTCCAACAGTGTGTCTGATACTAGTAAACATCATCTTCAAATTCAGCCCTGATCATATCACTCCCTCTACTGGTAATTTATCAAATTACACAACAAAGAAAGAAAAACATGTTTACTGTGATTTCTATAAATCTCAGAAGGAAATATTTTCCTCTTGCCTTTTTTCAAAAGGTTAGGGTGTCGTAGCAAAAACAAAACAAACAAACAAACAAAAACTCTACAGTAGCTCTCGCACATGTTTTTAATTTTTAATTTTTTTGGTTCAGCAAAGACCAACAGCAGCTGCACCAAACACAATTTTAATTTACTGAGGACAAGATCCTATTTCTAAACTGTAAATCATAATATGCTACGTTCCCAACACTGTTCACACTCTACATACTAATGTGCAACATACAGAAAAAGAATTTTAAAAATGTATTCAGAGAAATATACACAGTCCCAACTTTAAGGATTTATTTCTCTTTGTTTTTTGAGCTCATTTACTAATAAAGTTTGGATTTTAATCCTTTTCCCATCAGAGTAAATAATGTAAAAAAAAAAAAAAAAAAAAAAGTATTGTTAGTTATTCTATTCTTCAAAGTGTGAACGTTGAAATGGGGTGCAGCTTTTGGCATTTGAATGTGGACATAAAAAGGAACCATGTGAACTGTGACCTCTCACCTGCGACCCAGCATCGATCCAAAAGCCCCTCCTTCCTCTCCAGGACAAAGGACAGCGCTGTCAGACCCACAGCCAAGTAAAATGTGATACTGGAGGACCCAAAGAAGGACAAAAAGAGGGGAAAAGTTACGTGACAGACCCCAGTAAGAAGAATTACTGGACGAAAATGTATTTTCATTAAACAAATACAAAGCAAATAACTGAGTTTAACACAGTCTCAAACTTTCTCTCTTAAAAACATTCGTACAAAAGAAGAGAAAGTCATCAAAAAATTTTGTTTAACATTAATTCTGCTAGGTTCTGTAACTTCATATAGAGGCACAATAATAATTGTACTCCATGAAACTGACCTGAGCACAGCTCCAGGTGTAACGAATGTGGTGAAGTCTGTGTTGAGTTCGCCATAGATTGGCTCTTCAAACTGCAGGAACACGATAAATCATCAACAATCTGGCATCAGAAAAATTAAAACTGAAACAACTGTTTAAAAATACTTTGGTAAATTTGTTCATAAATCAGCGCTCAGAGGCCAATGGCTCCCCAATAAGCATTTCTTTATAGATGTTCCTTTATACAGTATATACTTTCATATAATTTGTTTTATCTATGATTGCTCTGTATTTTTTCTTACCTTTACTGGCAAGGCTGCCAGGTATGACATACTGCCCAACTTGTTCTCCACAAAAGCCTGCAGATAGGAGACCATGTTAGTAACAGCAATCATGAGTTCACCAACACCTGCCAGACTTCTTTAGTGTTAGGGACTTGTCGTCATTGTATGTTCTGTTAATTTAGTTTTTCCTTGGTTTTGTTATTTGACTGTATTTTCTTTGTTTTTCCTAGTGTTTCTATTCCCTATTGTTCCTGTGATCCAGTCTTGTGAGTTTTCAGTTTGTGTTTGACCCTGTTTCCCTCCTGTTCTCTGTGTTTTATTCTTTATACCAGCTTTCAGTGTTTCCTGTTTTATTTTGTAATAGTTGATTCCCTGTGTTTGTAGTCTGGTTTTACTCCCCTAGTTTTCCACACTTTGTTAGTCACCCATGAGTTTCACCTGTGTCCGTCTGCCTCACCTGTTGCTCGGTTCCCAGTGTGAATATATATATATAGTCCCCGTCTTCCCCTCTGTCCTGGTTGGTTCACTGTATGTCTGTATGCGTATGCTTTTGTCCCCTGTTGCTCCATTAATTTTGCCCCAGTGATTTTTGTGGATTTTGCCCTTTTTACCTCCGCCAAGGAGGTTATGTTTTCGGTAGCGTTGGTTTGTTTGTCTGTTAGCAACTTCACGGAGAAAGTAACAGACAGATTGACCTGAAATTTTCACCAGAGGTGCGTCTCAGCCCCAGGGGGATCCCGTTAAATTTTGGTGGTGATCTGGACAAAATTCTGGATACTGTTATCCAGAACACCGAAAAATAAGGGTGTCGTTGGAATTTTCAATGCTGAAAGATAACTAATGGGCGACAAAGTGGGCAAGATAAGTGGCACAGAGGTGTAGTGGTTAGCACGGTCGCCTCATAATCAGAAGGTCCTGGGTTTGGATCCTGGTCAGGACATTTCTTGTTTAAGGGGGGACATGAGCTACTTGGCGGAGGTCTGTGCTCTCTGAGTGCTTTTCTAGTAGATTTTTTTTTCTTGCTTTTTTATTTCATTCTTTTTAAATAATTCCTTTTTTTTCTGCATTTTGGGTCCTTTCCCTTTTGGTTTAACTCCGGACTATGACACTTGTGTGGGAGATATTAATTTAGAAAGTATTTATAAGGGGAAGAAATGGTTCAGTCTGTTTGTTTGGGGTTTCAGAGATTTCATGATGATGATGTGAATGGAAAAGAGTAATAAAAAAACACAGCTTATTCAAAAACACCCCCAAAAAAACAGACGCGCTGTAATAACACAATAAAGGACAAAAAAGAAAAAGGATTTTCATGTCCGTTTGAATAGAAAAATATATCTGCAATGTTCATTTTACAAAGCTCCACAATTTTTTTTTCGACAATTGAGATGTCAGCTTATCTTAAAGTATTTGTATGGCATCAAGTGTTATCTTTTCCTTTTTTAGATGTGTTCAATGAGTATCTCCCCTGTGATGCAACATCTGAACATTTGCTCGTAGTAGAAAAAAAAAAAAATAAATAAAAAGAAAATAAACATATTTATCTATTTTATTTACCTGAAAGGCCTCATGTAGTTTCTTTTGCAGCATAACAGCAATTTGTCGATCTGGGGATTTTAAAAAACAGCACAAATGAGCATCTCCAGCTTCTTGGATTCACAGGGTTATAATTATGGTTGCATCTCAGTAACTTAAGAGTATTATCAAAAAGTTGATTCATTTCAGTACACCGAGTCCCAGAAGTTCATGCACCCCAAGGTTATTTAATAGTTCATCTGTTTGTGATAGGCCTATGAATTTCTTGGCTGACCATGGAGTATGTCACTGAGAGAACCTTTCTGGTAGTGCTGCCAAGAGGGTCAAACAAAGATCTGAAGAGGCTGCTGTTTCAGAGCCTCAGGTCTGTGCTCAAGCCATTGCCACTGGCTCTTCTGTTGAATATTCCCAATCTGTGTTAACTTTTTCTGTGGTGCATGAACTTTTTGGACACAGTATAATTAATTCAGTTCAAAAAGTAAAACTCAAACATAAAGATTCATCACACACAGACATATATTTTAGACATTGAATTTCCCTTCAGGGACAAATAAAGTTCTTCTTATTATTATTCTTGTATTTCTAGTATCTATTTCTTTTCATTTTGATGATAAAACTTAAAGCAACTTACACATATTTGACAATATTCTAACTGATTGAGATGCACCTGTATATCACAGGTCTTTTGCAACTTAAATTTAGGTGTGTAAAAAATTAAATAACAGTGAGAAAATGTCTGGATATTTGCATACATGCATAGTTATGGTATATATCTGCATTCAAATTCCTGAAATATAGCAGATGTACAGAAAACACAAAAGCTATTTTCATTGTTTCCAAATATTGTCTCAAGTGTCATATTTAAAAGGTTTACCAAAAGATAAGGAACTACAAGAGAGTTTTCTTCTTACTTGTCAGATCCAGCCAGACATGTACTGATCCCCCATCAACAACTTCTCTGGAAACCTGCCGTTGGATCATCCTGTAAAATCAATCCATTTCAATATGCAAATATGTCCTGTCCTGGGTTTGCAGGAAGTATTAACTACGAATAAAAGACCTCTCTACAGGCCATGATGAAGAGGTTAGTTCTCTCTTTATTATGAAGTAAAACTGCTTTCCCATAGCCCTAAAATTATCTCTTTAAATAGATTGCCTTTCTTCCAACCAGGAATCTACAACCCAAAGGAGCACTTGGAAAACCAAACAACAACAAAAAAAAACAGCTGTTTGTTATTTTTATTTTACCACTGTTTGAAGAGATGTTTTCCATTTGCACTCCTTCCTGACCCAACAAGGCTGCAGGCCTCCCCTTAAAAAAGCCACTTCAGATGCAATCATCTGTTAATTATTTAGTTGAGTCAAGAGAACAAGTTTAATTGTTCAGTAATAAGTTGAGGAGTACTTGTGGTCTTGAAATTTGCAGCATTAATGAATAATTGCAAGCTTGGCTTACATAGGAAGAATATGGCTCTCATTGAAAGACAGATTATTTTCACTCGACGAGGAGACACAGCAGCAAAAACACCTTTTGTCTCCCTCTTGCAGGTCTGTCACATGAACAGCACATGATAAGGGAGGAATGAGAGTTTGATTGGTGGAAGCTAAGCTGTGACCTGCTCAGGTGTGTTAAGGACAGGAAGGACCAGACTGTCTACCCAGGTAACACACACACACACACACACACACACACACACACACTGAAAGGAATAGTGATTCAATCTGTAAGAACAACAACTCATGCCTTCCCTCTCCAGGACTGACTCATCCTCACATGATTCTGTAATTCTGACGTATGGACTGGTGTGGTTTCATTTCTGTTTATGTACACCACAAGATACTGCACTCAGCAACACAGCGCAGGATGCTAATTGGTTGTGAATTAGGCATAATTAAAATAAAGTTGTGATTTTTTTTTTCTTTTAATCTCAGTTTTAAATGCAATAATATCATACGTTGACTGTAGCATTAATGCTAAGTGTAAAAAATCGCCAACATCAACCAAAGGCAACATTTGTGTTTATCCAAAGATTTTATGATAGGCCTACTTAATCTGATGACTATTGAAGGATAAAAAAACAACACAAGCATAATCTTGGCTCAATCATGGAAAATTCAGGAGGTCACATATAGGGGTTGAGGAATCATGCTGCTGGTGATCATTTATGTCCCTAATACATTGCACATTAAACTTTTAAGTAGTTAAGGAAAGAGTTTTGTTGTGCAATGTCTGCTGTGCAAAGCTTTGCCACCCATCTTAAGTTAAATACACGCCTCCACCCATCTTTTGAAAGAGTGTGTTTTCATGTTAGTAGTTATTTTTAGCTGCAGCAAGGTTAAGAGTTTGCGTCCCTCCTTGTGTCTCTGTTAGATGACTTTGCTTCTGTAGCCGGAATGTGGCCTGTGCGTCACACACACACACAGGCATTTTGCTGTGGTTTCTGTGCGACTACACTGACGTACAAACAAAGCTTTTGGTGCTCAGTATTGCATTGCAGGTGCATAACATCATGAGTATCAGCCTCTGGTGCGACAAACAGAAAAAGAAGACATGGGAGGAAGGAAGCGCAAGGAGGGAACAAAAACAATGCTGCGTGTTCAGTGTCACCAGAGGGGAGAGCGGAGGCAACAGAAATGCACAACATATAGGTCAGGCATGTTTAGACATGTATACTTGAAAACACTTGAGACTATATTGTCTGCTCCAGTCTACTAAAACAAGTTAAGTTATACATATGAACTCAACACAGTGATGAAGCATCTAAACTGTGGAAATGTCACTACCAGGGTGGATCGCTAATATCACTTGTGGACCAGGTTAGCAACTTGTTCAAACAATCTGAGAAAATTCAAAAGACAAATGACAGTGAAAATTTGGTTCACTAACACATGAGCACTGCAGCTAACATTAGCTTTCAACCCCTATTAAACACTGTAGAAGAAGCTGTAACCTTAGCCAGAAACTTCTTGATTGCTTGAAATACTGTTGCCTTAAATACCATCTAACCAAACACAAGCTATGGATGACAGTAAATAACATTACAATAAGGTTGCCAACTTCCTTACAGTGCACGGTGCCATAGTGATGTGAGCATGATGTGTGAGTACTGTATATTCATATTCTGATTCAACTGGAAAGTGTGTATATTCTCTTTCATCCTGTCTGAATCATTATATAACCTTATATGAATAAACCTCAAATAAACCACAATTTGACCCTTTACAAAAAAATAAATCAATAAATAATTACCCAAACTTTTTTTTCGATGCATTTACACTGTATACAACTGATGCACGCGATGGCGCCTGTGACTGAATGACAGGTGTTAAGTGGAGTGATTGATACATGATCTGGCACTGCTGTTTTATCTGATCTAGGATCTGTAGAGTGCAGTCTGCTGTATTTACAAGAGTTAACAGTCAATATACAAGACCATTGAGGTCCCATATGAAACAAACCAATTAAGCCCTAAAATGCACGATGTCCCAGGCAATACAGGGCAGTTAGGATTAGTATGATTAAAAAGAGTTGCTTACAGTTTTGCAACCTTTCACCACTCAACCTTAGCTCTTTTTTGTTTGCATTTATTCCTAAACTGGTTAGTGGTGATTGTGGCTCTCAGACAATAATAGACCACTCTTTCTCACCTTTTAGTCAAGTAGCTGGTGAAGTTCTTGCCAAAGCCAATGACACCCCAGTACTCTCCATTACGGATCCCTTCAAAAGCATCGTTGTGGGGCAAATGCACCTGTCAGTAAATACAGAGAACAAGCAGAATTTACAAAGACACACTGATTTCCTGGGAAATGGAAGTCTCCATTTTTCTGTAAAGAGAAGCGAAACCATTTGGTCAAGGTCTAATTTACAACCATTGTGTGCAAAGCTGGTTATTTCCTCTGCAGACTGAGCCAAATATGAAAACAGACCTGATACTTCAAGTCAAAACACAGATACAGTGCTCTCATTTTGATTAACAACAAGACAGACATTAATCAACATAATAACAGACAAAGAAAATCAATGAAAATATCTGAACTGTTTGAGACAAATGTGTAAAAAAGTTGCTCTTGGGTTGTCACTCTTGAGTGCAGTATGTCTCATCTGCATTCATTTCAATAATCTCTTAAGGAACAAAAATACCTGATACATGCTGGAGTTGTCGAGGAAGGAGAGCACTGACTGGCTGTAAGACGATGGGGAGGTGTCATTGTTTACCACGGCAACCAGGATTCCCTTTGGATCCCCTCCAACACACATACAGATCAGAGAGACCTGGATGACGGGCAACAAGAACTGGAAACACAGCGAGCTGTAGAGCCAGGAGGGAAACATGGTCAAGTCATCACAGCTGCAACAACATTTACTCATCTTCATATCTGCTGCATGGATGATTACACCAATAATAAATATTCACTGAAACCCACCCTGGCATTCTCTTCATCCGCACCATTGTTTTGATCATAAGGGCAGCAATGTTCCCCCACTTTGGCCACACATGCCGCGCACGCACCTTCCAGTCAGCTGACAACACACAACAAATACACACTTTAAGGAACAATTACTTCACATATGGTCAACAGTTATTTCACGGGGAAGAGGTTTGTAATATAAGTTCAAAATGATGAATAATGCAATAGTTATTTGAGATGATGGCCATATTAATAACCAAAATTTTATATCCAATGTCTGAAAAAGGAAACTTCAGCATGTTCCAAGAAGTACCTGAATATTTGGGAATTTCCTCTGCACCTCCTGAACCAACCCCAAGGATTGGTTTAGTCTCATCCCGTCCGCTCTCAAATGATTGACTGTTTTCCAAAGGCCCTGTCTGTGGACTGGACCCCCGTTTAGAGCCGATCTGGTCTGATGACTCGCACAACTGCAGAAAAGCTCGCTCAAGCGTCTGCAGCAGAGAATAAAGTGACCAAATGGGGATGTAAAGATTTCTCTTTCAGTTATTTCTGCCAGACGAGCACTGACTAAAAAGCTCTTTAAATCACCATTGCATATGAAATTAAACTGCCTTGCTCAGTAGTACCACTGAGCCTCCCTCCCCTTACAACCACCAGTGTTCCTGGTGTCACCACATCACATGCAGGGTCTTAAGTACTCACTGTTGCACTGTGTTGCTTCATGACTACTTCTGGAGGACCTTCAGCCAGCAGATGTCCATTCCTCATGAGTCCAACCTGGAAAAAGAACATACAACATTTTCTTGAGGTTAAAAAAAGGAACATGTTGAGGCTTTTTGTAAGGCTTTTACTTGCTATGAAACTTCTTGAACTGTATTGAAACTTAACATAACCACAAAATCTCAAATGAAACTTAAGCTGGTAACATTTTCCAGTTTGCAGCTACCAAAAGTGGGGTTATAATGTCATTCAAAAGTTATCCGAAAGTCAATCTCAACATTTTAATAAATCAATTGTTGGAATAGACTGCCCTTTCTTTTGCTAACTGACCACATAAAGTGCCTTTACATTTCATGTCCCATTCACTCATTCACGCTACATTCACACGCTGATGCCAGGGGCTGCTGTGTAACCTGTCCATTAGTGTTAAGTTATCCCATTCACACACTGCTGGACACAGCCAGCAGTGCCTTGCCCATAGACTGTATATATTATGGACAACTTGGCTTCGTCTTTTGTCATTATAAGAATTTGAAGCCAAATTGCTCTCTGCATTTCTGGGATTTTCTCCACTTCCTGAAACCACCACTTGCGCAGTAGCGTTGTGCGCATTCGGTTGGAGAGTGACGCATTCGGCAAGCCGTGATGACATTCTGCTCAAACAGTAACTTTCCTGGGTGCATTATTTATTTTTTTGTAGGACAGTGGGGGAAAGTCCCACCTCCTTCGCCTCTGATTGGCTAGAGAAGCTAAGAATGTCATCACGCGCTCAGGCCAAACGCAGGCTATCGGCTCTGTACATCAAACAGAACAATACAGAACATTATCGCACTTCTGAATCTCCTAACCCTAAACCTCATCCTAATCCTGACCCTGAAGGTCCTTACACACCGGGAGCATTTTTTCGTGTGATTATTTTGGACATCAATATTTTTTTCTGAACCTGTATCCTGTCAGTAAAAGCGCTAACATCAGCGACGTTTTCCCGTCCTGCGATGTTGCTTCATTCATTTTTTTCGCATACTGTGTGTCCACTTCTGACCAATCAGATTGCGTGTTGTTGTGACGTCTGATTCACCAGGTATCCAACATGGCCGACCAGCTGATTGTTTACGTGTCGGAAAACAGAGTGCTTTTTGATTAAAGACACAAACATTAGAAAGATAACGACCCGAAGGACAACTTGTGGAGAGTCATAGCATCGGATTTCTCATATGACGATGGTTTGTGTGCTTTAACAGTTTGCTAAACATCTTTGTTTTTAACTTTCATCTGTGCTAAGTAACTTTAGCTCATAAGCTAACCTGATCAGATACAACATACCATATGTATTTTCACTGTCTCAAACTCAATCGCGTTGCTGTCACAGCACCATCAGGTCTCAGTTGTTACCTTACGTTTATGGATTATAGTTTAATGTTCTTATCTGGTACTGGCCCCGACTCAGTACATGCTATCATGACAGACAGCCATCTCAACACTAGTGTCTAATCAGAACTGAAAAACAGTCAGTCTCGAGTCAGTCTTCTCGCTTCCACGGAGGACGCGTCTTTTTTTCCCCTCGCAAAGTCGCAAAATTAAATTGTGCTTGATGTGTATAGTCAGGCGCGTCAAAATTCGCCTTCGAATATTTCCTAATGTTGCGTCGTTCCTGGTGTGTTGGGACCTTAACCCTTACCCTACCCCTAACCCTAACCCGACAGACGTTAACGTTTCACAGCTATTAGGAATAACTAATCAGAGCCCAGCACTTCTGGGTACCTTCCCCTTTTGCGTTTTCAGGTGAGCTACGCAATCTCCGTACACCCATAGGCTGTATCAAGTGTCAATCATACAAAACACGAACCCCCTAATAATTTTTAAAAATGGAGCTGTACAGAAAAAAGAGGACTTGAGCACAAACCAGATTGCCAAGATTTAGAGAGTAGATGTGACACAAATTTGCCACCTGTACATTCAATTTCAAGCATAATACAGCAGGGGTCAAACTCAACAAAGGATAAGAAGATTTAGGATAAAATAAGAAGGCATCATGGTATCACAAGTGGACAAAACTTTTGAAAATTTACAACCAACTGCTTGACCTGCTAGCTGGTGCTATGCCGTGGCGTGTACTGTCTCGTGCTAGCCAGATGCTAACATATGCAGGGTGAGCAAGCAATATAAAAGCATACAACATACAAGTTACATGACAGTGGCATTATTGGAAGCCATATTTATTATGTTGACTTACTGGTGGGAGGGCTAGGAGTGGTTTAAAGCTTTGTTACTCTGAGGTATGGTGACAGCCTAATCTACAAGAAAAACTTGCATTCGTAAAGCACTTCAGGTATTAAGGACTTTACATAAGAGAAGATTACTGTTTAAACAAGGACTAAACTCATGGGGTGAAATGGGTGTTAAATGGACTGTGATAAATGGGGAGCTGTGACTTACTATCTGTAGAGTCCACATTCGTGTTGCTCATTCCTTCACATACGTTGCTCTCATGATTATTTACAGCAGGAGTTCTTATGGGTTTCACTCTAACTAATTTCTTTAACAGATTTATTATTCAGAATGAGTTACATTGGCCCAGCATTGCAGGAGCCTCACTCATTTTGCCTTTTACTTTTGATGCATGTTCTCTGCTCTCTACATTTCCTGTCTTTCTTTAGCTGTCCTATTCAACACAGACAAAATGCCCAAAAATATAACTTGGATTTAAAAAAAAAAAGTTATTGACAACAGGAGAGTTGATAGTTTTATGACCAAGATAAAAGAGGGCTTCTGTACAAACTCCACAGAAAGTTTATCCCAGTAACTTTCATTTAATGTCAGCTTTGTTCTGTCATGTCCAAACTAATCAAGAATAAACTTGATCTCTCATCTTTACACAGCACAGATATCAATAGGCACATTGTTTTTCTTGGAAGAGGCGAAACATATGCAGTGCTTTGTTCTATTGATTTTGCGGCAGCATTCCTGTTTGAGTGTATTTCTGCTTCATTTGTCTCCGATTGTCCATGTTAGTGTGTGTGTGTGTATCCATGCATGTATGAGTGAACTCACCACGTTGGCTTGCCTGGCCTCTTCAATATAGTGTGTAGTGATTATGACTGATACTTTCCCTGTCTTCACAATCTCCACAAGATGCTGCCAGATCCTTCAAAAGAGACCAAAGAAACAAATCAATTACACAACACTCCACTCACTTGTTTGAAGATTTTTTAAAATGAGTTTTAGTTTGCCGTTCCTAAAAAGTTTACAGCCCCGCCAGCAGCAGTTTTCCTGCCAACCATCTGCCCCTACAGGGTTTTATTGTGCCTCTGCACAATAACTTTGACACTATCTACTGAAGGAAAGCAGCATGCTGTCAATATTTTAAAATATTATCTCATAAACATATGGCCCAAATATCTGTGTAGAGTGTGTCGAAATTTGTTGTTGTTTGAGAGCTTTCCTCTGTCAGATTAGAAAAACTGAAGTAAAACCGGTCTTTAGTGATAGAAATACTGAGCAATACTTTTCTTTGAAATACAACTTTCAAGGAATAGATGGATCTATGAATTAATGTGTCTGAATATTTGTGTGTTACATACTTGGCCCTAAGCACAGGATCGACCCCCACTGTGGGCTCATCCAGGATAAGCAGTTCAGGGTTCTGTAGCAGGGCCGCACCAAGAGACACCCTGCGCCTCTGCCCTCCACTGTAACAACACAGGAGAAAACTAATGAGGTTACAGAAAACAGGTCAAAGGTGAATCTTCTCCCACGTTCCAGATCCTTGTTTCATCATTGCTGACACTCATTACAAAAGTAGCAGCGACAAAACCTGCAAGACAAACCTGCCAGACGACACAGAGGGAAACAACAAGATCTGCTGACAGGAGGAAGGGGCACTGAAAGAAATGCTGTTTTAGATTAGGACATCTAAAAAGAACATTTCTTTAATCCGTGAGAAAAAGTTTGATCAATTCTTCATAATATCAAAATAAAAGAGCAAGTGACAAGAAGCTGAAGGTGTGTGTTTATTCATACCCAGAATAACTTTTATGGTATGAATCAGGCTCAGTTTCAGCAGTCTTTGTGTTACATACCACTGCAGGATTACAAGTAGGGACATTTGACCACAAGAGAAACTACATGTGACACTTTGATGTCAGCTCTTAAGTAAATCATTCTACAGGACGTAGGCTTTTACATAATAAATTCATATTTTTGTGATGGTTCCGGCCAAGTCACGTGTTTTTCTTTTCGTTTGATCCTGTTTCCCCTCTGTCTGTCAGTGTCTGTGAGTATGGATGTGTTTTTTCCCTTTTCAGCACCTTGACTGCTCATTCATTCAATCCACCTGCTCACACCTACACACCTGTTCTCTATCTACTTATCACCTTAACAGTAGACCTAGGATGGCTCTCCATCCACTCATTGCCAGATTGTTTTGCACTGACTGCAGCAGACCACCTCTCGGGTCTTTTCCATTCATTTCGTAAATGAAGAAATGTACTGCTGTGTCTAATTTTGACACATTCATTATCCTCTTTTCTGTCTGACTTAGAGTCATTCCTATCTTTGTTTATCTCCCTCAATCTGACCACTGGATTCTCAGCTCCTCACCTTGATGCCCCACTTACAGTCCCACTCACATTCTTGAGCCCTGTCTTCTGCAACTTATACAATTTATCAATACATCCCTATCTTCCTTTCTTTGCAATGAAACCTCATTAATACTGAATTTTTTTTTACTCTGTTCTGCAACTGGGTCCTCAGCCAATCATCGGCTGTAACCATTTTCAGAAGTGTGTTGAGAGGAGATCTATCAGAAATATGAAGTCAAATGCTGAGTTTCATTTTTAGTAAGACAGCTAAACTCTTTATGCCGAGAAGTTTTAGCTCTAAAACTATGAAGAGCAAGAGATTGAAGCAGCAGTATATTGGCAGAAAGCTGGAAAAGGCTCTCAGCTGGTATGATAAGTTTAACGGGAAAATAAACGTGTTAAATACTGCAAACAAAGCAGCAAATCCCATTTCTGATTAGAGCTAGACTTTTAGATAGTGCTTGAGGTAAGGTGGCGATAAACTGTGAAGCCACAACCCTGGCCAACGGAAAACTGAAATACTCACTCCATTGTATTCAGAGCTTCGCTTTGGTGCAAAAGTTGATGTCTTATTTGCACAAGATAAAAAAATCACATAGACAAACGTTAATAGAAATGATTAACGTCATAGAATAAAGCTGTATAGACAGATCTCTTGTTTCTCCAGGGGTCTTGGAAGGGTCCTGTGGATATTTGACTTGATAAGCTGAAAAGCCCGGAAACCAGTCCTGCTACATTAAGATGTTACAGGCTCCAGTGGGCAAACTGAATTTGATAAAGAAAAAACTTCGGAAAATTGGACTACTTGTTTCATACTGTATTTTGAAAATCTCCCCTTGATGAAAACTGAGGAGATTGTTGTAAAACCTTCTAGTTATTTGATCTTGGATTGACGTGACGCACTTGATGCACTTTGCTGTCAAACCAAATCAAATGATGAAACAACATGAATAAAAACATCTGTGGTAATCTAACAATGCACAAGCTATGGTGGCAGTATAGCAATCAAAGCCCGTACGCCCTTTACATACCTGACTATAGCACTAAGTCCAAACTCATAACCAAGAAAACCATATGCTGCCCTAAAACTCTTCCAACTAAAATCACATTCACAGTCACCATACATTGCTTCTATATCAAGACATTTGACTTTTAATGTTTGCTATTAAAACCTTGTTGGAGATACAGTAACTTCTAAATGCTATATTTTCAGAGTTTCAAAGAGACACTCAAAGAACAAGAGGCTAGACCCAACATTACATTTATCAACTTACAGAAACTTGTTGACTGTCTGTGTCATTTTAGGATGTTAGACTAAACCCAACACAGACTGTCCTTAGAGTAGGAGATTTGGAAACATAAATGCTAGATTGACATAAAATCCCTCTCCTGTAATCAAAGTTTCACACAACACACCCTCCTAAGCTTCTGATGCATCTGCTTTCTTTATCTGGCTCTTCTTTGTCTTGTTACCAGACAAAAATTATATTGTTTTATGGGCACTGGCTTTATAACCATCAGGGGAGAGAGTGACTATGGATGTCTATGAAGTAAAAGGGTCACAGTTCACCAGCATGGGTAGACAGCTATAAAAATGCATTTAATGATACCTCAATAACTCCACAAAACAGATCAAATGTGGTCAGTTTGCAGCTGTTTTTCCAATAAAGGGATGCATCATTACAGGACAACCAGTCACGAGCTTGAGCTAGTGATTGTTGAAAGAAGTGATGTACCTTTAACATTCACCTGCAGTGAATTACAGAACTCGAAGTCCCGCTCTGATCTTTTTTTTTTACTACTCGAAGTCTTCTGAGTGGTCTTTAAGTTGTGATTATTGAGTTTTTAGCCAAAATTACATTACCCATGTCATTTTCTTCTGCAGAGCTCCAATAGCCCATTAGCAATTCACCTGAGTCGTGGGCGGAGACAGCGCTGCTCCTCACACTCCTCTTCACACGAGCTTGCAGCCTAACTTTGCTGGTGTCATTCAAGTGGCAGGTAACATGGGAGCTATTCAGCTCTCATACACTAATGTCTTTAGGGACGTAGTTTAAGTTAATATCATAATTAGCATTTTTACTAGTATTGCAATCCGCTAACACACACACACTTGTTCCGCGATTGTCCTCTCTACTTCTCTGAGTCTGGCCTGCATAGTGAGGCTTGGGGGGGCAGAGCTTGGATTTGTGACAGAGAAAAACCCACAGTGTCTGAACCTGCTGTTCGGGTCTCTGAGATGTTCACAGGGATTTGAATGCAAAAATACTCAGAAATGCAATTTCGCACTTATTTTTCCCATGTTATGTCCTGTAGCATCAGAAAAAGTCCATATGAATATGTAGACAAGAAAAAAAACATGATTTTCAAGGGAGTGGGTCTTTAAGCTGAGTGGCTGGCTCCCTTATCAGCTGCAACTGCAAACACACAGGTTTATGAGGCACAATAAACTGGACTAACATCAGGTCCTGCAGACTGGTGTTTTTACCTGAGATTTCGGACTAGACTGTTCTTCTGAGGTAGATCCAAGAAGTCGACCAGGAAATCCATGCGTGTTTGGGTTTCCTTATATGTCAGGCCGTGGATTCGGCCAAAGAAGATCAGGGTGTCGCTGATCGTGAACTCGTTGTACAGTGCCAATTCCTGCAATACACAGAAAGTAACTTTAAAGACACAAACACAGCAGCAACAGTTTAATAAGGGGAGAAATGTGTCACTTTGAATCTGGATTTAATTGTAGTTTGGAAATACTATTGACTTTTGGATCCCTTTATAGAAATCTTAACATAGCTGACCTACCACCTTTAGGTAACATGACTATGAGTGAACATAATAATTTAAGCTGATGGAGGCTTGACTAAGTCCCTAACTCAACCTTTTCATCTTCAATACATGTGGGGCTTTGATATGAATCTTCTGTCAAAATACAAAAACTGTTCTTTGGGAAACCGTACTCAGTGAAAGAACCACAAATACTTACCAAAAAATGTTATTTTTTTACACCCAAGGAACCAAATTGATCAAATATTAAAAGACTTCACACCAGAAAATATGCACTGTTTGGTAATCAAACACCCCCCCTTCAATATGTACATTAAAGTCCGAAAAGCTCAAGAGCATGAATCTGATCAAAAAGTAAGCTCTTGATTGACAGCTCTCAATACAACACAACAGAAACATAGGGCACTCTGATCATCACACAGCTCTGCAGTCACAGGACACCCCACGCCCATCTCTATTACAAGGACTGATTGAGAGGTGCCAGTTTAGCTCAGTGTTAAATAGCACACCCTGTAAACAGAGGCAGACAGCCCAGGTTCAAATATGACCTGCAGCTCTTATCTTTAAAATGACACATTAAAGTTTTTTAGATTACACTTGTATCACCGACTGTTTAGTGTAATCTACACAAAATCCAATTCAAAAAAGCAACCCAGAAAATTAACCATATAACATTTCAACAGAAGATCATCTGCATGCATGCCTGCATGTACTCTGCTGCCTCTTTAGACCTTTGACTTCACTTTTTCAAGGAGCAAGTATGTTACTGCTGGATTACAGCAGGAAATGTTAATCTTAAAGGATTAACAGTTTAAATAATGGTACATATGCACATTTTTCTCTGGCAATAAATACGGTGTATTGTGCATTTCTAGCTTCCTTGTGCGAGACAAAAAGTCACGAGTCCGTGGATTTTTCACCATTGTGGCTCCAGACAGCAAAGACAAGTTCACCATAGAAGTACAACAGTCACACCCTGGGGAACAGATCAGGTGTCACATTTCCTCGTCACTGGGTCACAGATCACGTCCTACACCAACGGATATGATGCCACAGGATACACGCAGCATGTGTGTTACGCTTTATCAGATATCCAGTGTGACAGTAATGAGAGACACTCCAGTGCAGACCACTGACTGTAAAAGAGATAAATTAATCAAGCCCCTGAACAGGACACTAACATACAGCCTTCAGCATGGTGTCAGAGTGAGAATATTCTCGAGATTAATAAAGAGATTACTGGCAGAGTAATGGGGCTTATTGCTGACAAAGAGCTGTAAGAAATTCGACTTAGACTTTGTAGGCTTTGTTAGAAATCAGAACCAAACTAGTTTTTCCCAGGGCAAAAGGTGACTGTATAAAAGTACAGTCACCTTTAATTCATTTCACATCAAGTTTGACCATTATAATGCATGTATACATCTGACCTGACACTATTGCATTTAATAAAAATGGAAGAGCAGATAGAGGGGAACTCAGGTTTCCTTTGCCAGTGTTAAACACATCCTAAGAAACAAAGGATATGTTTAACATTATGGGACAGTGATTGATTGGCTTTAGACATTAGAATACCATCAGCTGAGGTGTGTGTGTATGCAGTTTTTATGTCAAATGGAAGAGTGATTACTAAAGTTTATGAAATGGCAGACTAAGTGGCATATACCGTAATATTATGCTATAAGAAGCAAAAATTGTTGCAATCTCATCCAAAAAGACTGTAAAAGACTTTGGGGCGGCAGAGAAATATAATTTGTGAGATACTGGAATTTAAGTGTAAAAGTGAATTGTCATGAATTTGTGACTCTTCCAAATATCTAATTATTCAAGATGAATAATTAGCAATAACTTTGAAGTCCTTATCAAATAGCTTATCTACAGAATCGAAACACAGCTTTATATTTCAGTATGTTGTTGAGGCATTACAGGATGGTGTATTTTTTTTTACCTGCGGCATGTATCCCACCATCCTCCCTGGCACATTGTGACCTGGAAAAGCAGGTGGCTTCCCCAACACAGTGATGTGACCTCGTGAGATTTTTAGAGTTCCCACGATGCATTTCAACAGTGTTGTCTTCCCACATCCACTGGGCCCCAAGAGACCATAACTGCAACACAAAATAAAGAGCATGCAAGATACAACAAATCATAAGATTGGTTAAGAGTTAGTCAAAAAAAAAGTCAACTAAAAAGACTCAGAGGAAACGTGTTCAAGATATTTTATCTTCTGCAGACACAGGAAATGCAATACATGCTGTCTATGTTTGTTTAATGGCACCTGAATATAACCAGATGAATGTTACAGTCCAACAGCGACTACAGGCAGCTTAGCACAACCACAATACATACAAGTGCCTTTAAGAGGGCCCTAAAGTAGGATTATGTAATTCACTTTAAAAGCGAGATAAGTTAACAGTATATCTTAATGTTGAATATTCCTTAGAATCTACAAGTAAACAAAACATTTATACCTGTTTAAGAAAAAAGTGAAATATTTTGACCTTCGGTGCCTGGTGCAGTCCATGAGTGATTTTAGTTATTCTTGTTTTCATCATGGTAACTTTAACCAGCTCTATCTATCTCCGCTCCAGGCCCCAACTAACAAAGGTTTTAAAAAGCCTCTTAAAATAATATTCAAGATTTACTACCCTTTGCTTTTAGATGAGACTCAAGTTGAGCTGAGCTGCTAAATGCATATACACCAGTAGGAGTTGGTAGAGACCAAAGACAAAGTTAAAGGTGAGTTTTCAGGTGATTTCTGGACTCAGATTCATCAAGTGACTTTACATATAGCTGCTAATCTTATTGCATATGCAATTAAAAATACTTTTCTCACTGTAGTGCTGCTCAAAGAGGACTAGCTTCAGCTTAGCTAAGCATGAAGGATAGAGGGAGGGTTTACAGTTATTCTATGCCTGCTCACATATCTAAAAAAATTGTCTTTTCATGCACAGTACAAGCTCGGCAGGTTTTGTAATGTTTTTGGTGTTATGTTAGCCATACAGAGTTGTTTTTTGTCTTCAAATTTACTAGATGCATTAAGTGGTGGGCTCAGTTATGATAGTAGGAGAAAAGTGGCAGAAAATGGGAAATATGCTTGAGTACATTACATAAAGTCAGTGTATTTGGAACTGATAAGGGTTTTAGTGTCAATTTCATATTAAGTCTTTATTACAAAAATGGAGCAATTCGAGCACATCACTTTCAGCATGCCTCTGAAAATCTCACTGTTATTTTGTCTAGAAGGATTCCTCTTGTAACTATGTACCAGATTCTTTTTCAGTTCATTTTCGAGACCTTTTAGCCTTTGACTGACAGAAATATTCAACACTTAGTCCCAGCTTTTGCACTTAATTCCTGAAGAAGCTTTTACATTTCTAATTTGAGGTTTTTGTTTCCCCCCAATTTTCTTCATCCTGTGTGTCACTTCAGGAATTCTGGTATGTGTGAGAAAGGTGATTGTACTACTGTGTCAACGCATGAATTCCCTACTATGAAGCGCACGTGCTGAGAAACAATAGATATAGATCTCAGACTGAAACATCAAAATACACCAGGTGCAGTGACGTGAAACCAGGATTGGCATGCATAATGAAGATCATTTTCTGTGGTCTTTTTTATAGTTTCAGGAGGCTCCAGATTGTTTTTGCAGGAAATTTAGTTTTTCTCAAGCAATCAGTTGACACGTACATGACAAAGGTGACTAGACCTGCTCCATTTAGACCATGGACCTTTCACCTAGGGAATGCAGTTCTCATAAGCATACTAAGAACATGTCTGCTGACTGAGAAGAAGGACAATTGAAATGTTTATATAGGAGTTTAAGACTCAATCTCTGTCAGGCCATGTCTCTTAAACTTATATCATAAATTCTCACACTGTGTGCAATTGTGTGTCTGTGCATATGTGTGGGTGAGTGAGGGTGGATGTGTGTCTTTGTGTGTGTGTGGGTCCATGGGTGTGTGTGTGGGTGGAAGGGTTGGGTTTTTGTTTTTATTGTTGTTTTTAGCCTCTGTGAGGCACTTTGAATTGCATTTCCTCATGCACGAAAAGTGCCATATAAATAAAGCTGAATTGAATTGAAATTGAATTGAAAGTATTTCTTACAGTCTTGTTTAGCCTGTGTTTTTGAATGACTTTAAAGAATGCAAACATTGCTGAATTTCAACAGAAAAAAGCAAACCTCTCCTCTGAAACTGGATAAAGGTAGATAACAGATGTCTCATTATGGATTAATAAATGCCTTATCAATCAAAGAATACAGTCTTGAACCACAGCCATAATGATGAATTCAAATGTGTGTGCTTCACTCACATATGTCCCTGTGGCACAGTCAAGTTGAGGTTGCTGATGACCTTCAGTTTGCCATATGATCGACACACATCTCGACACTGGATCGCATTCTCCTCCTGTCCAGCAGGCAGAGAAGCCTCCAAGTCAGCCTTCATATTCCCTTCCTTCAGCTGCAAAACAGAAAACAAAACTTAGTCGAACACAGGTAACATCTTCATGACAGAGTGTCTGTCCAACACACACTTAACTATGGTGATAGTTTGTGGATGATGCCCTTGTCGGCCTCTGCTAGTAATAACACATGCACTCCTCATATGCCACTCTCTTGCTCACTCTTTGTCAGTATCATTTTTTTTATTTAGTGTTGAACGAGTTTCCAATAAATACAGGTTGCAATCACTCTTCAAGCTCGACCTCCAAGATATGTTAAAATATCATTTAAATAATGCCTGTTTGAAAAAGGCTCACTTAAATTATACAGAATAAATCTTTGACTATGTGACTATAAAACATAATTCACAAACCCAAAACTAAATAAGTTGAGACTCTGTGCAAAATGTTAATAAAAACAGAATCCAATGGTTTCAATTCAGTTAGAATAATTTAAGCTATATTTCATGCCCCATGGCTTGGGTCTCTTACACATCTGAGAAGGCATCATTCATGTGAAGTGATAGCGGTTCTGGGGCAACCATATGCCCCCATTTAGACAGTAGATTACTTGGAGGAAACTTTGCATATTTCACAGTTGCACTTACTCATCTTCGACTTACCTTGGTTTAGAAATAAACATTTCAACCTGGTGCAGTTTGCTCAAGTCACTGAAGCAGAGTCATTGTGATTCTAAGTGACCTTAAATGTGACACATCTTTCTCTCCCCGATAAGATGTCAGACACAGATACAGCTGCATCTGCTATCTATAAAAACCATGTGGTGATCAACAAAGGGAAGTGCACTTCACTTGTTTCTTTGTGTGTATTTAAGTCTCCTAAGATAGATAGATAGATAGATAGAGAACTTTAAGTGGTTTCATTTTAAGAAAGCCATCACTAGAGAGCCCAGCTGTCTGTTTCTGTTCTTGTTTTTCTAGAAAGCTGCAGATTTTACATGTGCTTTCACAAGATGCAATAATAAAATAGTCACCTCCAACTTGAGCAGAATTGAGTTTATTTGCCGAGTATTTCACACAATTTGGAGGGACTTCCAACAGTCTCTCATTTTAGAATTTAAATTGGATGGAAATCCTTCTCAGCAATAATTCAAATTTAAATTGAACAGATTTTGTAAACCAGGGAGGCACCAGATTTATTGTTTTCAAGAATGCAAGTATGAGACAAAGAAGATCTCACTTCTGGCAACAACAACTCACCGAAACTCTCCCTCTCTCTCTGTCTCTCACACTCTCATGCTATGTTACTCCTGGTCTCTGCTCTGAATCTTGTCAGGCAAATTCTGCAGACTAAGTATTTGGGTCGTGAACCAATCCTTTGCACAGTAATCTCTTATGACAGCCTTCTTTCATGGGTTTCCCCCCACATCTCCAACTAACTCCATCGTATTAATCCGGCAACTCTCATTTTCTAGCAAGGAGATTAGGGTGACTGCATTGTGTAATCTGGCACATTTGGTTGGCCTCACCTTTGGCACTATAGCCTACATCTGTAAAATACACACAGGATAAAATCTCACCACAATCTGTACCAACAACACTTCAGTTGCTGCACATTGTGACATACCTGAAGAAGCTAATTCAAGAGCAGTTAAGATCTATCAGCAAGAATCGAAGATAGCACTTCAAAAACTGATAAACTTATCTGCAGGATGGTAAACTTGAAGATAAGGAAGCAGTTTAAAAAAACACTCACCCTGATTAAAAGTGCAGGCAATAAAAAAGGAGAAGTACAGAGAATGAAGAGCGGCTGATGAGTGAGGCCACAGACTTCAGGACAACGACTATAAAGCATGTGAACATCAGCTGACTCAAACATCTCAGCCAACTCAATGCAAAGTGGAAGAACAGGTTCAGTTCAGCAGCCGGCAGGTGGAAGACGCTTAAGGAATACCCATTTAACACACACACACACACACACACACACACACACACACACCCTTCTGCAACAGGTGCATTACTTACAACTAGATGGAAGCTTTACTTTTTTCACTGACTTTTCTGAATGATTTTTAGGTCAGTCATCAGGTCAACGCGATTTTAGACTCTTCTGGAAAAATCCCACCTTGAAATTCATTATCCATAATTTCAAAAAGAAACAGCTCACTTTGTCCTGTGGAAACCTCTATGTTGAGAATCCACTTCCACTTGTAGTCTTCAACAAACATGCTTGTAATTACAGAATTCAGCACACTGTGCCTCGAAGGCTCTCTCTCCTGCTGGACACTCTCCTTTGTTAATGACCTCAATCAGCTCAACAAAGACTCTCTTTTCATTCATTCACTCATTCGGTCCCGGCTCTGCTGATCAGAAAAAAAAAACTCCTACCTACCTTTGCCTGCCAAGTCGTTGCCAACTTGCGTCACTGTCGAGTGGATGCAAACGGGCAAAACAGGCGCGTTCAACTCTGTCAGCGTTGAACGGGGAAAGTGAGTGAGTGAGACTCACTGTTAGAGACCGGCCAGTGCCGCTGTTATTTATAAGCTGAGCCACCATAGCTTACATCAAATGAGCGAGCAGCTGCCGCCTCTGCGTGCGCTCTCACTTCTCTCTTCACATCTGTGCGTCACTCTGTAAAGATGAGAGGTCTGCAACCGCTGCAGCTCTGCACCTCCTCTCCCTATTGCTGATAAAAAGGCCGGTGTTCATGTTATCTCAAATTTTGTCATGCCACTTATCGCGATAAACACATCAAACAGAAATGCATGTAGCTGCAGCTTGCATCCTGCTGCAGAGTTTTACTCCATCTTGCTGCTGCAGCGTTTCAGGCAGGGACAGGGGCCTGCAATCATGAGGCGGTCTGAGACATGAATTTTCCGCGAAGGAAGCTCCCCACCCACCCGGTATGATCCGAATACTTCTTACCCTCTCCGCCATCTCAGTGATGTCTGCAGGTCCGGCCGTCGCATCATCTTGACCGGCAGCCTCCGCGGCCATGGCAGCAGGTAAAAGGGCGGAACAGGCAGCCGGCTCTGCACGGAGAGAGAGAGAGAGAGAGCGAGAGAGAGAGAGAGAGAGAGAGAGAGAGAGAGAGAGAGAGCGAGAGAGAGAGATGCGCAATAGAACTGCACTCGACACACTTTGATTTAAATACTATCTTTTATTGAACACGTCTGGATCAGAAAATAACCACTAAAGACCTGAGGCTTTTAATGTGAAATTAGTGCTCATTGTAGCCTATAAGGTTTCATTTAGCAGCTATAGTTGCAAATCACAGGCATCAATGTGTAGTAGGTCAATGTGTAGGTCAGTATCACTTTTGACGCGCAGTCACTTCTTGTTTTTACATCTTATTCTTTAGGCAAGAAATAATTTGTCATAAAAAAAACGGTTGCTGTGATTTTATATTAATTAATCTGTTTCTGTCTGTTTACCCTACTTTTTTTACTTTTAAAAATAGTCAGTGGTCTGAAACCGAGAAATATCTCAAATTACTTGAGTGCACATATTTTATAAGAATGAATGAATAAATGAATGAATGAATGGTGGGTAGTTTTTTTTTTTTGTCATATTCATTTTAAAATCAACCACAGTATTCTGTCTGTTTCCAAGGGTCTTGTACATGTCTGTTTTCATTCCTCCTTTTAGTCCTCAAGGTTTGCATGATCCTTCATCTCAGGTGGTATAATATTTATCTTTATTTCTTTTCATCTAGCTATGGTTATGCACAGAATTTTCCATTTTGAAAAAGCAGAAGGAGACAGTACACAATTTGAACTCATTTTATTTGTCAGAAAAGGAAGGAGAAGGAAACTCTGACTTTGTCTGAACCTTAAAACACAAGAGAACAACAAACAAATGTTATACCCAAGAAATGTCTTCACAGTTTGAAAAATAAAACTATAAAATGATGATGTGTTTATTGTGTTGCTTGACAAAATATGATGTGAGAACATGATGCAGTTCCTATAAAAACCACATGAGGGAAGTACAAGACATGAAACTTAAAGGACTCACAGCCTACGGTGAACAAGGTTTCATTAATAAACAGCAGTATTTCTCCTTGCATTCTGTTCTCAATAAGTCAGACTTTGTCCAACATTATTAAGGTCACTTGTACATTATTATTCAACATCTAGCTGACTGCATGCAATAATGAACACAAGTATAATGGAACCAACCAACACATCTGCCAAAAAATACAGTGTGTATGTGTCTTCCATTCTTTCAATTCATTCCTGACCAGATTAGCCCAGTCCCTTAAGTAAGTCTCTGAACTCTTTGTTGTTCATCCAACATGATATTCCTTTCCATGTTGGGGTTTGTTGTGAAGCCAGAAGTGACCATACTTGAAAGAGTGGTGCCTGGGAGGGGCTGGAAAACTTGGAGCTGCTGAGCAAAGTTATAACCTTGCTCATTACTGAATAAGATTCTGGGAGAGGATTTTCATGGGTTTGCTGATGGTTTGTAATGCTTTGTGCACTAGCAGATGTCTTTAAGTTTGTTACTGGTAACAGTAGTAGCTGTAGTTGTAGTCGTAGCAGCGTATTTGTCAAACAATGACCAACAAAGTCCAAAGTTGATTCTCAGACACTTTCAGGGAAAAAGTGAAAAAAATGATGACGCCTAACTGGAAGCCTGATTTAATACTAACAAACATTAACAATCAGGATAAAGTTTAAAAAGAAAAAAATACAACCGGGCTGTAAATGTGTTTTTTTTCTGTTGTGAAGTTGCTTGCTTCAATGAAGGCTTTTATAGGAGCCGGCTCAGCTGAAGGCTGGCCTCTGGAGGCCATTTTAGGAGCTGCAGTTTTTAGCACTTTCGATTTTCAATCCCAAAAGTGGCCTCTTGATCTGACAGATGTGACAACTGTCCCATAAAAAGACAAGCAGACATTTCACATGCAGTTTCACAATTCAACGATCCCCTAAAACCAACTGCATTTGTCCAACTGCTCCAGTAGATACAGGTCAAATTATTAGCCTCAGTGTATAAAACTTGTATCACCAGTCTGAATGTTACAGTATTTTAATATATTACATTTTTATGTGTTTTACATCAGAAAAAGTCTTCAAATTTTGGGTGGCAACAATGACATTTAGGGTGTTTTTGTTACACTAAAAGGAACCTGGCCAGAGTAAGCAGGACCCCAGTGTGGAGCAGAATGTCATAAGTTATGGTATCTGGACTTTACGTTCCTGCCTGCACTAGACCCCTCTTAAAAAATAATGATACCCTTGAGATAACCAAGAATTGTAGATGTTAGCATAATGACCTGGAACATTATGCTGGTTTGCTTGCAGTGTACTGGGAGGCTTGCTGGTTTTAAGCTTGCAAACCAGTTGGTTAACAACTCAGCCTGCATTTATCGAACTGTAAGTCCCAACAGGGCAAAATTATGTGAATAACCCCTTAACTGATTCTCTTTCTCTAGTTAAGTGTTATAATGACTTACCATCATCAGATTGGGCTCAGCTGCCCAGGGCAACAAACTAAGCTGCCCACAGCCACAGGGACTTACCCTGCACCTGGTGCACAAATCAGCCACACTCCCTAAACCCGACTGAGGCCCCTAACCTGTCCTTACACTTCACCTTTTAAACCCCTGCCCGGAGTCTCTGAAGACAAATCTTAATGATCTGTCCATTTCTGGTCAGCATGATTGTCCGGGTCCCCACAGATGCGAAACTGGACCCTCAATCTGCAGACTTGCTAAAACCTGTTCCTGTTGAGCTGCAGTGGTATTCTCTTGTTTCTGCAAAACTTCTGCTGTGGAGCTGAAATACAAAGGTCCTTCTACGAGTGGAACCTCATCAAAAGTCTCTTTTGCAGAGCAGTAGCAGAGTCCTGTTTCTGCAGCAGACTTGCATCAAAGAGGCCTTTATTTCTGCTGTGGAGGAGCAGTTCAGGTGCATTAATCTCTATGAACTACCAGCTTCTTCGCATCCCAGCTTCTAGCCTGTTGCTCAGTCACAGCTGGAACCCCACCTCTATTACTCCGTCCTTCCCACAATAATCACATACTCATTTCCCAAGGTCCCCTTCACCTCCTCAATAGATGCCTGGGACCTTCTCCTTCAACACACCTGTTCCCTGATTTATCCAGCCAAACAAGTGTCCTGACCTTTCCTCACCTCCTGCTCATCCTCTTCCAATTGTTCAGAGGCTAGCTTCTCTTTTACTGTTTCTCCACTTCTGTGCCTTTCTCTGATTTTTTTTTTACAATAAGGTTTTATTTATGAATCCTGGCCTTGCTTGCTTGTTTCTCATGACCAGTATGGTTTTAGGGTATAAGAACTGTTGTATCTTTTCAGGCCAAAGTTTTAATCAACCTAGTCTTTGAGTATTTATTCATCAAGCCTTGGTGGGCAACAAAGAAGGCATCAGGTAAAAATGTAGGGGTATTCCAAAAACCCTTTATTTTATTTTATTTCATTATATTTTCGACGATCTGTTTGGAAATGAATCTTCTCAGTCTTCGACATATCTCATCCAAGTGAGTCAGAACCCAAACTTGATTTAATCATCAGTTTTTTTTCTTTGTGAGAACAGCTATAATTTGAGCTTCACGTCCAAATTTTGAATTAATGCCAATTTTCTTTTCTGTCAAGTTGCTGTTAAACAGAAAATGACTACACAGAGATATAGGCAGATATAATGTCCTTATAGGACTGTGTGATGTAATTGGATGTATCAAATCCCCGGTATAAACGGCTTTGAGAGCTTTTAATTGGCTGATGCATCAACAATCTATGGGAAAGGACTTTGAAAGGTTGCTTTGGCGTGTAATGCCCTAAATATCCACAAAGGGGCAGAGTGGATCAGGTAAAATAATCGAGCCAGAGATAAAAAGACGTCCACACTCACGAGGAGAGGGGGTGATGGCACGCACAGGAATTAACAGATAGAGAGAAACAGGAAAAGATGGGTGGCTCCTGCAAAAAATCAATGAAAGGGATACAATGTGGATGTCCAATTCATTCACTGGAAAACAATTAATGTTCGGAAGCTGGCCTATTTATAGGTTTAATGCCTGGAGTATCATTCAATCATTCAAATGTATTGAGCGTGCACACTTTGCCCAATTAGGCCAGAGCCCAACTGTGTCACATTTACACTGATCAGACTGCAGCACAAGTCTACAGCTGACATACTAACCAGTTATTGAATCTGACCAATAATTAGACTGTTGTGAAAAACTGAGAATAATAAGAGCAAGAAAAGAAGTGCTTAATTGGGTGAAGGGTTGCAGGAAAATCTGTCTGATTAGCCTTGTCCAACAGAAGGGGATTAAGCTTTTAGGCAGTAATTATTATAAAGCATACGTCAGCACATATCCACCCATTTCAGGCGGACGGAGGAGCAGAGGGGGTGTCCTGCTCGGTGGATGCGCTCTGCGAGGAACCCGGTCAGACGTGGAGAGACCCGGGAACAGAGGCAGGAACAGGAATATCCTCCTGAGTCAGTGCCACGACGCTGACACACCACACTCTCCGGCAGGGCAGCCTCTGCTCCGATAATAAGCATCCTATGCTATTCTGCTCAAGATGGCGGTGCAGGCAGCGGAAAAGGACGGAATAGTGAGTATTTTGGAGCTTCGTATGAACCAGGGTGGGGATAAGACATGATTTTGGTATTGCTCAGTGCGTAACGGGCTGTTGATTTGACCGTTATGTCGATTATCCGGCGCTTGTTGAAAATGCAGAGTGCACTGCGCTGCGCATCGAGCGCAACGCGATTCCTCTTTCATGTGTAGCCAGGAGGAAATCCAATATGTGCGAGGTGAAATGTATCGGCGCTATGTGCTCACCTTGCCTTTTCAACCAGGGATTTTCGTTTTGCCCTTGCACAACAGAAGTGCAGGTTTACAAGGTTGCGGATGCGGATCTTATTTGGTTTATAACGCGGACACCTACAACATGACAGGTTCGCTGCCACCACCTCGTCATTGTTGGGTACAGCCGCGTGCAAGGCCACACAGTGTGTTTGTACTGGTAGACAGGCCTGCAGCTTCATAATGGTGTTCAGACTCAGTCAGGTCACTTTATAATCGACCTGACTGTGCGATAAGTGACAGTTTGTATGCTGTGTCTTTTTGTCACTGGTGTTGCAGACTGTGGAGGATGACCACCTGAACGACTCGCTAGGGAACCCCGGTCTCATCTCACCTGATAAGGAGGATTTATCGCGTCTTCTGGTACGAAAAAGGCTTTAGCTACCCCCTAAGTGTCCTTGTTTGGCGCTCGCTCCTGGCTGTGCGTAATAATTTAATGTGCTTTGCTTAGACGGTGCCATTCAGTGGACGGATCCGGGGCGGTATGCGGCCTGGAAAGAAGATAATAGTGATGGGCATTGTTGACCTGGAGCCCGACAGGTAAGGTAACACTCAACAATGCATGCAGACGCACCTTATCTGCAGGCAAGCTGTATCCCATTGCTCTTGAAACAGAAATTCTCGTGCACGTGCAAGCTAGAGAATGTTGGAGGTATGCTGTTTGTTGTAAGGGCAGTCAGACTTGCACAGCCACTCCTGGGCACATTGAGTAATGCGTGGGCAGCCAGAGAGAGAATAGTGGCTAGTTAAGTATGCAGAGACAGGGCGTTCCCCAACAAGCAGGGAGGAAAAGGGGGGGAAATGGGGAAAAAAGAGGACCAAGGCAAGCTTGTTTGGGTGTGTCCTTTCTCTACATGGAAACTTGTGTCAAACTTGGAAAGAAACTCCCCATGACCTCATCCCGCTCAGTGGCCGCTGCTGGCACAGTTTTCATGGCAAAGTTCATGTGAACGTCCTGTCCGGCAAGGCTCAAAATAAACAACTGTTTCCTCAGCAAGTTTGACACCGTAATCATGTCTACACACCCAAACAAAGAGGTTTGTGTGTAAACAGCACAGCTGCAGGGGAGGGTTGGTTAACCAAATCGAGCAGCAGGGATTATGCATTATTAAGACACTATTGGTTTGGTTGAACACATCGGCATTAGCAACAGAATTATGCATTTGATTTATCCCAGATTAGTAATTGGGCTCATATGTTGTCTGTCTGACTCTGTGATCTTCTGTTTCTTTCCTCAGCTTTGATGTGAGCCTGACATGTGGCCGAGACACAGAGAAAGAGGAACCTCTGTATGATGTGGCCCTGAAACTCACCGCCCGCTTCACTGACCGCCAGTTTCTGCGCAGCGCCCGCGTCTCTGGGAAGTGGGTTGGGGAGGAGGCGTCTACTGCCTACTTTCCTTTTATCCCTGATCAGCCTTTCAGGGTAAACATCTTTTTCTTACAGTCACATGCCAGATGATTGTAGTGGTCTTTGTGTGGAGGCTGGGTCAGCTGAAGTTTGGTGGTTTTCTGTTGATCATGAGGTATATTCTTTCTGCTATGAGACCTATGGATTTTGACTCTACAGTACTTTTAGCTGCAGTATACTTAAAATTTATTTTTTTATTTGATGTCTTGTTTGATCACATCAGAAAATCCAAAGTGTTGTCATAGCTGTTGCAAGAACAGTTCTACTATGAAAACATTACAACAGGGTAAAGACTTTTTAGCTTAGATGACACAATAAATTGCAATGAGACCCATTTTGGGGGCTTGATAAACAATCTTGTTGATCAAATTGCCAAAAACAGGACAGAATATCAGTAATTATTAACACTGCCAGTGGCAATGTGGTTAGAGTAAATGTCATTCAAAGTTGTAAGTAGTGATGCACGATATGAAAAATTTCAACCGATACCGATAACCGATAATTTTCTTCTTCTCATGGCCGATACCGATAACCGATAAATTCATATTTTTACATTTATTATAATCTTCATATAATCTGCAGTTTGAGCAGGATGCAGCGATTGAAAACTGATGTTTTTGTTGCTCTGGCCTATCTAGAACAACAAACAAAAGTTTTTGGCTCTTCAAATGTGGTCATTTGCTATAAATAACAATAACAGAGCAAAAAGCAGAACTTCATTTGATCCCCTGAACTGTTCAACAGAACTGTAAACTGTAAAGGAGCTATTATGAGACGTTAGGCTTAGCATGCTGACCGGACTAACATCTGACGTCCATATGACTGTGGTAAAACTCACGTGTAGTCCGTTCTTGTCGATCAGGTTGTGAATGTATGTGGCGACAATATCATAGAGTGCAGGAAGAGACACATCCGAGAAGAAGCGGCGGCTTGGGAGAGTGTAACGTGGCTCCAAGTGTGCTATTAACTTGCGAAAACCCGGGTTCTCAACGACGGAAAAAGGCTGGTCGTCGACTGCTATGAACTCCATCACTTTGTCGTTAATGGCTTTAGCCTTTTCGCTGTCTCTTGAGAAGCTTTTGCAGTTTTTAAACACCCGCTGAATGGGGACATCGATCCTCCGTAGTGTTGTTGTCTTAGTTTTAGTACCGCTAGCAGCTTCGGCGGCTGTCTCATATTCTTTTACTACCGCTTCGCCGCGATGGCGACTTTTCAGATGAGCTATCAGATTCGTTGTGTTAAAACTTGACGTCTTCTTTCCTCCTCTCGGAATCCTCGCTGAACAGGTTTTGCATATAGCAATGCTGTTGTCATCTTCTGCCACTGAGAGAAACGACCATGCTGGTGAAGACATTTTATTATCTGTCAGGTAGTGACGGGGTCAGGCTTGGGACCTGCGAGTAAGGCGCGATAGATGACGTAACCAGCGCGTCTCGGACGGGCGGCTACTCCGCCTGCAAACGTTACTCGTAATTTCATTAATATATCGGATCTTTCTATCGGAAAAATGCACCTATCGGACCGATAAAAAATGACGTAATTTCCCCCAAATCGGCCGATATTTTATCGGTCCGATAAATATCGTGCATCCCTAGTTGTAAGTAACTGCTGTGTAGATGTAAGAGACAAACAGGAAATGTTTTTCATGCTACATCATATCTTTCCTCTGTGAATACATGCTGTGTTCTGTGTAGTGGTCTGATAAATGCATTAGAGGCAGCATCAGCTGTTTATGTGTGGATGTAGTGGGGGCCTAAGCAGCATTACATATGCAGGATGAGTAATCCTCACATGACCAGAGGGAATCTGCAATGTTGTTTTCTGCTCTAATAAGTCTGAATCTGCACAGAAGAAACATATGGTGTTGGACTAAAAATATATGATGACACGGTTTCATCCAGAAGTGAACTCTGCAGCCTTTGGTTCCACACTTGAAGTCATCTCTGTTTAAAGACTGTTGGTTCAGGCCATAAGAAAACGTCACTGGACAAATATTATCTTTGCCTTATTTTGGGAGGCGATTCCCACATCTGTTATGTTATGTCAGCCTCCTGTTAAAGAGTTATTGTTTATTGCCAGTCAAGCGGGTCAGCACATTCATGACTCTGCCAAAAGCTGGAGGCTGCAGACTAATGCTGCCATGCTGGCTCACCAGTACGCAGGCACGTGGATAGACACATGATCAGTTGTGGTTTTGGAGCACGACAGCTGGAGTTCAATTAAAAGTCTGCCCCAGGAAGTGGGAACAGACCCACTGGATTATTTTTCTTTGGCCCAAACCTTAAAGGAGAGATGTTAATACTGCTCTGTTTCCTTTTCATGTATGGGAAAGTGGCTTGTTTTTAAGGCTGCTGTTTGATGGCTTGACACCTTAAAACACTTGAAAACAGTTGTTTTTAAGTATCAGTCTGGATTGTGATTTGATCTTGTGTTAAGCTTTTATAATTGACTGTGCAGACTACTTAAGCAGCTGGCTACAAATTGAGAACATTCATCCTGTTAAGCCCACAAAACTTTGCGTTTACTAACTGTTCCCTGTACTAAGTTAAATATGCAGTTGTAAATAGAAAAAATACATGGTGAAATGAGGTGCTGAACTCTGCTCTGAAATACATTTCCAGCCCAAATCTGTCAAAAAGATGGACAGCTGTGGGACGACATGGGAAAGGTTATAGCTAAATCACAAGATATTTTTGTTTAAAGTTTTTGGATCAAAAGAAAGTATGTTAAGTCTGGGATTTGCTGGGTGGCCTGGAAAATCTATAGCTGATACTTATAAATCTGTTTGGCTTTTTCCCCAATTCTATCTTTTTAGGCTCAACATGAACTCATCCCACATATTCTCTCCTTTCTCTGAGCCAGAGTAAGAATTATCATGCTGTGGCAAAGATTCAGTTATCTCAGAACAAGTCCTGGACACTGACAAAACTTGCCTCTTTTTTGTGGGATTAAGATATCATACCACACACTGATTAGCTACAAAGATGCTGGCCACATCATTATCTTTTCTACCATATGAGGAAGCTGAAATAGCTGTTTGCCTGTTAACAATATTGTTTCTTGGGTAACCTAATTGCTGGCTCAATTTAACGTCATGTCTGACTGTACAAGCTTGTTATCTGACTCTCCACTAAAAGCAAGTAAGCACAGGTAATTTAAGCACTCCTTTGAGACATCTTTGAGGCACTGATGCTAATTATAATGCTTCTCGAAGGAATACTTCTTAATTTTACTTAATCATACTTTGCTTAGTCTCAGCTTTAAGTGCTAATCTTCTAAACTTCTCTTTTACCCCCTCTTCTTGTTTGTCCCGTCTTTTTCTCTGTTTCTGTCTTTACTCCCTGCAGATTGAGATCCACTGTGAGCACCAGCGGTTCCGGATATTCGTAGATGGACACCAGCTCTTTGACTTTTATCATAAAGTAAAATCTTTGACCTCTATCGACACAGTACGGATACAAGGAGATCTACAGATCACCAAGCTCGGTTAACTTTCTGCTCCTCCTGCTCTGCAAGTTGAGTGTGAAGCAAGGACTCGATCACAGATGACCACGCACACATACAGTACGCACTTGTTATGCCATCATCTATTACCCATCATGCAACACTACAGCAACACAGCAACTGGAAAAAGGCTGGGTCTGTGACAAGTTCGAGCTCCTCTACGTAATTTTATTCACTTCTTTACATTCCTTTCTGTTTGATCAGGATCTGATATGGTGAGGCTTTGACAGTGAATGTGTTTGTTCCATTTCAGGTTTTCCTCTTTGTAGCCCCAGTTTTGTCAGATCAGGGAACTTATAATTTATTATTAGCAACACAATGTTGAACCCTTTGGGGTACCAAGGCAGAGGCAGGTGTGGAGGTCCTTCAAGGATGGGATTAGTAAGTCTGATTTTACAGAAATAAACAACTCAGGAAAAAAAATCTGCCACTGAGCAACTGGCATGAGAGCAAAGTGTTGATTTGGAAAAGTCTCCTTAAGAGGCTGATGTTAACAGGCAGACTGACTCTGGGCATATTGAGAGCTTTCAAAAGTTTTGGAGGAACTGAGATCTGCATATGATTAAGCTTAAAAATAAATAATAGGTAACAAAAACGATGAAGAGTGACAAATATTCTATCAAATACAGCTGTAAAGGACTTCACTAGTGTTAACAGATTAAACCTGAGCATTAAAAACACAGTTTTCAATAATAGATAAACACATTTGATCAAAAATAGCTGTAGATCATTTGACACAGTCCAGGTTAATGTTTTGTTATTGTTGCATTTGTCTTTCTAAACTCACTCTTTTAATCTGAACTCAGTAGATAGCAGTGTTGCACCCTGTTTTTGCTGTGCTGATGCATCTCCAGCTCCACAGGGCACTCCCCTGCCCTCCCTTGGGTGTGTCTCAGTTGCCGTAGTAACACATTGCAGTCTCACCAACTCACATTCCCTAAAATGAGGATTATACCATGGAGAGATGTATCAGAATCATCCCATGCTTTAGACTGTACATTTTGGTACTTATCTTCCCAGTCTCCTATAGGCAGCAATTCTTGTGTACTGAACCAGTAGAATTTGACTGTTGTCACACTCACAGCATTTTCATGCAAGAGTCATAAGTATTGTACACTAAATAAGTACGCAACTAATAATAACGAAAAGGAACTTGATTTAGTACAGAGAAGAAAATGTACTGTCAGTTTGCAGATTTTGGCTGAGTGCAAATTTCAATCCTTTAGTCACATTCGGCTGCAGCCAGGTTTATGGAAGCAGGACCAGATTCTGGTGGTGTTTTGAATGTATAGTATTCATGTTTCTATAGTAGTATAGAAGATCTAGTGATGCACAAAATGAAGTTAATGTCACAGTTTTTGGTGGTAATAAGGCAGGTGCTGTTTATTTCAGTCCTACAGTATGTCTTATGTGTTTGATGACTTTATAAATCATTTCCAGATCATTCCACTTCAGTGTTGACACACTGAGGCAGGGAGATGTTATGAAGGAGGTCAGTTTTCCTTTAATGCGGCCAGCAGGTCTAAAAATTGTAAATTATTGTGTCTTGAATCCATTATATTGTTTTGTCTCTGAGACCCCTCTCTGCACAAACATGCCTGTGCACATAGGATGCATTTTCCTTCATTGAGGTACAACAGAAGTTATGAGAAACACGCTGTAACAGTACAGGCTATGTTCAGAAACTTACAGTATTAAAATATGAAGTCTTAAGTTGCTCTGTTACACCTCGTTCAGCACCAGTGGTTAATGTGAAACTCATTTAATTCCTACAGTAGACAAAGATTAAAATTCCTTTCGCTGCACAGATTTTTGGTAATCACTTTTCAAAAGATTTCTAGAAGGTGCAACTTGTTTCTGCACTGTAGACCAAGCTGCATGTTGTTTTCACATTTAAATGAAGAATTTTTGTAGCGTACAAATGTCCAAAAAAGTTTTTCCACCAGCCGCAAAAAACCCAAAGATTCTTCATTTGTAGTCTGATTGACAAAGCGAAACAGCAAATCTTTGAAATTAAAGAAAGTTGGAATGAATGTCATGACAGATAACTAAATCACATATAAAAAAAGTTTTTGCTAGGTTTGTTTTGACACAATATTTCCCACATGGTGACAGCACTGGGCGTTACTAATAAATAATAATAGATTCAATAATGGTCAGTTATAAATTAATGAGTAAAGCATTGAGGAAGCCAGGCTGTGAAAATGCTTGATATATTTCTTATTTTTAAGTTGGCAATAATGCTTGTCATTTATGTCAACTAAAAGTAGCCTTACAACTGTAAAAGTTATTGTTCATAAAAATATCAAAAACTTTTGACCACTAATCTTATAACAATAAAATAAAAAAGTATCAGCTGTCAATGTGGGTTAAAATAAAGCTAAGTAGGAAAGCAAATATCATTTTCCAACCCAAAAGTTGCCTCAAATGATACGATCCAAAACCATGAGCATAAATAAATAAACTGAAGTTGAGAGGTGACATTTAGAAAGCTCTACAGAACAAAACTTGAACCAGGTATGAGAGGCTTCCATCATCACTGAACATAGATACTGTCCTTCATATCAAGCAGAACATTTTCAGTAAAGTTTCAGTGTTGTCATGATTTTACTGCCACCTTGGGCTGTTTGACCCAAAGTGAAGAAATGAAGAATAATCTTCACAAGGCTACACAGAAACCCTTTGAATTTTTCACACTCCTACACTAGTTTTGATGTGAAGTAAGGATTCCCACCACCTCCTACTGCTGTCAGTTTCAAGTCAGCCAGGTGATACACGGAGCTTGTTTTGGTGGCATGCATACATTTAGTATTTAATATCTTGACTCTTGTGTAGCAATAAGCTGCCCTAGCTCAGCTAGCTCAGGGCAGAACTTGTTTTGGCCTTGTTGGTCAGATAAGGTCAGTTCTTTATTTTTCGCTTGGCAGGCGCTGGTTTATTTCAGTCACAAACAGGAAACAAGTACACTTGTTATGGAGGGCAATGAGGAGTGCAGTTTGACAGATATGAGCCAGTGTGATGCACAATAACTCCAGTATCACATCCAAACTAAAGTGTACAGATAGTGTAAAGTAATTGTGTCCACTGGGTGTGTATTTCTGTTCTTCCCGTTGACTGGTGACCATCCATTTGTTATACTACATTTTCTACAGTTTCCTGTGACAGAAATGTAACATTATTTGTGGACAGCCTATGACTATAAATCAGTAGTGTGTTTGATGAAGGTGGAAATAGGTTGTGAGTTTTTATCACAGATTCATGACTTTCAGCAGCTGAAAAAGCAGCAGTGGTGCTGTTGGTTAGAACAACGGTTAGAGAGATGAACAGTTCAACACTTCTTAATTAAAGGGCTCACATTAAGGTCAAGAGTTTTGTGTTTGTGTGCATGTGTGAGTGTGTATGCGTGGATCTGAGCTGTGTATATGTTTACACAGACAGTGTAGATCTACTTAAACGAATTGTTTTGAAGACTATTTTGAGTCTCGTGCAGCAATGTGTTTGAGGTTTTCTGCACTGGCAGATGTATCAAAGGTACACAATAAGCTGGCAGGGTACTGGATTTGATACTAACTGTATTTGGTACTTGCTCACCTTAAGGTTGTTTTTAAGCTTTTTGAAGCTGTGGGAAGGATTTGTAGAATATCACTGAAAAGTTGCTGGTAACAACATGACCAAAACAATAACTACTCTATGCTGAAGGAGAATTTATGGTTCTTACAAAACTTTTAAAAAAGGACAAAAGATGCTCCTAGATCCTGCACACTGGTCCTTTTAAGAGATCCTCGTGCTTGAAAAACCTTAGAATAGAGTTGTCCTGATACCAGTACCACAAACAGTACCAATACCATTGAATCACCTAGTTTTAACCATAGACTGTTCATACTATGGACAGTTAGTTTCGCCTTCCATCATTATACGACTTTGAAGCCGAATTTCTCTGTGTTTCCGGGATTTTCTCCACTTCCTGGAACCACCACTGGTGCAGTAGTGTGTCACCACTGTCACCACTTGCGTGTAGCATTGTACGCATTCGGCGGGAGAGTCGCTGTGATGATGCTCCGCTCAAACAGCGTATCCCCTGGGTGAGCTACATAAACTTTGTATGTACACCTTGGCAGGTGTCAATCATAGAAAACTTGAACCCCCTAATAACTTTTAAAAATGGAGCTGCACAGAAAAAAGAGGACTTGAGCACAAACCAGACTTACAGTAACTACATGTCAACATCACAACCAGGGGGGAGATAAATTCATATTCTGTGTAATTAATTTCTAAAGTTTGTCCACAGCTCCAGAAGGATGGCTGGAGGAGATGGGATTTATGAACTATACAGCAGCCCGTCACCAGAGGGTGCTGTTCTTGTGGTGGCTTCACCCAGTGAGGTGGCAGACTTCGTCCATTCTATACACAGTCTATGGTTTTAAGTAATTTATTATGTGATAGAAGGGATAAAAAGTGTTTTGCCAGAAGAGTGTTATGTAGTTCAGGGCTTGCAAAATGCCACCAATCAGTGTTGCCCATCAATTTAAAATATACATTTACTTATTTTCGCCTCAGTATCAATGCTGTTCTCAAAACTCACAGTATTTAAGTGTAGGTATTTGTATCAACTCCTGAATATTTGTATTTAATACAGCAGACCCCAGTTACTGCTCTTCTAACATTGTGTGTTTCAATGAACAGATCCTGGAAATAATTCTCCTTTTTTCCCCTATGATTTTTATTGTTCTTCAAGCCATTGAAAATGCAACTGAAAAACTGAATGTTATTCTCCTTCTGATTGTAATCTGATGATAAAACCCAGCTTTGTTCATCTTCAAAAAAAAGTGAAATGGACCACCCTTCCTTCCCTGAGTGAAAGTTGGGTGTATGATGTAAGAGAAACTTTCCCTGCTCTTCAACTTTGGATGTACATATTTTGGTACATGGTCTCCTTTTAACACAAGGACCATCAGCAGAAAGCATTTCGTTGGTGCATGTAAACTACCTAACATTTTGTATACATGAAAGATTGAGGTATCGTCAGTGTTTGTCCATTTAAGCATGCTATTTCTTTTATTCCACCTACTTTGTAAGGCGAGTTTGACGGGCAGATACTCCCTTGTGGTTACAGTTTATTTTCCTTCTGGTCAGCGTAGAGATAATAAGAGTTTACCAAACTACAATTAACAAACAAACAAACAAACAAGGGGTAAGATGTACAAAGACAGATTATAGATAAGGAAAAATAAATTAATCTTTTTTCCATCCAGGACACACAATTACTTTCCAAAAAGTGCTCAGATCTACATGCTTATTGTTATTATGGCTAAATCATCATGTCCTTGGCAGAATGAAGTGTCCACTGAGTAGAAGTAGGCTGAAATGTTGCTAATGTGTTGTGTGGTTGTACAATCATTTTATCATTTCTATTTATTACAGTGTAACCAGCAGGGTTGTGTGTGGTAACGTCATACCTACTGTATTGGTAACGTACCTATTTTTGCTGTGTACATGAAGGCATCTTGAGAAGTGGAGTTTTTTTTTTTTTTTTAATAAAGATGAAGGTGTCTCTGGTTCAGGGCTGACATGTGAGATTCTTACATAGCCTACTGTACTTTACGTTATCACACTAACAAATGTGCAACACTTGTCACATCAAATATTCTTTTCTTAAAACGAGGCTAACCATTGTTTTTACCATAGTGTTTCCAAGATGTACTGAGTCTGAGAATAACTGGGGTGTCTGGACTTTGAGCCTCTGAAACCTTTTGTGCATCATGTTCTGTTTTTCAGCAGAGCAGCTTTCAGAAATCTGCTCCACAAGTAACAGTAACATGTACAGTACATTTATGGCATGATGCTGATTCCCCTGAAATGATCCTGATTTTTATGTCTCACTAAAAATGTGCACTGGACCAGTGTTTAGATGAAGACGGTACATTCTGCCACCCTGGTGTTATAAGACCTCTCCAAATATTTCTTTTTCCTGCCTCATGCTTTTGTAAAAACAGCTTCTTTGCAAAACAATAAACTTCTCATCTTGGAGGTGGTCATTGACTCAGTGTTTTCTTCTGAAAATGTCCCAAAAGAACAACACAAACAAAAGCATGTCATTTATTTTGTTTGATTAGATTGTTTTTTATTAATTTATTTAGGCCTGCATAGAATTTATGGGTGTGAGCTCGTATAGTGCATTCGCACCTACTGTCCATCTCATTTTTTCAGTTGCCATTCTGTGGTTTCCACAGCAACAATGAAAACAGAACCATCCACAGAAGCAGAGGACGCTTATGGGGGATGACTATGTGTCGCACCATAACCCAGAAGAATTAAGTAACTAACCTGTACAGTTTGTTTGTGGGGGCTATTAAGACTTCACCAGTTCCTTCCCTACAGGTAGAACTGGGTGAAATGCCTCTAGAAATCAGGAGAAAGCAACTGATGATGAACTACTGGGGAAATTTGCAAGGGCACAGTAATTATCATCCCACGAAGGGAGTCTTGACGGAGTGTTGGGAGGATGGGAAGAGCCAGAGGCAAAACTTTGCTAGAGTACTGCATAATATTGCTAAATAATTAACAAGTATTCAATGTGAAAGTAAGTCTAACGGTAGTCTATCCAGAGATGGCCCCATGGATGCTTGTGTGGCCTGAGGTTGACTGGTGTTTGTTAGAGACTAAAAGGAAGGAAAAAGGTAGGGTTGATTTGGTGAGTGAGTTTAGATGTCATGTAATGACGGAGTATAGTGATTACACATGTTTACACAGATGGTGCTAAACAACCTGAGACAGGGGTGACAGGATTTGGGGTGGCAGTACCAGCAAAAGAAATTGGGATTAATAGAAGAACATCTGATAAATTAGGAGTGTACACAGTGGAAATGGTTGCGGTGCTGGTTGCATCACGGTGGGTGGAGAAAGTGGGTCTGGATAAGGCATTGCTTTGTTCAGATTCATCATCAGTGCTAGCAAGTTTAAGGTCATTCCATTCAAACAGCCGTCACAACATACTATACTCAGTCCTTCAGTCAACTATTAGAATAGTTCATCAGGGAGGTTAGGTAAAGTTTCTGTGGGTTCCAGCACACGTAGGGGTGAACGGGAATGAGAGGGCAGATGAGTTGGCTAAGAGAGATTTATTGAAAGGAAGTGTAGAAATGCAGGTCAGTATAAGCAAGGCAGAAATAAAAAGTGTAATCTGGGAAAAGGCAAATGTAATGTGGCAGGGAAGGTGGGATGAAGAGGAGAAAGGGAGGCATCTGTATCAAATTTGAAAGAGTGTTGGAGGTGAGAGGAAGAGCAGTGGGCACAGGAGAGAAAGGGTTGTGTTGACAAGATTAAGGTTGGGGCATAGTGCACTAAATAAAACACTGAAACTGATAGGGAAGCACCAGACAGGCTTGTGTGAGGGCTGTCAGGAGGAGGAGGAGTCCGTGGAGCATGTAGTCCTGAGGTGTAGGAGATATAAAGTGCAAAGAGAGGAGATGATGAATAGGATGAAGGAATTAGGGATACAGGGATTCACATTACAAGGACTTCTAAGAATGGAAGAGAGGGCACAGGTTTGAGCTGTGTTAGAATTCTTAAGGGGAACAGGGCTCTATGATAGTGTCTGATGGAAAAGGAGGGATAAAAAGATAGTGGTGGTAGGTGACATAGGTGTGGAGGGTTTATTGTAGGGTGGCGGGTGTTTTCCCTTTCTTTTCATTATTATTATTGTGTGTTAATTGTGTGTACTGCTTCGGTCGAGAGTCAAGGACAGGAATAAGTTGGAATACTGCTTGATCAACACTCCGAAACAGAGGGTGGCGGTAATGCACCAAAAAGCTGGATGCCAACCGCCGTTAAACAGAAAGAAGAAGAAGAAGAAGTAGTAGTAGAAAAAGAAGAAGACAGTTTTTTTGTTTCACAGAGCTACGTCCCTGGCTTTAATTGTATTGTTTTTAAGTCATTTTTACCTGTCTACACTGATAGGTAACGATAGCAGGGGCTTCATCATGTCGGGGATGGAGATGCTCAGAGTTCTGGTGAATGAGCGCCTAGCAGCAGCTGCAGAGGAAATCTTTGGGCTTGTTGGAAAGACAATATCAGAGTATCAGGATGAAGTTATGCGCTCCAAAAGGGAAATCTGTGAGCTAAAACAGCAGATCGAGCAGCTCACAGAATTAAAACCTGGAGGGAAATCATTTAAAACAGGTTAGCAGCATCAATCTTCAAAGTTAAGGTCGCTTTACCGAAGTTAGTCTTTAGCTGGATACTTGGCGTACCCCTGCTATAAACTATCCCTCTAGCTTCTTAATCAAGGCACAAGCAAGATGACAAATTATCAAAGATAATTTTATTTCATTGATTTGTCTTTATCTTTTTTTTTTTTTTTAGAAACTGAGAAGCTGTGTCCTTCTCTGCAGCTATGTGACATCAAAGTGGAGCAAATCAAAGTGCAGCAGATTCCAGTCCTGGTGCAGACCGAGACTGAAGATCAGCCACTGGTCAAAGAGGAGCAGGAGGATCAGTGTATCCGCTCAGACACTGAGGTTGATACTTACTGCTGTGCAGGACCCAGAGTTCCTAAATCAGAACCAACCATTCCATGTGAGCCGTTTACATCCAGCAGTGCTGACACCGTCAGTGTAAACGAAAGCAGAAATGACAGGAGGAGTAAAAGGAGTGGATCATCGCCCCAAGGTAAGGTTCATAGTGTTGAAGTGACTGTGGACCAGGAGCAGGTTGCGAAGGAGATAGAGTCTCTTTGTTTTTGTGGTGAATCCTTCTTTCTATAACCAGCATTCTTATTGAAGTAGTATATATAAACACATTTACAAATACATCCTTAATAAACCAACCAGGAGCATTAAAACAGAAGTTGTAAAACAGAATTGAACAAGACTTTTACTCATGAAATATTATTGCCCTGTGCACAACACTGAGTCCTCATAACTTGATCAAACTTTATATAAAAAAAGTTCTTCAGTTTGTGGTCTCAACAATAGTGCAGTCCTCTTGTGTGCGGGGAATGTCTGTATTTTTGTATTTTGTAATTTGAGACTTAAATGTTTGAAGATGTTATTCTGAGAGGTCCATGATTATGTTCGTGCAAGGTTAAAACGTGGTCACTATTACTACTACACTACTTTTGAGGTCTATATGCTGTGAATTAATAAAACCTAGAACAGTGTCTTGTATTCTTTCTATTTACAGTGCATGAAGACTGGGATACTGTCAGAAAAGGTGTGTCTAATGAATTGACTGCACCCCTCTCATCAGTGGACCCCCTTTATACATGTTTACACCACCCAAGACCCTCCTCTCGAAAAACACAGAACTCATGGATAAGCAAATTGCAAATTCCCTGGGGCCATTTGCCTGCGTCTCTCTTACATGCCATAGGAAGAGGAACAAGAGCCTTTCCTACAGATAAGAGAGCCATGGTAAGAGCTGTGGTGAGCGCCATGCAGGAACACTGTCCCAAACCTGACAAAGGGGCATGTATAGAGGTAGCCAAAATGATTGTGACACAATACCCGGTGACTTTTGCAGACCCAACAGCTGAAGGAGGACAATTTGGGAAAAGCGTCCTTTCATTCGCACGTAAGCTCAAGACAAGAATTGACGTCAGCAGTCGCAGGAAGCGCAAGAAAACATGACGGAATACAAAAACCAGGGACTATTACAGAAAGAGGTGATATTGTTTCCCCAACTAGCCTCTTCAGCTCATCCCTAAGCTTTATATTTAGGCAACTTGGGAAAATTGGAGATAGACTCTCTCAGCTCAAGATGTTGGGAAAAAAAAACCTCGCACAAAATCTAAATGATCTGTCAGTGGACCCATGCTGTACACACTGAAGAGCATGTCTGAACACCAAGACTGTAGTTTAGTTTGTAGTACAATGCTACTCCATGCTTTCTACAGATATTCCAACAAGGGGTCTCTCACTTTTTGCCTTGTGAAGATTGTCTTCCGCTGAAGAGAATTTTAAGGGGTGCCCTGAATTATTGTTCCTTTTAGAGGATATGTGTTTGGTTCAAACAGTATGGTTAGAAGAACAGGAAGAGGGAAAGACAATGAAAAAGACAGAAAAAGTTTGTAAGATTCCAAAACTACCAGTGAAAAAGGTTGAAATGAGGAATGCAACCAGTGAGTGTGAGCTATTTGGTTAACAATGTAAGAACTTTCTGAAATTGTTAACAAATGTTTTCTACATGTGCAAACACACAGTGGAATCAAAGACACGCAGAAAAGAGTGTTATCAGTTGATGTTGTGCCATTTCTTTTCAATAAAATGGTCAATTAACTAAGTGTATTTACAGTGTTTTTCTCCCTTCTGGTACAGTGAAAACTCTGGTCAGTCTCAATTTTATGTGTTTTTGAATTTTTTTTCTGAAAAAGATTTTACCCATTTTTGTGAAATAAGCATGCATGTTTCCATTTATAAAATAGTCAGTAAATGACTTGATGTTATGCTATGCTAATTTGATGGTATGATTGGTCATCTACCAAAAACATGGCCCATTTTGGCAAATTTCACCAAAGGTGATTCATCAACTAGTTGTTTTCTTTCACAAAACTGAATAACACATGTTGCATTACTAATATGATTTAAATCAATTCTTCTCAAGAGAACTTAAAAACACTGATACTCAAAAATATTCTTCTCCTGGAAGAAGGTCAATTGTGTGCAACAACGTTATCCAACTGTTCCGTTTGAATAAATTGAAAGACTGCAAGGTAAACTGAACCATATTTTCAGAAAAGAGACAAAATTGTCCATAGAGATATAAAGAGAGTTTCTGAAGTAAAGGTGAGCTAAATAATGTGTTTTCTAAACTCATCATAGGGGTTGCCGTTATTTTTAATCAAGTGAAAAAGACAAGTCTCCACCTGCTGAGGCAACAAAAACCGGCCTGCTCAGTCGTCTAGCCTCCGCGGCAGCAGGGGGCGCTGGTGAAACATTGTTAAGGTTAATGGTGATCAGTAAGTCGTGTTGTCCAAGGCAGAGTTTCTGACAGAGAACTGTGCTGCTTCCAGTCGCTTTAATTTAAGACTCGCCTTCTAGTTTTTCACTGTTGTCGTGAGGATCAGGAATTTATACGTTTCATATGTTTCTAGACGTCGCCAGCGAAGAATCAGGAAGACGCTGTTCATCTACAGAGGAGGTGAAAGAGGAGCGAGGAGCGGAGCAGTCAATTCTGCAACTATTGGACCAGGTTTTTGGCATCTTTAAAATAAACCTCCATTCAATCAACAGTCAAAAGAAATATTCTTTCAAAGAGATGGTGAATAATTATTTCGATATTAAAAAGTTGAGTCGTGTGAACAGACAGTCTTAAAGGTCACAGTCCTTTGTTTTTTCTCATAGTATATGTTGTTTTCTATTTAACAAGGGCCACGAGGAAAACGCACCAACGCAATTAGGCCTTGTCCACACGTAGCCGGGTATTTGTTAGAACGCATTTTATAGGTTTTGTCCTGCCATCCACACAAAACCGAAGGATTACGTCATGAAAAAACAATGCCTTAAGAAAACTCCGGCCAAAGTGAAGATTATTGAAAACTCCGTTTTTTTTTGTCAGGCAGTGGACGGTACAGATACAGAAAATATAATATGGATGGATATATTTTTGTGAGGAGTAACGGAGGAGTGATTTGCAGCCGGTTGTTCTACACCAAATAACCCATCCTTCGCCTTTATTGTGTCTTGTTGACTTTAAACTCCAAAACGATGCTTAAAAGCATAAAAACTAGTCCACCTCTCTGTCGGTCCACACGAACGAACTACAGTACACAGAGCTATGTTTTATGTTTGGGGAAGTGACGACGAGCAAGGGAAGCTTGTTCTGATTGGATAGAATGGGTCTAACTTTTTGGCAAATACTACCAACTCCAGGTCGGCATGATTATTACTGCGGTCAAGAGCACATTTATGTGGTTTTGTGTCACGGCCTAGGAAGAGGCCTTGTCCTTGTTTTAACCCTTTCACATTGCTGGGGTGAGAGCTTACAGTCACTGTAGCACACCTGAGCAGGCTGGGCTCAGAAGGCTATAGAGCAGCCCTTGTCACTGAGTTCTCTCTCTCTCTCTCTCTCTCTCTCTCTCTCTCTCTCTCTCTCTATCTATCTATCTGTCTATCTGTCTATCTATCTATGGCCTGCAGACTGCTTCTTTGTTTGTAGATTTGCTTTGCTGAATCACATGCTAACACTCACACACATCCAACACTTCAGGAACACTGACAACCATAGTTAATTTTTTTTTTTTTCATTATTTACTTATTCAATTAAATATTATTTTATAAACTGTGCAAACAAATGTGGTCTCCCTCTTTGTGCATTGTGTCCCTCACACATTTGAGCCAGGTTGTGACAGTGTGGACGGGATATTATTTAAACATGATTATGTGTGTACATGATTTTTAAAACGGAGGGTGTTGGATATTCGTTTATAAAAAATACCCGGCTACGTGTGTACAAGGCCTATAGTTTCCACAAATACCTGCCATTATAAAACAGTGACATCCGTAATGTCGGTTTAAGGTTTAAACACATTTTTGTCTAAACTGCACTAGTCTTTATAACATGTGCCAGCTTAACTTGGATAATCACTGATCATTATCATGTGTCCCCTCTGTCATTTAGCCAACAAGCTGGTCACTGAGAGAACCAGCGCCACACATTACAGCCAATTGCCATGAAGGAGGAAGACACTCCAGTCAAGATTTCAAAGATGAAAGAGCACACACAGGTCAAGGAGGAAGGAGTGGATGTGTCTGTTACTCCAGACATAAAGGCAGATACTCCCAACAATGCTGAAGTTCAGTTTGCCAAATCAGAGACACCAAAAACAACCAGTGATTCTGAGCTTATCCTATCCCCTCCTACAGCTGATGTGAGTGTGAAACAAAGCATTGATGATGATGAATGGAATGAAGCTGATAGAGCTTCATCACCTGATCAGGGTCCCAGCGTTGAAGTGATTGTGAACCTGGAGCAGCCTGCAAGAGATGAAAAAAGATGCCGTTTTTGTGGCAAGAATTTCCGCAAAGACTCTTCTCTTATATGGCATGTAAACAGAACTCACAAAGGGCAGAAAGCTTTTAAATGTCTGAAGTGCAACATGGAGTTTGACCAAAGGTCACAGCTGGTGAAGCATACAAGAAAACACACAGCAGTTAAAAAGTCATTCAAATGTGATTTCTGTGAAAGAACATTTTCACAGAACTCAAGTTGTATTGTCCACATGAGGGTGCACACTGGAGAAAAACCATATTTTTGTAAGAATTGTGGCAAAAGTTTTGCTTACAGTGGTCATTTGAAATTTTGCAATTTTCAGAGTAAATTAAAGAGCCCACCAGAAAAAGTGAAACCAGAGGAGACTCTTAAAGAGGAGAAACGCTTCAGTTGCTCTGACTGCAGCAAAGAGTTTCGATACAAGTACCAGCTTGTTGAGCATATCAGAATTCACACTGGAGAAAAACCTTACGGTTGTGGGATATGTGGTAAAACCTATGCTCACATCTCTGCTCGAAATTCTCATCTGAAGGCACACAGTACAGAAAAACCATACTTTTGTAAGAATTGTGGTAGGAGTTTTAAGAGAAAGAGGCATCTCCAATTCTGCACTAGCAGAGAAAAGACATTTCGTTGTGAAACATGTGGCAAAACCTTTTACACAAAGTCACAACTGGATGTGCATTTTGAGGTTCATGAGGCGTGGAAACGACACATCAGAGAGAAAGTGCAAGAATCTAAGTTAGAAGACAAAAGTCCAACAAGCCTGTAAGTAAGTTTGTAATCTTTGGCACCACTTTAGTTTTTCAAAGATAATTGTTATGAAAAGCATCCAGTGTTGATTAATGGTTTGTCCACCTAAAAAACACCTCTAAAGCTACTGATAAGAGCCAAGATGAGAGGGAAGACAACAAACGTTTGCTTTGAAGCTAGGGAACTTTGAAAAGACATATTAAGTGTGGCTTTTTTAATGTGAAAAGGTTTTCTGGAAGTAAAAAATTTTTTGTTTCTTTTGACAGTTGTTCCACACACATTGTGTACAGACACAGTGAAACAGTTATGTGGAGAAACGAAGTGGTCAGTTAATTTGTAATTACTTTTCAATAAAATATTTAATCAGCGGAGACTACTGGAGACTACCTAAGTTTATTCACACAGTGGTTTTACTGTGGCACACTAACGATGATTGTGTCACTTTGATACAAAAAAAAAGTTCCCATGAAAGCAGTATTGGCCCACTGAACCTTCACAGTGTTTCATAACTCAAGGATAGATGTGTGGATAGTCTAGTTCATGTTTCAAAAGCAATTATAGCTGCCCCACATTGTTTTACAAATTACAGTGCTCAGCACAAATGAGTACACTCCCTTTAAAAGGTCAGATTTTGATCAGTTAACACAAGAACGATTTCTAAAATGCTGAGAAACTGATTTCCATAGCTTTTTTTCATTTCATAACATTAAAGTAAGGTTAGTAATAGAACTTATATTACAAAATGTTCAGTTTTGCTCAACTTGCATGATGTGAAAGTGAATACAGCACACAACAAAAACCACATCATGTAGTATTTTGTGTGACCTTGGCTTTTAAAGACAGCACCAAGTCTTCTAGACATGAAATGAGCAGGTTTGTGACATCTATGTCACATCTTGCAACATCTATCTTTTCCATTCTTCAAGAACAATCTGTTTTAGAACCCTGATACTTGTCTCCTCAGAATTCCCCATAGATGTTCACTTGGGTTCAGATCAGGAGACATACTTGGCCACTGAATCACTCTGACCCTGTTCTTCCTCAGAAATGCAAAACTCGCCACAAATGTGTGTTTGGGATCATTATCATGTTGAAAATGTGCACAACGACCAAGGGCACAGAGTGGTGGCAGCATCTTCTCTTTCAATATATAACAGTACATCTGTGAAGTCATGATACCATCAATGAAATGCAGCTCCCTGGACACCAGCAGCACTCATGTAGCCCCACATAAGGACACTGCCACCACCATGTTTCACTGTTGGCACCATGCATTTTCCATTGTACTCTTCACCTTTGCGATGCCAAACAGTTGTGAAGCCAGTAGTTCCAAAAACATTGATCTTGGTCTCACCACTCCAGAGTACAGAGTCTCAGTCATCTTTATCTTTTTTAGCATGGGCCCTGGCAAAACCTCGGCAAGTTTTTTTGTGCATTGGCCTTAGGAGAGGCTTCCTTCATGGACAACACCCACACATGCCATTCCTCTGTATTGTATGCCATATTGTCTCACTGTAAAGTCACCCAAGTTTGCCTTTCTACTTCTTTAGCTAACTGCAAAGAACTTGAATGGTGGTTTTCTTTAATCCTTCTTATCACTTTGAATCACTTTTGCTATAGTATTCTAACTGATAGTTATATCATCAACACTACTTTTAAAGACTAAGGTACAATGAGTAGGCCTGCATATTGGTACTGCGATGTTCTGGTGGGATTATAGGGAACTATGAGGCTAAATTCTACCTTCAGTTTAATGGGAAGCCAATATAGATCAGCTTATAAAGAGTGTGTGTGCTTTCTTCTCCTGGTTCTGGTCAGTACTCCGGCTGCTGCATTTTGGACCAGCTGAAGAGTCTTAAATGACTTGTTAGGGAAGCCTGATAATAGGGAATCACAATAATCCAACCTTTTAAGTAGGAAGTGCCACAGAGTGTCATCCACGCACAAAAAGGAATATGCTACAACGGTCTTACTATTCAAAGACCCATACTTACCGGTGTCCTGTCAGTCGTTTAGCCTCCACGACAGCAGGGGGCGCTGGTGAAACATTATTGAGGTTAATGGTGATGGGTCGGTCAGACTGGTGCTGCTGTCCTGAGCAGAGTTTCTGTTAGTGAGCTGTGCTGCCTCTATTTCTGTGTGTTTAAAACTCATGTTCTGGGTTTTAACCCGAGTCGGGATGGACAGGTCGGGAAATTAGCTTTTATGCTTTTTGGACGTCGTCTGCAAAGAAACAGGAAGAAGCTGCCCTCCAAAAGAAGGAGTTGACGAGAAATCCTTTTTAAGGAGGGTCGTGGACCTGACCATTCAACAGTGCAAGTAATCGTCTCTTCATTTACTTGTCCAAGATAAATCACTCTCTCCTGAATCCAAATAAATATATCTGAGGAGGGTATGATGATGTCACGTGTAAACGGACCAAACCAGACAAAAATGACTACAGTCATTAAAACTGTAAAGTACAAGCTACTACTGTTGTAATAATAGCTGGATAGTGTTAACTCATTAGATAGAAATGGTTATGGCTTACATCTTTCAGAGTTCCCTTCAGTTTTACATCAAAGACTTAGTTTCTAATGTTTTTTGAGAAGCCAATGGACACTGGCAATAATATGATCATGAAATGAATGAAAATTGTTACTGGAGTATTGGGTATTTATTACTATGTGTCCTTTCTGTCATTTAGACATCTGGGCATCCAACGCCACACTTTACAACCAAATACCATGAAGGAGGAAGACACTCCAGTCCAGATTTCAGAGATGAAAGAGCACACACAGGTCAAAGAGGAAGATGTGGATGTGTCTATTACTCCAGACAAAAAGAAAGAAACTTCCAACAGTGCTGAAGTCCCCAAATCAGAACCAACCAGTGATTCTGAGCTGTTCCCATCCTCACCTACAGCTGAGGAGAGTGTGAACCAAAGCATTGATGATGATGAATGGAATGAGGTTGATGGAGCTTCATCACCTGATCAGGGTCCCAGCATTGAAGTAATTGTGAACCTGGAGCAGCCTGCAAGGGATGAAAAAATGTGCCGTTTTTGTGGCAGGAATTTCAGAAAAGACTCTTCTCTTATATGGCATGTACACAGAACTCACAAAGGGCAGAAAGCTTTTAAATGTCTGAAGTGCAACATGGAGTTTGACCAAAGGTCACATCTGGTCAATCATACAAAAAAACACACAGCAGTTAAAAAATCATTCAAGTGTGATTTCTGTGACAGAACATTTGCCCAGAACTCAGGTTGTATTGTCCACATGAGGGTGCACACTGGAGAAAAACCATATTTTTGTAAGAATTGTGGCAAAAGTTTTGCTATTAGCAAACATTTAAAGTTATGCAAATTGCAGAATAAATTTAAGAGACCATCAGAAAAAGTGGACACAGAGGAGAACCTTAAAGAGGAGAAACGCTTCAGTTGCTTTGGATGCAGCAAAGAGTTTCGATACAAGTACCAGCTAATTCAGCATGCCAGAATTCACACTGGAGAAAAACCTTTTAGTTGTGAGATCTGTGGTAAAACCTTTGCTCAGAGCTCCACTCGAAATACTCACCTGAGGGTACACAGTAAAGAAAAACCATACTTTTGTAAGAATTGTGGTATAAGTTTTAGGAGTAAGGAGCATCTAAAATTCTGCACAAGCAAAAGCAGGGAAAAGACATTTCGTTGTGAAACATGTGGCAAAACCTTTCACACAAGGTCACAGCTGGAGGTGCATTTTGAGGTTCATGAGGCGTGGAAACAACACATCGTTGAAAAAGTACAAGAATCTAAGTTAGAAGACAAAAATCCAACAAGCCTGTAAGTTTGTAGACTGGCACCATGTAGATTTTTAAAGATTATTGTTATAAAAAGCATCCAGTGTTGATTAATGGTTTGTCCACCTAAAAAACACCTCTAAAGCTACTGATAAGAACCAAGATGAGAGGGCAGACAAGCCAGGGAAGCCTTTGAAGCCAGGACATGTTAGCATTAGAATCACAAAGTGTGGCTTTTTTGATGTGTAGAGGTTTTCTGTAAAGAGAAAAGGTTTTGTTTCTAGTAGACCAAATGTTCTACACACATATATGTACAAACACAGTGACACAACAGTCATGGAGAAACAATGTGGTCAGTTAATTTGTAATTACATTTTTAATAAAACATTGAAACAGCTGATACAACCTGAAGTTTATATACAGTGATTTTACTATGGCACACCAAAGATGATTTTGTCAGTTTGATGTTGAAGTTGAAAAGTGCCCATGAAAGCAGTATTGGCCCATTGAACCTAATCATTGTTTCATAACTCAAGGATAGATGTGTGGATAGACAATTTTGGGTTTTAAAAGCAATTATTCTTGCTCGACGTTAACCTATTTTTCATATATATATATATATATATATAAATATATATATACATATATATATGTGTGTGTGTGTGTGTGTGTGTGTATATGTGTGTATATGTGTATATATATATATGTGTGTGTGTGTGTGTGTGTGTATATATATATGTATATATATATGTGTGTGTGTATGTATATACTGTATATATCCTAGTGAATTGATCTTGTTAAAAAAAAAAGTCAGTTTGGCAACATTTTCTTGAAAACTATAAATGAACGCCAACTCTGTCACAGAAGTTTGCCTTTCACACCTTGTCAATTTAGTATTTAAGACTTAAGGTACAATTGGCAGGCCTGCATATTGGGACTACAATGTTCTGGTGGGGTAATAGGGAACAACAGGCTCTTCTAGATATGATGGTGGCTGACCATAAACAGTTTTGTAGGTTAGAAGAAGTATTTTAAACTTTACATTGACTATACTGGAAGCCAAGAAAAAGATAAAAATAGAGGGGAGGGGTGTGCTTTCTTCTGGTTCTGGTCAGTACTCCGGCTGCTGCATTTTGGACCAGCTAAAGAGTCTTAAATAACTTGATAGGAAAGCCTGATAAAAGGAAATCACAGTATGCCAACCTGTCAAGCAGGTTGTGCCACAGAGTGTCATCCACGCACAAAATGGAATATGCTACAACGGGCTTACTATTCAAAGACCCATACTTACCGGTGTCCTGTCAGTCGTTTAGCCTCCACGACAGCAGGGGGCGCTGGTGAAACATTGTCGAGGTTAATCGTAATGGGTCGGTCAGACTGGTGCTGCTGTCCTGAGCAGAGTTTCTGTTAGTGAGCTGTGCTGCCTCTATTTCTGTGTGTTTAAAACTCATGTTCTGGGTTTTAACCCGAGTCGGGATGGACAGGTCGGGAAATTAGCTTTTATGCTTTTTGGACGTCGTCTGCAAAGTAACAGGAAGAAGCTGCCCTCCAAAAGAAGGAGTTGACGAGAAATCCTTTTTAAGGAGGGTCGTGGACCTGACCATTCAACAGTGCAAGTAATCGTCTCTTCATTTACTTGTCCAAGATAAATCACTCTCTCCTGAATCCAAATATATATATATCTGAGGAGGGTATGATGATGTCACGTGTAAACGGACCAAACCAGACAAAAATGACTACAGTCATTAAAACTGTGAAGTACAAGCTACTACTGTTGTAATAATAGCTGGATAGTGTTAACTCATTAGATAGAAATGGTTATGGCTTACATCTTTCAGAGTTCCCTTCAGTTTTACATCAAAGACTTAGTTTCTAATGTTTTTTGAGAAGCCAATGGACACTGGCAATAATATGATCATGAAATGAATGAAAATTGTTACTGGAGTATTGGGTATTTATTACTATGTGTCCTTTCTGTCATTTAGACATCTGGGCATCCAACGCCACACTTTACAACCAAATACCATGAAGGAGGAAGACACTCCAGTCCAGATTTCAGAGATGAAAGAGCACACACAGGTCAAAGAGGAAGATGTGGATGTGTCTATTACTCCAGACATAAAGAAAGAAACTTCCAACAGTGCTGAAGTCCCCAAATCAGAACCAACCAGTGATTCTGAGCGGTTCCCATCCTCACCTACAGCTGAGGAGAGTGTGAACCAAAGCATTGATGATGATGAATGGAATGAGGTTGATGGAGCTTCATCACCTGATCAGGGTCCCAGTATTGAAGTAATTGTGAACCTGGAGCAGCCTGCAAGGGATGAAAAAATATGCCGTTTTTGTGGCAGGAATTTCAGAAAAGACATTTTTCTGATTAGGCATGTAAACAGAATTCACAAAGAACACAAAGCTTTTAAGTGTCTGGTGTGTAACAAGGAGTTTGACCAAAGGTTACACCTAGTGGTGCATACAAAAGTGCATACAGGAGCAAAAACACTTAAGTGTGATTTCTGTGACAGAACATTTACCCAGAACTCCAGTTATATTGTCCACATGAGGGTGCACACTAGAGAAAAACCATATTTTCGCAAGAACTGTGGCAAAACTTTTGCTGTAAGCAAACATTTAAAACAGTGCGATAAGAAAAATAAATACATAATACCACCTAAAAAAGGGAAAAATATTCAAGAGAAGACACCCAATATTTGCCTTGAATGCAAAAAGGTTTTTAGATACAAGAACCAGCTTCTTAAGCATGCCAGAATTCACACTGGGGAAAAACCTTTTAGTTGTGAGATCTGTGGTAAAACCTTTGCTCAGAGCTCCACTCGAAATGTTCATCTGAGGGTACACAGTGAAGAAAAACCATACTTTTGTAAGAATTGTGGCAAAAAATTTAAATGTAGTAAGCATTTAAAATTATGCAGAAGCAGAGGTGGGGAGAGACCATTTCGCTGTTTAACCTGTGGTAGAACTTTTTTCACAAATTCAGACCTGGAAATGCATTTTGAGGTCCATGAGGCGTGGAAACGACACCTTAATGAGAAAGTTCAAGAAACTTAATCAGTAGAAAAAACCTACAGGCATGTAAGTAGGTTTGTAGAGTTGGAAGTCTTTGAAAACCAAATAGGTTCTCTAAGATTATTTACATGTAGAGCATCCAGTGTTTCACAACAGTACTGAAACTCTGGCCCTGATATGTCCTCTGAAGTATACAAAAGTATGTATTGAAGCAGCTCTACCTAGATCCTGTCAAAATGTTATTTAGCCATATGTATTCAATTAACAATCAATGCCATTATATATCAATGTAAGATTTTGATGCAATACATATTGGCTGGGGCACAAGTGCTGTTATCCATGCTCTCTAAGTTCTTATTTTAAATGTTGCTCCTTCAGTACCTGATAGACCATTGTTTTGTTTAAATTCCAGATTTTTGGGGCCAATAAATGTATTATAAACTTGATGAGTCAGTTTATCTATGTGGTCAAAGAAATTTTTTTTTTTAAAAACTGCTCTTCAACTGTATCTTGTATATGCAAGTTTAATTAATAATTGGTTTAGGGCTCTCCCTCGAGGCTCTTGTAAAAAATGTTTTGAGAGCTTTTGTTGGCCAATAATATTTTGCTTAATGAGTAAGAGTTGTATGTACAAAAGAGAGTGAACAATCCACTGGAGAGTTTTCTGTATGGGTAGTTGTTGAAATAATTATCACTTGACAAATTGGTGGACAGCAAGCAATTATATTATCTTCATCTCCAATATTTCTGTTGTAGGGTTATTACAGATCTTATTTTCTGTTTATACACATTGACCATGTCAAGCCAGACCTGTTTCATACCAATTGTCGCATATGCTTATTTAAGTGCATTTTATTTTAAAATAAAAAAATCATACATGGTAATGAGAAAAGCCTTCTGTGGTAAGTGAAGATTTCAGCAAATCTTAAAAAAAAAAAAACTCAAACTACTGTGCAGCCATCAAAACAGACAGCCATACAGATAACTTTCATACTCTTTCTCACTTTAACGTGAGTTACTGAAACTGCATGCAAAGATTTCAAATGTGACTTTGATTTCCTTATTTAACTGAGAAAAGTTAAAAGTACTATAATCATCTCCTCTACGTAGGCTAATAAATGCCTTTCGAAGAAATGAAGTGCATCTCCAGGGAGCAGCGTTAAACAGAAACAAAAATAATAAATAGGTCAACGTACAATACAATATCAGTTCACATATGAACGTTTCCGTCATATTGACATAAACTACATATGAATTAGTTCCCCAAATGTTTGCTACAGTAGTATATTGAACAAACATACAACATAAGATACCCACGAGGTTAACTGTCGGCCCAAACAAAATTCATAAAACAACGGAGAGGCTGCGTGAAAAAGGAGACGCGTATGGTTGAATATCCCCAGCAGGGGGTGCTACTGTGCATTTTCGCTGAAACAACAAAGATCGTCTATTGAGGAGCGGCTTTCCGCTCAATGCAAAATGGTCGCTTCCGACTGCCCCCCCCGGTCACCAATTACGACCATGGAAAACGACACGTAGTGAAAGGTCTTGATATTTTCCATGTCCCGTTGAATACTTCGAGTGAATGATGACAGAGGATGGAGAACAAGGCTGTGGCACCGACAGGGAAGATGTGAAGATGGGATAAAGTGAGGGTAAACACAAAGCTGTCACTCGTATTTCTATTTAGTAGTTACGCCCATTTTCACAGAATGTCAGTACTCCGTTGTTTTTGACGGATAGCTCCCGTTCGGCTAGGTTGTGGCTGCTCGAGCTAGCCGTCGGCAGTGTTAGCTAATCAATCGCCGTGTGGCTCAAAGGTAGCGGGATGCGATCTGTAGCTGTGGGTTTCACAGCTTAACGCCTAACGCCCAGTTAATAACACAGAATTACCTAGCTTTACTGCACACACATAATTAGCTTTACTGCAGGAGTTCACCTTTGATTGACAACAACTTCTCTTCGTGAAGTCGGCAAATTTAGCTATTTATGTCATGGCAACGCACCTGTCTGTCTGGGTACAAGAGACAGGAGAAAATGGCAGGACGTCAGGGTTTGTTATGACTGTTCACAAAGCCAAATGCTCAGGATACTACATCTATTTTGATAAATTCGAGTCTTTGGTATCTTCACGCCCTGTCGTCTTTTTCCCCGAAACATGTTGGATTTGTTGTGTACTTAAGTTGACATTTGTAATCCATGATGTGGCTGCTGTAGGCAGGCGTAGGACTGAACTCAGCTGTTATCTAAGCGGCTCAAAGCTGCGGATAAAGTTTCCTGTATCACTTTACTGACTCGATCCTTTATTTTTCCACACCAGGACGAACACCCTTACGGACTGTCTTAGGTCAGGTGGTGTTTGAGTAAGACGTAAACATAGCAGATTTTTAGGGGACACACTATTTAAAAGGGTCGATGTTTTGTATTGGATTTATGAAGTTCAGATTATATTTGCGGAACAATGTGTACAGCTTCCTCTATTTTGATAGCAGTCAGCTGAATGTCTCTAACAAGAGAAAAATAGACAATGCTTTCCCTTTACATGGGGAACTAACCAGTGCCGGTACTTATCACGAAGTATTTCGTCTGGGAGTTACACTTTGATATGTAGAACTAACAGGTGGTTTAAATAGTTGCCATCAAACTATCCTTGTGATTCGATTGTCAAATCAATTTAGCAGTTAAGTCAAACATAAAGTCAAATGCAAAATGTAAACAAAACAAGTCAATCAATCGATCAGTCTATATTTATATAGCACTTTTCATACACGACCATGTAGCACAAAGTGCTTTACATAGAAAAAGGAAAGAAGGAAACAAAGAATACCCCAATCTACCCCAGCCCAACCCCTCATTCCCACCCCACAATCTAAACGCAACAAATATTTTGTTTTAATCTTTTGATCCACATTCTGTGATTTTACCCTATTTTAGTTGTAGGGTAACAATTTTAAGTTTTATAACCTCTTTTTAATTTACTTTCTTTTATTGTTTGATTTAAGACTGTTTTATTCAATTAACTTTTAATGCTTTATCACCTTTGTTATGTTTTATTATAGTTTTATTGTTTTAGCCCTAGATCCAGTGTTTCCTCATTTCTTTTAACACAAGATAGCATTTCCTCAGTCATCTGTGGCAAGTTTAAGAGTCCTCACCTGTTTTTTTTTTTGTGTGTGTGTGTGTGTGTGTGTGTGTGTGTGTGTGTGTGTGTGTGTGTGTGTGTGCTGTATTTGTTGAATGGGGGTTGGGAGGGTGGGTGGGGTTTGGTATTTGTATTTTTATTTATTTTATTTCATTGTTTTTAATATCCTTCTTGAATGGACAACATTTTGTGCTACATTATATCAATGAAAAGTGCTTTACAAATAAAATTTGATTGATTGATTGACTGAACAGAAACAGTATTAAAATGCATTAACTTAAAAAGGGCTTGATTTCGTGGAAACAGGAATGTGCGCACTGAGGAAATGCCACTTTAAAACTCAAGATAAGGAAACACTGGAGGTTTAGGTTAAAATCTAAGAACAAAGTAACATAGAATAAAATTTAAGAAATAACAAATAAAATGAAATAAAAACAACAGTAGAAGATACTAATATAAGAGCACCAAAATAGCTCAATAAAAGACGATCCTGTCATTAAAACTAGAAAGAGATAAATGCTAAAACACTTAAACAAAGTTAATGATATAAAATTTAGTAAAAAGCAACACTAGAAAGGTACATTTTGAGTACCTTTCAGCTGCAGTAGTACAACAACATTTTAAACTCTTATCACGAGTACATTAGTTAGCGTAAGCAACATATGCAATGATGTAATGTTTAATATACCATTAGTCCATGCTAATACTCCAGGTATTGCAGAAGGTTGTTGCTGAGTGTGTGCCATCATCAACACAATGACACAATTTTTCAGATTCCCATGAGACCTGCTGTCTTTCTGCTATTTACTCTCTTTCTCCAGCTGAATGAGGCATTCAGGTCTGACTGGAAGAACCCATGGAGCCACACACCATGCCCCTGCACTCCCCCTCCCCTCCTCCACTGGATGATGATGGTGATGGTGAGGTAGGATCAGAGGAGGACAATTTGGGGGAAATCTCTGCAGTGTCATTATGCTCCTCTTCTGGCATTGTGGATTCACATGATCCACCCTCCAGCCTCAGATGTTCTTCTCCCAGAATGAAGCAAGCCACTCGTCAACTGGACAGCAGCTTTAACCACCCAATAGAACAATCCCGGCCGATTTCCACCATGGACTCAGAGTCCAACAGAGGCCAGGTGGCAGTGGCAAGTCAGAATTGTGGTTCTGAATCACTTGTGCACCTCACAAATGGTTATTCTGAAAGAAATGACAGCTCCTCAGTCTCTACAGTGGTTGCGTGCTCGCCCAAAGAAGAGACAGGTTTTGCTGATTTCACTGTGTTTACTGAGCAGGCTGCACATCCGTGGTGCTGTGGTTTCACTCCCTTAGTTGGCATCCAAGAGAAACACTCTTCTAAGAGCTTTGGTGATCAAATCTGTGAACCAGAACAGGCAGTCATTATGGAGTCTGGGCCCAGATCTTACTCTGCATCGAAGGTAAAAGAAAATATTTGCACTAACAACCACTGTGAGAAAAGAGATGCAGCACTCATGCAACCATCTCAGGACCAACTACAGCCTCAGGAAGCTGCTGCAGCAGCTTTGGATTTTCCATCTGAACAGCCTCACTCTGGGAAAGAGGACTTATGTGACCCTGGAGACAGTAGATTAAGTTATGATTCTTCATTGACCTCATGGCTGCAGGAGGATGGAGAATCCTATGAAGACAGAGAAGATAAAGGGAAGAGAATTCCGGCAGTCCCTCAGACAATCAGTGCGTGTGAGTCATTTTCAGACGCATCCTTTGGTGATGATTTATCATTTGATTGTCCTTCTGCAGACTTGGAACCAAACGTTTCATCTCTTGGTTCACCAGAGGAGCAAACTGACTGGGACCAGACTGATGATGAAGAAGAACTTGGAAACTTCAGACATTCAAGCTCATTTGTTAGTAACAACACAGCAATTCCTCAAGAGTTTAAAACAGGGGTGGCTTTTCATTACTGCAACCAATCTGCAACTCAGGATTCTTCTGCTACCTCACAATCTGAAACACTTACAGACAACAGATTTGCAGACTTTAGAGACCCTGGATTTGAGCACCACAGGGACAAAGACTGTGTCCAAACAGCTGATGCAGAGGTACAGATTCTGGGAAACCTCCCACCGAGTGACAGCTTTGCAGACTTTTGCTCCGCACCCAGGCAGGAGGATGGAGAGGAGTCGTGGGCGGAGTTTAAGGACCCGAGGGCTCAAGTGGAGGGAAAAGGTTGGACTCAGTCCCAAGAGCAAGTCAGCAGCCTGAAGATTGAAGGGAGCACAGAGGAGGACAGGGCGGGGCAGTCTGCAGAAACCAGGAGGAACAGTTGTCAGGTGGGAAACTGATCCCTTGTTGCTGTTAATGGCAGCATTAGTTCCCACAGAGAAAATTTCATACTTCTTGGTTGGAATTTTGGTTAATTTGCAAACTTTCTTTTGCTTTTTTGAGCTTTTTAAAGATTTTCCTGTCAAACAGGCTTTATATGTGCGTCAAAAGCTACTCAATAAAAAGAAGTAAAGTCTTCAAATATTTTGCACATTGCATTAAAAACAAAATCCTCTCTTGTTTTTCTTGGCTAGACGTCACTCTGTGACCGGGTCCAGCAGCTTCTTCTGTCCAGTTTTCCAGAGGTGGAGGTCCCAGCTGTGGACAGTGTAGAGGAGGTACTCAGCCTTGCTGCTCTGCTTCATGAACAACACCATTCTGAGAGAGAGGAGAAGGAAGAAGGTCCAAGATCTCAGAGGTGAGGATGACTTCTTAGAAAGGTGGTGGCATTAAAAGTAGATAAGTTTGGGGAAAAAAAAGATTGTCGTAGTTCAAAAGGACACAAAAAGTAAATAAAGATCTATCTAGTTTATAAAACTTATTACATTTGGACCTTTAAATTCTAAACAGCTTTAAGGGCTTTGAAAGAAAATAGTTGTGAGCACAATGCAGAAGTGACTCATCTCTATGAGGAAGCAACAGCAGTGGAGTTTGAATAAATACATAAACAACTTAGAAGTTGGTGAGGGCAGTGTTTAGCTGAAGAAAGCAAAAGAAAATCTGGTTCAGGCTCTTTCATGTCTTTACATTCATGGCATTTCAGTGTTTCTTCAAGATGTGCAGTCCTGTGGCTTTTTTAAGTTGATACTGTATGTCAAGTGCAGCCAAATGTTACCTTGTTGTCTTCTCACTGCTTGCCAGTATTCAGACTGTGATGTGGTGGCCACATCAGGATTTTCACAGTGCAGCTGGCCTCCAGTTTCAGTGGGGAGGATCTCACACAAACAGGACTCTGCTCAGCTGCCTCCATGTGGACATAAGGAACATCGTGAGTCTGACAAGATCTAAAAACGTCACAACATTTATTTTCATTTTAGTCCTAAGATGTTTGATACCCAGTTTCATAAAATGTCATGAGCTCACTGGAAAAAGCCCCATGAATGCTTATGAGCTTGATGATGTTGTTTGTCTGCCTTTGAAGGTGTTCATTGGCATGAAGAAGCAGCCAGTGGCTGTTCCTGCTTTTGCATCCAGCCTGGTGAGCAAACTGTAAGACACATAAAATTAATGTATTTCGACTCATTGGTGAGAAGAATCAATGTAGTGGAGTAAAGTGAACACGTTTAGTGTTTGCATATTTTGTTCAGATGCTTTTCTAGTCCAAACCTAATGCTTAAAAATTGCTCCTCTTTTTGTGTCCATCCCCCAGGGAATGTTAGAGCCCACCAAAGACTCTGTGCCAGCTGTCTGCTCCCCAGGACACACAGCTGTCACAGCACAAGCTCCTCCAGAGTCTCAGGTCACACCTGACCCCTCAACAGATTCAGTACAGGTAAATAAGCCTCTTTGAATTGACACATTATGAGTGATTAGTGTACAAGATACAAAAGGATAGCATGTATTTTACATTGGGAACACAGCAACATACTTTACTGACCACAGCATTAATCCTACTCTGCTTCCTGAAGTTCCTGTTTGACTCTTTCTCTGTAGGAGGCACTTCCTTCTAGCCAGCAGGACTGGAGCAGCCGTGGCCTTAGCAGCTCTCAGGACGGTACGTCCCCTCACCGAGCCCCTCACTTCTGGGGCCGGAAATAGACTTAAGTATCAGCCATCCCCTTATCTGGCTTCTTCTCATGAGCCAACACTGTTTAGAGTTTACTCTGGACTCCTCTGGACCACTTGTCACTTCCTCCAAGGCATGTTGTGTGTTGTTGTTTGTCTTGCTGTGTTTCCTCGATTAATTCAGACATATATGAGTTTCCTCTCATGAATAACACAAATTGTGTTTAAGTCATTATAGTTCATCCAAAGAAGAAAACTTATTGAGATAAACATCCAGCAGACCCAAACCTGGACTCAAAGGACAACAGCTGTGAAACCAAACAGAGAAAACTCCCATCAATCTCTTTTAATCAAGACAATAATAGAGGAAACACTCAAGTGACTTCCTTTCCTCTCTCCCTTCAGATACTCTGGTGTCACATCTTTATCTGTTGCTGTCATCTCTCACACAGAATATACAATATCTCAGTATCAATTCGTGCCAGTTGTCACGAGGAAACATCATGGTCATGATAAGGTGATTTAAAGCTTTGTAAAAGGCTATTGAAATCAAGAGTATGCATCATCACATGCTTTCTGATGAGATAAAAGTTGTGGTTAAAAACCATTGAATCAGCAATCAATGCCAAATTCACATTCTACTAGCAAAGACCCAAACACTGAAATGAATATTTGTCAAATGAGGGTGCATGGACATAATTTCCAGTTTTTATCTAATGGGTATGTCTATCCCTGACACAGTTATATTTGATTTTACTTATTGATGGCTACTGCGGTAGATGAACGCTGAACAGGCAGTGTTAGTTCTGTGGTCTAACATTTTCAAGCGCATGACCGTTTTGCAGGTAGACGCCTATAATTCTGATGGCATCATCAGATTTTCTCATGTAAATAAACCCTGACATGTCCTCACTTTTGATTAAAAAAAAAGTCAATATTTGCATGTAAAGGGTTTCATGGGTATCCTCTAAACCAGGAAGTAGAGAAAGACGATACAAGAATTTTGACAAAAACAATGCAGCACTTAATCATTCTTTGCTCAGGAAAACAATTGATTTGATTTGTTTAGAATTACATTAGCTGCAGTGGTGTTAAGGACAGTATTTGCTTGGGAATGATTTGTTTTCAGTTCAGTGTGAAATCTGACACTGAAGTCTGAAGGAATTCCTAAAAGTGATTTTTAGATTAAATCTACAGGAACTGTTTGCCTGACTGTTAGTTCTGTATCTTTAACTGATAAATGTATTTGTTGCTCTGGTTTGTAGATTGCAGATTGACATGTGTCACTGGTTGGAGGCTTTACCTCTAGTTTTATATTAGACACCTTGATCAATCTTTAATAGGTCTTTCTTTTTCTGGATCCTTGACTTTCAGTTTTGAGTGAACAACCCAAACAAGTAAGATATTCAGTGATATGATAAAATGTCACCAGAACAGTGTTGTAATAATTTAGTATGCACAGCAGAGGGCAGTGTGTCATCTGCATGTTATTAAAAAAAAAAAAAAGATGAAAACATTTACTGTATGAACTTAACTGAAGAAACAAATCAAAATAATCAGTCATTCACATTAGCTCTAATTGTACAGTCAGCCATTTAATCATTCAAATATTTGTTTGTTGTCTGTAACATTAGTTTTGTAATGTCATTAGTTACATCTGTCTTCCTGTCCTGTGATTGGGGTTACATATTCGGGACTTCATTGTCCTGTCTTTCTTGGATATGTTTTCAAAGACTGAAACAGAAAATGGGACAGAGACAGAGCAAAAGAGAAGACAGGAAATGTGCAGACTACTATCACTTATTTATGCTGCCTTTCTGTTTTACCCCTGTGCGCTTATACACTGTATGAGCATGCTCAATTTGATACAAGAGTGTTTATTTACAAGCACTTGAGTTAAAAAAGAGTACTAAAATCAGCATGTGAGTATTCCATGACTTATAAACAGTGTCTCTGCGATACCTCTGTAACATCAGTTACAGTATTTGATAATAAGTTGTGCCTTTATGCCAGCAATTCTTTACTAAAAGTTTTTTTGTTTGTTTAAAGTTGTGAAATTCTGTCTAGACCTATTGTTTCTAGACTAGAACCTGATTTTTTTTTCTCTTTAAATTTCCTGTTCAAATCCAGATATAATGCACTGCAATAAGGACTTGTTGGAAATCCTTGTAAATACTGAAATAAATCAGTTGATCCTTTCTGGTTTGTTTCATACCTTTCCTCCTCAGTTTGATTTTCTTGTAAAGGCTACATTACTTCTTGCTGTGGAGAAATGCAAAGTCTGAGCTTACAGATGTCAAAACAGCCTGCTGAAGGTTGATATCCTTTGGTTATTCAAAGGATAGAAGACTTATCTGGTTTTAGGATCAATTTATCTAACTTACAGCACAGATACAAATATAGATACCCAGGTTAGTGGCTGATATTAAATACTACCAGTATTTTAACAAAAAGGTGTACAGCATATCTGTATGTTACACAGTACTGTAAAACTTGATGGTAATGTCAACACAAAGTATTGTCACACAGCCAGCTCACTACTTTATTGGTTCTTGCATGATGGCAAGTTAGCTATCTCCTTCCTTTGAGAAGAAAAGAATTTTCACAGATTTTTGTCATTTTTCAAACAAGCACATGACACAGTCTCTTATCAATAACGGGCCCTAAGTGGAATCATTATTTTTGCACTAGATCTTGTAACATCTAATATTCTACTCATGGGTAAGTAATGTAATATCCGCTTATTATGGGCCTGGAAATCCTAAAACGGAGGAGGATGTAATAACTGCTTTGCATAGCTTTTCTCACTTTTGTTTGCTGTGTCTGCGTTCTCTGCCTCAGTAAAAGGAGAAAACATCTTGTGTGGTGAGAAGATGCTCATTCTCCTTTTATGAATGAGAAATCAAACCTCTTTGTTCCTCCTCAGCCCACAACAATCCTCAGCAACTGTCTCCTCTTGTTAGCACAGACTGCTCTGCTCTCAACCTGGATTTTTTTGGTCCTGAGGAGGAGAGCAGATCCCGCAACAGCAGCAGCAGCAGCAGTAGCAGCAGTCGTAGCAACAGTCCACCTCCAGGTCAGCACGTAAATTCACAGAAATGTAGATTTTGCTTCATTTATGTGGCTTATGTTTTTGAGGAGATCGGTCTCAGAGCAGCCACTGTGATAAAAATAGAGTGATGCTAAAATTAGCTAATGTGCATGTGTAAGTCTTCTTCATTTTCATTGTCTGTGCTCATGTGGTATGTGTGTTGGGTATACACACTCACATGGAAAGGAATTGACCGTGAGCTCTATGAGTTGACCATCAGCAGACTGGAAACCAGAAATACCATTAGTCACATGGAGGACACTTTGAACCGTCTGTTGTCCACTGCAGAGAAAACCCTCACTTCAGCCAGGTGAGCTCTGTTCTTCTATGTAATAAACAGATTTTATTTTCATTTTAAAGCATTTATACAGACATCTTCATAGTGTAATCATATTGATGTGTTTTCTGTGTATTTTAATTAATTTGTGTTTGTGTATGTTTAACAGGAAACCTCAGCAGGATGAAGAGCTCAGTGCAGAGGCCAGCAGAGTGATTTCTGGACTGCCTGACCTATCATTCATGTGGGCCAAGGTCCTTATGTTCCCAGCTGTCCTTGTACCCAAAAAATGCTCTTCCTCTAAATTACAATGATGTGTGAGATTTGCACCGATCTGAACCGAAACAAAATTTAGACACTTTATTAGAGTGGAAATAATGCATTGTGAACTCGTAAGCAGTTAGTCTGTCCTCCTGCTTTGGTGCACGTACTCCACCTGCTGGCCGTATTCAGCCTTAAAAAAGACCTCTTGTAGCTGATCTATACATTTATCCAAAAACAGACCCCCCTTATAGAACCTGAACAGCTACCCGAAATTGTCATTATTTATTTGACATATTTGTAAAGCGTATCAGCTTAAAACTTAAGAATGAAGTAAGAGTGGCCATAGATGCATGTGAATTTCTGGATGCTTTTGAGATGTGGCCTTCATAAAGATGTATAACATGTGAAGGATGTTTTCTTTGTGTGAAACCAAAGTGTAGTCCTTTTTTAAAATTATCTTATGGTTGTTGGTGACCAACCATTAAAGTGTTTCTAGTCCATTTAGGAAGGAATAACATTTTTTCATGTTGCAGCTACTAGGTATCAATGTTAACATTATTTCAATTATAATAACTAGTCCTACACATACAGAAATCAATGTCTTCTGTCATATAATCAAGAAAAGTTTTTTTAATCAAGCAATTTGAGGAAGCAATATCTTAAATATCAGCACTGCTGGTATTCAGTCATAGGCACAAGACTGCTGGCAACAGAATAAGTTGTAGGAAGTACCAGAACAGCAGTTTTTATCACTCACAGTCCCCCAAATTTTCAATCATGGGGCCTTAAAATAATTGTGCCAGAGACTTGTTGTTTGATAAGCCTGTCCAAAAACAAACATTAGAACAACACTCAAGAAAAAAAGCAATTATAAGACATACAAAACAATATACTGTTTAATATTATAAGCAGATGTGCATGTGAGTGTGTTTGTGCATCCCACACGAGCCCAAACCTGGAGACTTAGCTTTGTATGCTTTCCCACAAATTTAACCACTGTATTTGTTTGTATTTTCATACTATGCAATTTTAAATGTTTAAAGAAAATCTTTTTGAAAGCTATTTTGTGACACCCAGAGGATCCTCAGCCTCATTTTGGTAGCAAGTGTTCTATGTGAGCCCCTGTTGAAAGCCTCTTGTTCAACTGAGTTGAACTAAGAACTGCTAAATAATATTTGTACCCCTTAAACTATAATTTCCAGTTGGCAAGGACTCAGTTTTTAGTCAGATTCAATTAGTCTTACTATTAATTTGTTTAAGGTTTGTTCATGAGTTATTTAACTTCATAAAATAAAAAGGAAAATTAAAAAATTAAAAAAGAATACATAAATAGGGTAGATAAAGTAGGGGGAGAGTGGGGTAAGATATTTCATATTTCGGATAAGTACATCAAGGCAATCATAGTTTTGTCTCTAACAAGTGTACCTGCATATATTTCAGGATGTTGTGCATCCCTACAAACCAACAGAACGAGTGTAAACATAACTGTCTTGATAATATAGCATACCAAAAAAAAGTGGTCTCCTATGGTCAACTTACCCCAGAACTACTGTTGACTATATTAGTCCTCTAAACTAAAATGGGGGACTTTTACGCTAGGTTTTTGACCTCATGTTGTAGCTCACAGATACCACAATTGGTGGATAAAACTAATTTAAAATGATCTTTTTTGGTCTGAACATAATTCTAATAAAACATGACAGACTAAATTCACTTTCAAGATTGAAAAATGTTTTTTTGGAAATAAATGTCTAACCCCTTCACCCATGTGCTTCTAACCTTCACAGACTCCATGAATTGATGCCCATCTCCTAAATATTTGGTCACATGATCAATTTCTTTTACCATTCCCAAGCAACAGGGGGTGGCTCAACTTACCCTGTGGCTCAACTTACCCCACTTTCCCCTAAGTTAACTATGTAGTTATATTGAACCTCATTCACAAGCAACAACGGAATATGACTTGTCTTTACACTAAATCTAATTTTAAAATATGAACACAAATAAATTTTGGTTTTGAAGGAGGGAAGGGAAGTGGCCATACTATTAAAATAAACAAAGTTTCCATTTGCAGTCAAACTTGGTCTCTTTGACGGTCCCTCATAAGCGGATTGTTGTGGGGCGCGATGAAATCTCGGTCGGACATTGTAGGTCATGCTTGTACAGTTATTCACTGAATCAAAGGTGTTTGAAGCTGAAAATAAAGCTTGTTTTTTTGCTGTCATTTGAAAGTCTGTGTGTCTGTCTGTCTGTCACACACCGGATGAGCACCCTTCCCTTCCTCCTCTCGGCCGGGTTGGTGTGTCTTCCTTCCGGCTTGCCGAAGAAAGTTGAGGGAGGTTCAGCGGCAACTGGGGCTTTTTACACAATGGACAGCCAGGGAAGGAAAGTGGTAGTCTGTGACAATGGTACCGGGGTAAGTTTACCACGTCGGTGCAACTTGTTGTGAGTCGTGGCTTGACTCAAACGGAGCCGTTATGTCTTACATTCGCCGAAACAGGAAGTGAAGCTGTCAGCGTCTGAGCTAGCTAGCATAAACTGGGTGGGTAGCTAGCTAGCCTGTTAGCTAGCCCATTTTCATTCATCCAGACCCGATGTGGAAACAGCACACAGTGAAAATGAAATTGTCAGGACAGCCGCTGAATGCATATGTCTGGCTGTAAATAACACACCGACTAAGCCAAGACAGACGAGTAACTGCTCACTTGGTAGTAGCGGTTTCTAAGCTAAAGCAGCCAACTAGCTAGCCTGTTGGTCAACTGAGTATCTGAACAGCTGGTTGTCTGCTGTAGCTCCTCTCTCCCTGTGTCTGCAGCTACACCCGTCTTTTCAGTGATTTGATCTGCGGATATTCTGTTAGAAATGTGCCGTTTAATGAAACTAACCTTCAGCTGGGCCATATCAGGTTAATTGAGGAACCATCTTCATGGGTTTCCTGTCTTCAACTAGCGGACAGTACAGTCTTTGCTTTTGATCAGACAAAACCGAGCACCTCTTTCACTTATCTATCCATGTTTTTAGTGGAAAGATACTTAAAGGAATTGTAGGCGTTCAATAACTACCATTGTACAATAGTTGTTCCGATCAAGTAATCTGATTGGGCAAGAGACATTCAATAAGTGCTGATCCAGCGTCCAATATCACTGGGCCTTCTTGTAACTACAACATTATGAACACTTAAACAAACTAATGCAATTCAGAGCAATATCTCTACCTCAAGACCTATTTTAAGGAGCTTCTACATGTTCAGTTACAGGTCATAACAGTATTTCATTGTTGAAGATGTAGAGGGTGGTGGTGGTGTGCTGGAGTGGATCTTAATGAAAGATGTTCCTAATATTATGTCTTCATCTTTAAATGATATTAACGCGCAAAATATCAAGCAACACTTTGCGATACCATGCACTTCAAAACAACCACCAAAACCTAAAACTTCAACAACTGAACAAGAACAATTATCACCTGTCTGGTTATGTAAAAAGAACGAAAAATAAAATGTAAAAGCTTCCTACAGGTAGAGTTTATGGTAGAGCTTTTGTACTGTGCTGCATCAGATTACCCAGGTGTTCATAATGTTATAGCTGGTTGGTGCATATATTTATATATCACTCCACCTCACACAGGTGTTTAGAGTACAGTTTCTTATTTTACCATGGACAATCTCAGTATTGATTCATCACCCTAGAACCTCAGAGTAATAACAAACTCTGATTTACTGATTAAATTGCACTTTTAAAAATAAAAATCAATATACATATTCTTAGATAACCGGTCTGTGGTAACCATGGACACAAGGTAACAGAGAACAGGAAAATGATTGGGTTGCTTGGCAACAGTCCAGTTTCAGTTGAGTTGTGAAGTAAGTTGAGTAAGAGCAGCAAAAAAAACATCTGATTATTATTGTTCGCCAACGTTTTCAGCTTTTAGAAATGTTGTTTTAAACGCAACACAAGGTTAAGATTAAGATGATGAATTGAACAAAAGTGCTACTGTAGTTTTCTCACACTTGGTCTTCTTTCTAATGCCAGATCACAGTACTGGTGATAGAAGTATAACATTACTCCCTCTCAGCTTAATTCTGAAACATGTAGTTTGAAATATTTTAGTCACAAGTTGGCTTGTAGGTATTTGATTGAATAAGACCATTAAATGCCGGTAAATTTTTGTAGACATAAAGTTTCTGTACTTGAAGAATCACAAACTTTACTGATTTGTGTTTATCTGTCAGTTAGTCATTTAGCATGCATGTATAACTGCCTCTTTTACAGACTTCCTTTATGAACCGTATCAGTAGTCAGAGGATGTTAGCTCAGCATGTCACTGACTTCACAGTTTTTTTTAGAAGTGACTTTTTCAAGAAGTGCTATATGCAAAGCCTGATTAAAAAAAATCTGCCCTGTGTCAAGGTTGAACGTTGAGGTAAAGAGGAAGTGGTAAGAGTCTAAACCACAGCCATTTATATTGCTCACATTCTGACACAGCCTTTGTGTTATTTTTCATCACAGTCTACCGCATGATCTGTCAGTTGAGGTCATTGATGTCGATCTGTGCATGCAAGTGCATGCTGCTGTGAAATAAGACTTACACAACTCTGAATCATCTCCTGGTCTTGAATTTAACCTCACATTCCTTCACAAAAATGCACAACAGAAGGTGAACTGGTTCAGTGAGGTGAGGTGATCAGACCTCCTGCAGCTGATTTTAGTGACATTTCTGCAACAGTGCTTCACTTGTTGCCTTTACAGTCTTCTTTAACTCAGTTCTCTTATGGGGTCAACACCTGGGTGGTGACCATACAGTGATTTGTGAAACTCTACACAAGGGAGTTTATTCATTAACACTGGCAAAGTTGAACAAATACCTTGATGCAATTTCTTTCAGTTTGCATTTGTTAGATATACCGACACAAACAGAGGATAATCATGTGTCTTGTGGAAATGTGAGATGTAGTAATCAGCCGAGTATTTGGGCTATAAATTTGAAACAATAAATAAATATAATGAAGTAATTAATATAGTAAGTTTAATATTATAGTTTATTTAAGCAGCTGTGTTGAATGTTTTTTATACAGTTTATAAATGTCCAGATTTGTTGCCTTTATTTCTCATTTATGTTACTGAATTGGAAGACAGGTTTTGACTATTAGTCAGACAAAATAAGATGCTTTAAAAAAGTTATTGTAATAAGAATTTTTGACATTCTTTTGATTGGACGATTCAATAGATGATCAATAGATCAAACAAGATAATCTTGTGAAAATATTGATCATTAATGAGAGCAATCACTGCTTGCACCACCAGCTGTAGTGATCATGAAAGCAGGATAAAGCTTGGGTGCATTTTTTCTTTGTTAATTGTAGAGACAACTATATGATTTAGGGTTTTCCCTGAGGTCCTACATCTGTTTTATTGGAGTGCTTTTAACAGTAAAGGCTTGACCTGCTTATGTATATATGTGTGTGTATATATATGTTCACATCGATTTATCATACAACATATTTCAGAAACACTATTATGTTGGATTTTTGTCAGTACGCCCTCCAAAGATCATATAAAGGACTTTGAAAATTGAGCAGACAAGTTTAATGACCAGACTACTATTCATGCAGATAGACACACTCAAGAAAATCCTAAGATTGTTGTGTCGCTGGATGGGTTTTTATCTTAGCATCTGATCTTCTTGATTTTAGCTTTCACTGTTTATCTAGCCCACCATTTCCTGCAGTTTGACAATGAAGTTGTCCTCTTTGTATTGCTTAGTTTGTTGATCATCAGTATTTGAACATATTTCCATTTCTCTTTCCTCTTAGTTTGTCAAGTGCGGCTATGCAGGCTCCAACTTCCCAGAGCACATCTTCCCTGCGCTTGTTGGGAGGCCAATCATCCGCTCAACAGCCAAAGTTGGAAACATTGAGATTAAGGTAAGGGGTGTTAATAAAATGGCTGTGTAATTTACCTACGAAGCTGTCATTTAGTCTGTTCAGAAAGCCAGTGATACAGCAAGTCTGTAGTACCAGCTTATTTTAAATCTCCTTCTTGCCAATCTTTTGAAAGAATCTGTAATTTGGCTAAAGATCAATAAATCATGCAGCAGACGTGCAAATGTCTGGTATCTTCCCTCTACCTTTCTTTCCTCTTCTCTCCTGTTCTTTTTTTTTTTTTAATTCATCTTTTTATTTTAATATCTACCTTCCTCTTCCTCCATGTTTTGTTCCCCCACGATGAAGTAGAATGCCCAGAAGATGGTAAGTTCAGGTTGGTGTGTGCCTCCTGGTCTTGCCTGCTCCAAGAGTCGTGTCATGATTTGATTTCTACCCCAAACGTAGCTACTTTTTTGTTTCAGATGTTTTGTTTTCTTTCTCTTGTGTGATTTCTTTCATCTCTTTTACTCACACAAAGAATCCATTCTTTTACATTCCTCTTGGTTTGACGATTGAAGTGTTTTAGAAAGATGTCCAGTCCTTGAGTTTAGGCACGCCTCTCTGCAGGCTCAAAGTGTTGCAGACATTGCTGTGGTGAATCATGGGCCAGCTGTTATCAATGGAGTGCTAAAAGAGATTTTGGCCTGATTCCATTTTCACAGTCTTTCATCTGCTGGCGCATCTTGACAACTACACCGCCCCTCTATTTGGCTGTTATTTAAGGAAATAGTCAACAGTTTCAGCTTAAAAAAACTGAAAACGTCAGTTACAGTCAGAATACTTACTGTGAAATGATTACAGTTGTTTTTGTCACTGCATCACAACACCATTTACCTAACTGTTCTGACTTCAGCAACATATTCGAATGAAGTTATATCCGCTGCTAAGCCTTTACTGAATTACCTGTGCTGAGGGTCGCCCTTACAAGTGCAGGGAAAGTGTCCAGACTGAAGGATGCATGGCAGACAGCTGAAAGTTGGAGACGGAAGCACATCTGTTTTTCTTTTCTTTTTTTTCCCTGTTGAGACCACATGGGGCAAAGCTTTTGACTGGTACTTTCAATGCCAAAGCACACAGGATGAACCCATAAAACAGCGGCCTTCAGTCGTCTTTTGATGTCTCTAAACGGAACATGAGGTGCTTGACTGTGTGGCTAACACTGAGCACTAACCCTGGATTTGTTTATGTTGCAAGGCAGCCTTGCATGCTGCTAGTCGAGTGATGCTAAAATGAGTGGTTTACAGGTGCCAGAGGGTAACACAAATGTTTCCAGGTGTAGGTGCATGGAAAATGATGGCTTGTTGTGCATGTTGGGTAATGAAGTTTTAAAGCATAAAGCTACTTTGGGCAAGGACATTTGACGGATGACTGGTGTCAGGGCCCAGTAAAAGCTCAATGATCCAGTTGATCTGGTTTTATGTGACCTGCAGGCTGAGGGGGCAATTTAAAACTACTGTTTTGATTGCCCCTCAGCAATGGTCTCTGAACTTAGTAACAATGAATGAACCTATTAAGGTTCGCTGCACAGCAGAGCCTCTAATTAATTTTATTTCTGCCCCTCTTTGACCTCTCTCTCCAGGACCTGATGGTGGGGGATGAGGCCAGCGAGCTGCGCTCCATGCTGGAGGTCAACTACCCCATGGAGAACGGCATTGTCAGAAACTGGGATGACATGAAGCACCTGTGGGACTACACTTTTGGCTCGGAGAAGCTCAACATTGACTCACGCAACTGCAAGATCCTTTTGACTGAGCCTCCCATGAACCCAACAAAGAACCGTGAAAAAATCATTGAAGTATGCATATATTTACTATAACACCCCTTATATTAATATCATATGGACATTTTTGTGAACACTTAGTGGAGAGTGTCAAAAGATCCTCTTTGAGCCGTTTTTGGTGCTAGCTGTTTCAGTGATTTCAGATGGTTCAATCCCTCTAGATCCAGTTAATCAAAGTATCAAAGTAATTAGCTTTAAATACCCACACCTTAATGGAGTTCAGAGGTGCCTCATTGACCCGCCCTTTGTGAACATGTTTCAAATGCTCTGTGTTTTAGATGGTACATTATACTTACTGTCTCATGTTCTCTGGCTCTCCTTGTAGGTGATGTTTGAGAACTACCAGTTTGCAGGAGTCTACATTGCTATTCAAGCTGTGCTGACACTGTATGCTCAAGGTCAGATCAACTAAACACTCACTCTAGTTCACTTTGTTTCATCAGCTTCCAAGTTCTATCAGACCTGTCCCAAACCTCTCCAATCCTAAACTTCTGATACATAAGTTCTGGCTTTCTGTGTTTGACCTGTACCTGGTGTGTTTCAGGCCTTCTGACCGGTGTGGTGGTGGACTCAGGTGATGGTGTGACACACATCTGTCCAGTGTATGAGGGTTTTAGCCTGCCCCACCTGACAAGACGCCTGGACATAGCAGGCAGGGACATCACCCGCTACCTCATCAAGGTATTCAGTCTGTTGTGGCGTCATTTCTTTATGATACAGCTGGTGCATTCTTGCTTAATATGCACAAATGTTTTATTGTGTCAAATCTAAACATCTGTTGAACTTTTAAGATTTGGCACAATAAGACTCCAAAGTACTTTTACCTGGAGAATTTGTGAGTATTTAATGTCTTGTTACTTGATAGAGATTTTTAATCTCGTACTTTTCTTTCCCCACTCCATGTCCTGTGTTTTCTTTGCTGGGTGCAGTTGTTGTTGTTGAGGGGTTATGCCTTCAACCACTCTGCTGACTTTGAGACTGTGCGTATGATGAAGGAGAAGCTGTGCTATGTGGGCTACAACATCGAGCAGGAGCAGAAGCTGGCACTGGAGACCACCGTTCTGGTGGAATCATACACGGTAAACTCTAATATGTTTAAATAGCTAACAATATAAATCACTAATAATCCCACCAGAGGATGCACTGATTGAATACAAACAACAGTTTCTGCTTCCAAAAGCATTAACTTCAATAAAAAAAACATCCAAAAGCTAAAACATTCTAAACAACTAAAACAATTCCATAACAACACCATCCTTCAACTAATGTACCACCAGGCCAGAGCAACCATTTGATGCTCAATTATTTTCCAGTAAGATGATCTCCATCAACAGTACCAACAGGCCAGTACCAATGGTCAGGTGATGTACAGCCGTTCCCTTAAAATCCACCAAGAATTTTGTGTGTTTAAAGAAGGAGAAGAACTTTATTGATCCCTGATAGAAAATTCAAAGACTCGGTATATCAATACCTGCACTAAACCAACAGCTCTTTAGCAGAGCAAACAGTCTGACTTTTTAATGTTACTCACCAGAAACACAAAACTATTATGCTGCTCTGGATCAAGTTCAACTTTCTTGTTGTTGAAAATAAAGCCTGCTGTCATGCATCACAGGTGAGCCCGCTGATTTGTAGGTGATTGTTGATGAGTACGCTAGCTGTATTCATTTACCGAGGTCAATCATGCGATGGTAAAGCAAGCTGAGAGCGTCCTCAACTGGATCAAACTGTAGGCTATTTCAGGTGGACTGATACACTTTTATTCTGTGTATTTTGAATATTTGAGTCGATAATTACGATTCAAAGGTAAACTTTTCTCTCATGGTTTGAATGAAAACTCAAATTAAGGGTGAAAAAGTGAATTTGCCTTGGAAACAGAAAATGTGAAGTCAGCCTACCGATCAAACTGCTGCCCTCATCTGGTCAGTCTGTGCACTTTCTTGAAACCGACTGAGGAATGAGGAACTGGATCATAAAAAAAAGAGAGAAATGTAAGAGAAAGCTCAAAGATGAAGATGACTCAGTCAAGGTGGACTCACATACATGCTACTTCTTCCCAACCACTGTCTCTATGTTTCCTTTTTTATAAAAAAAAAACATAAAATGATCCAAGCTCATTGAATTCACTCCTTGTTATGTTGGTATTCATATTAAGCAGCTGCTTTTGAGGTTTGCCACTTGTTCATAAAACAAACACACATTTTAGCTTTCTGGGAGTTCTCAATTTGTTTGGTTTACTTTCTTATGCACACCGCACATGCATACACGTTTCACATTTCATCTTAAAATAGCAGAGAAGAAAAGGAGTCCTCCTAAAGGGTTTGTTATTGAAAAGTGGCAGTATTTAAAAGTAATCAAAACTAATGGAGTAACTAAATCGGTGTTTCTGCTGAGCTAAGTAGACTACCACATGCCTGTTGTTGGCTCTGCTGGCTGCGTAAGGACAGGGCAGTGCTGCTGACAAACTGTTTTCTCTGGGACTCAAACATATGGGGGTGCACTGCTCCTCTACCCAGCTTGCTTTTCTTTCCAAGGCCCTTTTCCCCGCAGAGGGAACCACAGAATCTAAAAGCAGGTCCTGAAGTCTGTGTTCCTGCACGCCTTAGCGAGCACATGTTGTGTCTCAGAGCTCACTGACCATGAGTGTTTGGGTTTGTGTAGGCGACTGCGTTTGTGTAGGTGTGTGAACATGTAAGCGCAAGGCTAGTTTTGTGTGCCAGAGTGTGCCGAAACAAGGAGGGCAATGTAACTGTGGCCGAAAGGGCCCTGAACTGTGTGTTACATCATTTCCTGTGTAGCCACTCTGCAGCGGTGGCTGGGCTCTGCTTCCTCCCACTGCCTTCAGCTGAATGAAGCCTTTTTATAGTCCCTTACACACACATGGTCTCAGCTCAGTTTAGCCCACACTTTCAGGGCTTTAACCTAATCTCCTGTATTATCAGAGCCTTGTAAGAACTTTATTTTCAAACTGCAGTAACTAAGCACACAAAGAGCCGATTGAGACATTTTCCCCCATACATCGCAAACTACCACTGAACAGCATCATTCTTGATTCCTACATTCAAGAGATTAGAAACTCTGTTGTTGAGTCACCCATTAAATCCTACCTCTTCAGGGGTGTCACATTTTCTTCTCTTTTCATCTCTCGCCTCCCACACATCTCTAGCTGCCAGATGGTCGTGTGATCAAGGTGGGAGGAGAACGCTTTGAGGCCCCGGAGGCTCTGTTCCAGCCCCACCTCATCAATGTGGAGGGCGTTGGAGTGGCTGAGCTGCTCTTCAACACCATCCAGGCAGCCGACATAGACACCAGGTGAGGCCAGCAAAAATGCACAGATAGACTCCCCCTCTGATTAAAGACAGACAGATAGCAAAACGCACCACCACAAAGCCATGCAAAATCTCTCTGCCCAGCAGTGCTTTCACTGATGTAAAAGAAGGTCGTAGACATCAAGTAAATATTTCTTTTACTGTACTGTGTGTAAATGAAAAAGTAGCAATATCCCAGAAAATGTCCTTTTGGAAATCGGTCGTTGTTTATTCCTAGTTGTTGGAGTTGAATGAACTGTTATTTGGTTTCCACCTCAAGTCACTGAAAGACTTTAATCTGCAAAGTCCTTACAGTAAATATTGAACATTTGTCTACTTAGGAGGGGAAACTATGCCTGCTGGGGAGGAAACTGAAAACATTAGTCATGTGATTCACCTTCTTTGTCTCTTTGCTGTCATCAGGCCTGAGTTTTACAAACACATCGTGCTGTCAGGAGGATCCACCATGTACCCTGGCCTGCCTTCTCGTCTGGAGAGGGAACTGAAGCAGCTGTACCTGGAGCGTGTGCTGAAGGGTGATGTGGACAAGCTTTCAGTAAGATACAAACCCTTTACATGAACACTACTTTATACTAATACTAAGACTCCGGGCTAAATTTGAGCAGATTTGATTGACAGTGTGACTGTGACTGTAAGAAGTAATGCGTCATTACTTTGAACTCGAGTCAATTTCAGTTTCACAGCAAATTAAGTCGTCTTCATAAAAATTGAAGTAGTCCATGCATGTGGCCTGATCTGGCTTTACTTTGCAAGGCCTTGTGGTTGTGGTGTTATTTCTTTCCAGCAGAACTCTGGGTTTGTTTTAGTTGGGCTGAGCGTGGTTTCTCACATGTGACGGGGCAATAAAAGGAGAGAAAAAGAACATATTTGAGCCACTTGTAAATGCTGGCCGACACCTGACAGTATCTCCTTTGTCCTAATGAAGTGAAATCCCACACTCTGGTAGTTCACATTAAAAAAAAACAAACACAGATTAAACAACATCATGGACTGAGTGCATATAAGAGTCAAACCATCTGTCTTGAACACATCTGGAAGGTTTAGGATCAAAGGTTTATCATTGTGGAATGGATGCAGCAGACAGTGCAGTGTAGATTGTCGACCACCAGATGGTGGTGGAGGTTAAACTACATTGATTGGATTTAAGCAGAGGACTTAAACAACATATGAGAGATTTTCTCTTTAAACCTAAACACTGCTTGGAGAACTTGCGCTAATTGAAATTCCCAAGACAGTGGCCCAAAGACACAGATAATTTTACACAGAGCCTCTTTGTAAACAAAAGCTTCACAGATGACTCATAAGTTAAATAACTCATTATGTGCTTTACTTTTTCTGCCCACAACTGCAGCCTACTGGAGTTTCTTGACACAGTTAATCTCATTTGGAAATAAAAGTTAAATGCAATGATGGTGTCTTTCACGTCACAAAAGTGGGTCGAATGTGTGCAATCTGTATCGCCACAAAGGACTCAATAGATTCCTGAACATGTTGTTTGACACCAAATGCTGTGAAAAATCCCGAGGATAGAAAGATGAGAGTTTCAGTAGTTTCACCATCGGAGAATAATTCACCTGATAAGAGGAACTACAGTCAAAATTTTCATTCGATTTTGAGTGGGGTATCGCTTCAAAGCTGCACTGGTGAGTGTTTAGTGTGTCATCTGTATTGGATGCTACTACCCTGTAACAGCTTGTTGCACCTCCATAATGCCAAAACAATCTAATAATTCCACAGTACATCTCAGAAAACTGCTGTCAAATTGCTAAACATGTAAATATGAAAGTGTTTTAACTATGATGCAACCTTACATAATTAGTATTTCCGGTGTGATACAGTACAATAGCTGTAGTGTAGATCTGAGTAGCGACTTAATCAAATAGTAACCGGTCTGGTCGTGTCATGATAACTCTGGTTAAACGTTGAATGGCCTGCATAAATCATTCATTTACTTTAATTAGTAAAATTACTTCCAAGCATCACTGGCTGTCATGTTAGATCATGTGATGTCTAACTTGAAGTACACTAGATTTCATCAGCATGAATATGTTGTTTTCTTTGTGATTATGTTCTAGGGCTGCACGATTAATCGATTTTAATCGGATTATTTGATTATAAGGATGTTGAAAATTAAAATTGTCGAGTTGATTTTCCTCTCTGTCTGCAAAGTCTGTCTGAAGGCAGTATCAAGCTGTCCACATGGAAACAAGTTCAGGAGTAAACACAAAAGTTTTTTGTCGTATCAGCGTTTCATCCCTATGGAAATGGCATTTCACATGACTGTAGACTGTACTTTTTGAAAATGGGTCAGAGAGTGTATGAATCTGTAAACAACTACCATTTCATCTCCATGTGGATGCCTATCTGCATCGCTCTTAAAATGGTCATGTGACACACAGGGTAACTAGGGCAACCATATTCTGACTTCCTAAGAAGAGGACAGGACTACGTGGGTGCAGAGTCACGGAGTCGCACAAAGTTAATTTTAAGAGTTTTTCGGGTTGGATCGAGTGTCTTTAACGCGCTCCTAACTCAGTAAGTTCACGTGACACAAACTCCAAACTTCCGTACAAAACCGCGGACATTTGAAGGAATTTATTTTTTAAAAAAGGACATGTTCGGGTAAAAGAGGACATACGGTCACCCTAGCATAACTGTTTTATGGCGGCTGCACGTGTCCTGCCAAAATAACCCTGATATGCATGCGCTGTACTCTTCTTCTGTCTTTTGTGCATTTCCTGTGCAGCGTTACAGCGCCACTTACTGGCTTGCCATATTCACTAAATCATTTTCAGTGGTTTCGTTTAGAGATATGATAGAAAAAATTATTATTAGAGTGAAGCTTGGTGAAGTTGTCACTAAATAAAAAAATGAAATTGAGTTTTCAGAGAAAAAAAAATAAGGATTTTATTTTTGGCTAAAATCATGCCGCCCTATTATGTTTATTGATCAAAGGTACTTCACTGCATGTTGATTAAAACATTGAACCTATAGAGAACCTGGTTAGCATGCATTGATTTTGATTATAAACTGCATTTGCTCAGTATACTAAACAAAGAGAGCTACCAAAACAAGAAGATGAATGAAGACAAACTATGTGAAGCTTTCAAAGCTGGTTAAGTTCAGAGATTGAGAGAGTTGTTGAGTCTCTTCTTTTGTCGCAGCAGTTATAAACTTTCATTTGAATTTACAAACAGTGGTGAGTATCAGTCGAATCATTCAATGGTGTTTCCTTAAAAAAGCCTTAGAGGGACTTACCAAGCTCTTCATGTTAGTCTTTTTTGTTACTCGCTTGCAGGACAAAGAGGTGTTTGTTATAAAATATTTATTTTGCGTGTGGAAGGATGTTTGATTCTCTTCTTATGACCTTTCAGTCAACACCCTTAAATCTATAGGAAAGCAAAAACCTAAAGCGACTCTACTACTGGGTGACTCCATTAATCCGTCTGTTTTCTGCCACTTGTCTGGGTCCAGCTCACATTGATTGTGCTATATTGTAAAGAATTATTATTTTGCTGCTGGGAAGGACTGAGAATGTGTGAGAATCATACTGGACTGTAGTGCATTTTTGTTTTTTTCATAAAGCTCCGAAATGTAGTTTGCTAGGGTTGTGAAACTGGTTTTAAATGTCCCTGTATGTAATCTAAATTCATAAAAGTCTTTAACCTGATGGGCTTTAAAGAAATCCTTACAAGATTAAGGACGGAGGAATTTTTATGCAAACCACCATGATGTCTAAAGTAAACGGTAATCACAGAGAAATTTGAGATCTTCACCATATATCATAGTCAAGGATTTGACTGCAGGACATTTATTTGTTACATAAAGTACTCTAATGAGTCTCTTTGTCCTCTTGTCTCGTAGAAATTTAAGATCCGGATCGAGGATCCTCCCAGGCGAAAGCACATGGTGTTCCTGGGCGGAGCTGTGCTGGCCGACATCATGAAGGACAAGGACAACTTCTGGCTGACCCGGGAGGAGTACCAGGAGAAAGGAGTCCGCGTGCTGGAAAAACTCGGTGTCACCGTTAGATAAAGCACTGAACGGACAGACCACACAGGCACACACAAATATACAAACACACATACACATACACAAACATGGCATACACACAGTCCCCCCTCTTCCACATTGCAGAGTATATATCTATTTATCCCTCTTCTTCTTCTTCTTCTTCTCCTCTTCTCTTTCGGGCTCTCGATCCTTCTCAAACATCTGAAGGAATCAAGCCTGCATCTCCCTGCTCTCCTCCTTCTCTTGGTTCAGGATTGTCTAACACTTTCTCCCCAAGAACCAATTCCACCTTCACGCTGAAACCCCCTCCTTTACTGAAACTAGAAAATGAAGGGTTAACGCTGCCCCACTGGTGTATTTTAAAGTTAGATTTTCACACAGTGCTGGTGGTTTCAACCTTGCTCTTAGGTTTTGTTGTGGGTTAGATTTGGCAGGTAAGCCACCCAACTGCAGTGAAAAGACCCCTCCCTTAAATAAACCTCCAGAGGGGATAAATTGATGCAAAGTTTCTAGTATGTGTCTGTAAAATCACAATCAGGGTCCATAACTAACAGCCACGGGCCGCTTTCAGCATCTGTTCAGGTGAGCGAGAACTGATCACATTTTTATGTCAGTTTTTATAAACGATATCACAATGTTTCTTTTCCGGGAGAGGGATGACTCTTTTGTTCTGCTTCGTCTTCATTTTTTTATTGGATGTATGATTTATATCTATAAATTGATTTCTTTCACTTTTTTTCATTAACTTTTTGTTGCTGTGCACTACTACCATCCTAGCGAGGAGAGTATCATGGTAACAGAGGTTGCTCCATGTTTTTATGAAGAATTGACGGTTGATTCATAAAGGGACAAATACACAGGAGAAAAAAAAAAAAGAAAAAAAAGGCTTGACATCAAGGGGGTGTGATGGTACTTTGTGGGCTTTGCGGGTGGTGAGACAATGATGGGATGTGGGTGGGGTGGGAGTGACACTTTTTGTTCCTCATGCAACAACTTTGCCTCTGCCTCCTTTAAACATGAATGGATGAATATTACAGACAGTGATGCCTTTTAGGCACCTCATCTGTCATTATCCTTCAGATCCACCCAGAGCTTGGAGGCAGTCACAGTTTAACGGTGAGATAGAATTGAATCTGGTCAGGGCAGAGAACCTCCAAAAGTTTGGATTTCATTGACATCAAGTGCTGTTTAAGTTCTCTGGTGTTTCACTCCCAATGGTCGACTTAATGATTACTGGAGGCACTTCTATTTTGAGTATGATAAATGTGTATATTTTTTTCCTTCTTTCCATGAACGCCTATCCAGTGCCAAGTGCAGTTAATGTTAACTGGATTTCTGAAGTTTTATTGTTTTTTTTGTTTTTTTGTTCACTGTTTTTATTTTCCTGTGTTGTTCATAGCATAACTGCATAACGCTGATTTAAATAAAGAAAAGTGATTTATAAAGATGACTGTGTGGCAGATTTTCTCTTTGTCCACAAATCTGTAACTACTTCAAGTTATAAATATGTAGACTTGTGGTTTTATACTCGAGCTTTATTTGGGAAATTTAGGATCCGCAAGTGGTGCTTGAATCTTCAAAATCCTCCCTGAGTGCAGTTTTTAAAGCAACTTTTGAAAAAATTTACCCATGCTTTCTACAAAAATTTAAGGCATATGTTTTATAGAGCTGCATGTATTCACTCCCTATTAGTCTGTCTTGATTAACCAAAAGTTTCTATGAGGAATAAAAATCTTCAAGAGCAGAGAAAAATGGCCATCACAGTTAAAGTCTGTTTATGACCGAGTGTCAAATTCATGTCATCATTACCTATCATGTAAAGGCCAGAAAATCCAAAAACTCTTGTATTTGAGAATTTTGTACTTTCAAGTGTTGGACAAGTATTTTTTCTAATATAATTTCATAATAATTTTAAAAAAAATTACCTATCTTAGGATCTCTAGTTCTTTGCAGAGAGGGAGAGAAGAGAGCCGCTGACGTATGAACTGCACCACCAGAGGAGAGGATGGAGACATAAAGGTGACACGGAGGAAAAGGAGGATGAGGTGGAAAGCTCTGCACACAGACCAGGAGGAGGAAGAGGAAATGGAACAGTGGCAGAGGACTGGCGCCACGAGAGGAAGAGGCTCTCTTTCCGTGGCCTGAAATAAAGATCTCACCCAGACTCTTCCGGCCTTGTTCCATTTTAATCCCTCGACTCTCGCCACTTCCCTCTTAACCCTGAACTGTTACCTCTGAAGCTGCGTTTGATGTTTCCTCCATAGCAGAACACAAACAGAGACATCAACAGAGGGAGGCTGTCTGAACAAAGGACATTGAATGTGAGATACTAGACCAGAACCTCTCCTACCACCCTAAACAAAAAACTAGTTTTAGATTTTTAGATGCTATTCATTAGGTTTGTAGAGATTTAGCTGTAATTCTGGTCAAAATCTCAACTATTCCCTCATCATTTTGCATTTTGATGAAAACAGACCACACAGTGTGCAACCCTCAAAAATTTAACTGGCATCTTATCTCAATTTGGGATTTTGACTTCTACAGAAGTTTGCAACTCGTTTTAAAACCATCACTTTTGAGACTCAAGAACCATTCTGAATATTGAGAGCCTGGCTTTTGATGCTGACGTGGATTTTACCACCTAAAGGCTTACTTTTGAAATTCATGAAGGACTTGAATGAAGACTCCTAAATTGGTAGAAAGTGCAAACCTCTGTTTTAAAGGAAACCCTTCACACAAGCTGAATCCATTTCCACAGGGTGGGAGTAGTGGGATGTTTTTTCGTGCAGCAGTTAATCTCAGGTGCAGGGTTCAGACCCAGTCAGGCAATGCTTAAACAATTATCTGGCTGCCTCTTATCTTTACTTCTGCAAAATCTCAGCTCATTGTGAGTGAGTCAGGGAACTCAGGCCTGACGCAGGAACAGTACACGCAAATGTAAAAGTAACTCTCTGTAGTGCAAACATTGAGCTGAATAGCTGTTATTATATGTAGGCTTGCTGCACAAAATCAGGCTCGCTTTGGAGCAAGACAGGCCATTGGTCCCTATAAACTTCACTGGGAAGTGAGCGCTGGCTCTCTGTGCACCCAGAGAGGGGCCACGCTGACCCCATTACATGAGCAGATATCTTAAATGTTTGCACATGTGGACTGTGATGCTGTTAGCAGCAGTTGAGCTGCTTAGCAGGCCCCCAAAAGCCCGCAGGGACCTTCTTTTTTTCGCTCTCGTTCTCTCCTCCTCCTCCTCCTCCTCCTCCTCCTCCTCTCTCTTACGCTCCATCATTATCGCCCACATGCTTTTCCAGAGACATCCTGAGTGAAACAGCTCAAAGTCCTCAATGGCTATCACATGTTTCTGCTGAGGAGGAAGGCAGCTGGGGAAAGACATCTTGAAGAGAATGAAACAGGCTGTACTAGGACCAGGTTTATTTCTTTGTGCTTTCTCCTATCAGACACTTGAAGAGAGAGTTTTGTTCATCCATTCAAGGAAGCTTTTAAAACCTGGGCCTTGCACATTTTCTTTTTTAATCTGAAAGACATATTTTACAGAGTCAGAGTGACATCCTTTCTTTCATGCTACTCTATCCATCCTTGTCATTTCCCTACTTGTGTCAAACAAAAAAAATATTTAGGGACTTCATTCATTCACTAGAACTATTGTCTGATTAGCTCTAGTTTGTATAATTTAAACAAATGATATAATTTTTACAGGAACAGACCAAACTTGTACAAACAGCTAACTAAGTTTCTCTGAGTTTTGCCTAGCACAGATATAGGTGTGGAGCTTTTGAATACACAATAATGCTAATTTTAGTTTAAATTTTCTTTAGACCTTTGTAATACTTTGACGTTGACACCCCTTCAGAATAACCTCCACTCCAATGAGCTAAATTCTGTGTTTATATTTGATCAGCAAATGTTTGGAGCTGTATTTAGTTTAAAGCACTGCTAAGCGTTAGCATTGCCTCAGAGAGGTTAACATAAGTGCAGACTTCTACTTTACCAAAAAACGAACTTCTGAAGAGTCATTTCTGCAACTCCAAACTCGGCTCTTTGTTTCTATGTTACTACAACCAATGTCCATTTGCATTCAAAGGATAATTTTGTTTTCTAATGGGGCAAATGTGTTCTTTTAAAGGGATGCCAGACAGCTCAGCACCTTTGTTGAGAAACCAGCCAGAAAACCTTCAGAGAAGCTGGGTGAGTAACTACTGCACTTGGTCAACTGAACCATGTAGAGCAGCTAATTTCTTAACACACAATGTGACCCTCAAAAGTAAATGAGACCAGAATGAAAGCTTTCACTATATTCATTTCTTAAGCTTGATACAACTATGAGAGGACAGGTAGGAGATTAGATGACTGATAGCATGCCAAACAGAAACAGCCCATTTTGGGCTTTTCCCTCTCAACTACCCACAGTGAGTGATACACATACTTAACTCTTGAGAGACAACTGGACACGGTTTTCATCTGAACAGACTACTTTCACATGAGGTATCACTTTGTCCACAGGGGTTTCCGATATCGACACAAACCAAAAGTTCCTCACAACAGCTTTAAGAAAGTCTGACTCAAACACTGATGTCAGTGGGAGTGTTTGTCACATTTAGAAAATGTTTCACACTTCACTTTGCCATCAAGACTCAGCTTTGTCTCTGCGCTACATTTGTGTTTCTCCACAGCAGCAGTGTTTAGGTCTGTAGCTTTCAAGAAAGATGAAAAAAGTACAACCAGACGAAAAAGTGAGCGACTATGACAGCATAAATTACACTTAGGTGGTATGATGGTCAACTTTTAGTGTTTGATAGCCTTTGGCTTCTGTGCTGCTGTACAGGCTGGCTCCTCAACAGCCGAAGTGGCCAGAATCAGTCACAGGTGATAAAAAAAAAAAAAAAAAGGAACCTTACGTTTGAGTCCTTTGAGTACCTCTATGTGTTTAACTGGTCTTAACTGGTTTGAATGTACTTGAAGGAAAGTATAGTCAGTCTGAGAGTTTAATGAAGCAGCAGAGTCATGTGTGGTTTCACTGTTTTCTCTCATTTTATTGGAGGCGGAAGGTAAGACACACATTTCATTTTAGTTTTCTCACAGACCTGGCCACCCTTCAGTATCTACAAAGTACTTCCTGTTCCTTCTCAAAAAGCGAGAGCTACATCCATTGTACATGTTAGAAACAGTAAATTTTAAAAAAACAAAATAGAAATAAAAATGTACAACATACACTTGATATATATAATATAATTTTGCTCTTTTTTTACAGAGGTAAAAATACTAAGCGTAAAAAATGGATCTAATTTAATACAGGGAGTTGTTTCTTTAATTTTATCAATTTTAAATACACAAGGAGATAAAGAGGATGCGTTCAGGCACTTGTAAATGGCTCTGACATGTGAGAACACACTCAACACCAGACGAGACAGAGAAAAAAGATTTGACTCACACACTCACACACAAATGCACTCATACTCTTCCCAATCTGATTGGCCCCGTCCCTGATACATGAAGGATCATCAGTGAAGGATCTGATTATACTGGATAGGTGGTAGTGTGTGAGATAGCATATTGAGCTGATCCCTGTAGCTTTGGATCAAGGAGCAGGAGAGGGGAAAACACACACACACACACACACACACACACACACACACACACACACACACACACACACACACACACACACACGCGCACACACCGAGGACACACAACTGGTACACGGGACAGGATGTATGAAACAGACACAACCAGCGGAGGAAAGAGGACATCCTCAGGCATTCTGCATTTCAACTACAGTAAGTGACATTTCCTTGGCAAAACAATTGGGGATGGATGTTTGTCTTTGCAATTTCAGCTGTTTTCTGGACCCCCGCCTCATTTTCCAATGGTAACCCACTTTTTTTTAATCAAAGGGTTAATGTATTCCTGTTTACATCTCTAATACTGCCACCAACTCTGCCCAAATAAGGCATAAAGCACCAAAGTGGTTGTCAGTTTCTTGTGCTGTCAGTGTGAAAAATCTGATTGGTCTGCTGCAGTGTCAATCAAACAGCAGGCGACACAAGCAAATAAGTATAAGGTTTCATTTTTTAAAAAGCCTGAGTTTGTCTATCAAAACACCCACTATGACCCAGAATGCACACACTCTAATTTGACTGTCTTTTAATGAGTCAAGCTGTTGTTAAACATCTGGTGTCACTTTTTGTGGGCGTGAGTTTGTAAAAAATCTACCATGGTGGAAAAAACAGTTGAACAGAAAAGTGAAGCACACCAGTAACAAGTGTCTGTATTCAGCAGGTTATCTGTCATCTTTATCCCCCACCTCTCACCCCCCAAAACAAACAAATAAACAAACAAGTTTGGGGCTGAAAGTGCAGTTCGACATTTTGGGAAATACTTGCTTTCTTGCTGAGAATTCAAAGAGTACCAAGCAACATAGAGATGATTAGCGTCGCCTACATAAGCATAAAGATTGAACGGCCTGGTTTTTGTCCAAACATGAGACAAAGAGAGAAAGAAACCACATATCGATTTCTTCACATCACAGCCCATTTCCATCTTCTTTACAAAAACTTCTCAGTAGCCCCGAGTCCAGGAAGTCACTGCACCTGGCCAGGAAATTGTCTAGCATAACCTCCCATAAAATCACAACTTGTTGTTTTCTAACACTTTTTTTTTCTCTTTTTATTGACTAGACAAACCACATCTTAGTGTTCATGAGTTTGAGAGAGGCTGTGATGTAGAAATCTGAACATAGTGTTGCATGGCTCAGCTGGGCTAACTGCCTCCCACTTGTAGTTTTTTTTTTGTCTTTAACACACAAACACAACAGTGGACATTAAAACCGACACTGACTACCTGCAAGAAAGTGTACAGAAGTATTTCCGAAATTCCAAAAATGACACTTAGGTTTGTTTTATAGTGTAAAAATGTCACTACTTTACTGCAATAACTTTGAAAATGTCAACCGTTATGTAGTCGTCAAAAAAAGAAAGCAATGGCTTTTTTTCCCTGGTAAATAGATTTTAAAAAGTAGAGGGATTTGGATGTTTGAACATTAACTTTATAAAAAAATCATCACTTCACAGTCCACTGAGGTTCTGCTGCTCCACTAATGTGACTGGTGAGCTCCATTTGGGGCGGGACTTAAAGAGAGGAGCTGATTGTACGTCGCAAGCACACAAAGTTTAAAAGAGGATCTGTTGAGGCTGATTGCTCTGAGCTTTAACTCCGCTCACAGACACCATCACAGGAGACATCTTCAGAGGGACAGGGCTAAAGTTTGGGGTGACTTTACACATTCTAAGGCATTATAGGCACTAAGTTTAATGGTATCTGTGATCGACTTGACAGCCCTTGTCTGAGACCTGGCTTGGACTGTTGACTGAGGTCTAAGACTGGATGGGTTCTTGGTTTAGGCGATAGTCTAGGCACTGTTTGAACATGAAGGAGACAGGGAGACAGATGCTGGATTATCTGAGGATGACTAAAAGCACCGTCTGGTTCTGTGAGTAAATCACAACCCAGCACCATTCAGCTGGTAGATTAATATATGAGGAAATAAATAGGATAAAAATAAACAAATCTTTGGGATAGTAGAAGTAGATTAAGATGAGTACCATGTTTGCTTCAGTGAACAAAGAAGATGTCAAAGGTGGAGCTATGCAGACTATATACACTAGCTTTACTATAAGCCACAGTACAGACAACAAAAGGCCTCGGTGCACATTGGAAGCATGCACATATACCATTCACACAAATACACACTCATACGCACACACACACACGCAAAAAGGTGTAGTGTCTGATTTCTCTTGTAGCTGGAGTCAAACTAAGCGGGCCTGATATTGGAAGAGAATATAAACAAAATGGCCACGCGTACATGAAAGGAGAGAAACAACAGAACAAAGGAACAATTCAAGTTCTTTGACGTAGAGTCAGTGTACAAAGTATAAAGTACCTGCATATGTGATACATGACATATAGGTCAGCTATAAAAAAGGCCCCCTGAAGAGTGCTCTCTCACTATAAAATGGCCCTGTGGAGAGCGGAGAGAACTGTCTGCTGTGAGGGGGAGCTTATCTTCCCAGGCCATTCAGAAAATGCACCAACTGTTTTTTTTTTTTTTTTTGGCTTATTTCAGTGTCTGGAATTTGACCACTTGTCCCCTCTGTATATTTCCCCTTCCTTCCCTCTCCCTGTGCTTGCGTTGGGTTTTAGCTTTTTGTCGTTTCCTCTGAGAGGTTGTTTTTTTTTTCAAGCGCAGCTGCTCAACTCAGGGCCTTGTGTCGGCCCCCGCAGCACCCACACCTGAGCCCTGCCCGGTGGCAAGCGTGGAGAGGCGGGTAGAGGCAGAGGCAGGGTGCCACCAGAGACAAGCCCAACAGAGCTAACCAGCGAGAGCCAAGTCGGCCTCCACCGCTGCCCTCGCCCCCGTCACAGGAGCAGGGGTCTGAATAGTCCCCCTCTGGGTCAGACATGCAGTGGTAGAGCATTGTGTCTGCCAGCCACATGCAGCTGACTCGCCGGATGCACACCCTCACAGGGTCAGGCGCATCTTGGCACCGGCCTCTTCGGTTGTCAGAAGTGTAGAAGGCCTCTCCACAGTGCTCACACTGAGCACGCTCCATCCCGTCTTCCTTCCTCCCCTTTCCGCCATTTGTGGACGGGGATGAGTTCGGGAGGAAAGAGCGGGGCTGGCTTGAGATCACAGAGGAAAGGCCTTGGCGATATGAGCCACCATGGCCCTTATTGACCATTAAGGGTCCGAGGGCAGGGTCAGAGTCTGATGGCGACAGGGCAGGAGCCAGTGGGTAGGTGTAGTCATGCTTCTGAGCCTCAGTCTTGGCAAAGTGGACGTAGGACTCATTGTCGTCCATTTGGATGAACTTGTCACGCACAGTTGCGTGACGATAGTCCTCATAGCCTGTGAGCCAGGGGCGGTCTGACTGGCGACCAAGATGGCGTTCGGTGGTTCTCTCCCAGCTGCGCTCCCGAGGGTTGATGCGCACAATTTCCTCATCCTCTTGGAAAGTGACATGACGAGGAAGCCGGGACAAGGGCTGGGGAGACAGAGCACAATCAAAATTCTCTTAATGGGACTCATCTCACACTTCCAGAGAAACAACTGGAATGGCTTTGAATAACCAGTTAAGTTTGCTTTAACCAGATTATCATTAACCAATCGTTTTTGAAGGAGCACCTGGCCATACAGTCTCTCAGCAGCACTGTGTGATAATACCAGACATGTGTTGTCCTACCTGGTCCAGGAAGTAGTGATCTGACAGCCGATAGGGGTCATTGAGGTCGTGGCGATGTGTCAGGACACACTTGTGTCTCTGCGGAAGGGGGGAGGACTCGAGTGGCTGCAGGGAACTCTCCAGTTTCTGGGAGGAGTTGGATGAACTGTCTGTCGTGTTCTGAGGGGACAAACAAACACAGGATGCAGGCTGAGAGGAGACTCTGATTGGATATGCCACACAAATTGTTAGTGCAAGGGGATGACATGATTGGACAAACAAAAACAGGAAGCTGTGGTGCAGCTCAGATGGGGAAAACAGGAAGTGTGAGCTCTGTTGTTGGAGCCACTTGATCCACATTTTGGACTTCTGTGTGGGACGTTTTTAATAATGTGACAAAAAACTTAAGCAACAGCAGATACAATTATTCAGGTTATCAAAACTTTAAATAAGGCTTAGGTTTATCCACCTGCCATGTTCCCCTTAAAATGGTAACTTCCAATGGCTTATTTTACCTGATAACCAGCCTTAAACTCAAGCGTTTAAAAAAGTTTGATCTTTGTTTCCCTAACTTCAATAATGAATCTTTGATTCAAAAATCAAAGTATTTGTTGAACAGTTGAACTGTATCCAGTGGAAATCACTAGGGACAATGACCTGCAAAGTGGCCTCTTTTTTCCCTTAACTACTTTGAACAACTACTTTAAAGATTTCGTACATCAGAAAAGTTTTTCCACTGAGATGAAGAGAAGTCTCCCTCTTTGGGAAATTTGTGCCACTAGACTGCATTGAAAAAGGTTTCGTGAGTTTACAAGTGAGTCGTTTCTGTGAACCTGAATTTTAAGCAAACTGATTTTGTACTGAACCACCTTGTAGAACTAAACTCAAGGTTCATACTCAGGTATGTTTAGGCTTTCAGACAATGACAGAGATACTTGATGGTGCATTCCATTGTCTGTTTAGGAAATCTTATCCTGACATGTTTACTTAGCTTTTTACTTCTACTCCAACACATTGCTTTGCATACTGATGCCCTGTGTTGCTTGATTGGCCTCTTATGTTTGTTGTTGGGAAGTCTATTGCTTCTCTGGGTACTTTTTCATCTTCAAAAATAGCGACAAAGTTATCTGAACAGTAGTTTAAGACATAAAACTAAAAGCTAAAAAAAGAAATTGTGGGTTGAAATGACTGCTGGCATCCGAAAACTTAGCAAAAATGATATACCACAGAACTTTATTTTTTTGAAGTGTAACCAAAGGTCATTATTAGAAATGTCATCTTTGAACTCCTCTCAAAATCTGTCAAAATGTTTACGTAATGTGCACAAACCTGAAATTCAGTAAGCCTTTAAAACAAAGCTATGAATTATTTGACCCAGATCTGCTGTCTGTCTGTCTGCCTGTCTGTCTGCCTGCTGAAGTGATCCCTATTATATCCTGCTCCCCACATGGATACCGCCATGCTGAGAATTTCCCCGAGCTTTCTTACAAAGCCCTCAGAGCAGCCAGCCAAAAATAACATAACATGCTTCCTCCACTCCAGGCTCCGCCCCCCTGGAGAAGACATTACCAGGGGGGAGGGAGGAGCTGATACGGTTTACAAACCAGTCTGACTCTGGCCTCCACGGCTGCAACTAATTCAAAACACAGACCAGAATATTTGCTGAAAGCTCAAACTGCACCAGAAGAGAGAGAGAGAGAGAGAAAGAGAGAGAGAGAGAGAGAGAGAGAGAGAGAGAGAGAGTGAGAGAGTGAGAGAGAGAGAGAGAGAGTGAGAGAGAGAGAGAGAGAGTGAGAGAGAGAGAGAGAGAGAGAGAGAGAGCGGGAGACTCAGACAGACAGACAGACAAAGAGAGAAAGAGAGGAGTCAAGGGCTTGAGTTTATATTTCTGGACATCCTCTCCTATATATTCTGGCCCAAGGCTGGACCAAGGGCATTTCAAGTTATTTTCTGACACAAAACATGTCCCGACTCAAAGCTTGGGAGGATTCATCCTTCAACAGACCCGTCTCGCTCTCCTGGGATGAGCCCAGAATTGCTTCAATAGCTTTTACTCTGCCTGTTGTGAATGAGCCAAAATAGAGAGAGAGAGAGAGAGAGAGAGAGAGAGAGAGAGAGAGAGAGAGAGCAAGAGAGAGAGGTGCTGAGGGGGTGGTGCAGAGGAAGGGCCGGGTTAAGTTTAGGTTTGGCGAACTAGGAATAATTTAGGGAAGTATGTCCATCCTTGCTCTCTCCCCTCTGCAGCCCCCTACACCGTCCTCCCTTGTCCCCCCTAAAGGCTGTAAATCTGCTGCAGCATTTCCCCCTGTCCACGGCTGCCTGCCTCACTAACTCTGCCACCACCGCTAACTTTAGGAAAGGTCATAGGCACAACTCAAGAGAAAAAGAAAAAGCATAGAGCACAATAGGAATTTATGTCATTGTAAAATATAAAATGAAAGCAGAGGCTTTTTTAATTCCCACAAGAAAAAGGAGGGAGATATGGCCTTACAGAAAAACTGCACAACAATGCTTTCAGGCCATCAAGATTTCAAGACCTTAAATGCTAAATACAGTTTTGGCACCTCCAGAAGCAAAAATGGGGTTTTGTCTTTCAAATGCCCTTTGGAGTCAAAAGAGCCTCCTTTCAGTTCTTGACAATTGGACCTATTACATCATGAATCAGAACAATCAAGCCTCGTGCTAACACAATTGTCAAAAAATGAAAACACCTATAACTTTACAGCACTGTACTTTAAGGCTTCAGACACATTTATACTGTTCAGCTTCTGGGTCAAAATCTGACATGCAAACTGAGTACATGTGCAGCAGAGCACTCAGGCCAGTCTATCATGTTATTTTCCAGTCCGCCATTGTTGGTAGCCTGGCATTAGTAGGCTGATCAGCCAACTCATTGATTTTCACAGGCATGTGGGTCTGAAACTGCTGCCACTTCAAACGCTTTCCCTTGGTGTCAGATAAGTCTAACCAATCACAGCCCTTTGTTTATGATGATGACACAGGTTCGATACGTCAACCTTTTGTAAACAACCAAGATGGCAGCTCCCGCTGCTGGAAGGTGGCTACAGCAGCTATTTTAAACAAACCGAATAATGTACAATTATTAAAACAAGACCGTACATCTGCACATGCAGTGTCCATGGTGAGAAATGTACGCCAGCCACTGTCTGTTCACATTACTGTTGTAATGCACTTTGTCACATAAGCTGCATTGATCTGATTGTCTGGCCAAGTCACCTGACTACATCAGGCTACTTCGTTGGTGCTGTTTCATAAAATGTCAGGGGCACAAAAGCTCATAAGCTGAACATTGTTATCTAACCCTCTACAGAAAGTCAGTGGTTTGAGGGAAGGCTAACAAATGGAGTCTGTCACTTTAAAAATCACTGTTTATCAAAAAGGGAGCATCTTGCCGTTTAGTTTGGAATTGACATGCACAATCAAGTCCATGTCTGCTTATACTTAAGCCTTTAAAGCATGGCCAACAGGGAATTGAATTTTATTTAGTGCACTAAAAGTGCCAACTTTCCTTGATGCCTCTTCAAGAACTGCGCCACCCTTCGACTCTCTGTAGCCTGTGTTGGGATGTGTCTGTGTTGTGGGTGTACACTCCCAGCAGAGCACCTATTAGTCTTGGCTCTTACAGACAACTTGAGTCAAAGATGAACCACGAGGCACTTCCTCTCGTAAATCACCAGCCCTGCACTAAGCTGGGAAACAGCTGCTAGCTGCTAGTTTGGTCGCCACTCTCTTTTTCTAATGGAAGGGTCGGGGGAAAGGGGGAGTAGAGGGTGGATGGGGGAGGGGGGTCACCAGGAGAGAGCGAGGTGGTGGGATACAGGAAATGACCTTGTGACCCTGCCTGCTGCTCCTGGTGTCAAGTTGCAGAGTGGGGGGAGGGGGTCCTTCATGCTAACTTAAGGTACAGAGGTCCTGACACAAACACAAACACACACTCTCACATGCACACACTTAGGCCATTTACTGTGACAGGTAAATGTGACAGACAAGGGAAATTGAGGGGCTGAGCTGAAATACTCCCTGCTACAAGAACCAAAAAGAGTGTGTAGACTTTATGTATGCACAAAACTGGGCTGGATATCTGCTTACTGTGGGCTGGAACTTTTTCAGTTTTATTCAAGATGGCATTTATTGATCACCCGTTGGACTAAAGTCAGCTGTAAACAGCAGCTTACAAAACAGTTTCTGTCGTTAAGGATGTTTAAGAAACCCTGGCGGAGAAAGAACCACAGCTGAACTGCTAAAAAAGGAGTAAAAAGTCCTAGCCTATATCCAAAGATCCTACATATTTGCAGAATTTAAAGGCAAGGTACAAGAGTTTAGCTCTGGGGGAGCTGCAACCACCACTTTTAGTCCAAGTTGTATGATCTCAAGGATTGCAGCAGGCCAGGGATATATACAAGAAAAACAGTTGATGTGAAGAGACTCTGAAGCACAATGTGTTCACTGTAAATTAATCTGGAACTAATTAGCTGTTGTGTGATGTGAACACATTTGATCCAATTTTTTAAAGCCCCCATCTGTGCTCATGTACTGCACAGATGATAATCCTAACCTGTTGTTGTCTTATTCCTTTGGATTTCTTTCTTTTTCTAAAGCAGCTGGACAGAGTTTTCACTTTCTGTTGATTTTGGCAGCCTCTATGGACAAAAGCGGTAGTGTTTTAGCGCATATTGTCGTAAAGACACACTTAACCGCTCGCACGTCAGGGCTCCAGAAACGAACTTTTTTGTTGGCAGTTTGAGGCAACTTACTTTGTAAATGTATTTAAAATGGGAAGCGAGTCTGGGTTAGCCTGCCGCAGAGTGTGAGACAGATGTGGAGCAGCAGGACTACTGAGGTTACAGAGCTGCTCTGCCTTTCTGTCTGTCTGTCTCTGGTGTGGAGGAGTTTCTCACTCTGTGGCTGCAGCTGTAGCATGACACGGTGTCTGCAGGAGGCTCCTGCTGCAAGATGTTGTCACCGTTTGTGTAGTGACAGTAATATCTGCATGTACAGTGCCAAATAAAGAGAAAAAACGCATGTGTCCAGACATGACCATTGTCTCCAGTTTTTACCTTTTTCACTATTTAGAAATAGCTATCCCTTATACAGATGGGCTTATTCGCTGTTGCAGGTGACTGGGAGACATCAGCAAAAATGAGGGATTTTTAAAATCTAGGTTAAAGTTCCTTACAGGAAATTTAAATTTACATCAAAGTTAATTGTAAAACTTAAAACAATGATCAACACAGGATAAAGGGGGTTTTGAATGTCCTTACATCCTTCAAAAAGTCGTCTTCTACAGTAGAAGCTCTGAAAGGTGGTTAAGTGTCCATCGTAATCAGAAATGTGTTCCAGGAATGCTTAAAATGCATGTGAAGAGAATTTTAAAAAGTCTGATTGAAAGATCGTAGAGGGCAGTATTTTCCAAACTGAACGGAGGTAAAGTGAGATTCAAAACAACAACATAGAAGACCTTCAGAATGGGATAAAAAACTAAATACATCGATGCTGCATCGGTTGCTATAGTTTTTTTCATATTCCTAGTTTGCATCAGTGTGCTGTGCTCAAACTGTCATCACCATTCTGTGCTTTCATTATTCCCAGAACGGAGTAATGCTGGTGTTCCAGCGTACGCTTCACATGCACACAATTTAGACGTGAACACACACAGTGCTGTCCCGCCCTTCTAGCCCCACACAGCTTACATTACATCTTGCCTCTGTAACACTTCTGTAACTATTTTCTATGCCAATACACAACAGAGACCACTTGGTTACCATAACTATTTTGTCCCTGACGCTTTCATATTGAAGACTCGATGTCAGTTTAAGATGCAGCATTAATGCGCATGTGACAATTTAAAAAGAACTCATGATATAATTTTTTCAATCCCCCTGGATCCTATAAGAAAACGTGGAAACACAGAGTGCCAAAAGCTCTTCTTCACAGTGCATGCAATCTGACAAAGCAGCAGCTTCTGATTTGGAGAAATTAACCTAATGTTGAGGTGCTAAAATTCTTTAAACTTCTTTCGTATCCACTTGAGTCTGGCTGCAAAAGCAGCAGAAGACATGCACATGTGCAACAAAGCCCATTTTTCGAGCAAAAATGAACATTTTCACAGCTTGAAGAAGTTACTCCTAAAGAACATAACAGACACTTCAAAACCTGAATTACATATACATGTGAAGAACATGGACACTTACAGTAAAGACATCATCGTCACCCAGCTCGCCCTCATTCTGGAGTGCTGTAGAGGAGGTGGTAGAGCCTGCACAGACGAGACAACAGAAATATTACTTCAACTGAAGGACAAGACATATCATTTGACTAGTCCTCTAAACCTGCATCCCTTGTTCAACCCTTAGGATATAACTTTGATTTGTTTCCACCCTGCAGCCCCTTTCTTGATTGTTGCTCCCTGCTCCCACCCTACTTCCTGCTCTAGCCACTGTCCTATTTTCTAAATAATAAAGCAACAAAAAAAAAAAAAAAACAACCAAAAAAAAAAAAAAAAAAAAAAAAAAGAACAAAACCAAAATCTAAATAAAATCAACAGAGTTATACTAAAAAGAAATGTGAATACATAAGAGCCTGGACATGGACTTGAGGAGCATCTTGTCAAAAGCAGAAAGACATTAGAGGGATACAGGACAATGGCCAGTCCTGACTCGGGGTATGTTCTTTGTTGAATTTAAGTCAGAACATTTATTTAGCCCAATTAATTTTCAATAAAATTGATAATAACCTGTTATTTTAGAAGCTAGACCTACATTCACACTCTCCTTAGATGCCTTGTGCTCCCACATGCAACTTTCATTCTCAACATACCCTCAGCTAGGTCCTCGATGGCTTTTCGAACCCCTCTGTCAAACGCTCTGGCATCAGCTGGACTCTGAAAGGATAGGCCACACTTCCTATCCTCCACCTTCCAATGGTGAAATGTGGGTGTTGCTATCGTGTACACAAGGTCTTTCCTCAGCGGACAGTCAAGGATCACCTGTTCACATCACACAATGAACAAGCAGCACACAGCGACCTTCCTTATATCTTATCGTTTAATAAACCTCTCTTGCTGTGGTCCATGTTTGTGTGTGTGTGTTTACCTGTTTGTCCCTCAGCCGTTCACCCCTGATGAGGAACTGGGAGCTGCAGGAGGCTGGTGCAGGTGCCAGCTCTGGGGGCAGGAGGCGGCACACGCCAACTCTGCTCAGAGCTCCTCCATCCTGGGCCAACCAGCCACCGCTTGAGTCATCCCGCGTCATCACCACCGCTTTCACACGCACGATGTAGCTGTCACTGCACAAAGAGAGATGAAGTATGATCAGAAAAACCTACTTAATTTGTTTTCATGTAGCAATGGCTGTACTTAGCTTGTGCTCAAAACCATCAATATCAGCATAGCTGCTACTGAATTTAAATTGCTATAATACTGAGATTCAACAACCTTTTTTTTCCTGTGTCAAGAGAGAAACAGAACGCTTTGGGACAGAAATCCCTTAAGTACTCTTCACTTAAAACTCCACAGTGTGGGGTAATGAAACCATCAAAAAGTCATAATGTCATTATTGTTGTGCGCTAAGTTCACCAGAACTTCAAAACGATGGTCAAAGCAGAGCATCACTGCAGGAAAGACCAGGAAGTTGATGCCTGTGCGTGGGTAAAACTCTTATGCTCCCCCCCAAAGGTTCTGTAATAAACGTACTAAGACTCAATCTAAAGTAGGATATTCTACAGCATTTTAATACATTTAAACCTTGTATATGTATGCTACCAGATTGGATGCTGTATTGTTTAACTTCAAGAGGACTATTAGTAATAACAGTACACTGTATGTCAAATCAAGTACTCCAGGAGCAAGGAAACCCTTGTTTGGTATGGACCTGGCATAATTCAAATAGTGATTGGTTAAAAAAATGTGAAGCAAAAGCAAAGACTTTGACTAAAATTTGAGTCATAGTGATATGAAATCTGTCTAAATAGTCCCTAACTAGTTGATGCATTACTTTTTGAGTAAACACTAACTGCAGCAATCATGTTTGGTTGCCGATGATCCCCAAATGAACCATATTTGATGACCTGCCAACATGAGATTCAGAAAGACCTTCATTCATTCCACGCTGGTGAAATTTGCGACATGGGCTACATTTCATTACCTAGACTAAATTGTGTGCATAGCTGGCTGGTTCAAGAAGAAATCCACAGAGGAGATCAAAACTGACTAACCTAAAGTTAGCCCTTAAGTTTCACTGAGCAGATACTAAAACAGTATGTCTATCAAAAAGTTACTATTAACAGCTGATGTGCAAGTTTTTCTAACATAAACAAAGAGGAAAAAACTACAATACACTGATGTGTAAATGTACAGAAACAAAAACTACTCAGTAGAGCTACAAGGACATACAATGACTATGTGTATTTAACCCCCAAAACAAATGTTTTTCATGCACAACATAGATACACACACAGAACTTTTAGGCAACTAAAACTACTCCCCAGGCAGGAACTACAATTCTTTATTGTGACAGGCTAAACTTGTAAAAACACTACACTGAAACTTCTTAGCATGATGATTCCATAAATATCACAGAGATAGATTCATATAGATGCCAGAGTATGTATGAGGACTGAGGTGGAAGCTGTCTTCTCTGGTAATACAAAAACCAAAAATCTATGAAAAAGAAAACTTGAATTCAAAGTTTGGTGAGTTTGGTTGGTTTATAACATGAATATATATATAATTAAAGTATTATAATATTATAATTAGAAAGAAGTGAAGTTTAAAAACTTGAATAAATTAAAGGATTTTTTTTACTGTATAATGAAAACTCATAAAAGAAAAGTAAACAAGAAAATACTTTATCATTAAGGATTATGAATTTTTCAAAACACTTCATAACCCAACTCAGCTTGATGCTTTACCACAACAGAAAGATGGTGTAGGCTAAAGATACATCACACAGTGACACACTGTCCCATTAGTTTAGACCATTTACCAGTGCAAAACAATACCTGACAAAAACTCCCTTTGCTGTAAATGGACTACTCAGTCCCAGAACATGAGACAATACAATGGAGGCTGAATGATAAAATACAAGACGTTCTCCAGCATTGGCATGACAGGCCACCACCCTCAGATGGACACAATGAACATGGTCACAATCCTCATGAATGATCTAACAATAACAGGATGTAACTCGTTTTTTTATTCCATCCATGCTTCACTTATGTGTGTGTGTTTGTGTCCTCATGACTGCATGTGCGCATGTGTGTGTGTTTGCTGGTAGAATGAAGAGAAAAAGAGATGCAGAGAAAGAGAGATAGAGGAGAGAGTGGGAGTGAATGAGAGAGGTGTCGTTATATAATTAGCTTTCAGACTGTCCCAGAGATTTGGGACACACACACACACACACACACACACACACACACACACACACACACACACACACACATCGGGCACACACAGGTGGCAAAACTGGTTCACCAGCTCCCACCCACACACATTCATAAAAGTAACTGAATGACAGACCGACTGACTGGCTGACAGCAGACAAACAGAAGAGAAACTACAGATTCAAACTCAAAGGACCAAACACTCTTCAAATAAAGGGCTTCCTCTGAATCCACTTTAATAAACAGTCTTCTCTCTTTACACATCAGCATTTAGATGAGCTGATCCATTCTACAAAAGCTAAAACCCACACTTTAACTTTAATACTTCATCTAATTGAGTAAAATTGCGACCGACAGAGTGGAGCTAAAGTGTTAAGTCATATAGTGTATATATAATTCAATGTGTCATGTCATACCACAGTGGGCGGGGGCAAATAAGTCATTCAGGTTCTGCTCAACCACGTGGAAAACTTGAATGGCAACACAAAGGAAATAATAGAAATGTCAATGGTTTATTTATACTTCTATTATTTTCCAAAGAGAGCAAGGCTGCAGCCTGGCTGACCTTACTGTAGATGCTGCACTGACATGGCTTCTGGCACCTTGTTATTAAGTCCATTAGAAGTCATCTTCACTTCTGTGCAATTATCTGTTTTCATATGGTACTCTGTTTACTAGAATAAACTGCTAGTTAAGAGACTGTTCTTGGTATCAGCAAACTGGCATTTGAAAAACAATGTACTGTATTTTGCGATGCTAAACAACACAGGATAGAAAGGGGGCTCAAAACATGGGATGGCACAAGTTATACATCAATTTATGGTCCACTATTTCTACTGAAACACCCTATCCAGAAATAAGTCCATAACAATTTGTTTTTACATGGTGTAGATCGGTAGAAGGTTTAAATGTCATTAGCATCTAGCCTTCACACATGAAATTGCAAATTCTGCAGTTGCTAAAGCAGTTACAATGGCTGATGCGTAACCCATTTAAAATTCAAGGGGAGCCTCTGGTTACTGGCTACAATAAGTGGATATTCACTAATAAATTCTATTTGGGGGCTTTTTCATGGTCCACTATGATCTAATGTTATCTAAGTCAACTTACTTCACAAACGGCCACTGCCAAGGAAGGTTTAAAAAATGAGCCATGAATTCTCTCTTGTCTTTGTTAAAGCTCAAATTCTTGGTTTTAATTAAGAAAGTATATGGCTAGATAAAGAGTGGAAAAAAATATAGAAACTCTTAATGTTTAACTTCAAAACTACAACTGATAAACCTGCTGTAAGAACAGCTCTCGCTCAAAGTAAATGCTTGGTGGGAAAATGAAATCCAAAGCACAACAGCCTTTCAACATGACTGACAAGTGTGCAACTTATACAGAACTGTACACCAAGCCTGACATCACACACACACACACACACACACACACACACACACACACACACACACACACACACACACACACACACACACACACACACAAAACAGCAAATTCTGTGCAATATGAGCATCTAAGTATTGAGATACATGAGACTGACAGTCAAGTTCAGCTCTCTGAGATGAACTTGTCACATTTTGGGACGACAAGCCCTGTAATCTGTGGTCGGAACACACAGACAGCCACAACCAGCAGCAACGCGCTACTTTAATACACTTGGGAGTGACCACACATTCTGGCATAAATAAACACAGACACACACATACATTCGGGAACTGTGAATCTAATTTGGTCCACACAAATGTAACACGAGGTACCGTTTCCGAAAAGGGACTATGACGCTAACTTTAAGAAAAGGTTGTTGATGCAGTATGTGCTTATGTTTGTGCAAAATTCACGTCTTAAACTGCACATACTACTCGGACAACATGGTTGTTGTGTATTTAAATAGAAAACATTTTCCAGGGTGTTAATCACATTTTACTCCTTGTCTAGGGCTACAAGCACTGTTCAAAGTCCCTTTTAGGAGGTTTGATCATGTAAAATTTAAGTTGAATATTGACTGAATTCAGAGGGATTCATCATTATTGCACTGATAAGGACAGCGCAAACAATTTATGCATTACATCCTTTTATAATTTAATATGAGCTGTTGACATCAGGGCAAAGGTGCATGGTGTGTCCTTCCTCATACTCCTAATGACAGCTGCTATGTACCGTTGCCATGCAGCCGGGCTTCTTGCACAACCTTTACAGTACCACATACTGTTGCAGTAGTTTTCCTGTGTTCTCAAGTCATTTTCATGGTGTACTTCCTTCTGCCCACATTGAAAGCTCCTCCAGCAAATGTATAGCCAATTTATTATTATAAAAATATGTCAATATGCATTAGTCACAGCAGTAAACTCAGCAGCTGGTACAGAGAACTGCATATTTAGCTTAATTCAGCAATCATTAATTCCTGCAACTATTTCACTTTTGTTGCACACAAATGTTCAGAGTTAGCTGCATCCCTGTTTGAGATCAATAATTGTGTGTGTTGCCATAGTTACCATTTAGCACTATGACATGCGCATCATAAGACAGTTAAAATAACATCAACACATATGAGCAGCCAATTGGGGCAGCAGAAACAAGCTTTTAACACTAAACTACTAAACTAAATACTACTGTGTAACATTTATACAGTTTATTTATAAACAAAGTGTCAAAAATCACACTTTCAGCTTACACAAAGTAGAGTTATATCTAAAAGTAGTATAGCAGATGAGTATCCAATACTTGCCTTTCTATATCATTTAATTTGGTCTAAACTGGGTTATGAGGATGACGACCGAACAAAGATTCATTGTTAAACTACTATCCTGATTATAGCATTTTAAACAAAAGCTAGCTTAAGTTTTAGGGAATATTTGCCTTCACTTTCAGCCTTTTATTTTGTTACACTGTGAAATAAAAGAGGAAAACATTTTTTTTTTCTAACAAGCTGAGTGTTTACACATAAATAAGATAAAATAAAATAAAAAGTGTTTATTTTCTTTTATCGATCATCCCACTGTCTAGTAGAAGCTTCAATTTCTCCTCTTTCATATCTATAGCTTGTGCTCACTTTGCAAACTAGTCTGTGTAATGAGGAAGTGACTTAAGGAGGGTTGAGTACACACCTGTGGATTTCCTTCAAAATGACAGCAGCGACAGTCAGTTATCTCTTTATGTTTTAGGCTTATGTGCCTTTAAGACATATTAACATTAGTAGCCTGTTCATTTTCACAATCAAAACCCACCTCTTTTTGCTTTTTGCTTTCATGTTTTTAGAGCTTGTGCTAAAAGAACCAATATAAGTTTAGCTAGCTAGCAGCTGCAAATGCCTCAGGAGGTCTGTGAGTAACAATATTGCCATAAAACAGTAAAGGGGGGTGGGGAGCAGGCGGGTTATCTGGTCTGAAATCCAGCTCATGTGTAACAGATAAAAGGCCCAGTGAGGGCAGACCAGCCATGTGTGATAAGGGCGGCTATACTTCCTCTGATAAGGAATGACTGGCCGCGCCTCTGCCTGATCAACAGAACCCCCCCTCCCACACACATACACACACACACACCCCTGCACAGAGTTCATTTCTCTCAGTGGAGCTTCACACGTACACACGTATGCACGCACATGCATACACTGTCTTCAGGAAACAGGAAGTGACTGGAAATTGTACTTCACAATCAGACTTGTTTTATGATTAGATTTTGCTTTGGCTTTAATTAGAGGAGATAGAGGTTCAAGCAATGCAACTCATGAGAAAGAGACGTTTATTTATCAATTACATAACTGAACTCTTTACAGCAACTCAAATGTTCAGATTTGCTTTATTTTCTGGTTCGCTGTAAGTCTAATTTTCCTGGGATTTCCTATCATTGTATAAACTCCATAAATAATGAGCATACTTTAATCTTTATACAGGTGTACTGTCAATAATGTAACATGAGACAGTATCTTTTATTCCAGAAGTGTTGTTTCTTGCTGATTAGTGTTGCTAGAAAACGTATAAACTGACAATTATAGAGTTTTACTATTCATGTATTTTGGATAGCAAAACGGGAGAAACTGGTCTCAAATTGGTGCCAAAAGTGTGTATTGAATGGATAAGTTGAATTATTTACAGGTCATTAGACAACAAATGTGAAAATTTTTAATAGATAAAATTAAATCAGAAATTAGTTACACGTAAGGAGTTGCAGTTTTGAAAGTCATTGTTGCTCCTATTATTAAACTTCACTTGAATATGAGCATTTCAAAGAGAAAGGAATAGACAGAGGGGAAAAGAGAGGTGTGGTGAAGTGAGTTCATTCACAACTATTGACTGTGAAGGGCTCCTGGGGGCAAGTTTGATCGGCTTTCTGTCAATCAGCTGTAGTTATATGGAGCACTCACATGTCTGGGCTGCTGTGAGCCATTGTAAGCCTTTCAGTTGACCTGACAAGGAGGTCACTAATATGCCGAGAACGTTAATGGATAACATCCCATACTCAACCGGCCAATCAAAATGCAAGTTCACACCTTACGCTTGAGTACTAATATCTATGAGAGCAAAAAAGTGCTGTTAATCATTTGGAAATGGATTGAAAAGAAGCTGTCACAGTGAGATTATTTAAGGTGTTAAGTTAAAAATGATTAGTTCAGCCTTAATGATTACTGAATGTGGGATAACATTATATCTTCATGCAAATGTTAGGGCCATTTCGTGTTGCAGCTTCAACATGTAGCACTACAAACCGCTAACTGCACTCATAGAGTAAGAAGTCACTCTCTAATGTGACTCTGCAGCTCCTGTGTTTGTATCAACTTGGAAAGCATACTGGAAAATAAGCTGATTGCTTCTAAACCTCTTGAAAGCCAACCAAAACCCTCTATAATTCCCCATATCCTCTTGCGCTCTGTTAGGCTTATCGCTTTAGGTCAAATGTAAGTGATCAGACATCTGTCAAAATGTCAACCTTGGTGTGTTTGATCAGGTTGTATTCATTTACATAAACTGTCAGATGTCAGTGGTTTATCTTGTAATTGGACGGCCTGTGGACCAGCTCCAGGGCAGCAAACCAACTGAAAATGATTTGCATAATAAACACTAGGAAGTCTGTTCTCTCAGGGCTTCCCTGGTCCAAATATGCTGGTATATATACCACTACTCATGACGGGCTGCACTGTTTCCTGATACTATTTGTGGTTGGTTTTAAATAGCCTCTAGCCTTTCCCTATTATGTGGTGATGGAATAGATTTAATTTAATGTTCACAGAAACATCCAGCTTCATCAAAAAATAGGAAATAACTAACAGAACTCCATATGGGAGCACCATTTGGACATTTTTTTAAACAATAGAAAGGATGTCCTCACGTCATTTACTTGTTTGTTTCAAGAATACACTCTTGTTGGAACAACAAGAGGGATTCAGATACGAGCAACCTGGTCATCAGATTGTCTTAATAAACAAAACTTATGTCCAACACAATGACAACACTTTTCACTTACAAAGAAGAGTTACAGATCCACTCCGATGAAAATCATGTTTTTCTTGTTTTTTACATGTTCACAGGGAATTTTTTAAATGCTACATGACATAAGTGCGAAATTGCATTTCTGCATTCAAATCACTGTGAATCTCTGGCAGACCCAAACGCCAGGTTCAGATACAGATAGTGAGATTTCCTATGTCACACATCTAAGCTCCGCCCCTGGTGCCCTGCTATACAGGCCAGACTCTGTGAAATAGAGAGGACAATCACGGAACAAGCGTGTGTGTTAGCGGATTGCAATGCTGGTAAGAAAGCTAGTTATGATATTGACTTTTATCTAGTCACTAAAGATACTGGTGTCCGAGAGCTGAATAGCTCCTATGTTACCTGCCACTTCTACTACAACAACAATGTTAGGCTGCAAGCTAGCATGAAGATGAGTGTGCAGATCAGTGCTGTATCTGCCCACAACTCAGAGCTGACTTGCTAATGAGCTACTTGGGCTCTGCAGAGAAAAAGCCCTTGAAAATGACACAGTTTTGGCCATTTTGGCCAAAAACTTTATCGTCACAATTTTAAGACCACTGTTAACACTTAAAGTAGTAAAAAAAGAGATGGGAGTGGGACTTAAAGTTATAAGTTATAAGCCTGTTAAAATACTAAACAAAAGAGCACACAATGTACAGTTTTGTGGTAGATGTACATAAACAAGCAATTGATGGAAAATGTATGTGTATGTGTCGATTTACGCAAAATCATCAAGGTTGTATCATATTACACTTAGGTGAAACCTCAACAGAAGAAGTGAAAGTTCACAGAGTTCTTCAGCTAAAGAACTGAATGGAATTTGAGTCGTCAATAATGCGCCCAGTGGATTGTTATGTACAATAGAGAAAACAAATGGGCGGGTGAACTGAATGAAAACTTGAACCATCATAATCTTGGTCATCTAGTCATCTGATGAGCCGAGATTGGTTTAAAAAAAAAAGGAGAGAAACAATCCAGGTCCATTGTTTGGTCTTCAGATATAAACAGCTCAGGCCGTTATATAAAGGCTCCGGATAGCAACCAGTGATGAGCTGCTCTGTAAAACACAGGAAATACTGTGAACAGGGATCTGTTCCACATGATATGTGTGAGTATGTGTGTGTGTGAGTGAGAGTCTGTGTGTGTGGAGGGGGAGTACAGAGAGAAAAATTGCAAAAGAACTTTGTTTGTGGACATGGAGTATTTGTTGAAGCTCAATTTGCTTATTTAGTGAAATAGATATACTTTTTTTTAACTGTGTGTGGATCCATATCCATAATATCAACCACATACTCTTATGGATTAGCTTGGTATATACATACATTTCTATTGATTATATCCATTTTATCACATCTCATTTCATACTTGGTGGTTGTTTCATCCTAACCACACATCTTTCCATCCTGTAGGCAGGTTACACATACGTCACCTTTTTACAGTAAATGCAAATACTTAAAATACACGTTAGCAGGTCAGTAAGCTATACATGTGGTTTGACAACAGAAAACTATACAGCTTTCTAAACCATCAACAGGAAGCATCAGGTTTCATGATCAATTCCTCTTAATAACAGCAGAAGGTACTATTTTCTACACCACAAACAAGCTCTATAGGCCTAAAAGCAATGCAGCCCCATCACATTAAACTGATGTCAGATGCCACACTTCCAGTAAAAAGCAACCGCTTTTTCTCTTATAATTTAATCAAACATTTGGAGCCATGACAGGTGAAAACAACTCTTTAAAAGTTATTTGTCAAATTATGCTTATTATTGTCTCTGTATCAAAAAGAACAGGACAGTCTTGTTGAGGGAACATGCAGACCCACCAACTCTACACTGCTGTGTTTGCCAGTTGATGAGTGCTTTTTGTTCAGGGATGGATTATATTTCGTTGCTTAGTTGACCTTAGCTGAATGTCACCGGGCATCTCCTGTCCAATACTGACTGTGCACATGCTGACCCTGCAGCAGCACACACCAGATCAATACATGCTCTGTTTGCGATGTGACTCTGTGTGTGATGAACATCCTCCAAAAGACAGTAGAGACACACATTTTCTAAACTGAGGACATAGCTACAGGATAAGTTAGGTAGCAGAAAAAGACCCTAAAAATACACACATTGCCAGTAATCACTGCTAAATTTAGCTGCTTTTACGACTGAATTTACTATGCTGTTGAACCCCTGCTATATGGTAAACTTCCTGTGAAGTGAAAGGGGTAGTGACACAAAACGCATACAAGAAGAAAAAGCTACATTGCTGCTCCCTTTTGTATCTAACAAAAGGTAGAAAGGTGTGCCTTTATTTCCTGACCCTGCCTTAAACCCATCAATGGCTTTTATTTCTGATTATAAAACCACAAAAGACTAAACTAGCAGATAAGAGCACACTGATTTAGTTCATTCTGGTAATGACGTGAAGCCTTTTTATGAAGCAACTCAGTAGCAAAAGGTGACTATGGCTGACTGTGTGGTCATTCAGCTGTCGTTTAGCCTATTTCTAAAAATACAAAAGGAAATGACACTTACCATAGATACATTTACTGTGTTTTTTTCATTACTATTTCCTAAAATAATCTTGTGCATTAAGTCATATGATTTTAACTAGTGAGACAGAGGGGGCTGAGCAATAAATGACTATTTCATTGCATTATGGAATGTGGCACTAGCAATAGTTTAATTAAGTCGACAGCATATATTGTTTTGATGCCTAAAATGCAGAATTGTGGCCTAAGGATTAATTAAAGCTGGTCAAAGGTTAAAATTAAATGGTAAATAACTGGACACAGACAGTATCCAATTTTGAGAGGGAGTTGATTTCAGATGCTATTTTCTTGAGTACATGTGGGCAAACATCAAGCATATTAGATGGTGGCATTGGACTAGGAGATGTACATCTTTCACAGAGCGCTTACAAACTCTTTTTTCCGTAGCACGGTCGTTGAAGAATATGCCTTTGGAGAAGACAAAACTACTTGAAAGTCAAAAGGACGGTGGTTTTTAATACCCTCTGTGACCCGGAAGTTCAATCTAGGATTTCGTATTCACAGAAATAGGACAGGCTACTCCAAAGAAGTTATGAGACTTTCAGGATGTGGAATAGTAACTTTAATGAAATAACGTTTCGGAATTAAAAGGAAATGTATGGATCGTTCACACCCCATAGGTCTTAAGGGGGGTCAGCGGACTCCGGGTTTTGTCTCTCATTTCTACTCGACTCTGCTCCAGTCCGACAGAACACAGGTTAGCCTACTCTCCATCTATAGAACCAGAGACAGGCTGGCAACAAGTATCTACTGTATGTGCAGGCCTCTCGCTGTGTGGCGATAGCGGCCAGTGGGCATGAATGGGGACGCGCTGAAGGTTAGGAGGCTTTTATGAATGAGTCGGCGTCACGCCACTGCAGCGCAAACATCCCCCACGATGCCCTTCGCCCTTCCACCCCCGTCGACAGAGATCTGCAAGGCAGGCATACCAACCGAGCACGGCCCCGTGTCGTCTGACAGCGAGGGAGAAGTTATCGATACTGGCTTATAGCGTTGTAAAACCCCAGACAGGGAGCCAGTATTTTAAATGGCTCTGGCGTGGCTGGAGCCCACGTCTGCACATTTCCATTTAAGCCTTAAAGAGATTGGGTCTGGCGAAGGCACGTCTGCATACCTGAATAACACTGAATAATTATAATCTGTCGGTGGTCTATTTGTGTTGGATTTAACAAAAACACTCAAGCTAAAGCGCTCTGCCACCTGCTCTCCTCTGAATGTTATTCACATTTAGCCACAGCTCCTTCTTGGTATAGCTAATTTTAAGCTTCACGCGCTGCCATATAGGCCTATGGGTGCCGTATGAACAGGTTCGTGGGCCTACACATTGTAGCATACTGCTCTATATTAGCTACATTTCGCAAGACGCCACGGCATGGTGCACTGTGTTATCCGACAAACAGAAGCGGGCAGGCACAAGCTTGTAATGCTCGATTCAAAGAGAAACAGAACCGTATTTTTCACTGCAAGTCGTCGTTTACAATCGGTATTTTTATGAATGGAGCGCGGTAGGCTATGCAAATGAGGACGATTGAGAAAGAGATGGCGGATGAGGCATATCGGATATCTCATATCCTGTGAGACTTCCCCCTTCGGTTGGAAGCAAACATACAGATGTGGCCAAATAACGAAGCCAAATTGCCTCTGTAAACGCCGTTGGGTTTTTCTTTTTTCGCTGAACAATGCACAAACAAGAGGTGCGTGAGTTCGCTGCTGTTTGTGTGTTTATAAAAGGTGTAACTTCGGGGCGTGTTTGAGTTTCTAAGTTACGCTGCAACAGGGCCTGCTCTCTCGCTTCAGATCCTTTCAGAAAATGTTTCCGATCCACCCACGCTTATTCCCCTCCTCCTCCTCCTACTCCTCTGCTTTCTCTCTAGCCTTCTAAAGACGAGTCCACACCAGAGTGGGGGCCCTAAAAAACCCTGTTCTACACTACTGTCAATGCAATGCTTCAGAGCAGCATCAAGCACCAAATCTAATCGAGTGGACTGGGTATTATACAATACAAAACATACAAGAAGCTTTGTGTGGAGAGTTTAAGGCTGAATGTGCATTCCACCAAGTTGCCTCAATCATCCCCAACTTGTAGGCACTTGGAGAGGCGAAAGAAAGACAGATAGATAGAGAAGTCTATGAGCCACAGTACTTACTCGTTTGGGTGTGTTTCTTCTATCATTTTCTCGTTTCACCTCAGGTAATGTACCACGGCGGTTGCATACTTTTCGCTTGTCATTTTTTCACCGCGGCTCCTTAGATTCTGTCTCCAATTCCGCATAAATCCCCCCTGCGCCTTTGTGCGAGTCGAGGCTCTTTCGCTTGCCTTCGACTGGCTGTGTCTCGGTCTTCTTTTACTCACTTTTCACCTCTTCTAACGGCGGAGCCTCCCAGTCTCTGCTTGATCACAAATGCCCCCTTTCCCAAAACTTTAATAGCCCATCGCCTTCAGTAGGTAACGTAGCCTATGCAGACAGTTGAGTCGCCAAATCCAGCTCCTCTTTTCGCCTCCCCCCTTCCCCAAACACACTCACGCACGCACACACGGACACACAAGGCACACTCCGTTTTTAAATCCTTAGGCGCATGTTTGGACCGACGACTCCGGTTCCAGTTGTGCGTAAAGAGCGCGTCGTCGCTGTTGTTACCGAGGGGTGGCCCCGCTAGAGCCCCATCTCTCTCTACTCCATGTTGGATTGCAAGCAGCCGAGCTGCTCCAAACGACGCCGGGGGAGGGAGGTAAGGAGGGAGGGAAGGAGGGAGGGAGGGAGGGAGGGAGGAGGCGGAGAGGGAGGGGGTACAGGGCGGAAGCGGTGACGTAGGTCTACATTTTGGTGGAGGGCCCACGATGGCTGCAGGCCGTAGGGGCCCTTGATAAACTCACCCTCCCTTCTTGTTTTCATGTCACCTTTGTTCCTGAATCGAAGCCTCTAACTTCCTGTTGGTGTATGAAAGATATTTTTATAGAAAATTAAAATGTAGAAGGTTTCTGTAGGGCTTGATGCGTCTCGGCTGGTTTTGCATATTTACATAAGGTTGGCCTCTATATACCATTGAGGTGTTCTAGATGCAATTATATTCGTAACTTGTCATCCGGACCTAACCCTCCCAAACTTTTTTGCACTTATATTAATTGCCACAGATTAAAGGAAAATTACCACAAACACCTGAAAAAATAGTTATTTTAATTTCCATGTCTGATGAAACAGAAAAGATTAAGGGCTTTTTCCCGATAATCTTGTTAATTTCTCACTAATCTATCTCCCATAATCCATATCAGCTGTAAGTAAAATCTTGTTGCCATTGTAAAGTGAGCCGATTGAGCTCCTTAACACCTAGATCCTTAATAGTGCGGTGAGGCTCGATGATCAAACCATTTCGTTTTTTTTGGTGATTGTTGCCAGATTTGTGTTCCTGCCTTCAACAGTTGCCAGCATTGTTTTCAGCTTCATGCTTGGCCGAGAAATCGACACATGGTTTAAAACTGTGATGATATGGCGCCCCCATCTGATGATATGCGCACCTTGCGCGTTTGGTTCTGATCCAGCATTGCAGTCAAAAAGAACAACAGTGACTATTGTTCTGTAAAAACCTTTACACATAAAACTTAACATTTTTTCATTCAAGTACCACCTCTATTTAAAAAATGTGTCATTTAAATAGACCTAAGATAGATATGGGGGAGGTTTACTGTTTTGTTAATCGGAGGATAAACTGGGTGAATAATAGACTCTTAAGATCATCTTTATCTCATCTTGGAACCTTTTTTTATATGACTTCTTTATATTTTTCCCAGTCCACCAGAGAACCTAAACTAATCCACCAAGTAATTATTGCACTGGAAATTTACACCAAATCAGCCTCACTAGATTTTGGGGTCCAAGAAATTAAATAATTATTGCTTGTGGAAACAGATCTGCTTACCCACAAGCATTTAGATCAGCCCTTTTTTCTGCAAAAGTTATTTCATGAATATTTCTCATCAGCAGTGTTGGAGTTATGCAGTTGTGCAACTCATACTGCTGCATAATTAGCAGTAATCTATGTCATTTTTCTGAAGTCTTCGGAAACATTTTTATGATGCAACTAAGCATTTTTGCAGTCCTTTCTCCACAAAGATCTGAAGATAGCTTGTTATTTAACCTTGAAGCAGCAGGAAATATTGGCATAGCTGGTTAGACATATCAAAACTTCTTATAAAATATCCTAAAAAGTCTGAAACCCGGCTAACTACAGTTGCAGAGATTGTTGTTTGGTTTTATTGTTTAAAGAATGACATAATCATCACTGCAGCAGGAAATATTAGTGTAACCTGAGTATTAATGACATCATCTTAAGCCCCCCCTTTGGTGTCTTTACTGCCACCTTGTGGTTTGAGTGCGATAAAATTATCACATACTGGTGACTTGATTGGGCATCTTCCATGATACATAAGGATTCACATGGATGTCACTGACAAACTTGTAAGTTCCAAGCAACCACTTTATTTTGAAAGTTCAACCTAAGCTAAGTTTAACCTGTTAACTGTATTTCCTTACTTTGTCGGTTTGCAAAACTTGGTATCAAGGTTAAAAAGAGGTCACAGTTCTGTATTGTATTCCACAAACATCCATGTATGGAGTAAACCTGTTTTGGTTTATCAATCAAACACGTATAAGCTATTTGAACTGCAAAGAGCATTTCTGTGTGTTTACAGCTGCTTTCTTTACAGTAAAGAGTACAGCCTTGTGTGTATGGTGTGTTTTTACTTGTGTCTGGTTTCTGTCACTGTGTGTTGTTTTTGTATCATTACACTGTCCTAATATTTGCTTTTAATTCTGTATGTAATTAATGCAGCAGAAACTTCCCCTTAGGATGTTGAAAGGTCATTCATCTATATCTCCCTTGTGCATATAAACAGTTAATAAGTCTACAGAAACACACACACACACACACACACACACACACACACACACACACACACACACACACACACACACACACACACACACACACACACAATCAGCTTACCATTCATCATCATCATAGGAAAAAACTTTCCAAATCCTGTTCTAGTTTTCTGTTTCTCTGTTCTTACAGGTGAATTTCTTAATTTTGTAATTTTTGCCTTGTCTTTAGCTCTTGTTCTTCATTTATACAGTTTTAATTTCCCTAAATTTGCTTCCCAAATGTAATGCATAGCTTGAAATCTCATTTACACACACATTGATCACTTTTTCAGTGATCTTTATGTAGGCTTCACGTGATCATTGCACATTGAAGGAATCGTAAAATTACATTCCAATTTGTCTAATTAGTCAGAACTGATTTGTGGGAGTAGCTTGTGTGTCAACATGAATGAATTCCTTCTTAATCCAGCTATTGAGGGATCTACACCTCTAAATATCTGTTGATTATGCCAGCCGTTAAACCAACAGCATTACTGCAAATGTGTAGACTTCTATCAGAAAGGGAAGTGTTTGGAATTTGTGTTGTATGTTGTCATTATCACAATGAAGACTCTTTATCAGCATTAGGTGTAAGTGGTAAAGACTGAAGGTATGGCAAGCTGAATTTAGTTGCGTGACTCAATATATGTTACAGACATTGATTCCTACTTGAATGGGCATTTCAGATATTCATAATGTCAACCTTTCCCATCCACAGTTTTTAATTATTAAAACATTATATTGCCATCTAATCTGGTTTCAGAATACTTTTTTTCATCACTATTACTCTTCTAAAATTTGCTTCTGTCTCCTTATTAGTTTTGATTTATGCCATCTTAGGAGTGCAATTTTTATTGATCTAACTCACTTAGGCTGTGATAAGGATGATCACTGCCTCCATCTGCACAAGCTCCACTGCTGCAGTTTACATTGAAATGTTCTTCTAAAGTTTAATGTCTATCATCAAAAAATAGCTAACTAATTCAAACAAACAAACAAACAAACAAACAAACAAACACACACACACACACACACACACACACACACACACACACACACACACACACACACACACACACACACACACACACAGTATGTTGTATTCAGTGGTTCTCAGTGCTGTTGCAGGAAGACTTTGGACTTTAGAGCAACCTTGATTACCCTTTAAACCACATTTTGAATGTATTTTTAAAACAATTTGTGGGTATTAATTGCACAGTATCAATTAAATCAACTGCATTCATATGGTGTAAAAAGAAGTCAAAAGAAGTAAAACCTCTAAAAATAATTCCAAAACAAATTCCTAACATGTTTACATGTGATGGCAATAAAAGTCTTCTTCGTCTTCTTCTTCTACTCACACAAAACATCACTTCTGTTTTAGTGTGCCTTGTTATTATATATATATACATCTTCAAGCCAAATATGAAGTGCGCTATTGTCGTTATTCATACTGTTGCACCTTATTTCTCACCTGGATTCTTGTTCAACAGCTGGGACCTGGGGTGGGATGAGAGATTATGAGAATGAGGACAATCTAGGGGTAGTTGTGAAATAATGTCTGTTAATGGGCCCATTGCGGTTTTGTATTGATTATGACCAGGGCAAATACAATGCTAGACAGCTTTATATCAAGCGTCTACTTGTAAGATTGCTATTGTGGAAATCTTTACACTCCTTCCTGCTAAAAGCACGGAACTAATGGTAGATATACTATTATAGATAAGTGAGTGATTAAAATGTCAAATCGGCAGTTGGGCATTCCGGTCAGAACTGTTGTGCGCTCAAAGTTAACTTTATAAACCGCAGAAACATCACGGTAAAGTCCGAGCTCCTGTAACAAGCCATTTTAGCTGGTGTCGTGTCAGAGAGTCATGGCATGACTGCATTTTAAGTCAACTTTGGCGGCGGAAAACTGCTATGTATGTGCAAATTGTAAGCTAGATATGTTCCCTGTTGTGCCGTAAAAGGCGCGCACATTTGGAGTATGCAGCATTACCATGGACTGTATATAGAATGAACAGTGTCTGCCTCCTTGCTGGGTGAAGCCACTCTGAGAACAGCACCCTCTGTTGACGGGCTGCAGTATAGGTCCTAACTCCCACCTCCACCAGCAAAGCTTATGGGGCTGTAGACAAACTTTAGAAATTAATTACACAGAACATACATTTTTTTTCTCCCTGCTTGCGGTGTTGACATGTAGTTACTGTAAAACTGGTTTGTGCTCAAGTCCTCTTTTTTCTGCGAAGCTCTGTGTTTAAAAGTTATTAGGGGGTTCATGTTTTCTTTGATTGACACCTGATACAGCCTATTGGCGTTCAGGGATTGCGTAGCACACCCCAGGGATACACTGTTTGAGCGGAGTTTCATCACACCGACTCTTGGCGACTCTCCCACCGAATACGTACAATGCTCCTGCGCAATGCTGGTTTCAGGAAATGAAGAAAAATCGCAGAAATACCAAGAGCTTTTTTGGCTTCAAATCCGTATACAGGCGGAAGGCGGAACCAAGTTTTCCATCGTATATACAGTCTATGGGTATTACTAAATCGCACCCACACGACAGTTTTAAGTAGGCCATCTGAAAAAAAAGTTTGCAATATGACCCATATTTTAACTGTCATCTACTTTTAGTCAGTTTCTCAAAGAAAGCACTGACATGCAGCATATCCATGATTTATTTTTCTGTAAACAAGCAAGCCTGAAGTCAGTCAGCTAGCTAACTGCGGAGGGAGTTGAGTGAGTTTAGGCTACTCCTGCTGATGAACTAAACAGGAACGAGGACTTGCTGAAGTCTACATTTAATGGAATTAAATTTTCTCCAA